CTGAAATTATAAACACACACACACACATACACACACACACGCACGCGCGGTGTTTACAAACCATTGGTAAGTGCTATACAATCAGGTGAAGAGACGGATGGAATGACTGATGAAACAGGGGTGGGGTGGGAGGTATCTTAGTAGAGGTGTCACTTGACAAGGAGCCGGGTCTCCAGTGACCTGGTCGCAGAGCTTTCTGGGTGGAAGCAGCAGGTCTGAGGTGATCCAGAGAAGACAGCCAGTGCAGCCAGAAAAAAGACAAGAGGGAAGGTAGTCACGAGGTCTCAGCGGAAGGCAGGTACCAGCTCCTTCAAGGCCATTGGAAGGAGAGTGGATTTTTGAGAATTCATTAGAGGGTTTTAAGTTAGCGAGTGACTTACTCTGATTAATTATTTTAAAAAGCCGGCTGCCGGCTTTGGTGTTGGTGATGCTGTAAGGAGCAGCAGGGATGCAGGAAAGCAGCGAGGACAGGCGAGGCTGCCTGGGGGTGCAGCAGGCAAAGTCCAGGTGATGGATTTTGGAGGGAGAGGCAAAGGACTTGCCACTGACTCACGGTACATCCTTGGTCAGGTTACTGGACTTCCCTTGGCCTTAGTTTTCCCACCTGAATGATTGGGATGACACTCATGTACCTATCATATCACATTCCTCTGAGGATAAATAATGCATTAATGTCTACTTGATGTAAAGTTCTAACAATTTAGAACAAAATAGCAATCAATAATTAAACCAATCAATAAATTGCTATTTTAAAAACTATTATAAGTATTGGATATGGAAAGGGAGAAATCAAGGATGATGCTTAGGTTGAGAACAGAATTGCATAGCTTGTTGTCCGGGTGCATAGGTGCCCTAGAGCACTTTTGAAATGTGAAAGTCCCTAATCAAATTTTGCCACCCTTTACTTATGGTGACAAGATGAGGACTCACTTAACTTTGCCTCACCTTCTAATCTGTAAATAGGTCACATGCTATCCAACCCTCTAGTTAGCATCAATGAAGATATGAAGTCAAATTGCATGCTATACTTAATAGTCTTTGTATCTCTCAATAGAGATGTTATTCATGAACAAGGTGAAAATACCTGATTTGTAAAAAAATATATATATATGGTTTTTAATCTACGGTTTATAATATGTTCAATAACTATGAAATTCAAGTATCTTGGCATATGGGTCTGTGTCTAATGTAATATCTAAACAAGAACAAAAGAAAAGGGAGGAAAGCAGTCTTTGGAGTACTTATGATCAGATCATAAAACTAAAAGACTGATTAAAATTGGTGCAGAAAATGTCCAATGAGAGATACAGAAGCCTTCCTTACTGTGCAAGTAAAAAAGAACAACTTGGATGCTGTAAAAAGAAAAAGGAGTAATGAATACAGAAACCCATGTAATTATCTCAGGTAGGGTATTTTGAGTCAATGACTTCTTATCCTTTGAAGTTGTATAGGTTTGAGTCCTGGCTGTGAAGTGGCTTCAAAGTTTTGGCAATTACGGATAAAAGTGCTATTAAAATCCATGGGCAGATTTTTGTGTGGACATAGAATTTTTTAGTTCCTTTGAGTAAATACCAAGGAGTGTGATTGTTGGATTGTATGGTAAGAATATGTTTCGTTTTGTAAGAAACTGCCAAAATGTTTTCCAAAGTGACTGTGATATTGTGCACTCTTGTCACCAATGTATGAGAGCTCCTGTTGTTCTACACCTTTGTCAGCACTTGGTGGTGTCAATATTCTAAGTTTTGGCCCTTCTAACAGGTGTGCAGTGGCGTCTCACTGCATCCCACAGATGCGGTCTGTTGCGGAGCATCATTTCATATGCTTATTTGTCACCTGAATATGTTCTCTGGGGAGGTGTTTGTTAAGACATTTAGCCCACTTTTAATGACCTTGTTTGTTTTTAATTGTTGAGTTTTAACAGTTCTTCATCCATTTTGAAGAACAGTCCTTTATCACATGTGTCTTTGGCAAATATTTTCTCCCAGTCTGTGGCTTGTATTCTCATTCTCTTGACATTGTCTCTCAGTTTTTTTAATTTTAATGAAGTCCAGCTTGTCAGTTGGTTCTTCTGTGGATTGTGCCCCTGGTATTCTATCGAGGGTTGTCACTATACCCAAGGTCATCTAGGTTTTCACTTAAGTTATCCTCCAGGACCTTCACAGTTTTATGTGTTATATTGAGATCTAATTTATTTTGAGTTAATTTTTGTGAAGGGTGTAAGATCTGTGTCTAGTTTTTTGTTTTTTTTTTTGTCTTCTTCTTTTTTTTGCACATGGATGTCAGGTTGTTCCAGCATCATGTAATGGAGAGATTCTCTTTGTTCCATTGCATTTCCTTTGCTCTTTTGTCAAAGATCAGTTGACTGTATTTATGAGGGTCTGTTTCTGGGTTCTCTCATCTCTTCCATTGAGTGATTTGTTTATTCTTTCACCAATTCCTGGAGATTTATAGTAAGTCAGTAAGTCTTGCAGTCAGGTAGTATCAGTTGACTAACCTTGCTTTTTTCTTTAATGTTGTGTTGGCTTTTCTGGGTCTTTTGCCTCTCCTTATAAACTTTAGAAACGGTTTGTCAATATCCACAGAATATTGATTAGGGTTGCATTGAATTTATAGATCAACTTGGGAGGAATTGACATCTTGACAATATTGAGTTTTCCTGTCTATGAACATGGAATATCTCACCCTTTATTTAGTTCTTTGATTTTGTTCATCAGAGTTTTTCGTTTCCCTCATATAGATCCTGTATGTATTTTGTCAGATTTATACCCAATTATTTCATTTTTGAGGTGGTAATGTAAATGGTATTTTGTTTTCTATTTCAAATTCCACTTGTTCATTGCTGAAATGTAGGAATTAATTGATTTTTGTATATAACCCTTGTATTTGACAATCTTGCTATAATTGCTTATTAGTTCCAGAGTATTTTGTGGATTCTTTCACATTTTCTACAGACAGTTATGTCATCTACAAACAAAAACATGTTTATTTTTCTTTTTCTCCAATCTCTATAGTTGTTTTCTTTTTCTACCTCATTGCATTAAGTAGGATTTCAAGTTCATGTTGAAAAAGAGTAGTAAGAAGGGACATCCTTGCTTTGCGCCTGATCTTAGTGGGAAAGTTTTGAGTTTCTCACCATTAAATTTGATATTGGCTATAGGGTTCTTATAGAATTTTTTTATCAAATTGAAAGAAATCCCCCTATTCTTAATTTAGTGAGAACTTTTATCATTTGTGAGTGTTGGATTTGTCATGTACTTTTCTGCATGTATTGGTGTGATCATGTGATTTGTTTTTTAGTCTGTTGACATGATGGATTATACTAATTAATTTTCAAACGTTGAACCAGCCTTCATGCCTAGGATAAATATTACTTGGTCATGGTGTAAAATTCTTTTCATATATTGTTGGATTCCATTTGCTAATATTTTGTTGAGGATTTTTGGGTCTATGTTCATGAGAGATATTTGTTTGTAGTTTTCTTTCCTTGTAATGTCTTTGGTTTTGGTGTTAGGGTAATGCTGGCCTTATAGAATGGCATTCATTTCTACTCTAGCTCTTATTATTTTTTCTGCTTACTTTGAGTTTAATTTGATTTTATTTGTGTAGATTTCTAAAATGGAAACAGATCATTGATATTAGATCTTTCTTTTTCCCTAATATATGCATTTAATTTTCCTCCAAGCACTGTTTTTGCTGAAACCCACAGATTTTGATAAGCTGCGTTATTTTCATTTAGTTTCAAATGTTTTAAAATTTCCCTTGAGTTTTCTTCTTTGGCACATGTCTTATTTAAAAGTGTGTTGTTTAATCTCCTGATATTTAGGGGGGTTTCCTAGTAATTTTTTCGTTATTGATTTCTAATTTAATTCCATTGTGATCTAAGAGCAGACATTGTATGATTTCTATTCTTTTCAACGTGTTAAGTTCTGTTTTATGACCCGGAATCTTAGCGAATGTGTTATCTTCCTTGAGAAGAATGCGTGTTCTTCTGTTGTTGGATGTAGACTATAGATGTAAATTATATTTAATTGATTTTGGTGTTGTTGAGTTCAACTATATCTTTACAGCCTTTTACTGCCTGCCGGACCTGTCGTTTCTGATGGAGAGGTATTGAAGTCCCCGACTATGATAATGAATTCATCTTATTCTCCTTGAAGTCTGTCAGGGTTTGACTCACATAGTTTGATCCTTTATTGTTGGGGGCACAGCCATTACGGATTATCATGTCTTCTGGGAGAGTTGACTCATTTGTCATTATTAATGCCCTTCGTTATCCCTGATAACGTCTTGCTTGGGCGTCTGCTCTCTCTGAAATTAACAGAGCTGCTCCTGGGAGCCGTCACTAATTATATTTTGACTATCGTGGGTGTTGTTCTTACTACTGGTGCTAATCCAACTCCGAGAGGTCAGGGCCCGTGTGGACCCTCGTTATTATCTTCTTGTTTACATGATGCTTTCGCTTAAAGGTGACTGTTAAAAACTCCCCAGGAGAAGCGAGGAGTTTGCTCCACTTCTATCGGTAGGAGTCATGTAGCAATTGCATGTAAATAGTAGCAAGCACTTCGGCGTATCCTTCAAACGGGCCTCCTTCATGGAGTGGCCCTTTTCAGAGGGGCTGTATCTATTCCAAATTTCCCGCTAAGGTACCTCCCTGTGCATGTGAGCTTGGGTGATGGAAATTAGGATGAACAGCTTCATCTCTCCTGCCCTGATTGCTGCCCGTCTTCCATTCGGCCAGTAGGCCTGTGGCCATTGGAGGCAGGAGGCATGGCCCTAGAGGCCTTTCTGAAATGCGCCAAACCAGCCTGCCTGGCTTGGTTCAGTCTCCGGATAGCTTGCCGCAGGCGTTTTCGTTCCATCTGATTGAGCACGGCACACTCCCAGTGCGTGTTTCTGTTCCACGTCCCTACGCAAGGGACACGCCGCTGGGAGAAATGACAGCGCCCCCTGCAGAGCCCTGCTGACCGTGCCTGCTTTCTCTCCCCCTCGTGCGCCTCTAGGCAAGTGCGAGATCGGCTGGGCCTACTACTGCACCGGCGCGGGAGCCGCCGCCGCCGTGCTGCTGTGCGCCTGGCTGGCCTGCTTCTCGGGCAAGAAGCAGAAGCAGTACCCCTACTGAGACAGGCCCAGAAGAACCCTGCGCGGAGACGGGCGGAGGGGGCTTGGAGGGCCGAAGCACCCAGCTGCTTTCAAAAGGTGGAACCGTGGTTCTCATTCATGCAAGGCTTTTGACGTGAAACACAACGGAGTCAGACTTGTTCTATAACGTGGAAGGCTTGTACAGGTTTGTAAAAGAAATGAGAGCGTGGGATGGTAGGGGGAAAAAAATGGACCAAAGTCTCAAGATATTGTAGGGGTATTACGTGTTTCTATTCCACAGAGTATTGTTAATGTAGAACATATATGCAGGCAAAACACGTCTATATATGCAAACAGAGGATTTGGATTTTTTTTTTTTTAAGATAAGGTCTCAGATCATCAAAAGGGCTAGTAGAAACAGTATCAAGTTGGGAAGCAGGGGACCTCTCGGACGTCCCCTGCAGGCCATGGCGCTGCTGAAAGCACACGAGCACATAGACACGTCGCATTCACGCCCACGCCCACGCGCATACTTAGAAACTGCCGCAAGGACGGTACAAGAGGTTTAGCTGTGCGTTACTCCTCTGTGTTCCGTTTAACATAGGTTTAAAATCCTGTATTGTCACTTTATAAAGCATACGTTACACCTAATAAATGGACCAATAAGCCACTCTATCAGTATTTTGTATAGTGGGCACAAACTCTTATGCCCTCAGTGTTTTCCGTGTTTATGCAGACCTTTAGAGTTAAGCCTTTGTATTTCAATATTATTCAAAAATATGGTGTATTTCTCTGAGTAGCTTCTGCTATGATATTCTTATGACATAAAGGGGCATATTTCTGTCCATTTTCCAGTCATTAGACCTTGGGATTTTTGTTTTTTGTTTTTGTTTTGTCCATTATTATACTGTGCTGTACCACCTTTATTTCAATATTCATTTTGTAAAAAAATAAAAAAAATGCTATTTTGTTTGTATTTGAAAAGCTCTGTGAATAAATTCTCTCTTTGATCAATAACTCAATGAGTCATGGAGTTTTAAGTTACCTGATTTGCTTCTTTAATCTCCTAAATACAGCCTTTCAATTCCAATGGTCCTGTATATTTTTCTTTTCCTTTGAAGGCCTCACTTTAATTCACTTGACAATTACCGCACCAGGCACTGTTCTAGACATATGGGTTATGGAAGGTGAATATAAGATCATGCTTTCAACTAAGATTCTTTGCAACCAGAACTCAAACTTCCTGTTCCTTGCACTGGATACGTACTTCTACGTACTTCCCACGTAACAGGTGAACAGTTTTTAATCCCTTCTATTGATAGGTAATTAAAAGAACACTTCTACCAGATTAATGGCCACATACCAGTACTAGACTTGGTTGTTTCTTTCAACAAAAGAAATCACATTTGGAATAACACGCTAAAGAATATCAGTACTGTACTTATCCCTTTTTTAAATTTATTTTTTTAACCAAATTTAATAGGGTTACATTGGTCAATATAAATTTCTATAGGTTTCAAGTATAAAATCCTGCAATACATCATCTGGTCATCGCACTGTGTGCTCACCATTCCAGTCCAGTCCTCGCCCATCACCATTTATCCCTCATTTACCCTCTTCTACCCGCCTCCCTCTGCCTTCCCTCTGGACAATCACCGTTCTGTTGTCTGTGTCCATGAGGTTTTTTCAGCTTAATCCCTGGAGCTACTTCACCCCATTCCCCAGCCTCTGTCCCCCAAGAGAACTGCCTGTCTGTTCTCTGTATCTATGAGTCTGCGTCTATGTCATTATTTTGTTCATAAGATTCCACGTACAAGTAAAATCACATGCTGTTCTTTTTCTCTGACTGACTTACTTCACTTAGCACAGTACCCCTTAGGTCCAGCCATGCTGTCACTAAAGGTAAGATTTTCTCCTTTTCTTTTTTTCTTATTTTTTAATGCTGCTCTGATGGGGTGCTTTCTGCTACTCTGTCTCCTAAATCTGTGATTTGATCCTCTGCTTCATTCAACCTACTGTTTATTCTTTCTAGTGTGTTCTTTATTGCAGATATTGTATTCTTCATTTCTGACTGGTTCTTTCTTACGGTTTCTAAGTTCTCTTTATGTTTGCTGTCTCTTTGTCGAAGTTCTCACTAAGGCCCTTGAGCATCCTTATCACTATTTTTTTGAACTCATAACCATTTCAAGTAAATTGCTTACCTCCACTTCATTTCATTCTTTTTCTGGAGTTTTCTTTTTCCTGTTCTTCCATTTGAGGCATGTTTCTTTTCTCTCCGCTTTCTTTCTGTTTTTGTTTCTACGTATTAGGTAGACCTGCCACGTCTCCCAGTCTTGGGAGGTGGGCCTTACGGGGCAGATGTCCTGTGGGACCCAGTGGTGCAGTCTCCTCGATCACCTGAGCCAGGTACGCCAGGAGTGTCCCTTGTGTGGCAGACTTCACCGTCCTTATAATCCTGACCTTCCTTGATCTTTAGGAAAACAAAACTTTCCAGGCTGGCTCTCTTGCTGTCAAAATATCCTTGGAGCTTTTGTGCCAGATCCTGTTGGAAGTGCCCAGGGCAGTGGTTTCCAACTCTGGCTACACCCAGAATGGCCTCAGGAGCTTTGTAAAATGCTGATGCTTGGGCCCCTCCCCCCAACCCAGAGGCTCTGATTTAAATGGCCTGGGCTGAAACGCAGCGTTTCCCCGGTGTAATGTGCAGCCAGGACTGAAAGCCATTGGCCTGTGACAAATATTGGCACATCCCTGAGCTGTGACCTAGCAGTGTGACAGTTTTCTGTGCCTGCTTGTTAAGTATATGTTAAATGGGATTTCATTAGAGACTGGCTCTCGTTGTTGTATTTGGCCTTGAAGCAAAGCTTTTGGGAGACAGAATGGATACTTCTAAACCCCGGAGGCTTCCAGAATTTAGCAAAGAGAACAACATTTGTCAGACAGTCAAATGAATTTAGGTAAGTTCACAAAATTGTGTTCTCAACCCCCAACTTTTCTTCCCAAGAGGCTTCTGTTGTAGGCAGGTCCAGGGCTGAAACCCGTGAACCAAGCTAAACAAAATTGCAAGGACTGGATTTGGGGGTATAGGTAGGGAAGCAGTGACTTAACCGTGGAAATAAAATTAACTTCAGGAGTGTAGATGCAAGGCTGTCTTCTCCTCTCTGCTGGACATGAAGGTGGGCATATATAATTCAGGCGGCTGCCAGCCGCCGGTGTGGGAACCCACGGAAGCGGGTCTAGGATAAAGCCAGCGCTGCGGACGACAGAACTCCGAAAACAGATCAGACAAGGACCGGCCCAGAGCGGGTCTGCCTCAGGCGGGCCTGTCAAGTGTGGGTTCTAAACTCCATGTAGGGACGATGTCACAATATGAGTCCAGGTGGTTCTGAGAGTGCATTTATTAAAGCTGGGGACAGTGAGACAAAGGAGGGACTTAGGGTGGAAGAAGCAACAGGAGCGAGGCCAGGCGGTGCTCTGCTTTGGCCCCCTACAAACATTGCAGGAAAGGAGTGAGCCAGGGCGGGGCTGCCGTGAGCTCCCTGGGAAGTCAGAGAAAAGAGGACCCTGGAGACAGGATCCGGGGGTCAGCCGGGGATGGGCCGCCGCTGCCCGCTGCTCCCCGGCGGCAATTCTCCTGGGGACCCCCAGAGTCTAGGAGGAGGTAAGAAGTTCTTGCCTGAGAAGGAGCGTGGGCTGCTCTAGAGCGAGGTCCCACCCGGTCTCTGTCCTGGTCTTTACCTGTCTTCTGCACGTGCTATAACTTTTCCTTTTCACCACTGAAAAACGAGTCTTGTCATAAAATATGAGAAATGAACTCAGACAAATGAAAGCCATCCTTGGAAGTCCACGAGTCAGACTTCTTTAATGAAACAAACCTCAGAGGCCCTGGCTTTCGGAAGATGTTGGACCCGCCAACTTCATCGGGCCTGTGCTCCGAAGGGAGCTTCGGACCGGAGGGCTGCGTACAAGGAAGTAAACATGACAGAGATTGTCATTCCCCTTGTCACTCCAAAGAGCCATCTGCTCCCGAGCTGAAGCCATTTCCATTAAATTTACCAGCATGCTAATTAGAGAATGACTGCAGCATGAGGAAGCTGCCAGATGCTATGAGGCTGTATCACTGTCCTCTTATGAGGTTAGGCAAACATTTAATTAAACCTGCAGATGCCGTGTCTGCTCCACCCACCAGCCCCGCAACATCCCGCTCACCTGGGAAAATCATTGCACATGGGTGTTTTTCAAGAGACTTTGCTGAGATATTTAATGCCTTTATACATGATTTAATTAACTGCACCAGTAATTACATCAGGGTGACTTGAACCTGACTGTCCTTGGGGCTCTTGTGTCTCCTCATAACTAATCAAACGTCTCCTCAGCGGTACCCTTGTTTGCAGGAGTCGAATTACGAAGAGCCTCCTTTAAGCAGGGGTGCTCAGGGTGTCTCCATGACATTTGGCTTGAGAGTATGAGTTTTAATATATTGGAAAGGCCTCTTTTGAAGAGAAGTCCGAGAGGAGCTGGAAATGCCATGCCAAGGTTTAATGACCAGACAGCCCTGTGGGTCTCGACTGACCACTCTCTTCAAGAAAACTTATAGCCGTTTTCTGCCCTGGCTGGAGTGGCTCAGTGGATTGAATGAAGGCCTGTGAGCCAAAGGGTCATCAGTTTGATTCCCAGTCAGGGCACATGCCTGGGTTGTGGGCCAGGTCCCCAGTAGGGGGTGTGTGAGAGGCAACCACACACGGATGTTTCTCTCCCTCTCTTTCTCCCTCCCTTCCCCTCTCTAAAAATAAATAAAATGTGTGTGTTTTTTTTAAAAGAATGTATAGCTATTTTCTTTTGTAGTAGAATGTGTCTGAATTTTGGACTTACACACATTCTCCTCTTTAATTGAGCACAATATTTTGATCATCAGTGATTTTAACTAGAGAACATGCTACATATCACAAAATTAAGAAAAATAACAAATTACAACTATTATTGGATGCTAACGTTGGGCCAGATGAGAGACCGCTATTTTAATTGAGGACCTTGAAGATGGGCTGTAGTCTCTTCCATTGATGGGTTTGCAGGTCAGTATCTTCAGGACCCTAAGCAGCGCAGAGGGGAAAGCGGGTGGAAACGCCACGGGTCTGCTGGGCTGCCGGCTTTGCCTCCCCGCCCTGCAGGTCCCTTGTGTTCTTCGACAGCCACGTTGGTGAGAGGTTTGTCAGAAAGAAGCTGCAAGATAGGGCCGGAAGGATACAACCACCCTCCGCCTGGTTTTGTGCGGAATCTATGGCTCACGAATCATGTTGCCCAACCTCTTCCTTCCTGTTTGGGGCACTATCTCCTACAATCCAGCACAGCTACATTTGTGGAACATTGAGCTCCCTTGTATGTCCGTATTTGATGAAGATGATGATGTAAGGAAATTACTACACCTAAGCAGTGAATAAACATATAAGTATACTTAACAAAATAGTTCTTTGTATTCCTTAAACATTCATTCCCTCATCTCATTTTGCTATTTTATGACCTTGCTTGTGTCTTGCTACCCTGATGCCACTGATATCCTTCCAGCACGCTTATTTCTATGAAGTTTTTTTTCTTTCTTTCTTTCTTTCTTTTTTTTTTTTTTTTTTTTTTTTGACTGGTGCCATCTGTCATCATAACTGATCTTCCATGCTGAGTGGCTTTGCATGTGGTGATTACTCGTTGCTTCGTCCCTCGGACCTCACAGTTCTCCCTGAAAGAGCAGGATCCCAGGGGTATGCAAACCCCCGCCTCATCCACGTTTCCTGCTGTGATTAAAACCTTAGACGGGAAGGCAGTCCGCTGCGTTTTTGTTCAGGCTGCAGCGGTTAGGACTGTGCGCACGTGTGCGCGCGCGCGCGCGGGTGCGCACTTATTTGGAGAGGGCGGGCTAGGTCCCATTGCTCGATAAAGCAAGAACAGATGGCGCTGTCAGTTCCAGGCACGGCGCAGCCACACGCCATATGAGCATTCATTCCCCAACATCGCTGCCCATCCTGCCATCAGCCCCCCAGAATTTAAGTCCCCGGGGCTCCAAGGGACCCGGTGGCATAGCACTCCTCCAACCAAGCGAAATTTCTGAACTTTCTGCCTTTTCTCCACATTCCTTTGCGCACCCCGATCCGTGGAGCCAAGTGGGAACGAGCTTCAGTTTAAATGTTATGAAATCAAGTCTTTTGTCATTTGGTCTCTATAACAAGGAGCTACTGACACATGGCGATGCTGGAAATAAGCGAGAGGGACTCTCGCAATAAATGTGAACATAATTTAGTCACTGAACAGGTAGAGCAAGTCCTCACTTAGCACAGTCAACAGGTTCTTGGGAACTGTGACTTCAAGCGAAATAATGTATAATGAAATTAATTTTACCACAGTCTAACCGACGTAAATAAGAGTTAAGTTCTTATGGCACGGAAACATCACCAAGCTTCTGAATAAAGGCCCAGAACACTGCTAATACTGAATATTGAAGTAAATGTGACCTACACCTATTTCGAGAAAGATGAATACAATCAAGGAAGGTAATTTTTTTCCAACCCGCCCATTCCAGCGCACACACTCACTCAGACCTCAAGTTGTTGCAATGAGGCCAATTTACCGAACGGGCACATCTCTGGCACGTGGAAGGAAATAAGAGTATTCACACGCTGACGTGGGAGAACGTGCAAACTCCACATTGAGAGTGGCCCTGCTCAGGATTAATTTTTTTTTTTAATCGACATTGTAATAAAATGATGTTGAACAAAACACTGTTATTTGAGGACCTCCTTTTACGGGCAAAAGCGTATGTGGAATAGACAATAATATTTTTTTAACGTTCCTTATGCTGGTAATAAATCAGAAGAGAGAGAGACACGATTTGGCTGAAGTACAAGTTGGAACGCGAGCAGGAAAAAGTGAAGAAGTTTAAGTGAATGACATCCCTACTAATGAGGAGGGCAGGTTTTGTGCGGACGGGAGTATTTGAGCTGGACCTGGAGACAGTGAGCTCAGAGCTGCAAGACAAGGGCATCGCAATTTACTGGTGGTTTAATAAAAATGAGACACAGGATGCTCTGGTCATTCTTATCGCTACCCTAGGCTTCGCGGCCATGGGGAACGAAGCTGCAGATAAAGAGGCTCTGTGAGATGGTCACTGTTTGCTTTCACTCCAGCAGAAGAAACCTGAAGCCTTCTTCATTGACGGTCTTGCAGACTCAGAAGCTGGGTTATAATTAGCTGGGATCATCGATCCTGGCTTTTTCCCTCTGTTTTCGCAGGCATGCTCCTTAATAAATATTTGATGGCCTGTTTACACAGGGTATCAATAGGTGAGACTCACCAATTTAACTGAACTGACTTATTTTCAAAACTAAATAATGGTGTCAGTGAAATAGAGGGCAATGTACCAGCTTTGCTTCTGAAGTGTAAAAGAGATAAAAATCCTTGTTCATCATATTAGGACTGAAATAAATTTCTAAAAGAGCTGAGTAGATGTATAGGACATACGTATATTACTTTCAAATTTGGAAGCAAAACATAGAAGAAACCATTTAAAACGCTGAGAGCGGCTGCTGCTAGAGAGCATCGTGGCTGGGGAGGCGGTGACCGGGAGCTTTTTTGTTTTTGTTAGCTTCGGAGTGCTGTTTCAGTAAGAATAAAAAACAACTTTAAAAAAATGACACAGAGAACAAGGTGATGGTTACCTGAGGGGTTGGGGTTTGGGTGAAAAAAGTGGAGGGATCAAGAAGTACAAATCGGTAGTTACAAAACAGTCATGGGGACTTCAAGTTCAGCGTAGGCAACGCTGCCAATGCTATCGCCACAACGCTGTGTGGCGCCAGGTGGGTAGGGCATTATCCAGGGATCACTTTGTCGATGACATAACTGTCTAACCACTACACTGGACACCTGAAACTAATATTATATAATATTGAACATCAACTGTAATCAAATACAAGATTTTAAAAATGTACACAGACCTGATGGTTCCTTGTTGCTCACGCGAACCTCCACACCAAGCCTTTGTAGCTGCTTTTCACTCAGGATTCTAAACTGCGTGCTTGACAGTGCTTGCATTTCAGACCAGGGTTCCCAACCGGGTTTCAGTACATGAAGACACCTTGCTCTTTAAAAGAGAAGCAGGATAACCGGAAGCCAAGGGCACAGACCTTGGAGTCAGGCCCTGCGTTCAGACCACGGCTTTGCTACTTGCTGGCTGTAGGCCCTCCGGCAAGCCTCTTAAACCACCTGCCTCCCAGCTGCATTATCTGTCCTGTAGAGATTTAACAGGACTTAATACCTTTGACACTGTTACAAAAGCTGAACGAGTTCATTTTTTAAAAAGTGCTTAGAACAGTGCCTAGCAGGTTAAATTTATAAAATTTCATAAGAAGGTGGTCCTTGCCTTCTGAATCTATACATTGAGAAAATAGTTTACACTTAAACTTACCATGAATTGTTATTATAATAACTATAAGATATATACTATTCATATTTGAGTATTATATTATAAATAATAGTTTTGTTCATTATATCTGGATCTGCACAGTTTTCAAAAGAGGACATCTGTAGGATATGCTGTTACTTATCAGTTTATAGGCTGCTCAACATGCATAAGAATTCGCAATAAATTTGATGAACAACACACCTATAGTGTCATACATTGACCCCCAGTGTATGTAAAGTAGGAACTATAATTGGACATTTTAAGCTGATCAGAATCCTCCCAGAATTTTTATGGTGAAGCTACACTAATATGAGCTCCCCGTTCCCCACACCCACCAGAAGAATCATGGTCCAAGATGATCCTGTGAGAGTGAAGGGAACAAACCCCACAGAGATGGGGGGAGGTTAGCCCCTTGGAAACCTAAGATATTGACTAGAGCTTAGAATACATTTGATGTTAGGAAAGCTTAAATGTACTTTATTCCCTTGCCTGAGACTGATGGCACTAAGAGGAAGTATGAGGCACTAAAAAAGTGGGAGACAGTGGAAAAACAAACGGTGTCCCTTAATCTCTTGCATTCTCTAGGGGAGAAGGCACCCTGTCTTATGAACACAAGCATTCCAACCTCTTCAACCCAAACATCCCGAAGCTACGGGGGTGCAAACCCTGAAAGCTGCATTAGATAAAAAATTGTTAAATTTTTGTCTTCATTTGTTCTGATACAAGTTTATCAAGCAACATTCTGCTGATAATTTGCCTTTCTGTGTAGGTTTCGCTATGCATGAAATCATGCTTATCATAAGAGAATAAGTCAGCATTCTGGATTAGACAGCAGTTGCTATGAATGATTTTTTTAGCAGGAGGCCCGAGGGAATTTCCAAGCAGAGGACAGGACACTGGAACGAGGGGGACATGGTACTCCTGCCTCATTCCCAGATGTTGTCTGTAGCTGACATCTCTCCATCACATCTTTGATAACTGCAACTTGGACTGATACAGAACTTCCCATTCTCAATACTGTTATAACTTTGGGTTGTCCTGGTAGGTAAGGTCCACTACTACCTTGCTCTCCCCTAGAAAAGTGAGCTAAGGTGACTTTTTGGCTTTGACACCAAAGTCTGATTTTGAATATGTGCTACAACAATTACTGTAACTATTTTCATTAACTACCCCTTACGTACTACATCAGTTCATTCAGTTCCAACAGTCATCTTGAACAATGAGCAACACGTTTTTTGGGGCCATATACAATTATACAGATGGATTATTAAAGTGTGGAAGCAACCCAAGTGCCCCTCAACAGTTGAATGGGTAAGCAAAGTGTGGTCTACATTTACAATGGAACATTATTCATCCTTAAAAAGGAAGAAAATTCTGACATTTGCTACAACGTGGGTGAACCTTAAGGATATTACACTAAGTGAAATATGCCAGTCACAAAAGGGCAAAGACTGTATAATTGATTCCATTTAAATCAGGTACCTAGAGGAGTCAAATTCCGAGACAGAAAGTACAGTGATGATTTCCAAGGGCTGCTGGGAAGGGAAGTGAGGAGTTGTGTAATACCTATGGGGTTTCAGTTTTATAAGACGAAAGGAGTTGTGGAGGTGGATGGTGGACAATGAGAATGAACGTACTCAATACTTACCTCTCAATTTTACACTTAAACATGGTGAATACTGTAAGTTTTGCTATGTGTATGTTACCACCATAAGGAAAAACTGAAGGAGAAACAAGAAGGATTACGGTTCCCATCCCAAGGTGCTTCTCATGAGAGGCCAAATAGCAGAGCGGGAATAATGTTACGGGAATGCACAGTAAATAGAGGTTCACAATGCGGAGACACAGTCCGTTTCAAGAAGAAGCTGTCACAAGAGGTAGGTCATCACGTACTTCCTTCCAGTGCTTAAAATACGTTGAGCAGAAGCCTTCCATTCCAGCCTGCAGGACAAAACTTTGTCCTACCGTTGCACCTGCCTGTTCTCGGGGTTGAAACCCAGAAGCCCTTCCAGCCCAGCAGATGGCGCCGGCGCCGGTAGTGCACCTCCAGACCCAGAGGGGGCGCTCTGGCCGGATCTCGCCGTCTCTACTCGGTGGTCCTGCCCTTCGCCCGCAGGCCCCGCCCCTCCTCACCAGCGCGCAGGCGTCCTTACGCCGCGGCGGGCCTAGGGGAAGCATGGCGGCCTCTTCGTTGGGGGAGAAGGAGAAAGAGCGGCCGGCCGGCGGCTCGGGGGCGGCGTGCGGGAACAGCACGCGCGAGCGGCTGCTGTCTGCGCTGGAGGACCTGGAGGTCTTGTCGAGGTAAGGCTGGAGGCCCGAGGGCCGGGCCGGCCTGGGTCAGGGGGACTGATTCCGGCCGGCCCCGGGCTGACGCTGGCTTCAGGGTCACGGTGGGGGAGGGAGACCCCGGCACGCGCTCCCGGAGACAGCGCACAGGGGCCGTGGCGTCCGCCGCCCCCCGGGGCTCCGAATCGGCATTTCCCCCCGTTAGTGGTAACAGTGACCCTGGCACCCCAAGACTGGCGGAATCGTAGTGGACCTTAGCGATCGTCGAGGCGAGTCCCTTCGAGCGCAGAGAGACGGGACTGACGGGGCGCCTCGGGGTCGAGGAGGAGGAGCCCCGTCGCTGCTAGGAGGGAGGGGACTGGGGCGAGATGGACAGATAAACAGGGACGCGGCAGCAGAGTTTACAGGCGGCGAGTGCCGCGGGCTGCGGTCCCCGGGCGTCGTTAGGGCCGGCGCCCCAGGGAAAGGCAGGCTGCGTGGGAGGAACGCCTTGGTCGGATTCCGTAGGCGGCGGGCAGCCGGAGAGCCGAGCCCGCACGTTCGGGATGGCTGGACACGGCGTGGGCTGCAGATGCGTCCGATTAGACCCCACGTCCTGCTCCGTATTCTCTCCTCTCTCGGGGGAGTTTGGTCAGTGGGAGCCCCTCTTAATGTCCTCACGTTTACTTGGGTGTTAAAATTGTTTTGCTCAGGTTTCATCTCGTTCCCATCTCCACTATTTTTCATCCCATCATAAATCTATTTATTTCTTTGTTTGAAAAACAGAGAAAAATGGGTTTGCTTTCCCACCCATCCATGCATTCATTACTTGCTTCTTGATTGTGCCCTGGCCCGGGCTCGAACCCCCAACCTCGACGCATCGTGATGATGCTCCAACCAACTGAGCTGGCGCCAGGGACCCATCATAGATCTTACTTAATGCACCCTCCGCACCGTTTTAGTTGCCTGCAGGCATCTCCACTCTGTCTGTTTTGCCCAAGGGCAGAGCCATCTTTTTCAAAGGCACCTCGGACCACTGTTCTGCTCTGAAGTACCTGTTAGGTTCCCATGGCCCCCTGAGCTCAAGTCCTGTTCTTCAGCTTGGTGTGCAGTAGATGGAGCCCTCCACTGCCGCCTCTCACTCCATCCTGTTGTCCTGGGTTACCGCGCCCCGCCCCCACCTGCCTGGTCCCCGCTGCTCACTGCAATCTCCCCCAGGCTCTCCAGCCTCCAGGGCCTCGCCCACTCCATCTCCAGCCTGATCCGTCCTTCATTCATCCTCCTCCACTGTCGCCTTTTCTGTTGCCCACATTGGCTGACAGCTTTGGAATAAATTATATGTTGTATGACCTGACCTATGAATAATCAGCATTTTATCTGCTGTGATTCAGGCCTTGCCAGAGCGAGCGTTACTTACCAGATCGCTAGGGCAGCGCACCATGAAATGACAGAATGAACACACACAGGCACCGTAAGTTAAATAGCGCGTGCATTTGATCCACTGCGGAGACTGCATCAGATGCAAGTGCTGCTTGAGTACAACCAGCACCGGGAGGCTCAGGTGACCAGCAGTCAGCGCTGTGAACGGGACCCCCGGGCGCAGGGCGGCGTCCTACGGTGCGGCCCCGTGTGCACCTTCACAGAGCCACGCAGGCGCTGTGTCTGTCTGTCTTTGCTGGCTTTGGAGTGAGTTCCTGGCTCAGACCTTGTCCATGAAGCCTGTCAGTGACACCAGCTTGACTTCTTAGTAACAAGACCCTAGAAGACAGGGTTTTCATACGTTTTCCGTTAAAGCATTTACATCTCTGCTCTGTGTGACGTGACCATCTTAGGGACAGGTGATCGAAGCTTCATGTAGTTCACATTGAGGGCTTATATTTTGGGAATTATCGAACTCCCAGTTAACACGCCCCAAGTGCCGACTAGCCCCCTGCTTGGCTAAGTGCTGGGGCCAGCTGCCGTTGAGACACTGCAGTCACCCTGGTGAGCGCTTTCGGAATCGTCGGTCACCCAGACTGTGTCTCGACGTGTGTTGAAGGGCCTTGCCCAGGTCGCCGAGTAGTTGTGATGTGTATCGGTGATTAGTTAGATTCAGAGCAACTAATAATCGATTAGAAAATATTTCTGTTGCTCCTGTGTGAGCCAGTTTTTCTACTTCCCTGAATTCTGGATCTTTTGCTTGAGATGGTCCTTTGAGCTATTTCTTCTTTTGGGATAATTCACGCCCGAAAGGCACGTCTAATTGACTGGCTTCTGAAATCTTTGCTAAGGAGGCTTAGTCCATTAAAATGCTCCTTACTGTTTCTTCATTTTAACCAGCCACGTGGTGGGGGTGGTAGCGACTAGTTTTTCGGTCACTGTGCTGACTTTGGGACGGGGCGACTGCTGCCTTTTGTCCGAGCGGGGCCCAGTCTCCGGATTTCACATTTTTGCTTAGGTTAGTCAGCACATTCCACATCCCGCTCTTCTCTTCTGGAGCCAGGGGGGTCTCTCTTTCGTACTGTGATACAGTTTGTCGGCCTCTTTCGCCAGGTAGCCCTAGTGTGTGTGCCTCACACCGACGCGGGAGCTGCGTTCTGGAGCCTGCCCACCCTCTGGCCTCAGAGAACGTCTCCTGGCCATGGCCGCCCAGCCGCCAGCCCTGAGTGCTGGCCTCTGCGTCGCAGCCGCACTGAGCTGTGCGCCCAAGGAGTGTCCCGGAGGCCGTCGGCGCCTGTGGGAGGTCCCTGTGCTGTCCCCTGGATGCAGCACAACTAAGTCATTTCTAAGTTATGTTAAATGTAGGACTAAGTCGATGTTCTCTTGCATCTAGGTTTGGCCACTCTGTCCCTCTTTGTAGTGAATTCTTTCCTTGCTCACCAAGCACAGCGTTCGTTGTGTCTGGTAGAACGGTTCACTCGCTGAGTTGAATCGTTGTTCCGGTTTTTCTCCAGTACCTCTGTGTTTCGCATCTACTGACAGGTGATGGGCTTCTTCTTTCCGTCTGCAGCCTATGGTGGTAACCATTGCCTCGAAGGTCCTTTCTCTTTCTCCGATTTTCTCGTGACTTACCTGCCACGCTGTTTTATTTGCTCATCTCTCCAGAAGAGCCGGGTGACGGTCAGTGAGTGAAAAGCCACCTCCCTGGCGTGCGGCGGTTGGTGATGTGCTGCGAGAGCGGCGCCGGCGGCCTGCCGCCTGAGACTCGGGGCGCTTCTCCACGGCCGCGCTGGGCCGGTGTGGCTGGCGTTCAGAAGGCAGTCCCGCCACGCGCCCAGACACAGCACGTGGACTGGGCCTGGGGGCTGTGCCGTTTGTCGTCATCCTCTGAAGGACATTTTCCTCGTTTCCATATTTATATGGAAAATGAAAAGAAAAACATTAACCTGACTTGTCAAAATAGTGAGTTTGAAGTTTAGGATATATTTTTTTACTGTAACACTACATAGCTTTTCATTATATTTATTACTTTGTGAAATGAGAGGTAGTCTTTGCAGGAATTTTAAAAATAAAAACATATAGATAGATTGTAGTCTAAAAGTTTTGCTTAACCTGCTTATAACTCAGAATTCGTTGCTCCACAGAAACCATTTTGATAGGAGTTTTGCGGTTTCCACCCCAGTCTGTTGCTTCTGGCCACCTCTCACGTTCTGGAGTGTGGTGCAGCCGACCGGGGGCGGGGCGGCGGGCGGGGCGCCCCCTTCCCGTGCAGGCAGAACTCACCCGAAATTCTTGACTCCCCAGAACTGAACAGCTGGTGGCCTGCTGACCGGAGGCCTTACCGAAAACAAAAGCAACTCACGTGTGTTTCATATATGTATTATGTACTACATATAGAGAAAAGAAAATACGTTTTCTTCCTAACCCTTACCATTGGTTTTATTTTTGTATTTTCTTGGTTATTTTTGTCACCCGTATTAAGTGCTGTTGTTCACTTTTATAACCCACATAAAGTAGAACGTGCCTAGCAGATAATAAGCACTCAAGAAATACTCGACAAATATGTGTATGAAGACCTCCTATTCCCATGTCCACTTTTTCATCAATTACTAATTAGTCGTGCCCAGTGCTGGGGGACAGGGGGCATCCAGTGGGCGCCATCCAGCAAGACAGCGCGAGGCTAGCGGGAAGGAAGGGGGAATGGGAAGGTCAAAGGAGCCGGTCACTGCGCGAGGAGACACAGACGCTGGGGCTGACCAGCACTGTCAGGTCGCAGCTGCGAAGCTGTCCCGTCCTGTGTAATCTCTGAAAGGCCTCATCTGTCAGCACGTCGGGAGCTAATATATAAATATGACCTGCTGGTCACCCTTTCCTGCTCTGTATACTAGTTTTCTTAAAGGGATCGGCATGTCCACGAGCTGAGCTTTCTGGACAGATGGGATTTTATTAGAGTGTGTAAGAATCCCCTTTGTCGGGTGCCTGGTTGGTTAATTGAAGAAATTCAGGTTGGCCCCGGCCAGGCGGCTCTGCTGGAGCGCCCTGCCCTGCACCAAAGGGCTGCAGCTTTGACCCCGGCGGGGGGCGGGGTGCGGGGTGCGGATGGGACGATGTTTCTCCTTCTTTCTCCCTCTCTCCCCCCCCTCCATCCCCTGCTTCCTCTCTGAAATCAATAAACATACCTTCAGCTGAGTATTTTAAAAAATTAATTAAAAATAAGTTAAAGTAGAAAATTATTTTAAAATGACTCAGCAATTTCTTGTTTTGTTTTACCTCAAAACATAAAAGATTGTTTTTGCTAATCTTTTCATATAAGACAAGAGACAGGGAACTTCTTTAAAGGCCAGAGTGTATGTGTTTTTGGAGGCCAGAAGTTCTCCGTTACAACTCCTAGCCCATTGTTGATGGGAAGCAACCTCAGACAACGTGTACACGGAGGGGCAGGCGCTGGGCCCCGCGGCCTGCGGACAGGCCCCTAGCGCGGCCGGGGTTTTCTGTACATAAGCCCCCCCTACCCCCCCACCACCGTGCGTTGGCTGCCGGTTCTGGTTGGTTTCTTTTAAGTGAAGCCAGAAACACTGTCACATGGGCCTAGGGCGGTCTTGCTGAGCTTTTTGACCTCCCCCTGGTTCTTCACAGTTGTCCTGCAAACCTCTGTTGAGTCGTTCCAAGGATTTAGCTTCGGTGTTTATAGAAACAGCTATTCTGTTCACAGTCATATTTCGTTGCCGTTTATGTATGTGTTGGAGGCCGACGTACGTAATTATAGCGATAAGTAAAGCTTCCGTAAGTAAGTTTGATGGCACAGCTGGCGAGAGCCGAGGTCCACACTTGGGGGCAGAAGGCTGGGCGGCGCTCAGGGCCCCGGAGGCCGGGGTCAGCCGGGCCGTCAGCCTTAGCTCAGAGGCCTCCCGCGCATTTGCTGGGCAACAGTCTTGTTGGGGTGTTGGGTCGGTTGGTTTTGTTTTTTAACTTTCTCTCTCTCTTTTAAGGGAACTCATAGAAATGCTGGCAATTTCAAGAAACCAAAAGTTGTTACAGGCTGGAGAGGAAAACCAGGTAAGTGGCTTCTTTTTGAATTCAAAACCATACCAGATCCAAGGGTGATTTCTGCAGGTTTCCTATTTACTTCCTGTGAGAACAGAAAACTTGGATCTTTTTAAGTTACTAATTGAAACTTTTACATTGATAATGTGTATCATTTACATAAGGTAACAGTGTGCTGGAGAAAATAGTTGTCTAAGGGGTTTAACCCTATTATTTTCTGTTATCATTCTAATTACAGGTACACATTTATTGATTGTTATCTTTCGCATTGACTGTAAAGCCCTGATAAAAGGAGATAGGAACAGGCTCTGCGGGCCAGAGCCCTCCACCACTGGCCCTCGGGTGGAGCCGCTCTCCCGTGCCCCTGGCAGAGCTGGGAGGGGGCGGGAGCTGGGAGGGGGCGGGGGAGAGGGAGAGCCAGCCCGTGCTAGACGGGAGCCTAGAGGTTGTGCACCCCGGACTTTCTCTCTCCTGCTTCTTAACCTTCCTAGTTAATGCCAAAATGTGTAAATCACTCTTTCATTCTACTGGAGAGTACTAGGCATTAAATCACAGGTTTCATGTGACAGTTGTATTTTTCTAATACTAGCACAGATGTATAAAAATAAAAGATTTTTTTAAGTTCTTGGTGCCAGCTGCAATCATCTCAAGTACCAAGAATTTGAGGGAACCTCCACTGCATTATATTTTCAAGGATAAATGCCTAAATTTTGTCTTCCCTGGGAGATGATAAACTTACTCACTTTGGCATATTACTAGTTCTGAAAGACTTGTTTTGTGTGAAAGAAGAGCAAATAATTACAAAAAGAGGAAAATCTTAATCTTTTTTCAAAATAATTATAGACTATTTTTATTTTTAATTAAGATTAAACATATTTAGAGGTCTTAAAATTTTATAGCCCAGAAAATTAATAAATGGATTGTTTCATTGGAATATAGCTTTTTTATATTGTTACCTGCTTTAATAAACTGTTCTTTGACAGGTGCTAGAGTTGTTAATTCACAGAGATGGGGAATTTCAAGAACTAATGAAACTGGCATTTAATCAGGGAAAAATCCATCATGAAATGCAAGTTTTAGAAAAAGAAGTTGAGAAGAGAGACAGTGATATTCAGCAACTACAAAAACAGCTAAAGGAAGCTGAACAGATACTCGTAAGTTGGCAGTTACTTTAACAAAAGTACTGTTTGTTTAATGTATTTGTCAAAAAGATTTTATTTTTAGAGAGGTGGAGGGAAACAGCAGTGTGAGAAAGAAACATCGATTGGTTGCCTGTCACATGCACCCAACCAGCAGACCAAGTCTGTAACCCAGGCAGGTGCCCTGACTGGGAATTGAACCAGGACGATGTCCAACCAACTGCGTCACGCCATTCAGGACTGAATGTATTTTTCAAAAATAAGTCTTAAGTATTTTGAAGTGGCAGAAAGTTGATTTTCCAAGTCTGAAAGTGACTGCTTGTCATTGTGGTTTAATGAAAGGCCATTGTCATTTTCTTTTTTACTTACTGTGTCAGATTGTCTACATTCCTGTTGAACCACAGTTATATTTAAAGATTACCTAGGACTGAATTATAGAAATGAGAATCTTTTATCATGGTCTGAGTCAAGTTTTAGTTGTTAATATTCTAAATCTTTACTTCAGTTATAAAAATATTTCAAAATATATACCAATGTTAAAAACTTTATAAATAAATATTACATTATTTAGCCCTCCATCCTAAATTAGGTGGGATTAGGATGGCTGTCAGGGGCTCTCGTTTTTCCCTTTCTTCTTGGCTGCTGTTTCACAGGGGCAGTGCGTTTGCTCCCATTTGCCCACCTGTGTCACTGAGCACAGACTAATGTGACTGTTGTGTGGTGTTGCTGGCACAGCTGAGTTTGAGTCTCCTGTGGAGCAGGCAGAGCTGGCCTCTGATGAACCTCTTCAAAATGGGTCAGAAAGGGCCCCATGCGTGGAAGCCCGGGCGGTTTTAGTTAACCACTCCTGCTAAAGAAGCGACCCCAAGTAAATACTTCTTCAAGAATACATAATAAAATCTAGTTTTCATTAGGAAAGCAATACTTGCTTATCAAAAGATACCCAGAAAATGCAAAAAAGTAGAAGAGGATAAAATGGCCTTTGGTCCCTCTGCTCAAAGAGTGCCACTATTCACAGTTTGGTGTAGATGCTCTCAGTCTCAGGTCTATTTAATTTTTACCTTATTGTAATTAGTAGGGTACTACCTGGCTTTCTGTTACTATTTATTAAAACTTAAGCATTTTTCATATAATGATATCCTTCTGATTGATTTTCTAACTTTCTAACACAATGCTTTGATGAATATCCTGTCAGAAAAGCCTTTTTTTCCTTTTACATTTCTGATTATATCCTTTAGGTTAAGTTTTCAAACATAACTATTGAGTTGAAGACAGCGACCACTGGCCCTGGCTGGCGTGGCTCAGGGGATTGAGCACCAGCCTGCGAACCAGAGGGTCGCTGATTCGATTCCTAGTCAGGGCACAGGCCTGGGTTGTGGGCCATGTGCCCAGTAGGGGGCGCTCAAGAGGCAACTACACATTGATGTTTCTCTCCCTCTCTTTCACCCCCCCCTTCCCCTCTCTAAATAAATAAAATCTTCAAAAAAAGACAATGACCACCGGGTTTTACGGGAAAGGTAGTAGCAATGGGCCGTCCCCGGGCACTTGTGCCCTGGGCCCTGGGCCTGACGCTCCGCGGGCCTCATCTCAGTCTTCGTAGCGATTCTGTGACGTCGGTGCCCTTTCTTCATTTTGAAGATGAAGAAACCGAGATTTCACATGAACAGCTTCCATGTTCAAGGAGGGTAAAAAGTGGAGATGGAGTTTAAACCTAACTCTGTCTGATGCCGTGCTCTAACCACTGTGCTTGTTGGGATGCGTGTCCCAGCTCAGCTCATTTATACGCAGTGTGGGTCCCCTGGTGGGGGGCGGGGGTGCCCAAGAGCAGGCACGGAGCATGGGGGTGTTGTATTGCACGAGTGAGTGAGAGCATCAATCCGAGAGTGTATCTTGTAAGTGAAACAACGTGTAGGTGTTTTATCCTTGAACTAGGTGAAAGGATAGGCTGCTTTTGGGGTGGTTCGTGGTCTGGATCTCTTCTGAGTGATAGAGGACATAAAGAAAAACTGTTAGTAAACAACCCAATTTATACATTGTTTCTAACACCTAAATTGTGAATGAAGACTCATTGGTGGATACGTTCCTTTCATTAAATGTAACTGCGCTGTCATGTCAGGGATACCCACCGCTGTTTCAGAATATTAGACATAACTTGGGGGGATTTCCAAACTGGATATTGTTCCTGTGTGATAAACAATATTGTGAGTTAAGGAAAAAGCTGTGCTTAATGTAGTTAAGAATAAACCACTTTTCTCTTTAATGTTCTTTAGGCAACAGCTGTATACCAAGCAAAAGAAAAGCTGAAATCAATAGAAAAGGCAAGAAAAGGTTAGTACTCTGGGAACACTGAAGGACTCTGAAAAAATTCAACTTTGAGTCTCAACAAACTGATGAGAGTATTATTAGTAATCGTTTGCTGCTGTCAGAAGGTTCCATTCAGTTTCCACTGTGAAGCGTCTGCTGTGCCCTAGCGCTGTGCTTACATATCACGTCCTCTTTCAGGCGACAAGAAGCAGTGATGTCAGACAGGTTACCCCTCTGCACCCAAATGTGCAATAAAGGCAGGGGGTTCATCAAATTGTTGGGAGAAGGAAGAGAACTGTAGGCTGGAAGCAAGGAGGATTCGAACTGGGATTTGAAAGAGAGGACGGAAAACGGAAAGGAACATCCGTCGGCCCACTGTAGGGACAGAGAGAGAACGTCGTGCAGCCGGAACTGCGGCTTTGGGGTGCACCCATGTTGCGGGGGGCAGCAGCCGCGCCTGCCTCCCTGCTCCCTCCTGCTTCTCTCCAGAGGCTTCCATTTGGGATCCTTTAGTTTGCCTACTAAAAGCCAGAATTGTAATGAAAAGTCTGCTACCTCTTTTAATAGTACACATTTAATGATCTCGGTTTGTCTAAGTTTCCTCCTCTTGTTTCAGACAACCACCGTTAATACTTGGCATATGTCCTTCCAGATTTTTTTTTTTTTATATCTCTATAAACACATATAACAGGAACAGCACGAATGCATATGTGTACGTATATCCTAAAAAATCAGGTCGTGCTACACACGTCGTTTAACAGCTGGCTCTTTGGCACCTCGGGAGTGTGCTGCGAGCACCGTCCTGTGCGGCGCGGCGGCTGAGCGGCAGCGTGCGCCACAGCCCGGGCGGAGCAGTGCGCTGGGGGGCGCACACCCAGCGGGCACTTGCCGCTGCTTTCAGGAGAGCCCTGGTGTCTGATGGTTGATGGTTTGGTTGTGGTGCACTGTCCTGCAAGCCGCCCAGATTTATCACTGTAGTTATGTCAGCTGGTTTTTCTGAATGTCTTGCTCTTTAGTTTGGAAATATATATATATAAGTTTACAATATACGTGCAGGTATCATTGGGGAATGTGGGTAACTCAGATTATCTTCTTTTCAGGTGCTTTAAAATGTAAGTATTAGGTGTAGCTGACATACGCGTTTTTAAACGCCTGTGCTTGCCTGACTGAAATGTGCCGCTTGACTCTCGACTCCCCCAGGCGCCATCTCCTCGGAAGAGATCATTAAGTACGCGCACAGGATCAGTGCGAGCAACGCGGTGTGCGCCCCGCTGACCTGGGTGCCCGGTAAGCACTCCTCTCTCTGCGCGAGGTCGGTGTAGTTTTGAAAATTCACAGGAGACTGTACACAAAAATAAGAAAAAAGATTTAAATATAGAACGCATTGAAATGCAGAATGTATGTAACATCTGCATATTTTCTTATCTTTAAGGTTTTGTAAGAATATAGGCCATGGGTTTTATCAGTTTGGTTCTGTACAGCACTCTTGCTGCTATGGACTGTGTTTGGTTTCTTTTTAAAATATAACAATGAAGTGATAATTTTTAAAAGCACAAGATGTGATGATTCTAAAGCTATAGACGTATATGCCTCAGAACTCAGGCTGGGCACAAGCCAACTTCTGGAGCCAGTAGGGTGCCCGCAGAACGTCCTGCTCCAGCTCCTGGGAGATGACCATGGAGCCCGGGCTCCCAGCAGCAGGCCCGCCAGGCAGCGGGGGGGGGGGGGGGGCAGGAGCAGGAGACACCGCAGGGGCGGCTCCAGTGAGGAGCAGTGGGCTGGCCGCCTGTGGGAGATGGTTATCGCAGCCTTGGTGATTCCTGATGGTGGTTCTTTTAAGGGTAACTACACTGTTTGGGGTGAGTGAGTAGTCTGGAGTTTGTGAGGAATACTGTCAGAAAGTTGGTCCAGTCTGGTCAAGTTTTTATCAATCCAAAACGCTACCTAGGACACTTCTGTGGTTGGGAATAAGGATGATTGGCTCCCAAGATTGCACTGGAAAGCTAAGAAATTAGTCTTTAAATGCCAAGACGAAGAAGCTTGGTTAGAGAAAAGTTTTAATTTAGACAGCTCTTCGAGTAGCATTTAGTCCTTTCTATCATTTAAAAAAATGTGTGTTATGATCTATTCTCCTTCAGAATATGTATCATTTTCATACTAAATAATGGCAGGTGAGTTAGAAGAATCAAGATCTTTTTAACTTCATTTGTCATTTGGAATGTACTGAAATGACAAACTCTCCTCATGTTTTTAATATAGAGAATAGTGTATTATGGTGAAGAATAGTGTATTATGGTATTCAGAGAAGAAATGGAAATGCATGTATTTTTTAATATGTTGTCGTCTTGCCCGAGTGCTGTCCCGTGCACCGAAAGGTCGCGGGTTCAGTCCCTGGTTGGGGCGGGTTCAAGAGGAAACCAGTCGATGTTTCTCACATTGCTATTTTTCTCCCTTCTTCCTTCTCAAAAATCAGTAACTATATTCTCAGGTGAAGATTTAAAAAAATATATTTATATAAATATATATAATCGTCTTAGTAACAGTTGATAAGATGACCTCTGTGTTCCAAAGCTGAAAATACAGCTTGAGTTTTTCAAAGTGAACAAAGGAAAATCAGTACTTTATGGAGGCATTAGTGTTTATTTCATGTGTGATTAAAAGCCGTCTGTTTCTGGGTCTTCTTTTTAGGGGACCCACGGAGACCGTACCCAACTGACCTAGAGATGAGAAGCGGGTTGTTGGGTCAGATGAACAACCCGTCCACGAACGGTGTGAATGGCCACCTGCCCGGGGACGCACTGGCCGCCGGCCGGTTGCCAGGTAGGTGATGTCTGCGAGGGGGAGGCTTCCGGGCAGGCTGAGGGCCCGGGCCCAGGCCGCTGTGACGCTGGGGTCTCTGCCAGTGTCCCTGCCCCCTGCTTACTCTGGTTTAAAGGCTGTTCGAGACGGAGGTACGAAATGGAGTAAACTGACTTTTCTCTCTCTCATTTGTTAACATGCCATTTTCCTCAGGCATTAATTAGGCCTCTCTCTGATCATTTTTATTGTTCTAAACAATTTTTTTAATTGTGAAACACTATATAAACAGTAACAAATATAGATGTTCAGTTTAAAGATTATAAAGTGAATACACTCCAAAGACCCCCGAGGTAACAAATGAGTAACAAAACTTTTTACAGGCTTTTAATGTTAGGAAAGAGCAGCTTTGTGAGTCTTGGTTTTATGCTGAGCTTTGACCTTCCTCAAGGTTTGCATATAGGTTTGTGCTATTCTTGTGTGTATTTTATGTTCCCCACGTTTTATCTTTTGTAGAAGTTTGGTAGAACATTTAAAAAGTTAAAGGAAAAAGCTATCCTTTTCATCAGTCACTTTTTAATATTTTATCTACTTCGTTGTCTTCCCCTGTAATATTTACATCGTTAGAAATGTGCTCTAGATAAAGACGCGTTTTCCCTTGGACACCTCGCCGGGAGCAGCGGCGTGTGGCGGCCTGGAGCCCAGGCCGGGGGCCCCTGAGCTTCCCTTTCCCTGGTAGCTCCCTGCTGTCCCCGGCCTGCATCTGTCCTGACAGTAGGGCCGTGACAGATGCGACCCTGGGAGCAAGGCCCTGGAGCCAGGGTTCCGCCCACCCCCACCCCGAGGCCTCTGTGCGGATCATGAAGTAAAGGGGGTGTCGCTGTGCCCCCTGGATGGTTGAGCAGTGCGATGGGGGGTCACAGGCCAGAGCCGGGAGGCAGGAAGTGACCCACCGGAACCCCAGGAAGACTGGCCAGAAAGCCACCCTTTGGGGTGATGGGGAGACTCGCTGCCACCCTCGGGACGCCACTGACACTGGCTGGGAGGTCAGAGGTCAGCAGCCCGGGCCCTGTGCCGCAGACAGGCCTCAGAGTAAGAGGGAGAGCCAGGGTCTGGCGGGGAGATGCCAGTCCCAGGAGAAGCCCTCCAGCGCCCTCTACTGACAAAGCCCATGTCGCGGCTGCTGGCAGGGGAGCGATGGTTTCAGCGTCCAGGGGGAAGCGTGGAATGGAAGCTTAAATGGTAGTTTAAACTTGTAATAGGTGGTGCAGTATACAGTAGCTATTTATGTATATAAAGAATATACAGGAACTTTTCAAGATGGTGGCAGAGTAGGTGGATCTTGTACTCACCTGCCAGGGCCAGACTGGAAAGAAAACTACATTGGGGAACAGTCGCCCTGAACAGCCAGCTGAAGACGGGCTGAAGGGAAGCCTCCCAGCCAGGGACTCGCAGTCGAGGCTGCGCCGCACAGCGGCTCGCGCGCCGGGGCCAGGCCCCCAACATCCGCACGCAGGCGGGAGGCACCCGGGGTTCCGTGGTTACGAGGAGACGTGTCCTTCTTACGCGGGCCTCTTCCTTCCCTGCAGATGTCCTGGCTCCCCAGTATCCCTGGCAGTCGGGTGACATGGCAATGAACATGCTGCCACCAAACCACAGCAACGACTTTCTGTTGGAACCTCCGGGGCACAACAAAGAGAACGAGGACGACGTGGAGGTGATGTCCACAGACTCCTCCAGCAGCAGCAGCGACTCCGACTGAAAGGCCTCGGAGCGGAGCGCTCTAGAAGCGTCTCCCGGCCTGCAGCACGCGCCGGGCCGTGCTGGCTGTGTCGGCATCGTGCCCCCGGTCACAGTCACAGTGGGCCTTCTTTTTAAAGGCAGAAACGTCACGATTTTCGTTCTAAACCATTTGGTGACTGTTAGAGGATAATCGAAATTTCCTGTCAGGGCAAGAAGGATTGTTCAGTTCAGGGCCGTCTTACCCTGCTCTGTTCCGGTTGTGTTGGACCTGCGCAGAGGCTCCGGGTGTAGGGTTTGAGGGAGCCGACCCACGTACACACCCTAATAGGCCTCCTGGGGCATTTAGGAAAGATTTAGAAAAGGCAGCAGATCACAGAATGTGCATCACATTAAGACAGCGAAAGCCCCCATTGAACGTGGAGGCTGCGCCCTGGCCGGGGGCGCGGCTGGTGAGCGTGTCGCCAGGATGCACCAGGGCTGTGGGTCCGCCCCCTCAGGGCGCAGGCGACACTCAGCCGCTGAGGGCACCAGTGAGTGTCCGACAGGCCGGGTGCCCACCCGCCGCCCGCCCCCGCTGCTTCTCTTTAAAAAATCAGTCAATTAAAACAAAAAGTGAAAGTTGTTAGTTTCTGTCAACAGGAACAGGAGAAATCGCCTCAGTTTGCACTATTTGTAATTAGTTATTTCTGTAAATAAACTAATTTATTTGTACTCTTAATGCTTAGTTTAGTTTAAATCGCCTTTGGTGTGGGCTCAGGAAAGTCTTCCCTAAATCCAGTTGCGTTTTGTGCATCACTGGTAGAAACCCGGAGACCGAACTTGACGGGGTAAATGCTGAACTCGTCGCTGCCAGCGGGTTTCTGAAGGGCTCGCACTGCCGCTCTCTTCGGAAGAAAGAATGAAGTGTTTTTAAAAAATAATTTTTAAAACTTACCATGATAAAGTCATGTTAGGAATAAAAAGACTTTAGAATGTAAAATACTGTCTGTCTTCACCTTGCCTTTTACTACAGTTCCCAGGAAGAAACACTTTTAACCACTTTTTATTTCTGATGGTTAACCTCCATGTTGAATAGTGTATCAATCATCTCTTGATTTATCCATTTTAGAATATGTACCTTATAGTTTAGCTCCTCAAACATTCTAACATCAAAAATGTGAAAATGAGACAAGTGTTAAATTATACAATGTACACACATACAAAGTGATACCCACGTACTGGAAAAAGATTCTTGCGCAGCATGTGGTTACAGTAGCACCTGCGTCTTTTTAAAGGAAAAGCTCCAGTGTGAGCAGGCAGGGTAGGAGAGGCACGGGCCTTTCCGGAGGGGGCTCGTAAAGGAAGGAAGTAACTTGGGGTCTGATCCAGCAGTTCTTATTTCAATCTCTTTAGATTCTTAAAAACCACCGAGTACCCCAAAGAGGTTTGGTTTTTGTAGCCCCTTATCTAGTGATACCATGTTAGGAACTAAAACAGAAATACTAAGAACTTTTTATTTATTCATTTACAAATAAAACTCATGACAACATAAATGTAACGAAAAATGATGTCACAAAACAGAAGAGTGTCGCGCTCTTACATTTTTACAAATTAATGTCTGGTTTGATAGGAGAGGGCTGGATTCTCACGTCTGCATTCACATTCACTCTGTTAAAACACCACGTGTCACGTAGCGCCGGGAAAACACCCCTGCACTGGTAAGAGGAGGAGAATGAAGAGGCAGCCACATCTCAGTGTCGGCAGCTCGGAGCCCTGGCCGGGCGGCTCAGACGTTGAAGCGGGTCGGACTCCCTGTCCGGCACACACCTGGGCTGCGGGTTCATCCCTGGCTGGCCGCGTATGGGAGGCAACCGGTCAGTATTTCTCATATCCATGTCTCTCTCTCCTCCCCCCTTCCTCTCAAAATCCACAAACATATCCTTGGGCGAGGATTTAAAACAAGACAGCTTTGATCTTGCATATCCTCCGAAGCTCTGAAGGACATCCCCAGACCACACTGGGAGAACCACTGCTCTGTAATCTCCTTACTTCACATGTGAGGGTGCTGGATCTCACAGAGGTTAAGTGAAAAATCCAGAATGAGGTTACCTGCTGACGACAGAAGACAGATCCTACAACGTTTTTCTCACGTCCCTTGGTTTAGGTTCCCATTGAGAAGCCCAGGAAATACACCCTCATAACCTGTCCTGTTCACGCTAATGGCGAGGACTATCCAATACAGCGATATCCTCCAAAATCCTGTCTTACATAAAACAAGAGGAGAACCAACAATATATTCTGCTACAGGCATACAGTGTTGGCATTTGAATTAGGATCTCTATCTGAAACAGGTAAATTCTGCACGCCACAAAAGCTGGTGAAGACAAACTACACAGTAAATACCAGAGAAATATGGAAAGATTAATCACAGTACCACCATTTATCACATTTTCTGTGTCTGGAATACCATTCATAACATACTCCAGGAAATTTTTCATTAAATACTGGCTGGAAGGGTGGTAGGTGCTTTAAGAAACTTAAACTGGCAATGATACGGAACTTCTGAGGTAAAATGGAGTTGTTTTGAAACATATTTTCATTCTCTGGGCCTAATTTTGTCTTTTTTTTTTTTTTTTAAATCAGGTAATCTTGTTCATCCACAGATGGTTTCCTTTGTAGCCTCGCAGATGATCCAGCTCTTCCTTAAACGGATCGTAGCCTTGTTCCTTCAGACACCGCAGCGCCCAGAAAAGCTGGTCCAGGGGAGGAAATTCTTCCCAAGGAACCCACTCCCAACCTAGAAGAAAAGACACCACATCGATGTATTTAGTTAAAGGGAAACAAAGGTTATTTATTTTGACAAATTAAACTTAAAAAATGAGTTATATTTAAAAACAATTCGCTACTGATGGAATGCCATAGCGATGCTATGCATTCTAGATGGCTATCCGAACCACTTCACCTTTAGCATGAAGATCTTAAGAAGAGAATGGAGATCATTTAAAACATGCCATTATTTGAACATGGGGTCAGGTTTACAAGGCCCACTTTATGGTAAACCTAGATTTAGTATGATTCAATTTTTAGTTAAACACGTGGATAAACAAAATGCACAGCACTTGATACACTAGAGGTTCCACCGCATGTAAGTCTACCAGTTTCCTCACCTACAACATACATCGCAACATTTCTGAGCTCCCTGCCATCTCTGAAAACAGTAACAGAAGACAAGAAAAAATACTCTGTGCCATGATACAACATAGACAAATACAAGGGGGCTCAATTTTGGAAAAATCTATTGAAGAAGAAAGATACGACAGTGTCTATTGTAAAATACACGAAATCCTAGAGGAATCAACTCGGATTTGGTGCTAGTAACCTTGGGGCTTATAACATCACCCTGCTTGAGTTTAGGGAGTGGTATTTTCTTTGATGATTTAAATGTAAATAACATGAAAGCACAGATGCTCCTCACAGGTGAATATATAAATATTGTGGCATGATGTACATCCCATGTTCTAAGTTTCTTTATGACTCCATGAATATACCTATGTGTGAGTACTGTTTCTTCCATTAACTCCTCTGCCTATTCAAACACAGGTATGCCATTTCACCTCTGGGAAGGCGGGGGACAGAGAATCCATGAAATTGGAGTAAGTTCGGGAAGGGCTGATCAGCAGCTGGGAACACACACACACACACACACACACACACGCTCTGATCAGCAGCTGGGAACACACACACACACGCACGCACGCACGCACGCACGCACGCGCCGGGAGGGGGAGATTGCCCAACAAAGCACTGCAAGATGCTGCATTAACTGAGTCTCGGGGAAGGTGTCTGTAAAGTTGACCCCATCTCCTAGCAAAGAAGTGTCTGGAAGACCCCAGGGTTAGTCAGGTGGTTGGGGCAGGCGGCCGGAGGACGGAGGCGCTGACCGGTAAGCTGAAGCAGGACACCCGGATCCAGGACCCGATGAAGATGCGACAGACGCTGCATCCCTGAACCCGCGGTGATGTCCCGAGTGACAGGGATGAGAGAAGCATCCTTGTTACCCGTAAAACACCCCTTTCAGCCGTCCCTGAGTCAATGCCAAGCGGGGGACTGGTGGCCGGAGCCCCGAGACAGCTTCAGGATGTGGGCTGGTCACCAGGAAGACCAAGGCAGGCGTACAGAGTGGGCACTTTCAGCCCTACCCCCAATCTCGCCTTTGGGGAAGGAAGGGGAAGTTGAGAGTGAGTTAACCTCCAACGGACAACCATGTGATCAATCCTAAGTTCTTACGTGATGGAACCTTCATGAAAACCCTACAACACTCAGCTTGGAGAGCTCCCAAGATGGCGAGCACATCCAGATGCTGGGAGGGGGGTCCGCCTGTCCAGGGAGGGCACAAAAGCTCCTTACGCCTTCCCCACCCCTTGCTCCATGCGTCTCCTCCATTTGGCGGTTCCGGAGTCACATCCTTTATAATATACGGGTCATGTAAGTGAAGTAGTTTTCTGAGTTCTGTGGGCCATTTCAGCACATTGTTGAACCTGGCAAAGGGGCTGTGGGGGCCCCCGATGTAGAGTTACGGGGTCAGAGTTACAGGAGGCCAGGGCTCCTGCCCAGGGTTTGAAGTGGGGGCGGCCCGTGTGGCTGAGCTCTCAGCGTTTGGTGTCTGACGGTAACTGCAGAGACAGCGTCCGAAGTGAACTGCATTATGGGCCAGCCGGTGGGTTTTTGCAGAGTTGGAGAATTGGTTGATACGAGGGAAGAACCCACACATTCGGTGTCCGAAGTGTTATGAGTAAAACAGCTCAGCTCACTCTTTGTGAGTTCATGTTAGGGGATTCCAAGTGGTTATTTTATCTAAAACATTTGTTTGACTCAAGAGGCCTTTGGTTAGAACACGCCCTTCTGTTCTTTCGATTGCACCCATCTCGGAAACAGTTAAGACATGATTCATTCATCCTATAAATAGCACTTCCTGCAGGCCTCTGCCTACCTGCCCCTTCCGAGGCCCCGCCTGACCATGCTGAGCCAGCACGCGGGCACCACCTCCTACACAGCGTTTTCTTCGTCCTTATCACTGTGTCCTTATCACTATTATCATACAGCATCTGCTGATTTGTTGCCTTTCGCCCTGTTAAAAGGTCAAGTCCAGGAGGGCGGGGACTTCACTCCGCAGGCCACTGCTTCTCTAGTATCTGCCTAGAACAGCGTCTGGCACACAGTGCTTGTTTGATGCAAAGAATCTTCCATATTAGAAACAAAATTAAATATTTACAGGGTAGGTCCAGCACATGAAGTCACTTGAAGTCAAGTTTCATATGGCGAAAAACCTATTCGGTAAATCTGCTATTTTTCTTTTTAGTTCCTTTTCTATTTACAAAATTTGAGGAGAGATGATACATGCAAAGCCCTTGCTTAGAACACTGGTTAATGTGGAGTAAATAATAAATATCAGTTATTGCCATTAAAGCTTTCAGACCACTAGATTCCACACAGAGGGTAGCAGACAATGGTTTTGTCAGGCTAGCCCTTCTCTATAAAAGGCAGTTCTTGCCTCTCTTGCACAGGTGAGAAAACTCAGGAAGAAGGCACAGTAAATGTTTTGTTTAAAATCATAGTGTACAGAAAAAAAAAGAACACTAACAATAAGGCTAACATTTACTGCTTACTGTGTTCACTAGGTTCTTAAACGTAGTAACTCATTTGCCACTAACAATCACCCATGTGAGATAGTTACTATTATTACTGATGAGAAAAGAGATATTTACATGTCTGTATGAAGAGAATCTAATTCTCCTCCCTACAGGGAGACGTAACCCTCCTTCAGGTGACAGACTCTCCTTTAAAAAAATGCACCATTATAGATAATTCTCTTACTTTCATTTTTTTCAGGCTCTACATTCTTTGGTTCTGAGTCATAAGTCATGTCCACCTCTCCTTTCATTAATATAGTGACGTAATGGTAATTCTCTTTCTCGACGAAAGAATTCACAACCGAGGCAAAGTGAATGTTTTTCAGGCGAAGAGCTGCTTCTTCCCAGGTTTCCCTCTGAGCGCATTCTTCCCAGCTTTCCCTGGAAAACAGAAACACACTATTGGATTCCATTCCATTTATTTAATTTATTTCTTTGCCAGAGTTCTTGGCTAGAAATTTCTAGTGGACGGCAAAAAGAACTGTAATTGGTTCATACTTCAAAACCGTAATTCAAACCCTGCCTTGAACATTCTGTGTGTCCCGCATCGAGTTATGTGAAGATAAAGTGGGATCCTTTAGCCGGTTCAGTGCCAGTTCCGAGGCCGGGAGGCCGTTTGCAACCAGGAGGCCGCTCGGTGTGTTAGTAAGAGCCCAGGCTTTGAAGTCGGCCAGACCTGGGTTTGAGTTGGAAGTGCATTCCTCTCTACCATGGATCAGTAAAAAGAGAATAATGTTAGTGTCTCATGGAGTTGTTGTAAGTATATCAAGAGGGGGACTATGTCTTTTCCTGTGGTCTCAGACTTCAAACTGAGACCAATTCCTCCTCATCCCCAAGCGGACAGCAGGGCAAACGGGTGCCACGAGAACTGGCAGGTGCGCTAAGGAAGGCCAGAGCGCCCCCACCCAGTCCGCACAGAAGGTCAGGAGATCTTGGGGAGGCAAGGAGGCAAGCTGAGAGTGCTCCGCCGGGCAGGCACGTTCCCCTTTCTCCTGATGCGGGGCCAGCTGTGCCCCGAACCGGGCGAGGGGCGCCCGGGAGAGGCAGCCCTGGAGGCGGGCTGTGACTCCCAGGAAGGAGAGGCCGCCTGTGCCACTGCCCTGCTGAGGACACGGGTGACGAGGCACGCAAACTCTAGGCCCACGCCAATGCGTCAGAGTGGAGGCGGTGGGAGGCTAAGTCTGGAATGTGTCCCTTGGTGTGCAGGGATGCTTGTCCCTGAGGCTGATCTAAGAGATACAAACTCTTTTCTTAAATGTTACATATATTGGTGCATAGGTTCAAGGTCCTGTCTGGCTGCGCACTTGGATGTGACTAATGTTAAGCTATAACGTTTATGCCATCAGTTTGGTTATAACGCATGTTTCGTAAGGGCGTGTATCTCTCGGATACAGGCGCCCCCCCCACAGGGTTGTGAACGTCGAGGCTGGTGCTTATCCCCACTTGGGACTTTGGAGGGAAGGAGACTGGCCGGGGCTGCCCACATGGTTGAGCAAGGAAAAAGGGCAGCAGCAAAAGCATTATTCCCACTGGGAGTTTCTTTTGGGCCAGGCAGACTGGGGGGGGGCCCTGGCAGAAAGAAAGTGCGGGGGTGGGGGGGCACACTGAAGCGAGGGCGGGAGGAGGGGAGCCAGCGCCGGGATGGGTCAGCCACCTGTGCAGGCCGCCGGGCAGCGCGGGAATCCCTGGACGGCTTCCAGGCAGCCAACAAACATACCCGGAGAAGGCGAGCACACATGCCAACCCTGCTCCCAGAAGGCACCCGTGGATCGATGACAGCAGCACAGTCCTGGAAACGGTTTGTCCCCGCCCCTCCTTCTCCAACACACTGTAGAAGGCAGCAGCCCAGACCCGGGAGAGGAGGAGGAGGTGGAGAAAGAGCGAGACAATGGCCCACCCCCCTCTCCCCACCTCAGGGGAGAGGTAAATGCTCAGAAGTGGGTCATAAACGCCAAAATGTGACTTATTTTTATAATCAAGAGACAGGAAAACAACAGAATTTGCAGGAAACATCATGGAGCAGCAGAAATGGGAAAGGCAAATTATGCTTGAAGATGATGGAAGGAGAAAATAAAGCATTTCCTGTTTGTTTCCCATCAAATTTAGTCCACCCAGTAGGCCAGTTATATACAGATAAGTAAAAGCTTACAGGTGAAGAGCTTAATATCTAGCACTTAGTAAAAAGCTCACTAAAGTTCAACGTTGGCTCTTATCAGTAGATATTTACTCAAGACTCCAACATTATCTTGTGTTATTGTTAAGATAGCTATCTCTAGCCACTGCTCTAGCAATTACACACTAGGTAGAGTGGTGCTTAGTTTGTAAATTTGGCTCATGCCCACTGACAACTGACCAACTAACATAGTGTGCCTGTGTGTGCAATTTGCTTCTTAACCTAGATATTTATTAACTGCTGACTTGTCTTAAATCCCTGAAAATGATAACCTTACCTTACGCTTTTGGGGAGCTCAGTTGGTTAGAGCACCCTCCCAATACGCCAAGGCTGTGGGTTCAATCCCCAGTCAGGAGAGCACACACAAGAAGCAACCAATGAATGCATCAATAAGTGATACAATAAGTCAGTGTTTCTCTCCCTCTCACCCCCCTTCCTCTCTCTCTCTAAAATCTATGTAAAAATATATTGATTTTTAAAAATTAAAAAATAAAATTCTGAAGACTGTTTCAAAAATTCCATGTGCTAAAAGATTGCAAGAATTCCATAGTTTATGAAGAACAAAGTCTGATTAAAAGGCACTAGGATCAACCCTTACTTCTAACTACCACCTTCTAAGAACTAGGTGGGCACAGCCTGGGGACATAGCCTGGGGAAAGGGGGAGGGAGGGTTAGAGATTTAAAAACTGTATTAATCACATACAATATGCGCCCTTCCTGCTCTCCATTGGTACAAAACAGCAAAAAGACATTTTCAAGACAGTTGGGGAAAACGGCACAGACTAGATATGACATTAAAGAATTACTTTGCTAGGTGTGAAAATAGCAGTGTGGTTGTGTTTTTAAGTTTCTTACAGACACACACTTAACTATTTCGGGGTGGTATAATAGGATGTCTGCGATTTCCTTTGCAATGGTCCAGAAAACAAGGGTTGTGTCTGTTGGGGATAGCAGTAAAGATGAGACAAGAACAAGCTGAGTGACAGGTACAGAAGGACTCACTATTTTCTCTGTCTTTATATATGTTTGGAACTTTTTATACTAAAGGGAAAACAAACACTGGGTCTAAATGTTTGAGAGGCCGTTTGTCTGCTATTAACTTGAACCTTATTTTCACTTCGGAAGGCACCTTTTGGCACAATCCCAGGCAGAACTGCCTCTGAACTGTCCAACTTTCTTCGTCAGTCTGATCATGTATCATCCAATCACAGAATGCCGAAGCACAGAGGGACTTCCGAGAATACGTCGTTCTCCTTCCCCATTTCAAAGATAGGGAAACTGAGGCCCAAGGAGTTTCATTAGCCAGCAACCGGACCTAAACGAACAGGAATTATAAGTACACCTGTGTAGGTTTAAATCACCAGGAAACCGATCCAATTGACCACGCTGGGCTGCCCGAGGTTTACAAACACCCCCTTTGCGTCTTTTCTGTTTAAGCACTTTAAGAAAAACAAGTCTCACAAATCAACTCTGCCGCGGCAAAGCAGACGCAGAAATACAAGGACAGAGTAGGCAACGGGACAGCTTTTCACCGTGGTCCCGCTGATCGCCCCGTGTCGCCCGGGGCCCCCGAAAAAAGCCACAGAGGGCGCGAGAAAGGACGCGGCGTCGCGCCCGCACGCACGGACGCGCGCACGTGCTCGTTCTGCCGGGCGCGTTCCGCTTTTCCCTGCTCGGCCTGGGGAGGCTGCTTACCCGAACTCCAAATGACCCCCAGGAAGTTGGAAACTGCCAGCTCCGAACGACCCTTTCCTCTTTCCCAGGAGGACGCAACGAGGATGCCTGCAGCTAGTCACCACTACTCCCACCCCAACTCCGGGTCGCCGCGCGCGCGGCTCTGCGTTGGCGGTCATCGCGCTCCGGGAGTCGGGGAGCTGCCGCTCTGAGACATTAGCCCCGCCCCCAGGGCCGCCACCAATCCCGTTCTGAGCCGGCGCTGCGGTGAGTGGCGTTAGCCCCGCCCCCAGAGCCACCACCAATCCTGCCCCGAGCCGGCACGGCTGGGCGGGCCTCTGCGGCTGGCCTTCGGTGCTTCGAGTGTCAGTTGCATCTAGGGGTTTCAGCTTGCAGAGCGTGGTCATTGCTCCCGAAAGGACTGGGTGCCAAGGGCTTCGTTTTTTCTAACGTCACTCACTCACTGTTGCGCTTTGAACGTTTCTTTACTCGCAGATTCCTCCAAACGATGCATTCACCAGCCACCTGTGTATAAGAACCTGAGCCTTTACACATCCTATTTTTTCTTTGATCTCCATCGAACTCATTCTGCGAGCGCAAATCAGTGTGGTACCATGATAAGGACACTGTAGAAACACCCTAATACCAACAACACTATTCACAAATCGTGGGGGAAAATAGGGCTAAACAATAAATTGTTCTGGGAGTTTGTAACCTATTCTGGGGTAAAAAACAGACACTGTTCCAGTTGGCACACCTTGAACCAACACAAAATCCCAGCAGAATCAGAACTGAACTTAAACTAAAATTCTTCCGCTGGATGGGGAGGATTTAGTTTTTTAAAAGATTAACATAAATTGTTTTATTTCTACCAAAATAATGTGCACAAAATTTACAAAGGTCAAACGAATGGCACAAAAAAGAATGGCAAAAAGAGCAATCTTACCCTCTAGTTCTCTTTCCAACTACTTTTAAATCTTTGAACTGTTATTTGTGATACTTGTTTACATATTAAAAAAAGATATGTCTATTCTGCATTTTATAGTAAATGAAGGTTAATTAAGGTCTGTTATAGCATTTGTCTTTATTCCCAGAAATACAAGTTTGGTTTAAAATTTGAAAATTGGACCAGTGTAACTTACCATATTAACAGATGGAAAAAGAAAGCACATATAATCATCCTAATAGATGCAGGAAGAAATTTACAAATTTCAGTACTCAATCTATGATTAAAAAAAACAAAACAAACTTGAAGCAAACTAGCAATAAAAGGGGATTTCAACAACCTGATATAGGGCATCTTTGAAGGTCTACAGTTGACATTATATTATTGTTATGGGCTGAATCACACCCTGCCCCAAATTCATATGTTGAAGTATAATGTGACTGTTTTCATAGATAGGATCTACAAAGAGGTAATTAAATTAAAATGAGGTTGTTAGGGTGGATCGGAATCCTGAATCCTGTGCGACTGGTTTCCTTGAAGAGGAGGAGGTTAGGACAGACACTGAGAGGAACCATGTGAAGACATGGGGGAGGGGGCGGGGGGGGGGGGGGGGGCACGGCCGGGGGGCGGGGGGACAGCCAACTGCAAGCCAAGGAGGGAGGCCTCAGAAAAAACCAGTCCTTTGATCTAAGACACTTTGATCTTAGACTTTAGACTCCAACATTGAAGGAAAAAAATGTTGCAGTGCTTTGTTATGGCAGCTCTAGCAAACTAATACAGTGGAGGAAGACTAAGATTTGAGAGGAGCAAGGATACCTGCTCTCAGAACTTTTAGTCGTATTTCTGGAGGGTCTAGTTTGTGCAACCAATAAAATCAAGAAAAATCAATAAAGATAGTAAAGCTGGAAAGGAAGAAATAACTTTTTATTCATGGATTAATCTGTTTCATTCTGCTAAGTGAAAGAAACAAGGTATAAAAGACTGCTGTATGATTCCATTTATTTGACATTATGGAATAGGAAAAACTTAGACACAGAAAACAGGGCAGTATTTTCTGGGGCTGAAGTTTCACTATGAAAGGACTTGAGGGATTTTCGGGGTGAAGGAACTGCTCTGCCTCTCGATTGCAATAATGGTGACGTAGTGACCTATTTCAAAATTCAAAGAACTGTGCGCTAAAATGGGTGAGTTTTACTCTGTGTATGGTAAACCTCAATAAACCTGGCTTTAAAATGAAGCAAAATTTAAAAAGGTCAATGTGCACTTGCAGAAAGAAAACGTCAAGATGCACTTCAGCAGTGGAGTGGTTCAAGAGAGTGCAAAGCTAAGCTGTCAAAAGTTGTCCTCCTTGTGGGTGGAGTTGTATCTTTGTGGACTCTGACGTTTCTTGGGAGGCTGGACTTAGGGGGAAGCAAGCTCCTCCTCTCATGTGGCCTTGGAGGGTCTGGGGAGCCTGAGCTCTGGAGGAGCTTGTGGTGTTCGTGGTCCCGGACATTCCTGTTAAGGAGAGGAGGCTCCTCCCGAAACAGTAGGATGTCAGGGGCTGGAATGGGTGGGTAAGGAAGGTCCGCCTATGACATTCAGAATTCACGTTCAGTAGCCAGTTTAAAGTTTTTCTTCTTTGCACTGTAATTTCATTTTACTCCCCGAAGCCTTCAATAGAGTCTGGTTATGTGTTATGGCCAAGCCTTAACTGTGCCTCAGAGAGTTGGAGGAGGCCCGGGTCTGCTCTTACATTAAAGGAACAAAGAACAAAGAGCAACACGGAGGTTGGGGAGCCTGCCTTTGATCTCCGTGTCCACTGTAGTCAGAATAGTGATTAAGACAAGTGCCCGAAAAATGAAGACTTAAATGAAAGCTTCTCTTATAATGAGCATAATAAAATAGTTTCAGTGTACTTCAGCACGCTAGAAAACAAATTTCCCCCAAGTTTTTATGCTGCATGTAAAAACGTAACATGATCCATGATCCACATGAAATACGAGTGTATATGAAAGGAAACAGGCACCAAGATGACGTTTATGCATCCTGCGGGAAAAGTATGAATTGGCCCAGTCAGCTGTTACAAACTCTAATTGGAGAGTCCACAATTCAGATTTTCCCCTTGCAGGGTTCCCGGCTAGTGGAACAGGATAGACCGCTAGTTATTGCAGCATTTGAAGCAGACAGAGTCCCTTACTGTCGCTTCTCCTTCCTAGTTTATCCAGATTCCGAGCTGAAGGGTAGGGTAGCAGGCATGGGGGCCCCTCCCTACCCAGGCCCAGGTCCTTACCAACAGCACCATCCCCCCCGCCCCATGTACCCAGGACGGTTGCCCACTCAGCCTGCAGGGCACCAGCTCCCTCAAAACTGCCTACTTCGTCTGGCTCCAAGACAGCCTTATTTTAGTGGTGATTTATTGTTTATTTTCCATCTCCCTTCTATATATTTATTATTATTGTGTCAGCTTTTTCCCTAAGGTTGTCTGCTACTACTTCACCGTTTACACTAAAGCTAAGACCAGGCCTAGAAATGAGTTAGGAAGCATGCCTGCCCTTCACCCTCCTTAAAAGAATCCTAATAGTCGTAGGTTGTAAGATGGAATGATACAGTTAATGTAGATGCCGTCTAATTTCTCTTTCCTTCCTCACCTCCTCAGGAGCCAGGTTTGGAAAAGAGCCACGATAGCTGGATTCCTTCCTTCACCCCACGCTGCTCTTGGCAGCCCTGTGCCAATTGGGTGTGCTTAGTTCTTATTCCACACTCAAGCCTTTGGCTTGAACTCACCTAGTTTCTCTTTCTTTCTTTCCATCCTGTTCCTGAGTTTGATATTTGAAGCTGTGTGAAACTCAGGAACCTACCTGTGGTTTTATTTAGTATGGTATGGTACGTATTATAGCAGGGTAAAAAATTTAGCTTAAAGGGCAATTAAGATGTGCAAATAAATAAATAAATATTTTTTCTCTTTTTTCTTTTACTCTTTACTTTTAAGAAGTCTGATTTTTCTCACAAAACTCTGTCACTAGTTGGGAGATGGGTCTGTGAAGAATTCATTCAACATTCAGCCCGATTCAGACAGTCTAGTCTCGTACTTTAGAACCATTAAATCACATTCAGTCTGTCGTGGTTCAGCTGGCTCGCCTGCTAGTCAGCTTCCCCCTCCCTATTTTTCGCCTAAGATCTTCAGATGTGTGAGGTTGAGTGTTGGAAACCATCCACCTGGTTTCAGGGACTGTAGCCTGCTGACAGGCGAGAGGGCCCCAAGGCTGGAAATAACCAAGGAGGCCTTGGGAAAACAGGCCGCTGAGGAGATGAAACCTGTGCCCCTGGCCGGGGCGCCGGCCCTGCCTCCCTCCCATCCCCGTGCTTGGCCCTGTGACGGTCGGTTGTTGATGATGGGGAAGTTCTCTCACGAGGAGAGACGACCTAAGACAGATATTGGCCGGTATGCGCAGCAGGACAAGGACTTGGGGGGACACGGAGAGAGGGCAGAAAGGCCCGCACCCCTCGGCTCGGCTCGGACACGGCCGGAGTCCTCGTTCCATCTGAAAGAAGTCTCCTTATCTCTTGGTGGCTCTGCCCCGCCTGCTTGGCTCAGGCTTGAAACAGAACCAAAGGCAGGCACAGCCCTCAACTGGATCAGGTGGTTCCCGGGGAATAATCAGGCCTAGAAATAAGTTCCCCTAAGCCTGCTTTGTTCTTCCCTCAAAAGCGATGACTGGCTCATACCGGGAAGGAGGTTTACGTTATTCATAGACCCTGACCTGAGGCAGATCTCCTGTGTTCCTTCAGTTGCTATCTATGATCTCTATTTTCTGTGAACAGACTTTTGACATTGATTGATGAACTTTGTCGTATGCCCCTGTGCACATGGTTCTCAATGAAAGCCTTTGGACGTGGGGGTGGGGGCACTCGGGGCTTCTCCCCTAAAGAGAAGAGCCCTTTCCCCTCTCCTGGCAAACAGAGAAATTCTTTGTGCTGACTCATTTTGTTTGCCCCCTTCCGTGACAACCCTGGGATGGGCTCTGCAGGATCAGAGCCCTCGCTCCACCTCAGCTGGCCCTGGACAGCGGCCCTCAGATCCGGGAGCCCCCGCGCCCTGCAGCAGTTGAGCTCTTCGTCACACTTTGGGAAGACAGTTTCCTTGAATTCATTGGTGCCCAGGGACCAGGCAGGTGAGGCGTTGGGAGCCCACATGTAAGAACCAAGGGTGGCAGAGAACGCCCACCCCCCATCGGACCATACCTTGTCACCACGTGTGTACTGGTTCAGGGGACCTTCAAAGCAACCCCCTCTCAGAGGGAAGGGTGATGAGGCTGGGACGGCCCAAAGGAGCCACCTCTGCTTTCAGCATTGCCCACACTCAGCTTAGGAACCTTCCTCCTCCAGGCTGAGGGTCACAGGGAAGAAAAACTGACATTTCACGCGCAGCTCTCCCTAAGGGACAGGAAGGAAAAGGTTGCCCCCTTCCATTCTTTAAAATCTGTAACTTACAGTCTAGCCCTAGTCCTTCATATTCTTAAGAAAGACATAAAGGTCTGACCTGCAAGCATATTGCCTTATGCCATAACCCTGTTTTGAATGTTAGAAACTGAATAGTATATTGGTCTCCTTGCATTTCTTTAATAAAAAGGCTAATTTTGTCCCTCCAAAATGAATATATCACACAGGTATCAGCCTGTGGTAGATTACAGGTCATATTGGCCAAATTTGCTCCTCCTTCCGTTGAGAAATGGAATTTAATCTTTCCTTTGAAACTGGGTTAGCCTTAGTAACATTCTTGACCAAAAGAATGTAATATAAAAATGATCGATTATTTCCCAAACTAAGTCATCAGAATCTTAGCAGTTTTTCCGCAGGTATGGATGGATGAATAAGCAAAATATGGCATATGCATACAATATTATTCAGCCTTAAAAAGGAATGGAATTTTGACATCATATAATGGATGAAACTTGAGGACATTTTGCTAAGTGAAAGAAGCCAGACATGGAAAGACAAATATTGAATGATATATTTAGTTTTATGTATATTTTATATATGTTGGTGTATGTATATATATATATATATATATATATATATATATATATGAAAGAGAGAAAGAAAGGAGTCACTCACTGCCCAGTTGGGAAGAGTGTGGTTAGCCAACATTGACCAGCTGTAAGTGCCTTCAAGTCCTTCCCCTAAGTGTTTGGACTGAGGTCACATTCTTCTCATGGTGTCCCCCAGCCAATAAATTGTTTGAGTCAGTGGTGCAGGTCATTTTCACCCCACACAGAATTCATCTGTCAGGCAGTCTTGCCCCAGAGCTCCTTATTGGGCTAGCAATCGTGGCCTCTGGTGAGGTTATCCGCTTGATGGTACCCCTGCCCGATATTTCTCTCTCACTTTTTCTAAGGAAGTATTACTCTCTGATAAACCTTTTGCACCCCTAACTCAGACTCTACTTCCTGGGGAACTGATCTAGCACAATTTCATTAGAAAGGACTTCCTTGCTCCCCTGCCAATTCTACATAAACTTTAACCCTTGCCCTAATCCCTTTTTTTCTTCCATCCTACAAGTTTATTCTATATGATTATGTTGGTTTTCTTTTTATCTCTTACCACACTTAAAAATAAATTCTTTGTTCATTTATTATTTGTTTCTTTGCCTCTATCCATGATTCTGTAAGCTCTGATAACAGAGGATATTTTCTTGTCCAAATCAGTGAACCTAAATAGTAGAGCACCTGACATTTGCTAGCCCAATCACTCAGTAAATATTTGTTAAATGCATGTTGCCTGAATGAATAGAGTACCTGACTTGCCAAAATTCCTCTTTCATCCTAGGGAGGAACAAAAGCTTTGTAGAAGGAACAGGGGCTTTGAACAGAGGCTTGCATTCAAATTCCTTCCCTGTCCTTGTGTATTAGTTACTTTTGCTGCCTCAGAGAAAAAACAGAGAGGAAAACATGGATTTATTGTTCCACTTCTCTATGCATTCATTGGTTGATTCTTGTACGTGGCCTGACCAGGGATCACACCCACAACCTCAGCTCTTGGGAAGATGCGCCAATCACCTGAGCCACCTCGCCGGGATTCAGTACTTGTTCTTTGAATGCACCTCATCTTACAGATGAAGCAACTGAGACTCAGCTAAGATCACACAGGTGGAGGTGCTGGTTGTCCTTCCATTACCTTTCACTAGGAAACGTTCAGGTGCCCTCTGGCCGCAGGATATCGAGGCTGCGTTGCCCAGTTCCAGAGATCAAAGTTCGCCTAGTCCTGCTTCCCCTGAGCCAAGCAGTTTCTGCACTTGCCCCTTGCAGGGCGATCCGCACCAGCCGGGTTAACCGCCGGCCCCGCCCGCCGCGCGTCCCGAGCAGCTGCGTCGCGGGCGCCGCCTCGCCGCGCCTGCGCAGGCGCCGAGGGGTCGGGTCGGACGCAGAAATGGCGGCCTCCATATTCTGCAGCCGGCTGCTGGCCGCCGCTCCCCTGAGGAGCCGCCCGCCCCGGGGGGCGCTGGGGGCCGCCGCTCAGGTACGGAGCCCGGCCTGCTCTTGCTGGGAGGGCCGGGGGGAGGAGGGGCGAGGCAGGAGAGTCGGCTCCGGTGGGACAGGTGGGGAGGGCTCCGAGGCCCAGCTCAGGGTCACTCCCCGTCGGTGACATTGGCTGACACAGGGCTGCCGGCTCTGCGGGCGGCTCGCCCGGGACTGCGAACAGGCTCTTGTCTGCGTCGCTTGGTTCCCGCCCTCATCCGTGAGGAGCTTGGCAACCTGGCTGCTGCTGCGCCCCCAGGTTCGAGGGGGCGGCGGGGAGCCGGGGTGGGGTTCGAGGGCAGGTGCGGGGGTCGGGCGGCTCCTTCTGCTCTTCCCGGCCCTCGCGGCCCGCGTTGGGGACGGGGACGTGCCCTTCAAGTGCACTTGCTGTTCCTGGGGAGCTGTCGGACGGAGGTGGGGACCCGCGGGGCGTGCTGGCTGGGCTTTCCTCGGGCGAGTCTGGGAAGTTCGCTCCTTCCCTCCCCCCCTCCCCTGAGCCGTCGTGTCCTGCTGTGTCTTTGCCATCGTGTCGGCAGTAAGATGATGTTTGCCAGGCTACCCGCTGGGGAAGTGAGAACGTAATCTTTTGGGTCCCTTCATTTTGGGGCAGACGATAGCGTCATGGCCACAGGTTTGGTTTGGTTTGGTTTGGTGTTTTGCGTGTTTCCGTGTGCCTGGGATGTGCTAAGCATTTTGCGTGGAGTCTCTTCCCAGGCTTTTCAGCAGCTGCAAAGGGAGGCCTTCGCATCCGCGCCACCAATGAGGAAGCTGTTGCCACGAGATCGAGTAATTGGGGATGGACGGGGAATAGGTACAGTCAGGGCTTAGGTGTAATTCCAGAACTAGGTAGGTAAGGTCAGAGCTTAGGTGTAATTCCAGAACTGTTTGGCTCCAAAGCTTGCGCGCTTGAATCTGCTCTACAGTTTTTTCCAGGATGTGAGAGTGGGCCGATTCTTTTCAACATTGATACATTGAAACCTGTGGAAGGGCGTGGTTGGCTTTGTAAGAAGTAACTCCTCAGACGGGCCGTAAAGGAGTTCACTTTGACCATTGTTTTTTCTTTTAAAAGCGGTTCCTACTTTCAACCTAGAGGTGGTGATTTTCGCGACTTTGCTCTCTAGTAGGACTCGCACCGTATGAATTGTAAAGGGCACTGTCTAGTTTTTAGAATGTGATTTCATCGTAATCATAATCATCATCCTTGTGGAAATTACTTTGTAAGCCTTTATGTCTCCTTCTTCTACCCTCACATCAAGTAAAGTGGCTTTAGAGCTTGAAAGGACCTTGGTAGTCTCTCCCCTTGCTTTTGTAGATGAGGACCTGGAAGTGCAGGGTCCTAGGAAACTTTTTCAAGGTCACACATTGAATTTGGTAGGAAGGGATTATCAAAATACTTAAGATTTAAGATGACGGTATAAAAGCTATCAGCAGTATCCTATGTGTACTCCTAATTCTCTGTAAATGTAAGTATTTGAAAGAAACCATACAAATACACAGAAGTCTCCCCTTCTCCGTGGGGATACATTCAAAGACTCTCGGTGGATGCCTGAAAGCACAGATAGCACCAAACCCTTAGATGTATTGTTTTTCCCTATACACACATTCCTGAAATAAAGTTAATTTATAACATAGGCACAGTAAGATTAACTGTAGTAGAACAATGATCATACTATACTTACGAGCAGTTAGGAGCGGTTTGGGCCATTGCTAGGTAAAATAAGGGTGGCCGGAACACAAGTGCTGCGATACCATGACAGTCGACCCGCCAACCAAGGCGGCTGCTGAGTGACCAGCAGGCGGGCAGTGCGGACAGTGTGGACGTTCCCCACAAGGGGTGATTCTCGCCCCAGGCTGGATGGAGCGGGACAGCATGGGATTGCATCCTGCTGCTCCGCGTGGGGAGCAGTTTAACACTGAACGGATTGTTTATTTCTGGAATTCGCCACAATACGTTCAGACTGAGCTTGCCCTCTTAGTTTCTCCCTGACACGGCAGAGCGCGACACCGCCATGGAGAAGGGGGGGCTGCTGTGCCCGGGAAGGGGATTACTTAGGAGGAGCGCCTGAAAGAGGACAAGGCCGATCACCGTCCCGAAAAAGAGCCTCACGGGGGAAATCTGCAGGGAGGTGGACTGGGGCCAGCGCCCTTGGGGGAGCGAAGAGGAGGGAGGAAGCTCGACTGCAGCGCGGCGGCAGGGGCCTCTGCTGGCCCTGTGGGAGATCTGCGGCCCCGCCAATCTGAGTTGTCACAACTGGGGCGAGGCACCAGACCTTCCCACCCCTCCCTGAGTCCCCATGGACCAGCGATGGGATGCAGGCTGGCAGTGTGAAGGAGGCATGGCTTTGGGCGAGGATGTTCCAGCGACAGGACTCCGCTGAGGGCTGCCGTAGCCCGCACTCCGGGCAGCTGGGGTGGTGACGGCAACGTCGTGTGCAGGCTTCGGAGGCTGGCTCGGATGAAAGAGTAATGGGGCCAGATTATTTGGTTTTCACACGCCTACTCCCAGGCAGTTTGTGGGGGAGTGGTGGAGAGCAGAGAGTGGGAAGGATTTTTAGTTTGTTGGGAAAGATAAGATCTGCTGAATTTGGCCTTGTGGTAGAAATGCTCTGTAGCTCATTTGAGATAAGGTAGTAAAGCTCAAATTAAAGATAAGGAAATAGGAGGAGGAATCAAAAGAAATGATGAGGAAATAGGTAAAACTGCAAGGGTAACATTTGATATTTATGTGGCAGATTAGCTTTTAGTTTTATGTTGTAATTTAGGAACTGTGAATGTTACTTTTTATTGAGCCTAATAGGTTTATTACAGTTATGAAGAACCAACTACTCTATAGAAACAAAGTATTTTGAGGACTCTGGCCAAGATGGAGGCATGGGTAGATACACTTTGCCTCCTCCCACAACCAAAAGAAAGACAACAACACATTTAAAAACAAAAAATAACCAGAACTGCCGGAAAATCAAATTGAATGGAAGTCCGACAACCAGGAAGCTAAAGAGGAAACATTCACCCAGACCGGTAGAAGGTGCAGAGAGGACCAGGTGGGCGAGGCAGTAGCTGGTGGTCTGGGCAGTCCCACATTTGAGTGTCGATAAACCTGGAGGAACAGCCAGGGAGCGAGACAGACCGCACAATCCAGGTCCAGTGCAGGAAAAGAAAGCCTCAAACCCTCTGGAGGTAAAAAGCCTGTGGGGCTTGCGGCAGTGGGAGAAACTCCCAGCCTCGCAGGAGAGTTTGTTGGAGAGACCCACAGGGTCCTAGAACATTCACAAACCCACCCACCCAGGAATCAGTGTTAGAAGGGCCCGATTCGCTTGTGGGTAGCGGGGGAAGTGACTGAAAGCTGGCAAGAGCCAAGTAAGTGGCATTGTTCCCTCTCGGACCCCTCCCCCACAAACAGAGTCACAACACAGCAACCTGGGTTGCCCTGCCTTGGCAGATACCTACGGCTCCCTCCCTTGCAATGTAGCGTGCACTCTGACAAAGAAACGTGGCCCAAATGAAAGAACAGATCAAAGCCCCAAAAATAGAACTAAGTGACAAAGAGATAGGCAATCTATCAGATGCACAGTTCAAGATTCTGGTAATCAGCATGCTCGCAGAAATGATTGAGTATGGTCGCAAAGTGGAGGAAAAAGTGAAGGCTATGCAAAGCGAATGAAGGAAAAATATACAGGGAACCAACAGTAAAGGGAAGGAAACCGGGACTCAAAGCAACAATTTGGAGCAGAAGGAAGAAATAAACATTCAGGCAGAACAGAATGAAGGAATAAGAGTTCAAAAAAATGAGGAGAGGCTTAGGAACTTCTGGGTCAACTTTAAACATCCCAACATCCAAATCATAGGAGTGCCAGAAGGAGAGGAGGAAGGGCAAGAAATTGAAAACTTACTTGAAAAAATAATGAAGGAGAACTTCCCCATTCTGGCGAAGAAATAGACTTCCAGGAGATCCAGGAAGCTCAGAGAGTCCCAAAGAAATTGGACCCAAAGAAGCACACAACTAAGGCACATCATAAGTACGTTACCCAAATTAAAGATAAGGAGAGAATCTTAAAAGCAGCAAGAGAAAAGGAGACAGTTACCTACAAAGGAGTTCTCATAAGACAATCAGCTGATTTCTCCAAAGAAACCGTGCGGGGAAGAGGGGCTGGAAAGAAGTATTCAAAGTCCTGAAAGTCAAGGACCTGCATCCAAGATTCCTCTACCCAGCAGAGCTCTCCTTTAGAATGGAAGGGCAGATAGAGTGCTTCCCAGACAAGGTCAAGTTAAATGAGTTAATCATCACCAGCCCTTATTACGTGAAATGGTAATGGGGCCTATCTAAGTAAAAGAAGATCAAAAACTATGAACAGTAAAATGACAACGAACTCACAATTATCAACACCTGAACCTAAAAGAAAAACAAACTAAGCAAACAACTAGAACAGGAACAGAATCACAGAAATGGAGATCAGAGGGGAGGGGGAAGGGGGGAAATGGGAGAAAAGTGCAGGGACTAAGAAGCGTAATTAGTAGGTACAAAATAGACAGGGGGAAGTTAAGAATAGTCTAGGAAATGGCGAAGCCAAAGATCTTATATGTACAACCTGTGGACATGAACTAAGGCGGGGGGCACGCTGGTTAGGGGGCGGTGCAGAGGGGGAGAAAGGGGATAAAAAAATGGGACAACTGTAATAGCATAATCAATAAAATATATGTATATTTATAAGAAAAGTAATAATTGGTAGTTACAGAATAATCATGGGGATGTGTAAAGTACAGCATAGGAAACAGAATAGCCAAAGAACTTATGTGCGTGACCCATGGACATGGACAAGTTGTGGGGACTGCCTGAGGGAGTGGAGGGGGGCAAAGGGGGAAAAATTGGGACAACTGTAATAGCATAATCAATAAAATTTTTAAAAAAGGAACAAAGAAGGTGTTTTTAATAAGAATGACTATCATATGTAAATATATCCCCAATTTCTTTAGGTTCTGGGAAGCTCTGGACTGTTCAACAGCCATGGACTCCAAGTGCAGCAGCAGCAGCAGAGGAACCTTTCCCTACACGAGTACATGAGCATGGAGCTGCTGCAAGAAGCGGGAGTCGCCATTCCCAAGGGACACGTGGCCAAGTCCCCAGACGAAGCTTATGCCATTGCCAAAAAATTAGGTACTGGATTAAAAAGCTCATGCCACTTTGACATGGCAACTCTGAGAAGATGTGAACTTTAGTTTTGGTTTAATAACAACTTTTAGTTTTCATTTTATTAATAAAGTTAAAAAGTAAATTTTGTTTACTTAGAAGGCAAAACTTTATGATTGTTGACATTCTAAAATTATTATGAGATTATGAGCTCTGATAGCGCTAGTAACTTAAGAATCACAGTGGCATGAGGAAGCTGAAGTCCTATTTATAGTTGGACTATGATGGATTGAGAAGGAAATTATATTTACTACTCCATAGTTTATTTTTTTCTTATTTTTAAGAGGTTTTATTTTTTATTTATTTTTAGAGAGAGGAAAAGGGAGGGAAAATGAGGAAGGGAAACAATGTGGTTGCCTCTGGTGTGCCCCCAACTGGGGACCTGGCCCGCAACCCAGGCCTATGCCCTGACCGGGAATGGAACCGGTGACCCTTTGGTTCACAGGCCGGCTCTCAATCCACTGAGCCACACCAGCCAGGGCATATTGTTCCATAGCTTAAAAGTGTGGCTGCTGTGATGATTTTTCAGAGAATTGGTGAAAGACAGTCTTAGCTGTTTATGCAATTGTGAAGAGAGGGCCAATATCTCCCCACGCCCAGTGTTTTTGATGTAAAAATATATGGAGCCAAGGGGAGAAAAGAAAGTTGAGTGCTAGAATGTACGCTCTATAAGAACAGGGTTTCCTTGTCTAATTTTGTTCACCGATATCTCCCAAACTCATAGAGTAAGAGTGCCTGACACTTAGGTAACCAGTAAATATTAATAGTTATCAAATGAATAAAGTATTTACCTATGTTTATTAGTAGGTTATTTAATTAATAACAAATCTTAATGGCTTTTGCTAATTTGAATTTAATCTCTTAATTAAAACATAAATTTTGACTTTAGAAAACAAGCTTCAGTTTCATTTTTAATGATTTAATGCAAGAACTTAATAATAAGTAATATATTGGCTATGTAGTATGTTTTCTTTTTCAGCAGCACTTAAAACTCCACCAATATCTTTGTGGGTTAGCACAGTTAATTGCTCTTGTATGTACCATTGATTATATGGCTTTAAATGTACTTTGGTGAAGACTATTTTATTAATTTTTCAAGAAAGATATGGCACATTTTAAAATGTTTCAAAAAATTCAAAGTTTCATCTGTGTTTGTACTTACTTGTTTCTAGAATGGGCTTTTCTTTCAAAAATGAGGGCATGTGCACATCCATAAAGTTGGTACATGTTATAAACTGTTTTTAAATGTGGTAGTCATGACTTCCTTGATTCGGTGGCATGATTTTTCATTTGTAGTTTTTTTGTTGTTGTTAATCAGAGTGCAAGCAAACTTCTTTTTATGTAACAAAAGCCTTTTTATGTTCATACTAATATTGGTGAAATTTTTGTTAATTACTGATGATCTGCAGTTTGAACTCGTATATGGTAAAAGATGCACCTCATTGTTATGTTTGAAGCACCATATATGAGTCTCTTCAGGGTCAAGGCTGAAAGAAAACTCATGATCCTACTCTATGTTTCTATATTCTTGCCAAGGCTACTTTTTAATAACTACCTTGGGATTCAGTCTTACAGATATGACATAAATGTTAATTTCTAATGAAGACCTACTAAGAAAGAAGGAACACTTGGAAATGTAATCGAGAAAGTATAAGTTTTTTTCATTCGATCCTTGTGTCCTTAAGGATGAATTTCCAACCCTTTGACTTTCTTTTTTTTTAAATTTTTGTTAGTTTAATCTCTTGAGTGATATTTTGTTTGTTTGTTTGTTTGCTTGCCAGTTCTTTCCTTCGTAATAATGTTGGATGTTTTCCAACCCAATAATATTAATAGGGCCTGATTTATATATAATGAAGCCAGTAAAAGCTATTTCTTTTTCTATTTTCAAATTTTATAATTATTATAACTTTTTTTAAAAAATTTTCTATACATTTCCTCATTTAGTCTTATTTCACTGTTTTATTAGGAAAAAAATAATTTGTAGAACTTTAATAAAATGAGTAGGATTTATTAGCCAATTTTTTGAGTTCTTTACTCTTTGTAAAACCTTTAATGATTCTTAGCTATGGAAGAAAGAAGAGCTGTGTTTAAGTGTAACAAAACTGTGATTATTCCTGGCTGGTTCTCCAGGACCAGGACTTACAAGGAGGAGGGAGCGCGGGGGACAGCTCTGCTTTTGAGCCCCGTGGGCAGACAGCACCTAGTTTGTCTGCAGAGTGCGTTCTTGCTGAGGAGCACTACGGACGGTGACTATAGAGGGCTTAGTGACGAAAGAGGGACCTGCCTGTACATCCAGAGGAACAGAAATGCTACTTTTTAAAGGATATGCTTAGCACCAACTGTGAAGACATTGACAGTTTTTCTGTTTTGCAGCCAGTCATTGATATCATAAGATACTGATTATGGGATTTAGTTGTACGAGGTATGGTATGAGGTACCTTAGAATTGTACCTGGTGTGTCCATCAAACTAGCAAGTCCCAATACTGATTTTGGCTGCCTCGGGGTGATTTTGCTTCTTGAATTACTGCAAAAGTCATAAAATGCTAATGCGCATTTCTTAAAAACGGAAGCCGCCGACATTCTCGGGGGCGCGCATCGCAGGTGCCACAAACTGCTGCTGCGCCTCGGCCCTGCCGGTCAAGGGAGAAGCTGAGCCGCACAGCTGGGGACTTCTTTTGCAGCAAGTCATCAATATCATAAGATATTGATTATGGGATTTAGTTGCACAAGGTGTGGCACCTCCTTTTTGATGACTGACTGCTTTTTTCTCTCGCCACTTTGGAGATTCACTCTTTATCTTCAACCTTTGGCATTTTAATGATGACGTGTGTTGGTGCGGTCTCCTTGGGTTTACCTTGTTGGGTCTCTGTGCTTCCTGGGCTTATGTGTCTGTTGACTTCTCCAGGTGAGGGACGTTTTCTGTCGTCATTTCTTCACACAGGTTTTCAGTCCCTGTCTCTCTTCTCCTGGTATGCCTGTGATGCGAAGGCTGTGATGCTCGATGTTGTCCCAGAGGCCCCTTAAACTAACCTCTATTTGGGGGATTCTTTTTTTCCCTGTTCTGATTGGGTGTTTTCTGTTACGTTGTCTTCCAAATCACTGATTTGATCCTCTGCTTCATATAGTCTACCGCTGATTCCTTCGGATAAATTCTTCATTCACTTACTGTATTCCCAATTTTTGACCGGTTCTTTTTTATGTTTTCCATCTCCATTTTTATGTTTCCTAGATCTTTGTCAAAGCTCTCATTGAGGTATCTACTTCTCCCAAGTACGTTGACCATCCTTATGACCACTATTTCGAACTTTGTATCTGGTAGATTGCTTGTCTTGATTTTGTTTAGTTTTAGTTCTTCTTCTGGAGTTTTGTTCTGTTTTTTTCTTTTTGGGACACGTTTCTGTCTCCTCATTGTGGCTTCCTCCCTGTGTTTGTTTCTGGGCATTAGGTAGAACTGCTACGTCTTCCTGTCCTGCAGAGTGGCCTTACGTGGCAGGTGTCCTGTAGGGTCCAGTGACACCATCTCCCCGATCGCCTGGGCAGGGCGCTCTGGGGTGCCCCCTGCCGCGGAGCCTGGAGCGCTGTGGGAGGGTCAGCGGGCTGGATTGACCCTCGGGCTCACTGGCTGTGAGGACTGCCCGGGACTGTAATGGACGAGCTGTTTGGGGCTCTGGAGTCTGCCGCGTCCACCCCATGGGTGTTGCTCGTGGAGCTAATTGGGTGGTGCTCCGGGTGCTTGAGTTTGTCCTGCGGCCTCCTGGCAGAGGGGTTCTAATGTAGCCCGAGGTCAGCCACTGCCTGTGCCTGGCTCAGGGGCACCCGGCATGAGCTAGAAAGTGATGTGCAGGTGACTGTCACTTGTCCTTGGGGATACCGGGAGGAGGCTAAGCTGCCAACCAAGGCCACTGACCATGAATGTGGCCTTCCCGCCGCTTTGGGAGAGGTCCGAGGCACACCAAGGCCAGTCGCTGGGAACGTTGGAGCGGCATTAGGCTTGCGGTGGAGTGGAGACAGGCGTCTGTGTGGGAGCCACTGGGGCAGGCCCGCAGGTGGGGCCGGTTTTACCCAGGGGAGGCCGGATTGGGCTCCTGTCTGCATGCGGGCTGGCTGCGGAAGGACTTAGCACAGGAACCCGGGTCTGTCGGCACTTCCGTGTGGGAGGAAGCTGCGCCTCCAGCCCTGACCGTTAGGCCGACAGTTCAGCTCCCACCCGGCGCTTTTTCAGCCGCCGCCCAGCGCTGGGGCTCAGAGCGACAGAGGCCGTAGGTAAGTCCTCGTCGTGCGCACAGACGCGCTGTGCGGCTCACCTGGACTCCAGCAGCCCTTCCTGGAGCCCTGGGGGGCTGGGGGGGGGTTTGACGAGAATAAAAATGTAATAAAACTAACCGAAGATGGCAGGACAGGTTCTTTTGCTCACTGTTGTAGCCACAGCTCCAGCACAGTGTCCTGTACGTGTACGGGGATGTAACTGTTGAATGAAACAATGGAATGGAATAAAATCTTTGTTTCAATCAGTTGTCCGTAGACTTATGTTCTAATCCTTCTCTGCATGTTGAGAGTTTATGAGCCTGTGTATTTATTTATTTTTATATTTATATTATAGTATATTATATTTTAAATTTTTGGCCTTGTGAAGGGCTTTTTAGAAGCAACTTCCTGCAGCATGACGTCTGCCTTTAAGGAGTTCATACTTCTAAAGAAAGGAAGCTGATACTTTGGAGGACGAGCCTTCTGTCTTGTAAAATGTTTTTGGAAAGTGTTAACTTCCTAGTTTAATGAATAGGAATGCTTCAATTTAGCCCTGCAAAGGACCTATTTAACTCTTGTCCATTTTTACATTACGCTTACAACTGCTTGAATTATAGTTATTATCCTCTTTGAATATAAATGAATATCTCTGAAGTACCAGAAAACCATACGTTGGCAAGTAACCAGGAACAGGGAGAATGGCTCGTGGCTGCTGCCGTAGTTTGGGTGTGTACTTGCTAAATGGCCTTAGTCCTTTAGGCTCTCTCGTCGTCTTAAGAAAATTTTTGTTAGTTTTAAGGAAGTGTCTAAGTTTTTTTCTAATCTTGATCTAATATTTAGTTGTTACACTTGGGAACAGTGGGGACTATGGCAGAGTGACAAAGGTCCGTCTTGTGTAAAGGCACTTACAATCAGCTCTAATTTCAGGGCCAATATTTGCAGTTCTGAGTTTTCTTAAGAGCATGGGAAATCAGTAAGGGTTCTCTCCGTTTTTAAATACATATTTTTTTATTGAACATTACGTGCTAGGAGTCCTCCCAGGAGCTTATAAATATCAACGGACACAACAAAGATTCTACACTTCTGAAGCCTATGTTCTAATGGAGGAGCAGAACAGTAAACATGAGAAAGCATGTATTACATTTGAAAGCGTTGACTTCTGTGGAGAAAACAGTAGAGCGGGGTGGGGACGGTCACGGGTGCATCTGGTAGGGTGATCAGGGTAAGCCTCTTGGACAGCGGGAGACTTAAAACACTTGAGGGGTGGGCGTGACGACCTTTCCAAATGGACACCTGGTTAACGAGGGGTACGGCCAGCAGGGAGCGCTCGAGCCCCGTCCTGCGGGCAGGAGCACTCCCGGCGCAGTGCAGGCTGGTGCGCGGCGCGGGAGGCACAGCGGGGTCGGCGCGGGGGCCTGTCCGGGGCCTCGTAGGGGCCCCAGCGCGGAGTGAAGGGGCCCTTCAGTACCAGGTTTTCAGTAGAGAAGTGAGGTGCTTGTTCGGGCTGCTGCTTTGAGAACGTTCTGTCCAGGAGAAGGGTGATCTAGGTGAGATGCAACGGTGGCTGGGACCAGGGTCCAAACTAGAGAGGATTGGAGTGGTCAAGGTTCTAGATAGATTTTGAAGGCAGAACCAAGTATCATTTCCTGACTGAATGGATGTGGGGTGTGAGAAAGAGTCTATATGTTTTTTAAACAAAAACAACCCCCCCCACCCCCCACCTTTCTGAGTCATAGAGACATTTTCAATGTGGACCCATTCACATCATTAATTTTCTAAACATTCTTCTGTAATAAGTTTTTAAATCCTCACCTGAGGATATGTTTATTGATTTGAGAGAGAAAAAGAGGAACATCGACATTAGAGAAAAACAGCAATCAGTTGCCTCCCATATGCACCCCACCCAGGGATTGAACCCGAAACCTAGTTAAGCTCCCTGCCTGGGGATCGAACCCGCAACCTGTCATTGCACAGGACGATGCGCCAACCAACTGAGCCACCGCGCCAGGGCTGTAATAATTGTTTTAAATGTAAACTTTAGGTCATTTCTTATCTGTTTGGTCACAAACTGCACTTGCTACCTCCTTGAGTAGGCGGGGGTCCCCTCATTTTGCTTGGCAGTGCATTATGGGATGACTTTCCCATCCTCAGCCTGTTCAGACGCACGTTGATGGAGTACGACCCAGGGACTGCTTTGTGCTAGGGATGCAACAAATACGGCCGTGCACTGAACCTCCAGCACAAAGGTTAATTGTTTGCTGTAGTGTGATAGGGCCGTTGCGCTGCTTGTGCGGGTAAAATTCCGAGGAGCCCACGGAGCGGGCCCCGGAGCCCTGCCTCTGGCGGAGACCGAGAGGCCCTCTACGAGGTGTTGCCCTGGGAAATGAGTGATGGGCCGCAGCTAGGCCAGACAGCGAGTTTGCTGATTTTTCTCCAACAGGTTGGGAAGGGGAGGAGGAGCAGTCAGTCTGTCAAAGAAGAAACATTCAGAGTATATAGCAAAGAGTGTTTTTACACTTTATAAACATAAGATTCTGGAATCTTTTGATAGACATACCTCCGCTTCTGCTAGTACTCACCACAGTGCCGCTCACAGATGTATATTCATGGGCTTCCTGTTGGCAGGACCATGTAAGCGGTGTGAACAGTGTAAACAGGTGTGGGTGCCGGCCCTTTCTCCTGAGGCCGCGGGGCACTTCTGCTCAGTGGAGCCTTCTGACTCCGGCTTTCACGGGGGAGCCAGTTTACGTGGGCCTAGAAAAGGAGGGGCCTGTTAGGAAGGCGTTTGGGTCTCCATTTTGTACTTCTAATACCTTCCAAAGTACTAGATACTTAAAGTTTCAAGGAAAGGTAAAATTACTTTCAGTATGCTTTAAAAATGGTTTAATACGAGTGGCTAATTTCATAATGTGGTGGATCTTTAGATGGTGAATGATTTAAGTGTTCTAGCGTTGAAAATCTGCATACATGGAATGCCTTATTTTTTGACATTGCAGATAAATGAGACTTTACATTTAATAACACCACTTAATATGTATGCTTAAATAACAAAGTATTATGTCTTGCATGCTTCCCCATGCTTATCTAATAAAAGTGTTTTTCTTCTAGGTTCAAAAGATGTTGTGATAAAGGCACAGGTTTTAGCTGGTGGTAGAGGAAAAGGAACATTTGAAAGTGGCCTCAAAGGAGGAGTGAAGATAGTTTTTTCGTAAGTCATGTTTTTAAAGAAAAATCATCATTATTAAAGAAAATCATACATTGTAAAAGATTCTCCTCCTTATTGAATTGATGAACATACTGAAATTTAAATACTAGATGAAATAAGATTTTGGCTATCATATGCTTTTGTTTTTCTCATTTGGAGGAAAAAGAATTTGAGTTCTTTTTCTTATTTCAGTCCAGAAGAAGCAAAAGCTGTGTCCTCACAAATGATTGGGAAAAAGTTGTTTACCAAGCAAACGGGAGAAAAGGGCAGAATTTGCAATCAAGTGTTGGTTTGTGAGCGAAGATACCCCAGGAGGGAGTACTACTTTGCAATAACGATGGAAAGGTCGTTTCAAGTGAGTAATCGTAGTCATGACATATATAGGATGATTCTAACACATTCCGTTTTAAAAATCGATCATTCGTTTTGTTTGTATTTGTCGTAAGCTTTTAAAAGCATATGTGTCATTTAAAAAAATAGCATGGCTAATGCCCTAACATTTAATATATAATATTGTGGTTTAAAAAAGGCTATATATAGGCATAACCCTGCTGAAATAAAATGCACAGGATTTCTAAATTGTTGATTTTAGAAATCAACAATTAGCAACTTAAATGATCTCTAGATTCCATAGACTGAGAAAATAATTTCTAGCAGAATAAAATATCCTAATGAAAGAGCAAGAACCTGAACCCAGTAAGAGAATGTGTATATCCCTGGCTTCATCTTTTTCTTTTTCAACCTGTTGGTATTTTTTATAGTCTGGGGTTTCACTAGAGGAATGGGTGCTTGGTAAGTTGAAAGGTAACGTTCACTAACAAACAACATGATCCCAAGTAGCATGATCCCAAGTAGTTCCGCTTTCTCTTCATGGGACCTGAAATGCCAGCAGTGACTTTAAGGTATCAGGTGAAGAGAAAGTCTCTTTATAGACCTGGTGCTTAGAGAGAGCATTGGTAATTCATCATTTTATACTGTAGGTGTTTGGCTGTTTGCGTGCATTGGTTAAGTTTCATGAGCTGAGTCTATGTAGTAACTAGCTTGTCTTGAGTAAGCTGAGTATATATTGGGAGACCCTGCTAAGGATTTGCTGTGAGGAAAATTTTAGTGGTCATAGTAGTGGTCTTATATAAAAAAGCTTTTTAAAAAATTGCTATTGTTTTTTTTTATATTGTGATTTTTGTCCCTGTGGTTAAGTCTTCTAGTAACGTCTGGATGATATTTTAAATTGTCTTTGTAACTTTTAAATTTCATAAAAAAGTACCATATTTTGCTGTGTACAACGTGTAACTTTTTGTTCAAATTTTTGAGGGGAAAACAAGGATGCGCATGATACAGGGATATAACGATGACATACCCTGGGTATAATAACGGGGCGTGATCATCCCTTGTGTAACGCACACAACTCTGTGGCCGCGCGTTATACATGGCAAAACGCGGTATGCCTTAAGGTGACACTAGATGGTAGTAAAAGCCCACTCAGGGTACAAGATAAAAAGCTCTGATGTCTTCACCCCTATAAGTTTCTCTGTATGGTAGAATTTAGTTTTGTAAGTTATTCTAGAAATCCCATGATAACATTTGCAAAATTATATTTTTACAAATTCACTTATTTTCACTGTATTTTTTCTTTTCATTGATATGATATGTCACCATCTATCATTTGGTTAGTTACTATGTTTTTACTCTTTGTTATAGCCAGAAACAAAATATGTATGCCCGAACAATTTGAGATAGGAGCCCCATAGCGTTGTACGTTCAGAGTAGCTCGTGGTGATTGGAATAACTATAGCAAGCTGCAGATGCATTATTAAAGATATTATGAGGCACTAAATGGATTTTATTTAAGATACATTAATAGAGCATTAGGGAAAAGGATGAAATTTGAGTTCATTTTAAGAATGCAAAAGATTCCCCTCTGAAATAATCAGAGAACTCTTTCAGCCTCATTATGGAAAAAATGTTTTTATTTCATTTGCAAAAGTAATGCATAGTTATAATAATTCAGAATAAAAATTTGATAGTACTAATAAAACCATTTGGGCAAAGACATTATAATGCTCTTTGATGCTATCACATTAGGCCACTGTGGAGTTGGTTGGTGTTGCTTTTGGGGATATAGTGAATTTTTTTAGAATCGCTGTAGACAGGTCCCTACTAAACAACAAAATAATCAGTCAGCTCCGCCCAGATTGCGCAGTCGGTTAGAGCATCATCCTCAAATGCCCAGGTTGCGGGTTCAATCCCCAGTCAGGGCACATGCAAAAATCAACCCATGAACACATAACCAAGTGGAACAACAAATCAAGGTTCCTCTCTCTCCTCTCTCCCCCTTCCTCTCCCTCTAAAATCAATTTAAAAATTAAAAAAAAAATCAGTCAAGTATTTATGAAAAGAAAAGCGCATTTGGATTGAAATCAAGTCCTTTGTACGAGAGCTGACTGATGATTGGAAACTGCTTGTGTTGCCCGCCTGTTTGCAGAGCTGAGCCGCGGGCTTCTGCAGTGGGTGCTCCGCTCTGGGGTCTGGGCGGTACTGCCCGCGGGCCGGTGCTCTGTGAAAGTCAGATCTCCTAACATTTGCCCAGTGCCTGCTGGGCACTTTTGGGCTGAGACAAATCTAATTTAACAGGTCACTTTTGCTACTTTATTTTTCTAGTAAAACATCATAATCTGCTGTAAACGAGTGGTACTATGTCAGCTTTTTAATTTCCTGAAATAGATGTTAAACATGTTAGGATCTTCATTAAGTGGCCTCCTTGTCATGGAACCTGTAAAGCTCGGCCCAGCTCTGGGCACTTAGCGTCAGCCACAGGTTAAGGGCAAGTCCTCCTCCGGAGTGTCCTTGTCAGGCACTGACGTCGAGTTTGGGGGGTTCCTAGTGTCCGCTCGGGTCCCAGGATTTGCTAGAAAGGCTAACAGGACTGAGGAACGCGCTCTACCTGCGATTGCACGTGCACCGTCGCCAAGGGACACGGAGGGCGAGGTCTGGAGGGCCCCCTGCTGAAAGCTTCTGTTGTCCTCAGGGTTGTGTCACCCTCCTGGCCTGTTGATAGGCGATGGCAGGTAGAAAATTGCCCACCACGGAAGTACGAGAAGAACAGGGTATTGGGTGAGGGAAAAAGAGGGGACCTTTGATGTGAACTGGCAGAGAACGCGGCTGAATTGTGTTTTGTGGGATGTAGAGGGCTTGGGAGGGATCCTACTTAGCTGAAGAGATTGCTCAGCACGGTATTAAAGGAAGAACGTAGTTCCTCCCGACTGCTTTTCAGGAAATTTGAAGAGAGAAATGAGTTGAAAAAAGGGAGAGGAATCAGCACTTCAGGGTTTGGAAAATTATCAGCCTGTCTGTGCAATAGACCCCCCACTCCCGCGCACCCCCGACACCTCCCGTCCCTGCAGTTTCAGGTACCCACGCTCATCTACACTCTGAAGGTAGCAAATGGAAAATTCCAGAAATAAACAGTTCGTTGGATTAAACTGTGCTTTTCTGAGCAGCGGGGGGAAAATCTCGTGCTGCCCTGCCCTGTGCTGCAGGGGACACCAGCCATCGCCCACCTGGTAGTCACTTAATAGCCGTCTCGATCACCAGACCGACCGCCGCGGGTGTCGTGCTGCTTGTGTGCAAGGCCCCTCACTTTGCTTCCTGGTGGCTCTAAGGGCAGGAGCGCCGACGCTGGCAGCGTGGTCATGCCAGAGCGAGGCCGAAAGGGCTTCCTTTAGGGAGCAGCGGGCGTGTGCAGGGAGAAAGCCGTAGTATTGGATCGGCCGAAAAGCCTGGGAAGTAAAAGACACATTTTTCACTTTCACCAATGACTTTCCTGATTTGCACATTTTGAGTATGTTGACTGTCTCCCACGTGGTATAGTGTTGATCTCAATGAATGTCTTGATTTGATCGCTGTCAACTCCTGCTGGGCAGCCCGACCGAGGAGCATGGTCCAGCGAGAAATCTCCAGCACGAAGCTTCGCAAACCACTTTTGACACATTCAGTCATTTCACAGCGCCTTCTCCTTAACACTGCACAGATCTTTTTTTTCTTTTGCATTTCAGTTACGTTTTTACCTTTCTTGAAATAATAAAGCATAATAATTCTGAAAATGTTGAGTGTTTTCTTCCATCTTTAATACTAAAATGGCTACACAAAAATCCACCAATTTTGATTTTTTAAAAAATGCACTCTATTATGACATTAACAATCTAATGAAATTGTTCTGAATGAAAAATGAAGTGCTGCTGGGGCCGTCTTATGTGAAAAACCAAACTGACTCTTTGGCCATCCCAGTGTATGGGTTCGATACTATCTGTAGTTTTAGGCATCTACTGGGGGACTTGGGATGTATCCCCTGCAAATGAGGGGGTCCAACTGTGCTGCAAAAAATGAGAATGCTCTTTGGAACAGAATGTGCAGGTCGTGGCCAAGCAGCTGTTTGCTGAGGGGACGAGCGTGGACGTGAGGCAGGACCGAGAAGTGGCTGTTGGTTAGGCCGTGCGGTCTGTGCTGCTTTGTGGTCGCCTCCCACGCGAAGCCTTCTCTCCTCCAGAGAGATGTCCGTTCTCAACTCAGTTCCCCATTTTTAAATTGCGTTGATTTTTGGTTGAGTTGTAGTTCTCTATATACACATACTCTGAATGTTAATCTCCTTAAATACATGGTTTGCAGATCTTTTCTCCTACTCTGTAGGTTGCCTTTTCACTCTGCTGATGTTTTTCTTCTGTCGTGTAGAAGTTTTTATTTGGCATAAGTACTGTTTGTCTATTTCTGCTTTTGTCATGTGTGCTTTGTTGTCTTCTCCAAGAAATTATGGCCAAATCCAATGTCCTGAAAACTCTTCCCCTACGCTTTTTTTTAGGAATTTTGTAGTTTTAGGTATTACATTTAGGTCTGTAATCCATTTTAATTTTTGAATACGGTATAAGGTAAGGCCCAACTTCATTATTCTACTTGTGAATATCCAGTATCTCCAACACCATTTGTTGAAGGTGCTGTCCTTTACCCATTGTGTAATCTTTGGTACCTTTGTCTAAGACCATTTGACCTTGCACATGAGGGTTTATCCCTGGGTTCTCTGTTCTTTTCCATTGTTCTATATGTCTGTTTTTATGGCAGAACCATGCTCTTTTGAGTAGTTTTACTGTGGTTTTGTAATATGTTTTGAAATGAAGCAGGAGGCCTCCAGCTTTGTTTTCTTTCTCAAGATTAGTTTGGTTATTCAGGGTCCTTTGAGAATCCATGTGAGTTTTAGGACTTTTTTTTCTATTTTTGCAAAAAAAAAAATTGAAAATAGAAAAAAGATTGTACTGGGGAAAAAAATACCATTAAGATTACAGTATGGATTCCATTGAATTTGTAGCCTGCTTTGGATTGTTTTGGACATTTTAACAAAATTAGGGCTCTCAGTCCATGAACACAGGATGTCTTCTTCAGCTTAATTCAGCTGTGTTTTGTAGTTTTCAGTGTGTAAGTCTGTTATTTCCTTGGTTAGGTTTATTCCTAATAATTTATTTGATGCTATTGTAAATTCATCATTTTCTTAATTTCCTTTTTGGATTTTTTTTTTTTTTTTGGTTAGTGTATAGAAAGCAGTACATTTGTATGTTCATTTTGTATCCTGTAACTTTGTTGAAGCTGATTTTTTTGGGGGGGGTTCTTTAGGGTTTTCTATATACAGATCATGTCATCTGTGAACAGTAATTTTTCTTCTTTCTTTCCTATTTGGATGCCTTTTATTTTTTTTCTAGCCTGTGTTCTCTGGCTAGGACTTCCAATATTACGTTGAATGACGGGGCAAGAGTGGACTGAAATAAGGCAGTTGGAGAAAGACAAGTTCCATGTGATTTCACTTATATGCAGAACCTAATGAACAAAATAAGCTAACAAGCAAAAGAGAGTCAGAGTCGTTGACAGAGAGCAGACTGACAGCTGTTGGCCGTGGAGGCGGGTAGTTATGGGGCTGCGCAGAAAAGGCGAAGGGGTTCAGGAAACAAAACTCACAGGCATGACCGCGGTACAGCGATTACCGGAGCGGGAGGGGGTGGGGGGCAGGTCCGAGAGGGTAGAGGCGGATAAATGGCGATGGAAGGAGACTTGACTTAGCGTGGTGAACACACGACATGCAGGTGATGCATTATAGAATTGTACCCCTGAAACCTATGTAATTTTATTAATTAACGTCATCCCTATAAAGTCAATAAAAAGATGAAAAAATAATATTCAGGTACTGAGAACCATTATCTGTGTAGATGGATGATTGAGAGATCAAATATAAAGATACATAAATAAGAAAAAATTTAAAAATTCAGCCTCAAAAAAGAAAAGTCCCCACTGGACACTAGATGCAAGAAATTACATCATCAGACTCGTAAGTAAATGGAACTGAAGGGACCACAGCGTCATTCAAATAATTTCCTCCTCCTTAGACTGTAGGTTGAGACTAAGATGGGACCAAAATGCTGTTAGAGGATTAGCACCGAGAGGGGCCCTGGGGAGATCCTGACTCTCAGCCCGGTTTTCCCAGATGCACAGCAGGTCGAGTGGGTGCAGCTTCATTTCTGTCTGAAGAATGTCCCCTCTCTCTGTTCATTCTTCTTCTGGTCGGAAACACGGACCAAGCATTGGTCACCTCAAAAAAAAAAAAAAAAAAGAATAATATGTTCATTGCAAAAAAATTTTTTTTTTTGGAAAATAGTGACATAGAAAGTAACAAATGAGTTATCATTTACTGTTCTATTTGCCATATTTTTTATGTGAATAGTGGGTAGGTCCACATTTAAACACACTTAATGTTAAAAATACACGTGGGAATACCCCTTAGTAATATTACTTAACCATTTCCTTGTTTTTGTATATTATTTCTACTTTTGTGCATGAATTAGCAAATATATTCAATATTAGATAATTTTGCCTTAAGGTTTTTCTTCTTGGTTGATTTTAGAGGACTTAAGTTTATTTAATTAGTATTTATATCCTACCTTCTGATATTGTTCATTGCCAGAAATATTCTTTAAGATAGGTCGCTTTTTGTTTTATTGACTTGTAGTTATAAAATCTGGAAGTTTTGTTCATCAGACTGTGCCTTTTAAATACCAGTAGTCTGTTTTTATGATTTTTAAAAGTTCTTTAAACGATACTGTAATGCCTCTTCGGTTCTTTAAAAAATGTGTAGATTCAATTTCACATATACATATTTATATTAACTTACTTGTTATACATTTTGTGTGTATATTAACATTTTTTGTTTCCGCTGTTAGAGTTGTTCCAATTTCCCGCTACTGTCCCCCTGCCCCACCCCCTGCTCCCACAGTCCCCACACTGGTGTTCATGTGCATGGGCGATGCGTACATGTGCTTCGTCTAGTACATGTTTTTAATCTTCCCTCACAGTGAGTCATTGTCTGTCTCTTCCTTTTCACTTCTTTTGTTTCGGTTGAACCTTTATTACAAGGGGCATATTGTATGGGAGGTACTAGGATAGATTCTCAAGGAAATTGTAAAATAGGAATGGGGAGTGGCAGATGCGTAAGTCTGATAGTGTGCACAAATAGGTTTTAAATTTTTATTGATGGGTCCAAAATAAAATCCAGATGTTTTGCCTCTTTTCTCCTGTTAGGGTCCTGTGTTAATAGGAAGTTCTCAAGGCGGCGTCAACATTGAAGACGTTGCTGCAGAGTCTCCTGAAGCCATAGTCAAAGAGCCCATTGATATCGTAGAAGGCATCAAAAAGGAACAAGCCGTCCGGGTATGTTGTGTTCCCCAGAAGCTGTAGCTTTTGGTTAGGGGATTATGACACTTGAAGACGGAAAGTTCACTTTGTACAAGTGTAATGGCCGACAAAACTTAAAAAATATTTTTGAGTGTCAAGGCGTGTTAGTATCTTACTTAAAATGGAAAATTTTGAGAGCATCTATAATATTTTTCTTTATATCCTCCATAAATATTTTAATATGCATCCATACTGGGTATAATTAACAGTAATTCTTAATGTCATTACTTATCCAGTCAAATTCCCTGATTATCTCAAGCTCCTTCTCTTTCGTACTTTGAGTGCGGATCGGAGAGTCTGAGGAAGGCTCTGGGCTTCCTCTGTGTATGCACACGTGTGGTCGAGTCTGTCTACAGTGTCACTGGTTTTCTGCACTGATCGTGTGCGCTTTTTCCTTCCCCTCTGTCTCCCCAACCGCCACCCCAAAGAAGGCAGAGCCCGCATGAAGCTAACGCCCCGGGCGGCCTGCCGCAGTTCCCTGGGGATGCTGGCGGTGCTGCCGTTGCGCAGGTTGCTTAGCTCGGGTATATAACGTAAGCGGCCCATGTTTAAAGGGAAGTTTGAATGTTAAAGTTTGACATTTACATTTGTTAGTGGGAAACCCGTCAGAAGAAGCTTCTGGTGTTGAAGTTCAGCAGAGCAAGATTTGGACTGCACAGAAATTTCAGGGAGATAGAGAGGTTTCCCTGATAACATGCAGCAAGTCCCAAAGGCGACTGAGTGGTAAAGTGTTGGAAGGGGACAGGGACTTGGCTCCGTAGGTAGTTCTGTGAGAGTGATGGCGGGAGAGTTAAATGTAGGTGAGGAAGAAGAGACTCGATTTACAAGAGTACTCCAGGGAGAACTCTGCTGAGGTCATAGCTTTTGAACAATGAACAGAAACTGTACTGAACACAGTGCTTGGCAAATTAATGTCATCCTGGGTCCGGTCAGAGGTCTGCTGGAACTTTCAAATGTTTAAACCCTAAGGAGTGGGTTGTGACCTAGTGAAAATCTTTTAAAATGAAATTGTATTTCATTGCTTAAGATTTTATTTATTTAATTTTAGGGGGCAAGGGAGGGAGAAAGAGCAGGAGAGAAACATTGATCATTACCTCTTGCACACCCCCAGCTGGGGACCTGGCCCACAGCCCAGGCACGTGCCCTGACCAGGAATCAGCCGACGACCTTTAGGGTTTTGGGGACAATGCCCAACCCACTGAGCCACGCTGGTCAGGGCTTCTTCTTATTCTTTATTTGAATTAAGTCTTAACCAAAGATGACATTTCTTAGCTTGATCAATTATTTATTGGTGCTTGACTTCTTGCAAAAATAGCATTCACCCTCGAAGAAGTCCCGATTTTCTGTTACTGAAAGCCGAGCGCGCGGCGGCCTGTGCCGGCAGCTGGAAGAGGGAAGCCCTGTGGCTCCGGGGCTGCGGCCGTGGGGCGCAGGGCGCACAGGCTCGGAGCCTCAGCGCCGTGGCTCAGGGCTGCTCGTGGGCCTCCAAGAACCGGGGGCGCTGGCTCCCCTGTCGAGGGTGGGACCCTCATGGGTGTGTTTTCTCAAAAGCCCCTTAGGTCTGTCCGTCAGAAATCTCCGCCACGGCCGTCAGCTCCTCTCAGGTTAGATGCTTAAAGCCTCTGTCTTTTGGGCCTAGTGTACAGGTGGGGCTAAAGTAGGTTTACGGTTGTGAGTATGCAAAACACAACTTTGCTTGTATTACTACTTACTAATTATTGTATTTTCCATATAAACAACTGTAAACCTACCTTTGGCTCACTCTGCTGATTATGTGCTCAGTGGATTTTTGAATGAGGGAGATAATACTCGTTTGACCGGCTGTGTCCTCCTTGCTTGGTAGTGCTCTCTATAAATTGCCTAAAAGGTAGAAGTAGGGTGACTTCATATTTTGGCTCTCGTTTGGCTATCGGGATCGTCAGCACATCGTTTGTGTCCCCAGTGTATATTCTGAATACAACGTAAACCAGGTTGGCCGCGCAGCTGAGAGGCAGCGCGGAGGCCGAGGGAGGAGCGCTGGACCTGACGGCTGGGCGGGCGGGCGGCCCGTGACTCCTGCCCGCCTCGCAGTGGCGACCGGGGCGCACAGCAGCCTTGTGCGGGGATTCTGGACGACGAGTTTTGTTTGACCCTTTCGTAACAACAGCTGCTACTTCAGTGATGAGTGTTTGACTACAAACAATTTGTGTTTATTTAAATAATAAATTAATGTGTTTTTTACCTACGGTAATTTAATGTGTGACATGCCTGTACTAAAGAGACAAATTGCTTTTAGCTTGCACAGAAGATGGGATTTCCGCCAAATGTTGTGGATTCTGCGGCAGAAAACATGGTGAAGCTTTACAACCTTTTCCTGAAATACGATGCCACCATGGTGGAAATCAATCCCATGGTGGAGGATGCGGATGGCGCTGGTACGGTACCTTCTTTCATCAAACGCTAGCTGCATGTTTATCCACCAACTGTATACTTTACTCAGAAAGTGGGACTCGTAAAAAATGAACTCATTCCTGTGTAGACGCTTGTCTTACAATAAATAGGATGAATGTAAACAAACATTAAAGAGACTCATTAAAGCAAATGCCTTACTATCTTAAATATATATCGAGGTGCACACAGAGGGCTTAGAGTTGCCTTATCCAGTATGGTGGCCACCAGCTGTATGTGGCAGTCAAAATTAATTAAAATGATAGATTAAAATACCACTCAGCCACCCTAGTCATCTTCCAGATGTGCAGGAGCCGCTGTGGGCACCGCAGCCGACAGCGCACAGACCAGCGCCCGGGAGGCCCCTCTGGGCTGCGCTGGATTCCAGGGTCCAGTGTGGCCGGGAGGCAGCGGCTGCAGCTCTGCCGAACAAGCCGTCTTAGCCGCCGCACATTCAGACTCTAGAGACATGGTAGGTCTTTATTTTTAGCCCCTAGAGAAGTACAGTTAGCTTGTCACTTTAACAGCTTTTCTTTTACATGTGTTTAAAAGGCAAGGATTTTGAATTAAAATGTCTTTCATTTAAAATTTGTTTTCATTGTGGAACCCAGGCCTGAGAAACCTGCCCCCTGGGGACTGTACCCAGGGCGCGCAGTGCAGTCTGACGCCTCTGCTGAATGCACCGCACTTACTGTTTCGAGCAGCACATTAATTTTTTTAACATCTCCCTGTACCCTACATTAAAAAATTTTTTTAATGCCAATTAAAAAATACAATACTGAGCCACAATTTAAAAGTCCCAACAAATATCTAAGAATTAATAACATACTTAATAGTCTTTAAGCACAGAGCAGTAAAACTAGAAATGAATGTAAAACATCATCATGTTTTTTTAAGTTTAATGAAAATACTTCATGAGTTAATTAAGAAATCATAATGGAAAAGAGAAAATATTCAGAGCTGAACAAACTGCGAAGTATGTAGCGCTCTTTGGAAGGAAGAATTATCAAAAATGGTCAGTAGTTTCTTAGTTGCATTTAAGCAAATGTAAGTAAGAATTTTGAACATGAAAAATGGATCATTGCATAGTTCATATGGAAAATAAAAGGATAAAAAGGGCCTCTCTCTATATTTTTTCTATTCAGCAGCATCAATCTAACTTGATGGGTGGTGGGTGATGTTTTGCTAAGTCACTGATTACTGTGAGTACGGTACTGTGTGGCATACAGCTTTTTGATACAGAAACAACAGCGCAAGGAACTTCCCTGTATCTTTTACCCAGAATCACCAGTCATTTACTTTTCCCCTTATTTGCTTTATCATCCTCTTTCCTTCTCTACACCGTGTGTGCGCGTGAAAATGTTTTTAGGATCATCTGAGCGTAAGTTGGAGACGTTGTTCTTCGTTATCCTGAACTGCTTTTGGTGTCTAAAAACACTCCTTCGTTTATAAAAACCGGGAAATTTAACATTGGTGAAATACTAGTATCCGACCCACAAATGGGGACGGGCGCCCAGCAGTGCCCTTTGTACCCCGCCGCCCCTCCTCCGCCTGGCCCAGCGTCACCCGGGGAAGTGGGTTATCTTTTCTCTCTGACCTCAGAGCCTGGCTTTTGCTTTGCTTCTTGACCTGGACACACACAGCACACATGTTTGTTTCTGGTGGGGGGGTCATGTGTTTTGAACGTCCTTCGGTTTGGGTTTCTCTGTCGCATGTTCCTTCACAGTGTTTTCTCCTTCATAGTGCATTGTATTTGGAGGCACGTTATGCTGGTTTGTTCCAGTATTGATCATGTTAACTTGGTCCATTTGATTTAGGTAGTGCCCATCGGATTTCTTGATTATAAAATCCCTATTTTTTCATTTGTAATTACTAGGAAATTTGTGGGGAGTGTTTGGAGACTCTCTTCCTGATCACACGTTCGCTCATTAGTTCCGGCATCTGCTGGCGACTTCCTGGCCCGCCAGCCCTCTGTGTTGGCCAGCTGGCACTGCACTGGGGCGGGGGGCTCCCCTCTTCCCCTTCTGCTTGCTCATTCGTTCGTTTGGGTTGGAATGGGCTTGAGGGTCTTTATCTTATTTAATGAGTACAATCCAAGTTTTATCATTTGTTGTTGCTCAGATCATCCCCGGTTTGGCTAGTAGAGGCACTTGCCAACTGGCTCCTGTGACCCCTTGTTCTTTCTTAACTGTTTTTAAGAAAGAGTTTATTTATTTATTTTGAGAGAGAGGGGGAGGGAGGGAGAGAGAGAGGGAGAGAAATGCCAGTGTGAGAGAGAAACATTGATCGGTTGCCTCACACGCGCCCCAGCCAGGGACCTGGCCCGCAGCGCAGCCTGTGCCCTGACCGGGGAGCAGATGGGCAGCCTGTCGCTTGGGGGAGGGCGCCCAGCCCGCGGAGCCGCCCCAGCCAGGGCTCGCCTTCTTAACTTTGAGTTTTGAAATAAACACAGATTATGGAAAGTTGGAAAGGCGGTATGAAGAACCTCATTTTCCCTTCACCTACCATCATACAGCTGTGTACATCCAAGCAGTTACTTGATATGGGTCGGTTCCTGTTCCCTGGACTAAGAGCCTTATTTAGTTTTCACCATTTTATAAAAACCTGCGGTCATATGTGTGTCCATGTGTCTGCGTAGGTTTCTTTTACTTCAGGCCGCGTGTCGATTCGTGTCCCCACCACCCGAACCAAGATACGGCCTGTCCCTGTACACATGCCGTGTGCTCCTCCATCTACTTCCTTCGCACGGTTCGCCCCTGCCCTGCGTCTGTGCCCGTGAAACCCCTGGTCTGCTCTCCGTCATTCTGTCACTTTGAAAGTGTCGTATCGATGGATATAAGTTTGTAATATTTTGAGAACCAGGGAAAATACCTTTTTCCTGGACAGAACCCCTTCGCAGCCCCCCCGTGTTGCCGTGTGTACCTGCAGCTCATCCGTTTTCGTGCGGGGTTGCGCCCCCATGTTCGGATGTGCCAGAATGCATTCGGCCACTCGCCCTTTGAAGGGCTTTGGGTTGTTTCCAATATTTTGCCGTTACTAAAACAGCGGCAACAAACACTTATGTATCAGTTTTGCGTGACCATAAGTTTTCCCTTTGTCCTTTTGGTACGTTTCTTTCCGTATGTCACACAAGTGTTCCTTGAGCGCTGCTTTACTTTTTGTGCAGCAGGGTGTTCCAGGGTTATCTTCTGCTTTCTTAAATTCTGGAGTCAGCTTTGGCATGAAGGGAACGGTCTTGAATTCATTGTGAACATAAATCAAAGTACTTTCAATAAAGTAACAGAATGTGTTTTTCCCTTAAAAGGAAAATGTTTGGCTATTGGGTCGTTTATTGTAATTAACTACCTTGAAATTAAGATCATGTTCTTCTTTTTTCTTCTTCTTCGAAGTGCTGTGTATGGATGCGAAGATCAATTTTGATTCTAATTCAGCCTATCGCCAGAAGAAGATCTTTGACCTCCAGGACTGGACCCAGGAAGATGAAAGGGACAGAGACGCGGCGAAGGCGGACATCAACTACATCGGCCTGGATGGGAACATAGGCTGTCTCGGTACCCGTTCTCGCGTTAGAGCCGGACCGGCGCTGCGTGCCGCGGTCTGTCTGCTGTGTGCGTGTCGCTTACGCAAACCGTTTTCCCTTCTCGCTAGTGAACGGTGCTGGTCTGGCCATGGCCACAATGGACATCATAAAACTTCACGGGGGGACGCCGGCCAACTTCCTGGACGTCGGGGGCGGTGCCACAGTCCACCAAGTGACGGAAGCCTTCAAGCTCATCACTTCCGATAAAAAGGTGAGGACGGGGCTTGTGTTTCAGGGCATGAACGGTGAGGGGAAGCCTGGCTTCTCAGCGGATGCGATTGTTAACGCTGGGTGAAAGTTATCATTTAAACCTCCACCATTATTTGAAAACATTTGCTGGAGCCAGTGCAGTGGAAGTTAACCACAGGAAAGGGAGGGTCCCCCTGAGGTGTAGAAAGCAAGGAGAAGGGCTGGGCTGTGCTAGACGATACTAAAGGTGGGGGTGATTGGGCAGGGGAGTGTGTGCCTACGAAAAGCCTATGAAGCTAAAAACAAGAAGATAAAAATCCTCTTTGATTTTATCCAGAGATAACTTGGGCTACTATTGATTTGATCTGTTTTCTTCAAGACTTGTTAATATTGGTGTGTTTCACATGCACATGCATTCACACATACTGCATATATCTTTCTAGAAATAGCTTTATTAAGGTGTAAGTTACATGCCATATAGTTCACCCATTCTTACATGTACCTTTTAATGCACATATTTTGGGTCTTTTTTTTTTTTGCAAACAGATTGAGTACTTTCTGCATTTTCTAAGGTATTCTTCTAAAACGCCCACTTTAACGTTCTCATAGACTGTCATGTGTAGCTATGCCATAGTGTACGGTTAGGAATTTATAAGTCATAATCAAAGTACAAGCTATGTGAAGCGTCATCATCCAAAACGCATGCATATTGCTCATCTCCAGACACTGTTTGAGGGGTGGTCTGAGAGTGGCTCCGTGGGACTGATTTTTATTGTGAGGTACAAACACTGGGATTTTCTTGGGAAGGCAGGACGCATCCTCACGTCTCTAAAATTTTAATCTGCCCAAACCGTTTCGCTCACAGGTACTGGCTATCCTGGTCAACATTTTTGGAGGGATCATGCGGTGCGACGTCATTGCACAGGGCATCGTCATGGCGGTGAAGGACCTGGAGATTAAGATACCCATTGTGGTGCGGCTCCAAGGTGAGGGCGTGGCTCGTGGCCGCCCGTGGCTCATGGCCGCCCGTGGCCCTAACGCTCGGGTTCCGAGCAGTTCAGTCCTTGTGACATACAGCTGCATCTTTCAGATGCAAGTATATGTAACAGGACATTTAAAAAGCATGGCGTTAAAATTTTTCCAACAGTGGAACAAAATCGTAGTTTTGCTTGGTGTGATCCAAGACATGGTTTACTTGCTGTGCTTTGCCTTGATTTCCGACTCCCCGCTCACCATTGATACGAAACGGCACGGCCCGGCACGGGTACCTCTGAGCGCCCGCAGCACTGTCTGTGGTTTACAGCACGTGTGATAGTGCGTGGTGAACGTGCTCTTCTGTAAACTCATACCGTGTGTGGTGACGGCCATCTCCAGTGATTTTGTGTAGATGTTTAAAACGTCTCTCTCTCTGCACAACGCCCTTCAGGTACACGAGTGGATGACGCTAAGGCGCTGATAGCGGACAGTGGACTGAAAATTCTCGCTTGCGATGACTTGGACGAAGCTGCTAAAATGGTAACCGGGCCGCGCTGGTGCAAAGTGCATGAAGGGGTCACAAACGTGTAGAATCTCAAACAAACCGGCTACGAGTTCTAACACTTAGTGTCTCAGCTAAAGACCAGTCGTCACTTACTGACAGAGAGTGCATTACTGTCTCTTGGACCAGCTGTCCCCAGCCTTTTTGGCACCAGAGACTGGTTTCATGAAAGACAGTTTCCCACAGACTGGGGTGAGGGGAGGGGGTGTTTTCAGAGGACCGGTGCCAGTCCGCAGACCCGAGGTTGGGGACCCCTGTCTTAGGCCCAACCTCCTATCTCAGTATTGTAAGTTATGATTGTATGTTTTTTAAAGAAAACCTACTTAGGTGCGGTTTCACTGTGATACACCTGCCACCCCCTCAAACTGTTCCAGTCCCTGCCCACCCCCGGCCTCTCTGCCCTCAGCTGCTTCCTCCCTTGCCCGTGATTGTTCTGAAGCCCAGATAGCACATCGTTTTATACATGTCGTCATGTACCTATAAAGGGTAAAGGTGTTGACGATACGAAGGGATTGTTATTTGTTTCAGATGGAATTGTGGTATTATGTTAATGCTGTATTTTTGAAAATGTAGTCAGTGTTCCAATTTTCGTGATTCTCTCAAATACTTTGTCTAGGTTCTTCCCTAGAATTAGGATCAAAATGAGTCTGTGTGCATTGCAGCCAGTTAATGTGGTACTAAGCTTGCTAATCTATAAGCGCTCCTTTTTTGTTTTCGTTTGCTTTGTTTTTCTGGAGTTTGCTGAGGAAGCCGGGTTGGCATCTCGTAGTGTTCCCCGCAGTGGGGCGTGACTGGCCATCGCCCTGGGCGCCGCCCCCCGCTCCCACCCCCCGTGTTCCCTCTGCACTGGCGGTTTGGTCTGCAGGGCTGATGGCGTGTTGGATTTGGGGAGCAGGTGCGGGAGCGCTTTGTGCCCGGAGCTGTGCGACTCCGTCAGCAGCATGGGTGGCTGTCAGGTTCGTCCTCCAGGCCTGGCAGTGTCCGTGCATGCGACATGGCGCTGGCCTCCTTCTGTCATTCCTTGTTTAGCGTGTGGGATACTCAGAAAAAGTGACACCCCCCCCCACCCCCAGGCATCTGCTGCTGTTGGCTGTCACGAAGTAAGCCGCATAGGAAAAGCAGGCAGTTCCTCGATTGTTTGCTCTATTGATGAGTTTTCAGGGTAACGAGTGTGTTCCCGTACATCCTACAGAAGCGACCCAGGCTTTTTCTCGCTTTGTGTTTGGGTGTGGGTGTTGTGTGCGTCCATGCACGTGCTGTTTGGACCTCAGTGGATCTAGGCCTGTCTGCTGGGCTTTAACCCGTCTCAGCAGTTTTTATGGAGGCTCCGGTGACCCGTCGCTGGGCAGCGGGCGCCCCCGGCCCACCTTCGCCTTTGTTGCTGCAGACGAATGAGCCGGATGGTGTGTAGCGATCATGATTTGCGCTCTAAGGGTCCTGGCTACTGGGTGGTTCGTTGTTTCTGGACTTTTCAAATATAAATCTAGGAGAAGATGTTGAAGAGAGAAATACGTGAGAAGTCAGCAGTACCGGCCTTTTCCTATCTGCTCTCCCCGCCGGGGCCTGTTGGCACCCACAGAACACCCATGCCCAGGGTCCCTCCGGGCGGGCGTGCGGAGAGCGCGCCAATGCTGTGGCTGCGGGAAGCCGCGCGAGGCTGCTGTGTGCGCTTCCTCCCGTCCTTCGGGGGGGTCTCATGACTCAGTGGGTTTGGAGACTCACGTGGAATGGCTCTGTGGGCTCCATCCCAGCGCGCTGTGCAGTGAGTGTCATTTAATTTCCTCTTTGAGGAGTTGCTTTTTAAAGAAAATTTTATATATTTACTTGGTTCCAAAGTGTCGTAACTATAAAACAAACTATATTCAGAGAACCTGACTTTTATACCTATTTGTTTCTTCCTTCCCCATAGGTAATCAGCTTTAAAAAAAACAAAAAGTTTTGGTTCATTCTTGAAGCAGTGTGTGTTGTGTGTGTGTGTACACTTAATGTGTCCACTTTCCCTCACAGTGTAATTATTACATATATTCGACCTCGTTTGGTTTACTTAGCATTGCATCTTAGAGCACACGCCACAGCAGATACAGAGATGTTCCCAAATGAGAACCTGGGACGCTGCCCGCTGTGTTTATAGACATTCCAAGGCACACTCTGTGGGGCTGTGGGGCTTAATCAGGAGCGGGCCTTTGAGGTTTGCTGAGTTAATGTAGATCATTTCGTAGGAATAGTAAGGGCCTTATGTTTGTCTTTGGGACACCCCTGGGAAGGTGCCTGTTAGTAAATAAAATTCAGCTGCAGTTCAGAGACAGAGGATCTTGCACTCGACCCGGAGCTTAAGTGAAGGCTTTGTTGCCGGGAGGCGGCAGGGAGAGGGTTCAGGGAGCCCACCATGACCCTGAGGGGCGAGGGCCCGGCTGGGGCAGTAACGGGAAGCGCGGTGAGCGGAGGCTGCGGGCGGAGAGCTGTGGCTGTTTCTGAAAACGAGCCGGCGCGCCACGAGGGCCCGCCCCAGGGGAGGCTGTGTGGGCGTGCGCAGACCGGGGCCGCGTCGTGGGGCCCTGGGCGGGAGCAGGGACGTGAACGGCAGCCCCGAGGCCTGACCGCCGTGTCCCTGCCGACGAGGAGGTCGTGGAAGTCACAACCGGGTTAACAGCGTGATTGGCAGCTGCTGCTGTTTATCAGGTGTGTGTGACGCTTGTGATGCTAAGCGTTCTTCAATATTATCGTACTCAATGTGGGTTTGGTGATATAGTCCCATCTTTATGGATGAGGAAACAGGCTTAGGTGAACTGAATTCTTCAGGAGGACATGTCATCAACATTTGAGTGGGGATTTGAAACCAAGGTGTGTAACTAAACCTTCTTTTAACTACTCGATGAGGAAGGAGAGAAGCTGAATTTGTTGTTTGGTTTAAGACATTGATTTGTGTGATATTTTGTATGGTAACAACGAGATATTCTCAGATTATAGCAAGAACATTGGAATTCAAATTGATATAACTTATTGGTAGGAAGTAAAATACTAACTCTAGACCCAAAGTCCTATCCTAGTATTGTTAGTTAAGAGTGCATACATTTTTTTTAAAGTAAACTTATTTAGATGTAGTTTGCATTGTATGGTATCCAACTAAGATACCCACTGTTTGTCTTTAAGAAAGATACAACTTAGGCACTAAGAAGGTGTACACATACGTTGGCTACTCAGTACCTTCCAACGCTGCAGCTGTCGCCGAGGGTTCTGAGGTGGGGTTCCCAACAGTGTAAGATTTGAACGGCAGGTGTTCCTCAGAGTGTGAGGTGATCGATGTCAGAACAGCCCACCTTTCAAATGGAAATGATTGAAGGTGCATTAGTTTCACACTGACCAATAGTTCTGATGTTACGTTTTTGTGAAAATAGACAAAAATGGTTTGTTGTTTTTCTTCCAGGTTGTAAAGCTCTCTGAAATAGTGACCTTAGCCAAACAAGCCCAGGTGGACGTGAAATTTCAGTTGCCAATCTGATCTGAGACTACAGTGGACGGCCGGAGGTTTCAAACGTGCTCTAATCATTAAAAATACTGTGTCCTGTCATTGTTTCTTTTCTCTTCAGTGTGTGAAAATTATATTGCCGTCTAGGCATAAAAACTTGTAAAAGCGCCTGGCCTGCATTTAACCCCCTGTTGGGAGTGGGCTGTGTGTGTAAAGAGTGTGCGCTGTGCTCACCCAGCTCCCTGTGCGCAGCCTCCCGCTCCGCCTCCCTGGATGCGACTTGCAGTAGCCGCTGGCCGCTGTTGGATACGGCATCCTTCGTTAATGAGTCCTACGAATAAAATAAATACGAATAAAGCTTTATTCTTTAGTGTTAGAACTATTGTATCTAATAACTAGCCACATTAGTAGAGAATGTAATAAAATGATGTTTTATATAAGTGTTTATCTTGAACACCAAATACTGAACTAAGCACATCAATCACTATTTATAGACGCAGCTTTCAAACACTCCTCAGAATATTCTTTTAAATAAATATTTCAGTAAAGTAACTTAATTATCTGAACATTGTTTTAATCATTACAAAGCACCAACAACAGCAGGTCCTCTCGATCCTGTGGTACTGGGAGGAACGTGTAGGTTTGTATCAAATAAAGGCATGTTTACCAAGGACTTGGTGTACAAATAATGGCAATTTAAGTTAATAAAAATCTCCCAATGTGAAGTGGAGTAATGTTTTTTCCTTCTTTTTTAAGCAAGCACAGTGGAAGGTGACGTGTTTATTGCGGCGCTGAGCACCCTGGGAACTGACTGCGCGCACGCAGAGGCCGGCGTCCGCTGGCTCACACTGCACCGCCCGCGGCCGTTCCCCTCGAATTCTGCCGTTTCTGTGGGCCATCGTGCACCTCCTCCAAAGACAGCATGGCGTCCTTTGTGTCCCTGTGTGATCTCTTGTTCACTGCACAGAGCAGTGATATTCAACTGTTAACAGTGTTAGTTAATACCGTGGAAGGAAGTATCAGCCATGCAGTAGACTGTAACCACCGTGAGGAATTTGAGAACTTCTGCTTGTTCTGCTGTTTGTAAAGTGATTAGATAAGACAGGCTTGAGAAGCATCAGAGCATCGTGACTATGAGTTTGAGCAAGTTTCTAAATTTCAGCATACCTCAGTTTCCTTAGCGCCTTTCTCACCCTCATCCGAATTTAGTGGGGAGAGGGAGAGAAATTACTAGAGAGAACATATAAAATACACACTCAAACCACCTATGCATATGTCACGCGCTAAGCTGATCATCGGCCTCCCCACCTGCCTGTCTGCCCTGCCCCAGGGAAGACATTAAAGACTAAGAGCTGCCAAACCATCTGAAATTGTGAGAAAGCTATACTTCGAAGTCCAAGCCTTTAAAAGAAAATCTAACAGTTCATTCCATGGAGTGCCAGTGAATGACTGATTGGCTCGGAAAAAAGTGGCATTTGTGTCCCTCAGGATCCGGTCAGGCGTCAGAAACAGCTCATGCTCTACCAGCACCCAAACACCATCACAATGGGTGTTAGGGTCGAAGTAAGGATTTGGGGGTGGGGGAGGCAAGCGGCCCCCAGCGAGGCCCACCTGGATGCCCTTTAACGGCCCTTTTATAAGTGAAGGGCCATCTCCTTCCTCCACCTGCGGGTTGTAAGCTAGAGGTCAGCGCACCACCTCCCTCCTCACCGAGTGGGGCCCCTGCGCGGGCCCCTGGGTGGGGCGAGGGTGTCGCCCTCGCATCCCTTGCACGCCCCCCCTCCCAGGGAGCCGGCACAGTTCAGCTACACAGTCGTTACAGAACACGGACGTCCTCGTTTTTCTGATACTAAACTGGAGAATCTTTTCTGCGGGCTATTCCAAGTCCCAGTCACTTGACTATTTCTATCTATTCGTTCCTGCCAGTAAACGCAGATCGAGAGCAAAACTTTTTTTTTCTCTTTTTTTTTTTCCCAAGTAGGCCTCCTACAGCCCTACCTCTGCCATGGAGTAATTAGGAGAATTAAATCCAACTGAACTACCCCAAGCTCCTGGTCAGAACACCCCCTGGGGAAAAGCATCATGGGACCCAGTCAAGACAACGCGGGCTCCTAAAGGGACACATTCGGGTGCTTTAGCCCCTTCATGGGCAAACAGCAGAATCTGCCCCAAACCACAGCCAGCCCGCCCCCTCTCGGCCCCCCTGAGGGGTCTGGGTCCATGGCCGGGGGCGGGGGGGGGGCACAGCACTCACCACGCTGGGCTCTCGCTCACCCAGCGCCTCTGCTCTGCTGTCGGGGACCTGGTGGACGTCACAGTAAATGCGCCGGCCCCTTCCGTCCTCTCTGGTTCACCTCCTGCCCCACCAAGGTCACCACACCACGGCCTGGGTGACGTGACTGGCTCCTGTAACGGAACAGAAGAGCAACAAGCCTGTAGAAAAATGGGCAAAGGAAAGAAACAGTTGAAGGTAAAACACATGGAAATGGCTCAGCCACGTCAATCAACACCCTCCCTCCCTCCTAATAAGAGGAGACAAGTCCAAACAGCAGCAGGACGTCATTTGCCATAAATTGGGAAACATAAAGCTGGCAACGCTGGAGGGGTGGGTGGGACGCAGGGAGTCACCGACCCCTCGGGGGGCAGGGCGCTCCCTGGAGACCATGCGCTCACACGGGGGTACGTGTTACCGTCCGCAAAAGAAATCCCAACCTAATGGTTCGAAGCGCTGGAGCCAAGGGTTGAGAGCCAGTCTCAGAAGCAGCATCGCAAAGGGCTGGAGCAAAGGGAATACGCTCCAGGGACCAGCAGTTCTGCAATTTTATACACTGGGACCAAAGGAGACGGTGTAAAGAGCGCTCGGTGCGGTCCACTGGTGACAGACGAAGGGGGCCGGAGAAAGCAAAGGGGGAGTCTCTCGCACTGGACAAGACATGGAATGGAGCCCTGGCTGGTGTGGCTCAGTGGACTGAACACCGGCCTGTGAACCAAAGGGTTGTTTGCCAGTTTGATTCCCAGTCAGGGCACCTGTCCGGGGTACAGGCCCGGTCCCCAGCGAGGGGCACGCGAGAGACAACCACACATTGATGTTTCCCTCTCTTCCTCCCTCCCTCCCTCCCTTCCCCCTCTCTAAAAATAAACTTTAAAAAAAAAAATGGAGAGACGAGGGTCTCATTTACATTCATGGGAGCAGGATAGTTAACATTTTACACATGCCGTTTACAGAGCGATGCAGATCAAACAACAAGGAGCAATGCTGGGCTCTCATCCCAGAACCGGGTGCTTATCTCTGAAGGTCTGGAAGCATCCGCCCTGACATTAGGCACGTTGTTCTAGATGCTCAAACACCACGGCCAGCGCTTGCTCGGGGGAAAGAGGAGCCTCTCCTACAGGCCTCGGATGCGGCTCCTGCTCAGCCAGCTCTACCCACACATGTGGACACCTGTGGCAGCCACCTGCAGTTGCTGAGCTTGCCAGGCACACCAGGTGGCAGGCCCGTTTTCATTTCTATTACCCACGTAGGTGCCTTCTGGCCTGCACATAGCACTTCTAGAACCTTACCTTACAGCTGCACATATAAATCAGGCTACATGGGATCCTTCACTGCAGCATGGTACAGGACACAAACTAAACGTCTACTAGGAGAAGGCAGGTTAAATATCACAGACACATGCAATGGAACCTTATACAGCCATTAAAAATGCAGTAGATCTGCCCTGGCCAGATGGCTCAGTTGGTTCTGTGCACCAAAGGTCGCCAGTTCAATTACTGGTCAAGGCACATACCTGGGTTGCTGGTTTGATCCCTAGTCAGGTCACGTGCAGAAGGCAACCAATCAATCACATCGACGTTACTTTCTGCTTTCTTCCTCTAAAGCCAATGGAAACGTTGTCGAGGATTTAAAGAAAAATTTAATCTCGCTTGTTAAAAAAAAATGGATACTCCGCATCACTAATCATGAGAGAAATGCAAAAACCACAATGAGACCACCTCATTTTTTTAATCCAGTGAGACACCTGTCAGAATGGCTGTCATCGATACGTCAACAAGCAAGTGCTGGTGAGGACGTGGAGACGGGGGACCCCCCGGCTCTGCTGCAGGGGGTGCAGGCTGGCGCGGCCACTGTGGGAAGCAGGGTGGCGTTTCCTCAAGACTAAAAACGGAGCTGCCTTATGACGCAGCAATTCCACTTCCGGGTTTCCAAAGAAATCCAAACAGTAATTCACAAAGGTAGATGCGCCCGTGTTTACCACACTATTTTCAATAGCCAAAATATGAAAGCAACGTAAGTGCCCATCAATCTATGCAATGGACTATCACTCATAGAGAAAAAAAAAAAAAGGAAATCTTAACCATTTGCAACATCGTGGAAGGACCTAGAGAGTATTATGCTAAGAGACTAAAAGACAAATATTGTAAGATTTCACTTACATGTGCCATCTAAAGAACAAAACAGAAATGGACTCATACAATCAAAGAACTGATGGCTGGCAGACTCGGTGGGGGGGGAGGGTGGCGTTGAAGGGGTAAAAACGGTGAAGGGCTTAGGAAGTACAACAGTTCAACAGTCCTGAGAGCCTTGGCCAGTGCGGCTCAGTTGCTTGGAGCATCACCCCGTAGACAGAAGGGTTCGGCCCCTGGTTGAGATGTGCACAGGAGGCAAGCAACTGATGTTCGTCCTCTCCTCCCCTCCCCCTCCGAAAATCAATACGCACGTCCTCGTTTGAGGATTAAAACAAAATTGCGAGATGTAACGTACATCATGGTAAATGGGGCTGTAACAATGCGCAGTACCAGCTGGGCGCCCGACTTATCATGGGGCCACTTCAGAGATTACGTCAATGTCTACCCGCTATGCCGTGCGCCTGGAACCAATATGCGGTAATATCAAACAGCAACTGTAATTGAAAAATGAAAAAAACAATTAAAAAGCAATACAGATACCATATACCTTAATATTTATCTGACTGGACAGCAAGCAACAACGTGGGTTACTTTGCCAATGCCCCAAACATTCAAGTTGATAAAAGATTGTCGTAAAATCCTCATGCAGCCGGGGGGCGGGACTGGGACGAGAACCGCAGTCACTGGTCAGAAGGGAGGAGTGACCATCCGGCTTGTCAGCGCGTCACCTCGCTCCTTACCTGCCCCGAGGCACGGCCACGGAGTGCGTCACCAGCTGTCCGGGAGGTGAGCTGCCCCTTTTCCTACAGGGCGCGGACAGCTGCCAGAGTGGGCCTGGCACCGGGGCGTCTGCGCCTGTGGGGATACCCACTGTCCCTCGGCCCGCGGACGCGCACTCCGGCCCCTTCTCCCCTCAGGCCCCGGCATGACCAGCAGCTGCGGGCCAGCTGTGCTTTACGGCAACTGGACAAACGTGGTGGACCACCTATGTTTACCTTTACCTCTACCGGCAAATAATTTATGAACTGGAGGATGTTTTCAGGAGTACTGATTTTAATCATGGGCCAAGTTCTATGAAAAAGTTAATGAAAAGATCTGCGTTAGAACTTTATGAATATCTAATACAGAGAATGTATGAATTTCTAAAAAAAAATTATGGGACTTAACAGAACATTCCTACTGGGAACGTAATGCTCCCCAAAATGGGAATCACTCTAGAATTTTCTTTCATGACATGACTGTCATGCTAAAAAGGCAACATTCAACGATTTGACAAATTTAACTATAGGTGCTTCTTACGATGGGGCTATGTCCTGATAAACGCATAGTAAGCTGAAAACATCCTAACTGGAAAATGCATTTAACCTATTTTTCACATCATCAGCTTTAACATCACAGTGTATCCTAGCCGATTTCTACTGAATCTGTATTGCTTTGGCACCATTGTAAAGTCAAAAAATTGCAAACTGAACCATTGTAAACCAGGGACCCCCTGTACGCAGTTTCCATTCTATACACACACAACTTGTGAAATATTCCTGAAGTCAGCGGACAAAACAGAAAAGTCATTTTTGTTATATTGCACAATTCTGGGAACTAGCATGAGACATTCCAAGACTTTAAATCTTTATGCTACAGCGAACAAGACTGTTCACTATGATCAGGAAGTAGTTTCTTAAAGAGTATACATCCTCCAGAGTCATTAAAATGTTTTACCTTTTTTTTTTCTTGACTCAAAACATTACTTAAATGGAAAAGGAAATGACAAAAAGAAAATCGATTCTTTTGTTGTTCACCATTTTCCTCACACATCCAGATTTCCATTCCCTTTGCTGGGTAAGTGTCTTGCACAGTCAAGTGCTCAACAACTGGTCCCTGAAGGGGGAAGAGACTCGGTCACCTTCAGCGACGACGCAGAACCGCCACGACGGGCTGTCACAGGCTCACGGGCAGACAGAAAACTGCGGGAGGCAATGACCAAACTGCAGTTTCGATTCCTTTATTATTTGTCTCCCCCCAAATTCTGAAGCTCCAAGTCGATTTCAAATACTTCTAAGAATCTACTCCGTGAGTTATTCAGATACAGCGTAAGACAGATACACTAATTTTTAAAAGGTCATTTTACACATTACAGGATGGAGGCCATTTAATGTAATCAAAGGTTATGGCCCTGAAAAATATGATGGTCGTATTTGAAAGCTCAGATTACACAGATCTGTTAACTCTTGGTTTGTTTCAATATTACTGAGCTATAACTGAAGTACATCTTCAACTGCACATTATTAACAGCTGTCCAATAAGGACTTAAGCAGTAAAACATTTGAGGTATGAAACATATAACGTTGATGGCAAATGTTTCAGAACACCAGGAACAAAGTTCCTGAAAAGCAAAGTAAATCTAGAACAAGAAAAGGGAAGAAGGTATATTTATTAAAAATAAAAATAGTAGACAGTCTCTGATAACAGACAAAACCATTTAGATTCCAAATACATTCAATATTCATTGTAACAATGCACATGTATTAAAAAACCACCACGGACCCATTAAGTAACTTTTTTAGAACTTTAGCAGGGAAAGCAGCACTCCGGCTCCCTCCTGCGAGCGCGCCAACCCCCCCGCCCGACCCGCCCCGAGCGCCGGCTGGGGCGGGGGGGTTCTGTGTGGTGTGGTCACACTACGTGCACGTGTGTCCTGTGGACGCGGTTCCTGAATCAAACCACAGCTTCTTCAGCGATGATCCAGACATGTCAGTGGCTCCTTTTCAGAAAAATCTGTGTCGGCTAGAGGGGTAGTGACAACCGTTTCCCCAAACTTCAGTTTTAACAAAATGTACAAAATAAACTACGAACTCTAGAAGCTTTCACATTATTTCTCACAAGTACTAAGTACTGGGCAAAACCTTCAGGTAGCCAAAACTGCCGTCTTTCAGCTTTGGAGCAAAGCTGTTCTCTCCTTCAGCGCGGCTGATGAGCGCTCTCTGCTGCCGCCCCAGGGAGGCTCCTGCAAACCAAGGGACTTTGAAGGAGAATGTGCGCCGCTGCAGACAGGACAGGACGTGTCCGGAACCTCGGCCTCAGGACACGCACAGCTCCTGCTCGCCGGGCTGTGAGAGCTTCTGATCCTCCGCCTTCTCGGGCGCTGGGGCGTGGCAGGCGCTCCCCCGCCGGAAGAGCCGCAGACTCAGCCGCAGCAGCTCGTTGTCCACCACCGGCGCGCTCGCGTAGGCCTGCTTCACCGTGCCCTGCGGGGGGGACACACAGACGTGAAAAGGGCGTTCGCTGCCGGCTGACAGCAGAAAGACAGGCCCTCTTCCAACAAAAATACACAAGTTACAAGAAAAATTACTTTGAGATGGATAGGAGCTATAGTGGATATTTAAAAGCAAAATCCGGAAACGTGTTCAGACCCAAAGAATCTTAAAAAAGAAAAAGCAATCTTGCTTAATGTGAGAATCTTCTCAATAATCCCTACAGGTAATCAGCTAGTTTTTACTTCATTTTTAATAGGAAAAAAACAAAACAAAACAAACCCCTGTACATTCGATGTTGAATGGTTCTACTTCTACCTGCTGAAGTACAATCTCTTTGATGGAGCTACATGCTGCTCCCGTTACTTTTACAGGACAACCTTCCGATTTTCTGAGGACGAGCACCGAACACCCCACTTTTCACTGGAATGTCGACGCTCCGCGAGACATGGGCTCTCGGGGAGAACACACACTCAGTGCACGGCACCGACCGGCACACCGAGGAGCCCCTGCCTCCCTCGTGTGACAGCGTGAGCTCTATTACTGTAACTTAACACTGCGTTAGCATTTTTGGAAGTTACTGTCGTGAAATGTTGTTGCGCGCTCTCCAAGCACGTGTGGAAAGCAGGAAGGTCAGGTCCGAGCATCTCCGGCACCCTGCCCTTTCTGTTCCTGCTGGGGTCCTTGAAGGCACAGGCTGGCTCCCCGGTCGCGTCTGCATTTAACTGACTTTTTATGTATACAGCGGTACCTCGGGACCTGGCATTAGTTCGTTCGGGAACTCGTGACACGCGCCAACAGCAACGAGCGCCAAGCAAGCGACGAGTGATGAAGCCTTTGCTCTTGCGTGTGGCACCCTGGCTCACACAAGTCCGAGCAGGCGCCAGGAGCACCGAGCAGGCGCCGAGGGTGGAGGCTTTTCCCTCCCATCGGCGCGCATCGAGTGCAGGGTGAGGAGTTCGGGCGCCGCCGGGCGCGGCTGCGGCTGCGGCTGCGAGGGTCTTCACTGGCGCTCAGGCTCGCGCGGCCCTGACCACAGGCGGCCAGAGCCGTTCGTCATGGAAAGACGCCCCCTCCGCCGCGTCTCTGCAGGCGCGCCCTGTTCATCTGCAGCCCTGGCGGCCGATGGGCAGCTGTTGTTACGCTTCTGCCTTTTCCAGAACAGGACATAAGTGGAATCATACAGCAAGTGCGACCTTCTGCGGCTGGTTTCCTTCACCGCATCACAATGTCTGAGTTTCTTCCATGCTGTTAATAGTGCTGAAAGCCTGGTTATTACCAATCAGGAACCCATGGTGTGGAGGTGCCAGTTTATCTGTCAGCCGGTGAAGCAGCCTGGGTCGCTCTCCAGTTTGGGAGACTGTAAACAGGGCTGCTCTGGGTTTTTCTGTGAACACAGGTTCCCACTTTCTAAGGTAATGCACGGCAATGAAATGCGGCTAAGCACACATCTCGCTGTGTAAGCAACCACCCAACTCTCTTGCAAAGCGGCCCCGCCATCCGCGTCCTCACCAGTGACGGCGGGAGCGCCCGCCACTCCGCACCCCCGCCAGCACCCCAACGGTCAGGGCTCCCGGCTGCTGTCGCCCCAGGTGTCTGCAAAGGCGATGGCGTCTCACGGGAGCTCTAACTGCCGACAGTGGTAAGCGTCTCTTCACGTGCGCCCTAGACACCCACACGTCCTCTTGGTGAAATGTCTGCTCAAGTCTCACTCGTTCAAAACAATCGGGGTGCTTGTCTCTCACTGTTAAGTTTTGAGTTCTTTATAGAGCCTGGATACAAGCTCTTTTAGAAAGAGTGATTTGCAAATATTTTCTCCCAGTATACTTGACTGTGCATTCGGTTTCTGTCACAGAATAAAATTTTTAAATTTTAATGTCGATCATCTCAAAATAAAAAGCTTAAAAAAAAACCCTGCTTCTCAAACTCTCCCCACAACCGGCTGGTCCTGTCTGCGAGGGTCCGCTTCTGGTCCCCCTTGGCTCCCCCGCTCCCGGCGTGCCCGCCTCCTCTCTCACCGCCCGGCCTGAGCGCGTGGCCTGGCGGGGAATCTGGAAATCGGGCCCCGTGGGCCTTCCAGCTTTGTTCATCTTCCGTTCATCTCTTTAGAAGATCAGGTTGGCTGCCCACGCCCACCAATTATCCCACCCCCAAATAATCCCAGCTCTTAACTTTAAAAAGCCTAAGATGTTTTCAATTTCTCATGATCAGATCTCTTCTAAATCTAATTTCTTTTTCTCTTACATTTCAATTCCCTTTATTCTTCTCAAGGAAATGTTTATATACAATCACTTGCATTTATTTCCCTTTCTTTTCACTTGACACACTCTTAGAAATGCTATTTCTATTAATATCCTCACCGTATTCTGGGAAATATTTTTCCTTAACCTTCATTTTAAATAAATTTCTAGTTGTTTTATTATTTAAAGGAATTTTCACAAAAATAAATATTTCACAGAAAGAGTATTTTAAACTTTATACATCAACTTTTGAATAACAAATTGCTATTCTACCCAAATATGCTGTTCAAGTAAAATGAAAAGTAGTATAAATTATAACAGGAATTCTTTCTTTTACATGTGTAAAAATCTAGAAAATCAAACTGAAAAATACAGATGAGACAATAATCTCACCTTAAAGCAATGAAATGAAAAAGACATTATTCCTGCTATTTCAACAAGCACTTTGCATTTGTTCCAAGGAAACAACAATACCTTCTCATTTTTAACAAGCTGCTTTCGGATGGCAGAATCCCGTCTGAAACATAAAGCTTTACAACATGGTCCAAGGTCACTGAGAAGACTTGCTCTTTCTTCTTTTCGTAGTAACGCAGCCATGTTGAGAGCCCCCAATTCGTGTTCAAAAAGACTGTCTGCATCTTCCAAAAAGGAAAAACCAACAAAAAAACATGCATTAAGTTTTCCTGAAATATAAACGTGTTATCGACTGCTTAGATGAATATTCCACAAAGTCTGTACTTTACCAAAGTTAGCAACATTGATGAAAAGTATTTTATATGAAAGGCAATCTATTATCTGCTAGTCTGAAACAAAAATAAACATTGTTAGAATTTTTTTTAAAGATTTTATTTATTTATTTTTAGAGAAGGGAAGGAAAGGAGAAAGAGGGAGAGAAACACCAATGTGTGATTGCCTCTCACGCAACCCAAGCATGTGCCCTGACTGGGAATCAAACCAGCGACCCTTTGGTTTGCAGGCTGGTGCTTAATCCACTGAGCCACACAAGCCAGGGCCAGAAAGAAACATTATGATAGCCACTTGAAGATATAAGAAAAGCAGACTCAGGAAAGAGAATTTAAGCACTGATCACTATGGGAAGAAAAGTTCAAGTTAAGAATTAGTGAAGTCACATTCAGAATATCGCACACCACACAGCGCTACTTCAAGTTCTAGGTGTCAGGACTTCACTGTAGCAAGATTCAAGTGTAATAACGTGACTGCAGACTATGACCTCTTCAAAGGCAGTCAGGAAAGTGACTAGGTGTTAGTGAGACAATCTGCAAACTTTATCCTAGATTTGGTCACTACAAAATCCCAGACAATGTACTAAATTAAAATACTTAGTTTTCTGTTGCAACACACAAGGTAAAGTACTTAAACTTAAAAAAATAGATGAATCAAGGACAGACTCAATAAAGGGGCTATATTAAAAATAGACAAAGAGGAAGCCAAAATAACAGAATACAACCAGTCAGTAATCAAAATAAATTGCAGGAAGAGCAGCAACTTCAAAGCCAGCCTTCTACGAGCCGGCCAGGGGCGCTACCAGCGCCCGGCCCTGCTTGGGCAGCAGCTGCAGCGAACAGGCTTGTGCTAGAGCCCACGGTGGAGCCATAACACCACCTAAGCACAAACAAAACACCTATTTGGTTGAGGATAAAATTACGTATTTCACTTGCATAACAAAACACTAGTCTCATACAATATACCTAGTCAATTAGTTACATATGTAGCCAACAGGTATATAACATAGGAAAAGCATAAATAAATACAAAGGAAGACTCAAAACCAGCTCGCAAACTCTGGTATCTACCAGAATTTCTGAGGAACTTTTAAAACAGCAGCGTCGGGGGCTCTCCCACTAGACTTGACAGCACCTCCGCAGCTGGGCCGCGACTCTCCCCGCAGAGAGGGGCGGCGCCTCGGGTTATCCTGGGGCGCGAATGCCTGAGCCACACAGGACGGGGCACTGTGTGCTGCTGAAGACCACCACTCACTCCCGCTCCTCTACAGACACAAGCACAGAAGGAACCTGCATGGAGTCCCAGCCATCCCTGAATACTGCTCAGTAAGGCGTTTATTTGTATTGGAATCATTAACACAGGCTTGCAAACCTCCCTAGAAAGATTAAACACGTACTGAAGTACAAGAAAAACAAAGGAAACAAAATAGTTAGAAAAGTGTAGCTCAAAAGAACTTCACACAATAACCAGAAAGCCGAGACAAAATCAATTTACATTTCAGTATACAGTTGACCCTTGAACCAAAGGAAACCAGGGAGCTGCCAACCGGCTACATAGTCGAAAGCCTCCTGTGACTTCTGACTCCCCAATAACTCAGCTGTCCCTTGGTGTTCATGGTGGGGGGACTGGTTCCGGGACCCCTGACGAATAAGAGAACCCACGGATGCTCCAGCCCCTTGTACAAAACGGCGTGGAACAACACACCTGCGAGCTTCATGACACCAGGGCTATGGTGGGCTGACCGTGTGTATGTGGGGAAGTCCACAGGTGAGTGGGCCCGCAGTTCAAACCTGTGTTGATCAAGGGTCAACTGTATACACAAGTCTTCTGCTTTAAATTAAGAATTTATGGTTGTTAGAATATATTTAAAAATTACATGTGGAGTGGAGATATACTTCCTTCAATACTGGGACACTTAAATAAACCAAGTAAAATAGAAAAATATCAGTATCAATTATTTCACCAACATTTACTGAACACCTACTATGTGTCAGGCAGTGTTGTAGGCAATGGCATCAGTAAGAACAGATCATGAGACACTGGGCACAACAGTAAACACAGTGGCATCCCTCAGAGTGTGGACTCGGCATCTTACGGCAGTTCTCTGACAAACCTGCCACAGCAAAGTACAGGGCCGACAGGTACGGAACGAACACAATCTCTCTACAGCGAGCATTTTCATTGTTTAGATTAGCCCACCGTTCAGCCAGGGTCAAACAGGACACTGCAGTGAGCAAAATCAGACTCGACTGTCACTTGAAATGCCGTTAACGAAAGCCGCAGGAGCGAGTGACTTCAGAGGTGGGCAAGACCCTAGGGCTTTCGTTCTGTCCCTGTGCCCACCGCAGCTGCCCGCGCACGAGCACGGCGCCAGCCAAGCAAGGCAGGGAGAGCGGGGCAACAGCCTCAGCTCTCGGTCCCTTGTCAGGTCAATATACGTTCCCAATTGTAATCTGTATGTTTCACGCACATACACTCTGTGCTTACTGGGACATATTAAAGTCAAGAGTTTTACTGCTATGCTAACAGATAAAGGACATGGATTCATGACACAGGTGGTCTGTTCACAAAGTATCCAGCCATGCCCGGCAGGGCGGGGAGTGAGAGAGAGAGAGAGAGAGCGAGAGAGAGAGAGAGCGAGAGAGAGAGAGCGAGTGAGAGAGCGCGCGCGCCCCCGGCTGTATGGCTCAGTTAGTTGGAGAGTTGCCCTGTACACCAAAAAGTTGCAGGTTCGATCCCTGGTCAGGGTGTGTAGAGGTGGCGATGGATCCATGTTTTTCTCTCACACTGATATTTCCCTCTCCCCTCCCCGTTTCTCTTTCTCTCTCTCAAAAAATATCAATACACACACCCTCAGGTGAGGATTAAAAAAAATACAGATCCAATATTGTAAGTGCTGCATGAGAACAGAAGGGAATCCTTTTCAAAGGCATCTGAATAGCCATAGTACGTAATATACAATGTAGAACGGAATTACCTTTGGGTTTTTCTAAAAGTCTCTGACATGTTTCTTTGACTTTGGTAAAGAGCTCAGAACCTGCCAGCTTCTTAGAAATCCCCACTCTTAGCATAACCGCTCCAGGGGTGAATTTCAGGAGCGCAGCCCCGGGTTCCCGTGGTTCTTTTGGATGCTTCGGCATAAGACCGGACCAGTCCACATCTATCACATCCAGTGGATCTGTAGAGTTAAAAGAACAGCAACCTTTTTACACCAAGAAATAGTGTTCTTGCTATCTCTAGAGAAATATAAGTTGTAAAACATAAAAGACTATTAAATAAGTACTTTAAACCAAAAACTTCATATTGTTAAGATGAAATCTTTTCTATAAACACCAATATTTAAAACCTAAGGACCTTTACAAATAAAAAAATGTTTCTCACCAACACGAAACAGGCAAACACATAAAAATCCAAGCAAACCCATTCCTATAAATAGCTCATTAAACTGCCTGAGAGCCCAATGAAAGAATCCCACTATTCCACTGAGAGTAACAGGCTTGACGTTTAAACTTGGAATCAGAGTCCTTTCACGGGTTCAATGTAGGGATCTCGTTTGCATACATGTACACACAGACATGCACACATACGCAAATTTACTTTTTAAAAACAGTTCATTATGAAACTACTTTATAAATTGGGCAGTTGTTCTTATTAACGTTGAACAAATAATTCGTCCATTGACAAGGAGCAGTTGAGGAAATTAAAAAAATAATGTTCTCTTTAGAAACATATGATAGCCAATGATAAAAATAACAATTATACATACCTTCTACATTAGCAGTAAAAAGTGTGACGCATAAGAGCAAATTAATTCAAAATAAAATGTAACACTCTATATACCTAGACAAAGCGAAGATCCTCACTGTGATAAAACAAACAAAAACCCCAAAACTTACTCTTTAATGATCAGGCTACGGGGGTGACTGACAGAGTCAGCAGTAAGCTCTGGCAAGGCATGAAGTACAGCGAGTAAAAGCAATTACTGAATTAGAAAATTGATTGAAAGAGGTATGACTAGCGTTCAAATATAATTTCAACCGCCAGGAGTTCCCGAGCAGCCGTTTGGAAAGCTGGCCACGGCGTCGCAGCTGCGAGGCTCTGGCCCAGAAGCCCAGGAGCGGGGGCGCTGCCGGACGCTCAGCATCTGGTTAGGCTCCAAGTTACTTACAGTATGGATCTTACACCCCAGAAGGGACAGCTTACAATCTTGCTACTGTAAATGAGGCCTTCCCAATTCACAGGCGAAGTCCACTTAAAAATGAACACAGCATTTCTTTTGATGATAATTTTCATTTTACTGGCCTTTCGACATCACTGAAGACCCAAGGGAAAGTCCGAACCGCCCTGCGTTAGTTCCTCGAGCTCGGGAGGGAACACACGCCTGCACACCGCAGGCCCGCGGCTCTGCGCCCGGCCCCGCACGCCCTTACCCGGCATCCTCTCCTCCTCCTGCGGGTCCTCCCTCTTCTCCGCGTCGCCCGCCAGAATCTCATCGAGCTCATCATCGCTGATGGGCTCGTACCCTTCCCCCGCGCCAGAGCCGAGCGAGTGTGTGTCATCCAACCTGGATTCGTCGTCTCCTGCTAATTGGAAAAATTAATCTCATGCCACAAGACTGTCAGAGGAAAGGACATATAATTCAAACCAAAGACGTAGAGGCTGTACACACTACAAAAATCAGGAAAGTATTTTTTTACTAGAATATGACATTTTTAATTATTCAAAACACTTGATAATTCCAAAAGAAAACTGAAAAATTCAATTACTCAAATTTAATTTTAATGGCAAGAACACAGTATGGACAGCTGTATCAAAACAGGTTATACAATTACAGTTAAAATATGAGAAATAAAAGCTAACATATTAATATTATGTGGTGTTAATTGTTATACTAAAACTTTAAGTAAATCCAGACAAATCTACTAACTTCAAAAGGATGCATGAATTTCTTTATCTAAACTCAATGTTTTAAAAACCAGCAAACTCATTCATAAAATTTGTTTGAAACTTAAATCTTAGTTCATTATACTTAATTCATAGGAAGAACTTTATAGCATGAGGTAAAATGTCAAAGTGCTATTAACTCTCCCTGTATTTCCCAATTCATCTTCCCTGTCCTGATGTTATCCTTTAGTTAATAAACATAATTTTATAAAGAATGCTGTAATATAATTTTAACACATTTTTATTAGTCCCACTGGTGTATATTCCATTTCCTTATTTTACCAACTTTTCTCAATGACCTAGTCTCCTGGTGAGTTAGTTGTGAACTTAAATTATCCTAAAATTACAGAGTACATTTAATATTTCTAATCACTCAATGACCACAACCAATAAATGACTTAGAAAAATGGTCACAAGAGAACTATTATAATCATTAGTTCAATTATATTCGATTATACCCCAGGGTGTACCTTCATTAGTACTATGGCTCACAAACAATGCTATTTAAACTCAAAAATGAGAGGAAAATGTGACTGAAGAATGTTGAGATAAAGCGTTTTTGTCAAGGAGGAAGAAGACAGAACCAATGGCGTACTGGAATATTTAATCAGCCGAAAGACGTAAGGCTGTGTAATTTTAGAAGAACGTGAGCTTCACTTGGAGCCCAATGCTACGACATGGCAAACAAAAAGGAGAGTAAAATATGGCAAGCTCCCCACGAGTTTCTGGGGTCTGGAAGTGGACAGATGATGGCAGAGCTTCAGTGTGAGCGCCGGCATCAGATCAGGACAGTGCCATGGAGGCGGGGTCTCCAGGAGAATTCTCAGGGAGGAGGGGCAGGGGGGGTCTGGTCACTGCCGGCACCCAGGCTGAAAGTCACCGAAGAACAAAACGAGGGCTCGCACGTGTGCGCAGGCACACCCCCCTCCGCGGACCGGCTGTCACTCTGTCCTTGTGGCAGGAGCGATGACAGCGACAGGAAAAGTGGCCGTCCTTTCCGAAGGGGCACAGTGGAGCGGCGAGGAAACCAAGCGACTGTAAAATTCCGACAGAGTGCAGGGATGCCATACAAGATGTACCAACAAAGGCCAGGTCAATTCTCGAGGGCAAGGGCCTTTGGCAGAGACGACTTCTTACAGAAATAACCCATAAACTGGGACTTGCAGCGTGCGTGGGAAAGAGAAGCTAGAAGGGGAAATGCATGAGACGCGGGAAAAGCAGGCGCCAAGAAGGCCGGAGGCCGCGGCTGTTCGAAAGCGGCAGCAGGGGTCAGGGGTCCGTGAGTCCTCGGCCAACCGCGGGGCAGGGCTCAGAGTGACTGCGCAGGGCTGCGGCTGGCGCGGGGAGCTCAGGCGGCGTCTCAGAGCCCCTCGCCCCAGGAGCGCGGAGCGCACACAGTGCCCCAGAGCCAGTCTGCCATTACAGGCCGTTTCGGGCAGTGTTATCGGCTCATACACTTGTTCTCAACTGCCCTAGAAAACAGGAATCGCTAAGGGCTTTTTGAATCGCTCTCTGAACCAAGAAGTCACTTCCATTTTCACAATTTTTCTACTTTTTAATGTCTATAGACGTTGCATCTAAGTACTCTTTTATGTCACTTAGGCCCATTTGAACCAAGTCTGCCTTGATAATACTAATGAGGGGAACACAGTTTAAAAATATGGTATGACTTTGCCTTTTAAAATGTACTTCCCTGAAACACAATGGAGTCGCTATATGTATCAGACTATCTTTTAAAGAGAATTTCCTGGGAAATCTAACTAGGAATGGAGCAGTAACACAGACAGAAAGGCACAGCTCACCTTCCACACTCTCACTTCTCTCCGCTTTGCTCGTGTCCTCGAATCCCTGCACGGACGCCAGGTCTCTGTCCAGCCTCTCTCTCTCCATGGCGACGGAGTCTCGGAAAGAGCCTTCCAGGTCTCGTTCGTGCTCAGGCTCCAGTTTGGCTTCACTGCGTTTCACTAACTCCATTTGAGAAGAACTCTCGAAACCCCTGTCCCTGTCTCTCTCCCTGTCCCTGTCCCTGTCCCTGTCCACAGAATCAGAAACAGGCCGCTCCCTCTCCCTGTCCAGGTCTCTCCGTTTGTCCCGCTCCCGCGGCCGCTCCCGGTCCCGGCTCCGCGCCCAGTCTTTGTCGGCGTCACGCTCCCACTCTCTCTGCCTGGCGTCCCTCCTCTCCCGCTCCCGCTCTCTGTCCTGCTCATACCGGTCCCGCTCTGGAAGCCTATCTCTGCTGTCAAAGGACCCGGATCTGGAATGACCCTGTCGGTCCGATTCAGGGGAACTTCTTCTTGAACTATGGCTTCTTGAATCCCGGCGATCTAAAATAAGCATATCATACACAAAGCGTTACCGTGTAAAACAAACAAAATGCTTCCTGTTAGGGCCCTTGAAAGCTTACAATTTATCTTTTTCTATAGTTACTCCCACTTTTCCAAAGAACTCATTTAAGGAAAAAGTGCTCTCTCAAAGTGCCGAAACAGTCCTGGCCGGGTGGCTCTGCTGGTTGGAGCCGGTCCCGTGCACCAGAGGCGGGCAGGCAGGAGGTGGCAGCCGGCGCTCTCTCACTCCGGTATTTCTCTCTCCCCCTTCCTCTATCTCTAGGACAGATGGACATGCCCTTCGGTAAGGGTTTAAGATAATAATAATAATAATAATAATAATAATAATAAAAAAAATACATAAAATATGCAGAACACCTTTCCTTGTCTATTTCCACTATAACCACAAAATATCTTCAAAGAAAGAAGTACATAAAATGGTTAAGCATTAACAGAACCGATCACTTCTTTATCGGATCTCTTCCTATCTCCCGGCTTTATTTCATGTGGTCAAAAGAGACTCGACTATCTGCTGGAAGAGCAGAAAGGTGCAAGTTTTAGGCCTCAGCAAGGGAGTTGAATACCCAAGTCCTCCCACCAAGACAGACTGCTAAAATCTTGATATTAAGCAGACTGACACCACCAGACGTACCCTTATTGTGATGCTGTGTTAATGGCACAACAGCCGACATTCTGGAGAGATGGTGCAGCTTCTATTAAGTTCTTTGAAATTTAGGGCAGGATATAAAGCAACCAATTTGGCATTTACTTTAAAACGGTAATTTGTGTGAAATATGCTAACCCAGGAAACACTGACTAGACTGTAATTCTATTTTATTACCTGAAGAAGTGCTCCGGCTGGGTTCTCCCCGCTTTAATTGGTCAATCCTGGATTTTCTCTCCCCTGAGACTTCCAAGCTCTTGGTTTTTTCTCTGTCCCTGGAGCCACTGTGCAGAACTCGCTTTCGGCCACTCTGGTCGTCTCCACTCCGGTGGGCAGACTCGCTGGACGGGGAGCGCAGCCGGCCAGATGTGTGGCTGCGGTTGCTCCGGTTGCTCCCAAGGCTGCTGCTCCTCTTTTGATCCACTGGCTTGCGGTGCGATGCCTCTTCTGCAGTCCCGTGAGGCGCCTCCACTCTTTCTGCCCGCGTCTTATGGCATTTTCTATGTGAGTCTTCACCGGTGCTGGCGGGGGTGGCGGCAGCGCTGGCGGCGGCAGCGCTGGCAGGAGTAGCGGCTGCAGCAAGGGCAGCGGGGGCAGTCGCAGCAGCAGCTGCGGCCACGGGAGGGGGCGGGGGAGGGAGGGAAGACGGAGAGGGAGTCCTGCCGGGGGTAGCCGCTGTGGCAGCTCGCTCTGCCTCCGTCACCTCGGCTCGGTCAGGCACATCCTCATCCGACCAGTCACTAAACGCTGTATCTTCTTTTCTCGGAAGATCTTCCAGAGTCCCGTCCTTATCGCTGGAGAGTTCAACCAGTCCCTGCTTGGTGGCTGGAGGGGGAGTCCGGGGGCCTCTCTTCTTCTTACTCGGCTGGGCTGCTTCTTCATCGGAAATATCAGACTCGCCTCTGGATCTCTTATGCTTTTTCTCCACACTTTTCTTCTTCTGCCCTTTCTTGGGTGAAAACGCCTGGCCGTCCTCAGACACTGTCCCTGCGTCACCCCTCTCCAGTCCAGCGTCATCCTCTCTCTTTTTTTTAATAGGTTTCTTCTGAATTTTTGCTTTCTTCTTGTTTTCATCATGGGCTCCGTCGGCCGCGTCGCGGTCTTCGCACAGGTGGTGTCCCGTCATGTCTTGCACCCGAGTCCTGGAGCCCTCCATCATTTCTACCTGTTCCCGCTGCTTATCTCCAGAAGACGCTTTCTCCTTGAGCTCCTGCTCTTCGTAGCGCCTTGAGCTCTCTTTCCTTTCCGGTTTACGCTCTTCCTCTCTCCACCGACCCTGCCTGTCTTCTGGGAAGTGCGACGGGCTGAGAGAGTGAGACTCTTGAGGTCGCACGACCTGGCTCAAGAGTCTGTGTCGTTCATCTAACACAGAAAGACAAAAGCGGTCACTCTGTCACCAAGCTAACACACTTGCACATTTCATAGACAGAATAACAAACTCATCTTTTAGTTTCATTTTAAAATTTAAAAAAAGGCAATAATCTCAGTAAACTAGAAATACGGCTTTACTGCCAACAGCAGGAAGGGGCAGTGGCGTTGCGGTGGCGCAACTGGATTTCTAGTGCACCCTTCCGTCACACGGAAGACACTGGGAGGCCACACGGCAGAGCAGGAAACCCGCAGGTCCGCACCCGCCACGGCGCGCTAACGGCAGAGAGCGGCCTCGCGGTCACAGAGGAACACGCACGCGCGCACACAGGACGCACTCCGCTCACTTTTGTCATCCCCGCTGTTGTAGGTGTCGCTGTCGGGAGAATGTTCTCGTCGGCGCTTCGGCGACTGACGGGGGCTGGGACTCCCTTCGTTTCGGTAGCGCTTCCTAAATGGGGCAAACAAATGTAATTTATAAGTTCCAGGAGGTGAAGGAGATTTCTTTACTGTGTTTTTTACTATTATTTCCTTGCTATAACTAGAATATATAACTGTGGGGTAGCAATACTGTCAGAGCTGTATCATACAAAGGTGGCTCCACTGCGTTCAGCTCTTCAATAAAATTCTTCGTCTGTTAAGCCTTACAATTGCGAACTTAAAATACACGGCAACGTATCTTCCTTTCTTCATTACACGTGTAGAATCACCCCACTGAAAATCATTAGACATAGACACTGCAAGGTGGGTACATACAGCAGGAGGTTCAATGTATTTGTGAACCTTCTACTAAAACGTCTTAATTTTACCTTTTTATACCTCACGTTGAGATGCCAAATGAAAGAATACTGGCTTCAGAGTCAAAAAGATGAGTTCAACTTATAGCCATGTAACTTATATGCAACCGTAGGTAAGTTCTTTGAAGTCACTGAATTTCAGTTTTCTCAACTGAGAATGGGGGTAAAAACAAGGGTCCACATACCATAAAATTGTAATGAGGAATAAATTAGTTATGTCATAAGCCAGGCATGCTGTGTAAAAATTAGTTTCTCTTTTCCTTTTAGAACTAAATCATTTGCTTGGTGACAAATGAATAAAATAATTCATATGTTCATTACATTTCTTGTTCTTCAGTTGAACCGTCAATAGGCAGCGATTTATATCTCTGGGTACTTGTTATTCTGGTGTTTTTCCTGTATGTTCATTAACTTCTGACCACCTACTTTTCACTAACATAGTTTGTTAATAAATACTATGGTCAAAAGTTGAGGAACATCTTAGCGCACGGTGATCTCCACGACAGCTCATTTTTATAAAGGAGCGGCCGGGGACAAGGAGGGCTCAGGCGCCGCGCAACAATCCGCACGCCCCGGCTGGTGCCATTCGCCGCCCGAAGCGCCCCCATCTGCAGGCACGGTGCTTTCCCGTCCTTCCAATCTGAGCTGATGCGGGGACTTCCTATTACAGGAGAACGTGGTCAAGTGACACTGTAAGTCTGGAGAGTTAGGGCTCCAGAGGCCTTACAGCTTCTGCTTTTGCCTGCCTGGCAGGTTTCCTCTGTTGTATGTAAAAGCAGAGCTCAGGCTCCTGGCGGAGAAGAGGCTGCGTGAAGGATAAATGAGACGCCCTGACCGACAGCCGGCAGCAGCTGCCGCGCCCGGGAGTGAGGCCTCTGGGGCCGTTCAGACCCGGCTGCACTGCCACGCTCACCCCCAGAGCGACCAGCAGAGGAACCGCTGTGCTGGCCCAGCCACGGCGGCTCCTCCACAGGATGACGAACAAAAAATGGCTGTTTTAAATGCCTAACTTCTGAAATGACTTGACTTACAGCAGGAGATAATGGATATACTAGAATAAATGTAAAACACGCAAAACCCCCCTGAATGTCAAAGCAGTACCTACAGAAACAAAATTAAAGTCAAATAAATCCTATGGCAAGCCTGCAAACCTTCTATATAACAGTGGTTAAAAAAAAGCCCTAGATAACTTCAACTACAGAGATGACAATACAAATGATGAAGGCATCAAGGTAATAACCTCACATAAGTAGTTACTGTCATGGAGCCGTTTGACTAAGCATTTAAGGTCCTTACCAATGCCTGCACTGTCTGGCCACAAAAAAAACAAGAAATTTTTGCTATTATAAGCAGAGATCGGGAAAATGGAGAAATACTACTCAAAGCATAGGACGCATGTAGTTAAAAGACAGATTTCAGAATTTTAACATTAGAAGAGAGCTGAAGAGGTCAGAGAAGAGAAATAATACACGTTATGTGCCTCCTTGTGTTAAAGGAAGTCTCTGAATTTTATGTAAGTGTAAGATGTTTTTGATGAAATGAGGGTCAACTCCAGAACGTCTTGGCCGTGGGCCCCACGGCAGCAGCCTCCCGTCTCGTGCCCTGCACTGTGCCTGTGACCACGGTCTGCGGCAGGAACAACAGGAAAGCCTACGGCAGGGGGTCCGTCCTTACCCCAGGACGACGGGCCTGAGGAAGGCGCAGAAACACTGAAGATGCGCGCTTCTTACAGGGCCGTTAACTCCAGCAAGTCTTGGTTTTGTGCCCGAAAAACTGCAAACATGACCGATCAGAGTCCAAAACCCTCCTGGCCAGTGACTGGCTCCCCCCTCGTCTGCCCCTCTGCGGCTGAGAGCCCAACACAAAGGGCACAGAGGGTGCGGAGCGGGCAGGGCTGCCTCCGCCGTGCTCTGGAGGGGACACTGCTGAGACTGGGCCAGCGCAGAAGAAAACAGTGCAGGAATGGAAGAACACGGACAACTCCTGGTGCTTTCTTTGAGAATGTGGATACCTCAGAATATATGAAAGATAACCCTAGGCTCCCCAGATACTTGAGCAAATAAATTCTTTCTATTTAAAAAAAGGAGGGGGGGGGTGTTGAAATGCCCTCAGATGTATTTATGAAATAGTAGTAACCCGTTCTTGTCCCCAACTACCTGCTGTACTCCGCAGCCCAAGAGAGGACCCGCCCCCCGCCCCCGTCCGCCAGCGGTGCAGAGGTTACAGAACCCCCCCAACCCCGGGTGTTAGGCCACTGGGACTGCTCCAGCGGCCTGCGGGACGGGACTCCAGGTCTTAGAGGTCTTAGAACACAACGGTTGGGAAGGATTATCAGGAGCAGCATCGGCAATATCTCTTGGTAACCAGTCAGCTCCACGAACTAGTTATAAAGTGGATGTGATTCAAGTTTGGTGATTCTATCACTGTTACATTGGTTTCCTGTTCAAAACAAGCCTACAGCAGGTGACTAAGCCACTGTGCCAGCAAAAATGTGATTTAAATAAGAATGATTAATTACATTCCCTGGATACATAAATAGGAGGATGAAAAAACTTATTTTTTTCCAGACAATTCAAAAATTTTTAAACACCAAATAAAAAAAATAAAATTAAAATACAGGTAAACATGGAGAAGAAAAAGAATGAACAAGACGTCAGGGGCACCCTCAGAAGCCTGTGGTGATGCCTTCAAACGGGCTCCTGCAAGGCCCCTGAACCCCTGAACCGCCCAAGGCCGCCCACCCGCCCGCTGGCCCCACGCCGCGCTTACTTCGACTTCCTCTCCTCGTGGCCCTCGCGCAGACTCCTGTCCTCGCGGAGATCTTCTCGCTTGTCTCTGCGGTCCTCCCGTCCCTTGTCTTTGTCTTCCCAGTCCCTCTGGCGCTCTCGTTCTTTCTCCCTCTCTCTGGCCCTCTCCCGCTCCCGCTCCCGCTCCCGCTCTCGCTCCCGCTCCCGCTCCTCTCTCTCGCGCTCCCGCTCCTTCTCCCGCTCGCGCTCCCTCTCCCGCTCCCTCTCGCGGTCATGGTCGCGCTCGCGCTCGCGCTCCCTGTCTCTCTCCTTCTCTCTCTCCCTGTCCCGCTCCCGCTCCCTAGCCCGCTCCCTTTCCAGCTCTCTCTCCTTCTCTCTTTCCCGGTCCCGCTCCCGCTCCCGCTCCCGGTCCCGCTCCCTGTCCCGCTCCCGCTCCCGGTCTCTTTCTCTCGCCCTTTCATCTCTCCTATCGTCCACTCTGTCTACTCTTCGTTCCTCTCTTCTTTCATCACGCTCAAGCTCGTCATTCCTTCCCTGATGTCGAATTGGTGAGCTTGGTCTTTGATCTACAATGAAAATCAAGTTTTGTCAATGATTAATTTGACAGATAACCTATTGGTAAGACAGCATGGCAAATCTTAAATTTTTTCTGTGTGTAGGGTCACAGTGGCAATAAATATAAATCAGGTACTATCTTTACTTTCAATTTAATCATCCAAATAATCACCCCTCGATGTTAAGAGATGTTTTTTCCTTAAAGGTAATTTCATCTGCCCTCTGACTAGCGTGCTGGCTGCCCCCGATCGATCGCCCCCCCTCCCGCGGGCCCGGACCGTCCTCGGCATGCTCCGTGCCCTGCCTCCAGCCCGCGGCTCCAACCCCGCTTTCTGCCGTCTCTACCCTTCACCTCTGATCTTCTCTGTCCCCCCAGCAGGACCTGAGAACACTGGTGGCAAAGGATAGGGGCAGCAGGAGGTGTAGAACATAGGAGCTGAAGGAAAAAAAAAATTTCCCTCGTAAGTCACACCTCGAATTTCAGGCAAAAATATATACATAGCAAAGTGCAGCTACTATGTGAAGGATATATAGTAGAACAAAACAATTATTTTTGCTGCAATATCAATTTATTATAAACTAAAATATTAAGGGTATGACACTTTGTAATCTTGAAATAATTAAATGTAAAAAGTGTTTCATGTTAGTGACAGGCTGATAATAACTACTAATAAATGAAAATTTTTATTGAATTATAGAACTGGTTACTCAGATGAAGAGCTGTTTTTCTTAGAGTACTAACTGATAATCTCATCATATTATATAAATTCTTTCCCAATTCATAAATCATGTAAACACAGAGGAAATTAATGCATGGTGCCAAGCTGCTCCCTTGAGCAGAAAATTTAGTCTGGGATCAAAAAAAGGATAAGAACATGGCATGACTTTTCCCAAGGACAGCCACTGCGGAAAACAGGTCCCTGTGGTGGGACTGAGGTCACTGTGATGCCTGTGCTCCTATATTATGTAACACGTATCCGTTAACTATGAAGGGGATACTATCATAGGGCCGACATCGCAAGTGGACTATCTAACAACTGCGTAGGCAGAATAATTTTAGGGTATTTCTAGGGAAGAGCTCAATATATTCATTCAAATTTCCTTTCTTACCACAAATGAAAGAATTATCCATATATACTCTTCAGAACAGAAGTTCATAAAATTTTAAAGCTAAAACAAAAGCAAACCTTGTCCAGCCTCCCTCCTTCCCTTCTTAAAAACAGAGAAACTGTGGTCCAGAAGTTTGCTTGCGAACGTCACAGAGACAGTAAGTACATCAGGCCTAAAAGCCAGCTCTCCGAAACCCTTTCTTGCTTTTGCAGAAACCAGCTTGAACCGAAAATGGCTTTATGCACTAGGCTTTTGATTCTTGGAATGGTATCTGATTGTCTGAATTCCTGGTTTGGGGGGTCATATGAATGTCCCAGTGATTTAAAAAAAGCTGAAACAAATTCAACCCTGCAACTTATAGTAATAAGGGAATGGACACTCTATTTTGTGTCTATTTTCCCAACCAAAAAGACAATGTTTCTTACTTCAAAGAAAGTGGAAAGACCATAAGAGCACTACTTTACTGTCTAAGCTGTCTTCTCTGTCTTCCCCCAAAATGTGTTCTCCGAGGACGCGCTTCTTGGCCCACCCTTCCCCTCCCCCGCCTTGACGGGTGGCTCACGCCCCTGGAGGCTGGCGCCCAGCCCCGCCGCGCTCAGACACCACCGCGCGCTCTCAGGCCGCAGCCCTACAGTTCATAGTCACTCAGACTCCGACCAGCCCTTCTGAGACGCCCCCGCCATCCAGAGTCTGCCCGGCTGGCACCTTGGTCTTCAGCCTCCTTCCTGATTCTCTTACACTTTTTTGATGAAAACTCTGTTCTCCCACCAGCTTAAGAAGAGTTATCACGCAGGTAGTAAAATGGCAATTAAACCTAAAATACTCAGCCTGACTTACAGGCTGACAACTGGGTCGATGAACTCTGACCAACCCTCTGTCCCCCTTCCTTTTCTACGAAGCAGAGCACACTTCTACCCCAACCTCCTAATTCTTCACTCTTCAAAACATTTAGTCCTACGTGTCTACACACGCTGCACCCTCCCTGCAGGGTGTTTCTTCCGCTGCTCCTTCTGGCAAACTCTTCCCATCCCTCAGACCCTGATCCGGATGTCCCCTCCTTAGGAAGCTTTCTGGGGTTCCCTCAGAGTTCTGCTTGCTCCTTTGTCTCCCCAAAGAACTGTACATCTCGGAGAATTCATCACACTCCGACTGTCTCTTTGTATCCTAATGAGCCCGTGAAGCACCACGGGCAGGACCTGAACTGCGGGGAACAGAACAAGTCAGCCACCCTGAGCCTCCCTGCTGGCCACCCGGCTCCAGGCACACGGGTCCTCTTTCAAACTCCGAAACACTCAGGCTCGCCCGCCCCTAGGATCCGGCACCGCTCTTCCCCCGCACGGAACCTTCTCAGCTTCGGCCTCCGCCACGCCACGCCACGCCTGCTTCTCCTCCCACGGTTAGGCTCTGCCTGAGCGTCACTGCCTCCCCGTGTCTCACAGACGCCTTATCTAGACAAAAAACAGGTCCCTCTCTTCTCCTTTATTTCCACTTGGGTCCCTCGTGTGTGGCCCTGACAGCACCGAATAACTGCTTCATTTGGGGGGCTACTTCGCCACTCTTCTACAAGCACAAGGGCATTCGGGCCCCGAGAATCCAGCCGGGCACCCGGGGCGCAGTAAGCGCCTGCAGACGGTGCAGCTCGCGTCAGAAACGCTGGTCTCTCTCCATCACAGGGGTGGCATTCACGGATGCAGTTACAGTAAAGGAAAACAGGAGGGGAGCAAGACCTGCGGTTAGAAGACCTCAGTGTGGACTCTACCTCTGGAACGTCTCTGTTATGTTGGAAAACTGCTACCCTTTTCTTAGCTCAAATCTCTTAAATTATAAAATATCAACTTTCTTACACCTACACTCACAGAGATAGTGTACAGATAAAGGGACTTTAAAGGGTTTTTAAAATATATATTCTCTGACAATACTGTAAAGGACATTAAGTTGGAGAATACATATAAAGCAACTATCAAAGTTCTTGGTAACTCAATGCATGTGTGGTTGAACTAAATATAAAACAAACCAAATGCTACTACTGAATTCAGGCATGCCATGAGAAAAACCTGAGCTGGGATATCAAACTAGAAAGAAAAGGAAAAAAGAAGATATACAAGCATTAGCAGGACACAGTACCAGGAGGTGAATCAGCATTACAGGAGAAATAATTTCCGCTATGAGCACAGAGCATGTAAGTGAACTCCTCTCTCGTCTGTAACTAAAGGACTCACGCACATCTTCTAACCCACACGCACTGGGCTCACCCTAGCAGACTCAGCCCTGCAGCTCCCGCCATCTGTGCCTCTCGTCTCACCTACACTCCCCCAGGGTGTGCCGTGTCTGGGAGACGGCCCCCCTCCCAGTACCGCCCGGGGAGGACACGGCGTCGCCTCTCGCTTCAGCTCACTGGGGCGCGTCAGTATTCAGTTCCCTCCTCCGTCAAGTCTTCTACAATCATCATCTCGACATTGCAGTAAACCTTTCTTTAGTAACCAGCCAAGGTTAGGGAGACTTTCATAAAATCTTAAATGTTCAACGCCCCAGTATACGCAGGCAATAGAAGCTTGTGAAAGAAAGTACGTATCACCCTTCTTAAGCAGCTTCTAGTAATCATGCTTCAAACTTGATTTAGGAGATCATCTACCAGAGTTAACAGAAAATGCCTAGCTTAAGATACACAAGAATGCAAATTTAGCTAAAGCAGACCCTACATCTCCTCATAAGGGAACATGAATAAAATGTTTCTCCAAACAACCCTAGGCTTAAAATTGTCATTTTTCTCTATGGCAGTCCTCACAAAAGTGCTCATCACAGCTACTGAGTGAGTGGCCAGGGTACTCAGATGAGAAGGCTTAAGTATCTTCTGAATCGGAAATGCCTGAACGGCACCCGAACCCGCCTTCTGTAAAGGGCTGTGTGAGCTCCTCGGTCAAGGCGAGAGGCAGGCAGGGCGCCTTGGCTCAGGCGGGGGCAGGTACCCATGGCCTGGCTTCTGCTGAGTCGCCACACAGGCTCTGGCAGAGCTACTTACATCTCTCCCTACACTAAGTAAACAAGATAGAGTGTATGAATGAATGTAACAGTTTCAAATGTGTCAACATGCAAAAGTCTTGAAAGACATCTTAGGTTAAAAAGTAAACTGATCACTGGTTTTTAAAGAAAACAACTCTCCTAGTCCATGCTGGTCACTATTTAACATGACCCCTGCGACAAACCTCTCTCTCTGTTGTCTCGGCGGTCCCTCTCCCCGTGTCTTCTCTCGAAGGAGGAGTCCCTCGGCGGGTCTCGGGCGTCTCTCTCGGGGTACCTGTCTCTTTCAGGGTAGCCGCTTCGCGTCTCCCAGCTCTCATGGTAGTTGCTGCTACTGCTGTGACCGTCCACTTGAGAAGCTCTTGTGCCACGGCTTCCTAAACAAAGGAGGTTCACGCCCATGTTTACAGGCGCACTTCATTTAACAAGTTTCATCAGTCACTATCTTTCCTACCAAAAATAAAACATACAAAGGTGTTTTTTCTTTAATTCCAAAGTGGGCTAATCACTGTTGGAAAGAATACCAACTGTGGGTCAGAACACTTAAGGTGTCTCACAACTGACGGGTAAGCGGGGTCTCAGTTACCCTCATCGACAATGGGATCATAAAGCAAGAAGGTACGTTTCAATTAGGCCCCAAACAACAAAATAAAACATAAAAACTATTGATTCATATCTAATCACGGAAATATCATGAAACACTAAAAATATGGATATATATTATTGCTTTGATTACAGTTTATAGTAACAACATCCCAACACAGAACCAAGGTGATGGCTTTCAGCAGGCGAAGGGTAAAACACACGGCGGCCACCTGCACCCCGGCGCACCACCACGAGGGACGCTGCAGACACACGAGCAGCCCGGACGAACCTCAGGGAAACGGTGCTACGGGAAAACGTCCATTTCAGCAGCATACGGTCAGCGTGGTTACTTATACAGGGGACACATCAGTGGCTGCCAGGGTCAGGGACAGGGGAGGGAGGGGCTGAGGCTGTGGCTAGGGGAGACAGAGCTGAGTCTCTTGATCACGGTGATGGTTCAGTTACACAGCGACTAAAGACAACAGCATAGTGGTTCCTAACAAAATTAAAACTATAACTATCATAAGATCCAGCATATCATATGATCCAGCCGGAATACATCCAGAAGAACTGAAATCAGGATCTAGAAGAGGTATCAGAACTCATGCTCGCTATAGCATTATTCACAATAACCAAGAGCAACCTAAATGCCCAGTGACAGATGAATGGATAGAGACAGTGTGGTACAGACATACAACAGAATACTATGCAACCTTAAGAAGGAAATCCTGCCACGGGCAACAACATGAATGAACCTGGTGCGCCTTATGCTCAGTCAGGTAAGTCAGACACAGCAGGAAGAGTATCACATTACATCACTTACGCAGGAAATCTAACATAGTCTAACTCATAGAAGCAGCAAGAAGGAGGGGGTGCCAAGGGCTGGAGGGAGAGGAACACTGGAGGTCGCAGCCAAAGGATACGAAGCACCAGCTGTACAAGATGAGCGAGTCCTAGAGACCTGCTGTATGGTCGGTGCCTGCAGTTGGCAGTAACATATCAGAAACTCCAAACTTTGGTGAGTGAGCAGATCTCATGTTAAGTATCCTTATGACACAGACACACACATGCAAATAATAAAAATAAAGAGAAGAGGAAGACATTTTTTGCAGATGACATTATGTTTATGGCATAGACTGCGGTGTATACTTATTTCCAAGCTCATCAAGTTGTATACATTAAATGTGTACAGCTTTTTGTACTTCAATCATACCCCAATGAAGTGGTTTAAAAACAAGTACAGAGAGAGATACACATCTTACACCTAAAAGGCGCAGAGCACTGAAGGAAGTGGAGCATAATTCTAAATACTGTAACAGGGTATTTTAATAACCCAAATATCTTTAAAGAATATTTTAGTTATTAAAGACCAGAAAGAAAAAATTTAAAACTTTTTTTAAAAGACTACATAAAACAACTAGGAATGAACAGGTTAGATGTCATATTAGATGGTGCTAAGAGAAAATAAGTAAAAAAAAAAAAAAAAAAAAAAGTCTGAGGATATGCCCCAGAGAAAGAAAGATAGGTAAAAAGATGAAAAATTTGAAAGGAGTGTTAAGAATCAAGAAAGATACAATGAAAGATTCAAAATACAAGGTGTGTCTGGAAAAAGTCCAGCCATTATCAATGTAACGAGAATGGTTTGTGTGACACTGTTGTGACCTGGCAGCCAAGGAGAGGGGACTGGAATGCGCACGTGTCAACAATGACGCCTTCACAGTACTGGGCGGGGTGGGGCGGGGGGAGATGGTGTTGAGTGAGCATGTGAACTGTATGGCTGTCACATGCAAAATGACTGAGCGAGAACAACGAAATCTGCGTCGGATCTTGTACTAGGCTTGAACGCTCCTCTCCAGAACCTATTCAGGTTATTCAGGCCGCAGCCGTGGCAACTGGTGACTGGCAGTGTCCTCAGGAAACACGCCCACTCATGTATCACATCCCAAGCAGAGTTATTTTTGCAAAACATCAGATCACTCAGGTGACTCAGCCCCCCTACAGCCCAGACCTGGCGCCCTGCGACTTCTGGCTTTTCCAAAAAAACTAAAGTCACCTTTGAAAGGGAAGAGATTTCAGACCATTGATGAGATTCAGGAAAATATAACAGGACAACTGATGGTGACTGGAACTGTATGAGGTCCCAGGGTTCTACTGTGAAGGGGACTGAGGTGTCATTGTCCTGTGTACAATGTTTCTTGTATCTTCTTCAATAAATGTCTTTATTTTTCATAGTACATAGCTGGATACCTTCTGGACAGACCTTGTAATGTCTAACATATGCCTCACTGTATACTGTTCAGAGTCATAGTTAAAATAAAAAAATACAGAAAGCCTGAAAGGATGAAAACAGGTATATCAAACAAATACTAACTAAAAGGAGTCTGCGGAGTGACGTCAGAGGGACAGCAGCATGAGAGGGTCCCCCGGTCTATCCTGCTGAAGTTGCAACAATTTGAACTCTAACTTATGATTCAACAAAGGACTCCGTGCTCACCACACAACTACGTCTGAGAGATCCCCGCGCTGAGACAGCCGTCGGGGGTGAGCAGGAGAGAGAGGGGGGCGGGGAAGGGAGAGCAGTGGAGCCGCGCGCCAAGGCCACAGCAAGGCGCTCGCTGCAGGCGCTGGGCAGGAGAGGAGGGGACGAGACTGCGGCCTGCACCCCGCAGCCCAGAGGGGCGGAGGTCCACGGAGGCGAGCGCTCCTGCTGCAGCGGCTGGTACGGTGCCCGGCCGACCCTGGCAATGCGGGCAGAGAGGGAGCTCAGAGGTGTGGCATGGCTATTAGGCGGCCGCTGTGGTGGCTGCCATTGCCAGACGGGAAAACACAGCCGAGAAGCCTGGCCACCTCCCCGCAGCCCTGCAGAGGGTGGGACCCTCCTGCACACACTTCCTGCGGGCCTGAGACCTGGAGGGACAGAAGCGCCTTCCCGCGAGCGGCAGCCGCGGGCTGCAGCTGAGCCCAGAGGCAGGGGCAGAGACACAGAGGTGAGGCCCCTGGGAGGGGGGCAAAGCCACAAAGGCCCCCGGCAGCCTTGCCCAGGCAGCCGCCCCCACTCGCGGTGGCTGGACGGGGACCGTTTCTGGGCGCAGGGGGAGCGCTGGAATTTCGCCGGCCTGAAGCCGCATGTCCCCAGCGTTCCCCCAAGAAAAGCCAAGACAGGGAGAAGGTGAGGGGCCTTCAGCTTCACGTGAAGCTGTAATGCTGAGGGAGACAGACCCACAGACCAGTGAAAAGGATAAGAGCGGCCAGACCACGCAGCGGTGTTTTGGGGAAGGGGAGAGAAGCAGGTGGGAGAAAAAGAGAGCAGTTAAAGTTAATTCAGTCCAAGCAGTTTGGAGACAGTCAAATACATATTGGTAGGTAGTTATTGGGTATGACAAATGCTTTTTTAGGGGGAAATAAGAAAAATGGCTCAAGATCCTGATAGGTGATGATCTGAGGTGATTTAAAGCAAGTACAAATACTGACAAATACACAAATCAGTCATTTCTGACACTGTCAATTTTGAAAGCCCACCATTTTAATCCCACTTTAACGATCATTTTATCACATACACACACACCCGTTTATTAGAAATCACTCCCTTCTGAGCCCTTTTTGGCCTGTTGGCAGTGTTCTGAGTGTCTCACATTCACCAAGACGGGGGGCAGGATTTAATTTAAGCAGGGTCTCGGCCAGGCCTGCTTACCTTTTGCTACTTTTGCTCCCAGTTCCTATTCAGAATTCACAAATTCAATGAACTGAAAATTACTTTAATGAAACAACGATAATGAAGTAGAAATAATATATTGAGAAGAGAAACCTTAGGAGATTTAACAGGTCCTACGGAAGCACACGAGACACAGTCACCAGCCCGGGGAAAGCCTTACCCTTCTCTGGCACCTCGGGGCCTCTCCCCCGACTTCTGCCCATGCGGTCGGTCCTCAGCTCGCTCCGAGACTCACTTCGGGAATCGCTCCGCAGCTCCGTCCGGGAACCTTCTTCCCTCGGGTGGTTTCTGCCGTAGCTCCGGGACTCCTCCTGATACGCCTCCTCCTTCCGGTGCGCGTCCCGGCTCTCCCGGTCCCTGTAGTCGTGGGCGTCCCGAGCGGAGCGCGAATCTCTGGGGTCGCGGCTCTCCTTGGTCTCCCGGCCATAGTCTCTCGTCTCCCTGGAGTCCCTCGGGTCCCTCCGCTCCCGGGCGTCCCTGGGGTCCCTCCGCTCCCGAGCCTCCCGGAGCTCCCTGTCTTCTCTGTGGTCTCTGGAGGGGCCCTGGTCCTGCTCGTACTCCCGCTCTTCTCGCGTGTCCTTTTCTCTGTCCCTTTTGCCTCTAGTCTCTGTAATGCAATTGTGGAAATCAAACGTGATTCCTTTCACAAAATTTTGGGAAACTAAACAATATATTTAATGTGGAGCTTTTAAGATTTTATTACAACAGTAATTCATGTTCTTTGCTGAAAACAGAAGGAGAAAACAGTTTCACAAAAGAAAACTAAATCCATCCAAAAGCTCAAGTTCCAAAGGTAACTTCACTAACACTTAGATGACTGTTTTCGTTGGATAAACCCTAAGAAAGATCTTCCCCTGCCCCATTTGTCCCCACCTAAAAGACTGAAACAAGTCAGTCGGCCTCGTATCACTGCTGGCTCCCTTTTTAGGGACACTGGGAGACGCAAGGCCACAGGCCAGGTGGGCCCACAGAGGACCCCGCGAGTGCAGCCAAGCGCTCAGGCGGCCTACGGGTGGGGGCTGGCCGGCAAACAGGTGCCGTTCTTCTCTTCTCTTGCGCCACTGAATGGAATCACACTCGCGTCTTTAAAGCTGCCTCTACTTGAAGCATTGTGTAAGATTTCACAGAGAAATAAATTAGCGGTTTCAGTTATAAGAGAGCTGGAATGAATCTCGCGGATCTTTTAATCCTGACTTGTCGCTGTATAGATGAAGAAATAGAGGCCCGGAACTTAAATGGCTTAGTTAACCCTGTACACCTCATGGGAATTTGCAAATATTAAAACTAGTCTTTAGATGTGTCTACAATAGACAGAGACTGACTACAACACAAACCCGATATGGATCAAAGAATCAGCAAGAGAACCCCAAGGAACAAACGCTGCCTTCTCACAAGCCAGGTCCTTTGTAAGCGGCTCTGGCGCCCTGTCCTGCCCCAGACCGGGGCCAGGCTAGGCCCTGCAGCAGCTTTGTGTCTGGGATGCCACCCGCTCGCCTCCTTCCCCCTGTCTTCCCCGTGGCTGGGTCCGCAGGCTCGTCCAAGCGCCCACACACCTAGTCCCCACGAGTCCTCTGGATCCTCACAGCAGTGCCACGCTTGCCCCGCGCAGTCCTTTGTCCCAATGCCTGCGCCCTTAAATGTCACTAAGGACAGAAGCACTAGGCAAGGATTTGATATGTTTCTATCCCTTCTTGTGAATACCTATTACTTCTAATCCTCCTCCAATACCAACTGTGCCTAAAAATATGTTCACTTAATACTTTTTTCATGATGCCCCATCTGTCTTTGCAAATATACCTAACTACTGCATTTTGTTCTTTACCTACCTCCCCATTCTTCCACTAAAATTATTTTTATTTCAGGAAATGCCATCCAAGTAGAGAGGAACAGATATCTCTTGTACGGAAGGCTAAAGAAATGCCCCCTCAGAAGAACCTAAACACACACAGATTCTTCCTACAGCACAAGCCTCCCTTTCCACTAAAGCGGCAGCCCTAACCACACTCGGCTGCATGTCTTCCTCTTCACTGGTGGGCTTCAGGATTAGGTTTCGCAATAATGAAGCTTTTATTCAGTAAGTAGTCACTAAACAAATACTGTATTCCTGGCCAACTCTACTTGCTAAATATCTTCTTAAAATTAATAGTTACAAGAGAATTTTTCCATCTTCCCAATGCTCCATAAATACTGATGTGCTGATCTGGTTCCAAAACCATGTACATAGAGATAATTCTGTAAAACAGGTGCTCTCTCTAGTCCCTCCCCAAGCCTCCATCACTCCCTTGGATAAAAATCTTTAACTATTGCTTGCACTGTCAACAGGAAAGAATAGTAACTAAGTTCAACATGTTTCCTGGGAAACTGCTACACTTCCACTCACAGACAGGCTCTCAAAATGCACATTAAACAGAAACGCGGCAAGGAAGCCAGTGCTCCTGAGCAGTCATTACGTCCGAAAACTCACCCTGCAGAGGGCGGAGGAAAAACCTGCCCTGGTCCACGCGCAAGGACGAGAGGCTGAGCTGCGCACAGGGACTCGGCACAGCAGGGAGGAGGCCCTGCTGCCGGGCTGCAACGGCCCCTCAGCGTGCAGGGGCGGGCACGGCGAGTCCCGAGTCAACGCCTTCTCCAGCTGCACCCGGAGGACCCGGCCTCGGTGCACAGCGACCCCCTGGACACCCCAGCTCTCGCCTCTTCGCCAAATGCGTCTGACGCCCTCCGACCCTGCCCTCTGCTTTGCTGCTTCTCCTCCCTTCACCGTTTCTTTTTTTCAAAGGACTGACTAAGCAATCAGAAGGACGCACTCAGAATAAAATGGCCAAGAATTTCTAGAACTTGAGTACGAAAGTGAAACACCTTAAAGGAAACATCAGCTTAGCAAACACATCAGTGTCTGCTTACATGCACAGGGTCCGGCAGGAGTAGCGCCCACGCGTGCGGCTGGGCAGGGTACGTCAATGTCTCGCATGAAAGGGACAGCAATTTGAACATTTCATCCGAAATATCATATGGTGGCTTGAGTGTGATGTGGTATGCTACAGAACTGCACACTCATGGTTTTGTAGTAAGACTTTCATATGATAAAAAGGGGCGTTACTTGTGCCAGGCCCTGTGTTTGAACAGCTTACATCCCCACGTCATTAAGCAGCCCAAGACCTGTCCTCTGTGTTACAGAAGACTTAATGCAACAGTTCTGTCTGCCCCAATTGTAACAGTAAGTCTGAATGTCCGAGTTTTAAATTTAAAAACAATCTACTTAAACAACTGAAAAAGCAAGTGAAGCGGCACCAGGGCACGCAGGGCATACCCTCCCTCCGCTCATGGCGCCGGTCGTGGGGCTGCGAGGCCCGCTCGTGCTCGTGCCTGCCCTTCTCGCGGGCAGGCGAGCGGTGGCGCGCGGGGCTCGGCTTCCTCGGCGGGGAGGACAGGGAGCGCGAAGCCGTGTAGGGCGAGGCGGAGCGCCGCAGGGGCGGGCTCAGCGCCCGCGGGTAGGCCGGCGAGGGGGTCCGCTTGCGCCGCGGGGAGAGTGAGTGTCTCTGCACGGAGGAGCCGGACTGGGAGGAGGACGAGTGGTGCCGCGAGGACACGGGCGAGCGGTGCTGTCCTGAGGGGGAGGCCGACCTGCAAGGCAAAGCACACGGTCAGGGCCTCATCTCCGGTAGCTGCGAACCTTTTTCCAAAACAAAAGCCAGATGTGAAAGTTAAAGCTGAGGCGTGAGTAATTCCTCCCTCTGAACTGCCTTAAATGAGCGACTGACTCTCAGCTTATGACTCCCAGCCGCAGCTGAACACCAGAACCACCGGGAGCCTGTAAAAGGCTGGACGCGGAGGAAGTAACTCCCGACACTCAGTCGAGCAGAAAACGTGGGGACTGGGAAGAGCCAACGCTCCCGGGTGCCTCCAGTGTGCAGCGCTGTCTGGCCATGAGTCCTTACTTCAAACAACCGATTCCAAATCTGCTACTATGTAAGTACCGCTTAGGGAAAAAAGTGCAAATATTAGAAAAACTAATTTTAGGGTTACATTTGATGAACTATTAGTTTATGTAAAAACCTGCAAAGGGAAAGTCATGTGTAACTGTTACTATGTTGTAATTTATTACTGAAGTAGAAAGATATAGCGTATACTTACTGAGCACTTGGCTCATTTTTTAAAGCTCTCTCATTTAATCCTCACCTCAACCCTGTGAAGCAACATCATGCATATTTTGCAACTAAATAGAATAAACAGAGGCTCAGAGAAAACAAGTAACTTATTCAGGACCTCGCATCAAATAACTGGCAGAGCCAAGAAACAAGTGCCTGTGAACTCAAGGCGTGTGCACTGTTACCCTGTAACTCGGAAAGAAAAGAGACTCAGAGCTCTGAAGAGTTCAATTTTCTTGAGGAAATATTATTTCTTTATTTACAAAAAAATTTGAAAACGAATATTAAAAAACTAACAAGGATAACACATCCCTACCAAATCTGCAAGCATTCCACGGACCTTGTGAACCAGAAAGGTCAATCGACACACTACACCCCTGTCCGTAACGGCACGGCTCGCGGCAGCCCAGGGGCCGAGGCCACCCACACGTCCATCGACAGGTAACGGCATCAACCACCGCGGTCAGTGCAGACGACAAAACACCCCTCAGCGTTCAGAGGGAAGGCGACCCTGGCCCGCACTCTGCCATGGATGACCCTGAAGATGCTGCGCCAAGGGCAACAAGCCAGCCACAGAAAGACAGCACGGTTCTATTTACAGGAGGTGTCTAACGTGCTCAGATTCTGGTCGCTAGGGGCTGAGGCGCTGGGCGCAGGGGAGAGCAAAAGGGAGTTGTTTATTGAGTCTGCAGTTTCAGATTTGCAAGATGAAAAAGTTCTGGAGATATGTTTCATGACAATGCAAATATTCTTAACACTACTGACCGAACTATACCCTTAAAAATGAAGATTGGGAATTTTGGTTTCTTAATCACAATAAAAAATTTTAAGTTAATGTTTATTGAATTATCCACAAGTCAATATGGGAACTATTAAATATACATATGTAATTTAATAACACTGAAAACATCCATTACAGTTATGCCTAAAAGCTTCTGAAAAGTATTTTAGATCCCGCAAAAGTAAGACTGTTAAAAAACACAGAACCCTCCTTACTCACCTGGGCTTGTCTCTTTTTTCCCTTTGTCTTTCAAAATCCCGCCCTCTGTCCTTTCCATCTCTTGGTTTTTCTTCTATCCTGTCTTTTACTTTATACTTTTCTTTATATTTTTTCCCCAGAGCAATATCTTCCTGCACAGGAGGTGGTGGACTAGGAGTGCGAGGTCCTTTTTTCTTACTTTGGTTGCTTTTCGAATTCCTGAAGGTAACACAGAGCTATCATTAGAGATCCAAATATTTTGGAAGGTCTAATGGATATATATTTTTTCATTTTAACAAAGCACATTTTAAAAATGGTAGCATTCCTTTCAATAATTTGCCTTTGATTATTTTGTATACTAGTAATCAATATCTAGAAAACAGAGAAATGAGCAAATGATTTACTTGTTACTTATTTCACTAACACTACTTAATAAACAATTTACAGGGTAGGAAGAGATTCTTTCAGGAAAGGAAGTAATATAAAATAAAAAATGCAGAAACTAAATTTCAGCACTTTAAATAATGTTACCTAAGTGGGAGACTTCCATCTCTCCTTTTGCTTTCCAATATCCTAAGTATGTTTCCAAATTTGGTCATAATCTTTTTAAGCAACACTAATTTTACTAATTCAAAGTTTGGCAATCTCATTATTGTACTCTTTTCAGCTTAAAAAAGTGTTTTTCTTCCACAATACCTTTGTTTACAGGTTGCTTATATTTTCATCAACTGCTCTTATCATGCCAATGCACTATTCTCTCAAACTGTACTCAATTATAAATTATTTAAATTTGTCTGTTTTCTGCAACGCTTGAGTATGCAGTCTGGTGCCGCGTTTTTAATGAGCCTCTTTCTGTTCATACGTCTGCTAAGTTTTCACTAGCCACTCATTTCACTACCGGTTGATTTTTACAAACGTCGACCTGACCCTGAATTCCAGAACTTACTGTCTGTGACCTTCAGTTCTCTAATCCCAAGTTTCCTTCACTATAAAAAGGTACAGGATAGTAACTTCCTCAAATTGCTGATAAAATTTAAAAAAAGATAACAATACAAAAGCAACCAACTTATGGTGGCCATTCAGAAAATTTGGTTCCTTACTCCTTTATCCCTATTTCTTATTATAATGGATAGGGTTAACCACCTAACAGGTCAGAAATTACTAAATGATATCCAAATTTATTTTTCATCTTTTTCTTCTGCCAAGAATCAGATGACTCAAATATTCTGCGCTTCTAAATATTTTTCCTCTTAAAAGACAAAAACTAATCAATAGTTGGTATCTGTAGCAAAAATTTTAAAGACTATTTTGAAGATAAAAGAGAGGAATTCTCACCACAACTGTATTTTCATATTACTGCCTGTGACAGAGACTAGCAAGGTGTTCACTAAGCTGTTGTCCTGCGCACAATGTTTAGCCATCCTGTCCAGCCTTTTCTTGAAATCAGGTATGACCACATGACCGAGTGTTGCCCAAAGAAATGTCAGCAGAAGTAAGATTTATTACTTCCAGGCCTAACAAACGGAAGACTCTCATGCCCCCAGTGACTAAATAAATTTAATACTCCAATTAATTTTTTTCTTTGCAGATTCCATTTTTTGGTGTCCTCAAAAAACCTAAAAAGGTGGAGTCAGAGTCCGAAAGGGCTGAGGTCGCTGAATCTCCATGTATGGCAGAGCCACCTGCTCCTCAGAAACTCCCCCTTTCACTTGGGTAAGAAATAAACTCCTGTGTGCTAAACTCACATGTTGGAATTAAAACTACTGTAAAAACAAGGATTACCCCAATACGCTCGCTAAGGTACAGGATCTCCTCACTTTACCATAAAAAGTACACGCAGTTGGAAAATACAATTTTGTTATGTATACAGTGTTTTCAAGTGCCTTCCAGCTGCATGAAGTTGAGATCTTTTGACATTTTTTAAGTCAGCTGATTGCTCTTTAGAGGCAGGAGCCCACTTCCTCTTTGTGGCACACAGCGCCATCATACGCTCCTATCATTTTTAGATCCCCTCTCTCTCTCCTTGAAACTACTTCTTTTAAAGAGCTCTTGACACACTTCACGCATCTTTACACAAAGGGTCATGAAGAGAAGAACCTTCCTTAACGAAAACCGAGAGAGAACGCGGACGGCCAGGACAGGCAGCGCTGGCCAGCCCTGCACTGCACGGCGCCTCCGGGCCAACGCTGAGCGCCCATCCAGCTGCGTCTCTCCGCAGGGGGTGGGGGGACCCAGCTCTCAGGCTGCAGGGTGAGGGGTGTTGGGTCGTAGTTCTCTCTGCCTCCTCAGTACAGTAACCATGTAAGACTAGGACCAAAGAGTCTGTTCACCTGATTGTCACCTCAGGTGACTTTGGGGCACCGGTTTCAACCTTCCATTGAATTTTAAATGAAATTCTAACCTTTGCTTGTGGCTTAATATGTCTTCAAACAGTTTATAGTATAACTGAGAAATGAAGCTAAGAAACTACAGAGCTGGTATCAGAAATGGTATAGGCAATTCAATGTTTTTTTGTACCTAAAATTTACTGTTTCCCAGATCCTTCTGTTTCTTTTATTAAATTAATGGTGCACTTAAAGTCACCAACATTGTAGAATATAGGAAATAGCATAGTTCAATCAATGGGGGTCATTACTCAAGCTAAATATTCAACAAAAGTTAGTGACCTACAATAAAGCAGTTAAGAGAAAACTACATGAAAAAGAGGAGGATGAAACTAACCCTACATCTAAATAGTTACCAAAACTGTCTATGAAGAGATTCAATTTCAAAGATTTTATAAACAGAAAGAATAGAACAATGAAAAGAGAGTATCTGTGGTATACTGTTTTTTGGGGGGAAATGAATAGAATTGAGGGAAAGTTAGTAACTGGTCAGCCAGGTGGATACAGAGCAAGTGGGGGTGAATCGCTCGCTCTGCTGTTCCGCTTCTCCCACGTCCCTTGCAATGTTCACTCAATCACAGAGCAGAGAGGATCAAGGCAACTTTACAGAGCGACTTACTAAAATGCAAAGCTCCGCAAAGCAGGTGCTGTGGGGAGACAGAACAAGGAGCCATCAAGGTTCTAGTCTACAAGGCACCTAAATTTAGTAGAGGCTGTAAAACTAGCACGCCACAGCGAAAATGTAGTGCAAACAACTAATATTAAGAGGTGGTATAAATAAAATCTGATATACATAAATTATGTTTAGTAAGGAGAAATTAGAAAACAGAGACAAAATTTGAGCTAGACATTAAAGAATGAAATATGGAAGAGTAGAAAAGAAGATTGGATAAAAATATGGCTAAAAAATCAAAGTCTGTCATTCTAAAAAATCTGAATTTTACTTAACAGAACAGAAATTCACTGAGTTTTTCAATGATAAAATAAACAAACTGGAATAGTTCTCTGAAGATTTCTTTTACAACATCTGTAAAATATAGGAGCTGGGGTATCTGTGTGAAAAGTGGACACTAAATGATGTTAATATGACAGTAAGATGATATGATAATCTAGGCAAAATGGAACTGGAGTCTGAGACAGGGTTAAAGCCTCTAGAAACTAGAAGGAAGGAATCAAGTACGAATTTCATTATGCGTGCAGACGGACAAGGTTTGCCAACTGGTCAAAAGCTGGGAAGAGGTTTTTTCTTAAATAAAATTACTGTCTGTACTTTAACTAAAATGTAAAATAGTAGAGTGACATTAAATGAAAAAGTGTCTCCTGCCTTATTCTCACTCCCTCAATGTAATAATATTTAAATATTTCTGTTTTTATCTCCTCCACTGGCTACTACAATAAAGCTAAATAATATATTATTACTGCTATGTATGCACTATAAAGAATATAATCTCTTGGTCATACAAAGAGACAATTATACATAATGAATTAAGGTCATTATGTGTAATTTCTAATAGCTAAAAATTAGTAACAACTTAAATGTTCAACAAAGTAAATAAATATATAGTATAAATACTAAAAAACTAAGGCTACATCTATCAATACAGATAAATGTAAAAAGTGTTAAGTGAAAAAGCTGCAGAGGGTTATAATACATCTGTATTAAGATTAAACAGATGAAAAATACTACTACATATTGCAAAATAATACACATTATGACAGGATGAAGACACATGCACAAGTATCACAAAAACCAAACTGAAGAGGGAAAAACAGGAAGTATATCTGGTATGTTTCATTTCTTAAAAAATAAAAAGCTCTGCAGTATGTGTAGATGTGAAAGACTCTTTTATTGCTATTTTCTTTTATCTGAAGCATGTCAGTTTTTCTAAAAGAAAAACAGCTCACACCAAGGCCTGAAAGCATTAAAAGCACCCCCGGTAGCCTCCTTCCGCCCTCGAGCACCCCTTCAGAGCAAGCTGCTTCCTCGCGGCACTGCGTGCCACCCAACTGACCTCTGCGGGTCCGGCAGCGGGGAGGACACTGCGGCTGCCTTCTTGTCCTTCTTGCTGGAGGAAGAGGACGATTTAGGGCTCGACTTTCGCTTTGGAGATTTGCTAGACTTCCTCAGAGAAGGCGATGGAGATAACTTGGATCTAACCACTTCTGGTGAGACCTTCCAAGAAAATTCAGCAGGTCAATTCAGAAACTTCTATCATGGTTGGAATAACCAGGCAACAAAGCATGTGTTTTTACATCACACCGAAATTTAGAGGATGAACTATTAAGTGCTATTATGAAAGCCATGTATTGATGGCATTCTGACCTCTGAACCTGTGCTTTTCTCCCTAAGACTAATACCAATAAAACTAAAGTTAAGAAATTTTAAGATCTCCTAAGAAAATTCACAAATTATATTCAAATAAATGATCTCCCTCTCTTTAGAAATGAATCAACTATTCTAGAAATAGCACAGGCCTAAACAACAGACGTGTGTCTAATCATATCCCATTTTACATTAGCCTGTCCCTCCAGCCAACAGAACCTCAGTGTGTTCACCTTTTCAGCAGGAACAAGATTTCCTATTTAGCTAATAAAATAATAATGACAAATGATTAACATATATGAAGTGGACTGATATGCAGCAAGTTGACCAATATAAATCAATATCCTAATACAATTTAAGATGTACCAAGTAGCTAATGAGTTCTGTTAAATATCCATGTTGATGTCAATTAATTAACATATATTTGAACAAATAACACACCTCCTTTTTAATAATAATTTCTTCTCTCTTCTCCATGTTTTCTTGTTCCAGCTTCATTAATTCCCTCTGTATCTTCTGACGCTTCATTTCCAATGACAACTCATGAACATAATCATAATTAATATCTCCATTGTCAGAATCTTTAAAATAAAAATCCCATTACTTGTCAGAAGGTATCATAATTATCTATATCAAAAACTACAGAATCTCTTCAACTAATTTTTATATAAATTAAAATGGAAGAGTTTTTTATTAGATTAACATACTTCTAAAAGATAAAATAAATATATAGCGTCTCTATAAAGGATTAAAATCAACATGGCTGATTTATGAAAAGCCAAGTATTTTTAAGGTTCCCAGGGTCTGGGAGTAATTTTGGATAGTTGGTCGCTGGGTTTTGGTTAGCAAATGGGATTTTTAAAAGACAAAATTAAAACACTCAGAAACAAATTCTAAGCATTAAAGATACCAAAAGGTGCACAATTTTCAAATCTTGCCAGTTTCAATCAAGAGAAAACATAAATAGCCATGTGAACACTCTGCAAGGGAAGCCACTACAAAAGATATTTATACACCTTTTCAAACACCGGAATAAATAAAAGGTTCTTGTAACAAAATCACTTCAGTATTTTTTAGATGACTGTCTAGAATAAAGTGTTGGCAATCAACAGCTAGGGGAGAGAAGGCCTGCACAACAAGAGAGAAAAACCAGAGGGACAGCCAAGGGGGAAGGACTTGGAGGAGAAAGAGGCCCTCGTACGTGTCGCGTGCAGCAGAAAGGTTACAGAAGACAGACGAGGACTATCCGTGTATTGAGCCTGGAGGAAGCTTTTAGGGGCCTTGGAGAACAGTTTAGGGAAGACACGGGTCAGAAGACTGAATAAGTACAAGGGGAAAAACAGAGACAGGAGGGTACACAACTCGTTGAAGAGTTTGGTTGCAAAGTGGGGACAAGCAGGGTGATGGGTATAAGGAACGTGGGAGAAGAAAAATGTCAAGGCAGATGTTCAATACGTAAAGACTGCAAAGGGGGAAGGCCGTCAGAGGCAGAATACAGGGACTATCACCTGGTACAGCAGAGGGAGGCCTCTTACACAGAGCGAAAGGGAATGAGGAAGTTTAGGTGTAGACAAAACAACTAGTCTGCAGGGGCGCAGGGGCGGCAAGCGAGGGAGCTCGTGGATGACAAGTCCTGTCCCCTCCGAGGGTAAACAGCAAGCAGCCAAACGAGGGATTAGAGATTTGGGAGGTTTTGAATTAGCTACTATGGAAATATGGAGAAAACGGACTTAGGCTTTTCTGAACCTTTTTAAATTTCCAACAATAAGCATACAATATTGAAACAGAAACATTTTTATTTTTAAAGATATGAGGTTTCCAATATCTTTCAGAATTTTATCCAAAAATAATTAAAAAGAAAAGAATGTTGAATATGTTAAGGGTTAATCCTTTATTATTTAGGAAAAGTTAGCTATCCAATCTTGACAGTAAAAGTTTGTAATACGTTATTTCAGTATATTAACTAATTAATCAACCACAATGGAACATTATAGCTCCATTCACAACTATTTTGTAAGAGGTATTAGACTGGCTTATGAGATCTCAATGAACTACTCACAGGTAAGTTTTCTATTTGTTCTTAGAGGCCACTGTTTAGCAGATAACGCTGTCCAAAGATGGAATGAATTTCCTTAAAAAGTACTGATGTTCAAATTACTGGAGAGGCAGTGAGGGTATAATTCAAGTACTAGTCTATGTAAGTTCCCAGAGACTGTTCCTAATTATAGGAGTAACTATTTTAGGCTTGCAGGCTCTTTGCTGTCACAAGTAATCAACTCATCCATGGTAGTTCTAAAGCAGCCACAGAAAAATATGTCACCCAATGCATGCTGCTGTATTCCAAATAAAGCTTTATTTGCAAAAAGAGTCAGCTGACCCACAAGCTGTAATTTTGGTCTTACTGCTGAGAAGTTGCTTATATTCTTAAACTCTTTAGTTACATCATTTGTAATTAGTGCAGCAAAGCTACTGAATGAATGAGGTAATTATACGAATTATATTAAAATGCTCAGCACACCCAACACATTCCACAAACGTGTCCCCTTTCTCTATATTTGGTAGTGTGAGGCTAGCATGCTCATGGTGTGGAAAATAAATGCTTATTTGTTAAGACAATGACTCAAAGATGATTTTGCTAATTTTTCATAAACAAACTCAAAGTCTCAATTACCGAATTTGGATCTCTTTTGAAAGATGAAAGTCAACAATTCCCCAGAAATAATTTTCCGAGGTCTTTAAAAATTTTAAATCTTTTAATACTATGAAAAAATACATAACTTCAGATTGAATCTTTTAACTCTGATATTGAGAAAAAGGAAAGTTACAAGCGTAATAAAATTCTCAGGGACTGTGACGCTGCACAAGGCAGCCACAGAAGAGAAAGGGGGAGGAGGCTGAACAGCCCGCTCTGCCCCGCTCTGTCCCCGCGGGTGCGCTCTGCCTGACGCCTCAGTGAGACAACCCTACACCCACAGGCAGGTCACACTCGACAAGGGTTTTGAGGCCCTTTTCAAACAGTCTGCAACACAAATAATCAGCGAACTGACTACAGAAACAAAGGCTTTTGAAACTCACCATCTCTATTCGTTTCCCATTCTACATTTTCCTCCTCACTCTCTGGAGTTCTCTCCTTGGTGATTTTTATGTCTTCCTTTTCCCTATGTCTCCCCCTTGAAGATTCTTTCTAAAAAGTACATACATATATGCAAATTACTAAGTATTTTTTAATTATATGAGATAGCTATGATAATAGAAAGTATTTCTAACTTCATCTTTGTTTCGTTAGGAATCAGGTCTGTAAATAATCACTGACCTACTAAGCAGAGGAAATGACAAGTCCTAGTGTAGCACCACAATAAAAGACATTATATGATATTTATTTTACTAAAGAACAAAGATGCAGTAAATGTAAGGAGTAATTAAGATTTTGAAATACACATTGCAAATCTAATGCTTTAATAACCATTTGATAGTACATTGCGTACTAGCATCTCTGTGTGTGTGTGAAAAATCACAGGGTAAAAGACTGTTTAAAATAGATAAAATACAGAAGGATTTGTGACTTTAACAAGTTACTAAAAAAGGGATACACCAATCAGGGTACTTGCTGACCTAAGACTTGCTATACATCACAACGTAACAGCACTTTCCCACACACCTAAAGATAAATCCAAACTCTTTTCATAATTTTGCAAATGCTTTCAAAAAAGAGGCTTTCCCTATTTTGATGAAACCAAATGATCATCAACTGATGAATGAATAAACAAAATGTGAATACTATTTGGCAAAAACAAGGAATAAATACAGATACATCCTATAATCTTTCATGAACCTTGAAAACACTATGCTGAGTGAAAGGAGCTAGTCACAAACCCCCGCCCCCCATACTGCAGGGCTGCACATGTAGGAACTGTCTGAAATAGGCAAACCTACAGTGACAGTAAGTGGAACAGCGGTCGCCGAGGCCTCCTGGGCCGTCGGACGGACATGGGGGTGGATGCTAACGGGCACGGAGTTCCTTCTGGAAGTGATGCAATGCTCCGGAACTGACTGTGGTGATGGTCCCCTGACTGTGAATATGTGAAAAATCACCAGTGTACACTTTAAAAGGGCAAATTGTACGGTATGTGAATTATGTCTCAACAAATCTGTTACAATAAATTTCTTGGGGAAAAAAATGTCTCTGGAAAAGACTTCCATTCCTGACGAACACCTGTTTTCTTTTATTCAATAAACTTTATCACAAATTGTGCTTCTCTTTCGGCTCAACTGTCAGGAAATTCTTCACTAAATTTTGCTGTCACGTGTGCCTTTACCTAAGTTTCCTAGTCCAGTTTCTGTCACCGTCGGGCTCTGCTTCCCCTGTTTTAATATGTAAGTGTTCCACTTTAAGCCACGCCAATCATTCTGGAAGTGGGCAGGGTAGAATGGCTGGCTGCACTCTGAAGATCTGACGACATGTGTAGCGACTCCTGACGCCCACCAACGTCAAGAAACCCCAAGAAGTTCAGCTGGAGCCCTGCCAATGAATTCCCTTCGTCTTAACCTCCTCCAAGAAGTGAACCAACCAGAGAATTACATGTTTTGCCGGAGGACTTTTCCCCTGAGAATTACATTCTCTGCACATAGCATCATTCTGCATGTTACACACTCACCATACATGTCCTTAGCACACAAGATAGTATTTAAAGCAAACGTAAATGACAGGTCCCTACTGCAACGTAACTGCGCGTGGGGAGCCCACTCCTACCCGGACAGGGGAGGAGGACTCCTCCGCGTTGCGCTTCTGGGGCTCGGAGTCCACATCCTGGCGCTTGTTCTTCATTCTTTCTCTCAGGTCCCCTGTGGGTCTTTCTGGGGACCTTTAAAACAAAAGCAAACAAAATCCGAAACAAAAGAGCAAAAATCTTACTTATGTATTATTTTATAAGAATATATTTACAGAACTAACCTCACGAAATCTCCACATAGTTCTGTTAACTGTTCACGGCTCAGTGAATTTTGGGGAAGGGTCGGCACGGAACACGCATAAAGGACCCAGAGACAAAGCCAAACGGGGCGGGGGATGGGGAGGGAGGTGGGGGCGGGTGGGGCGGGGGAAAGTGGTAGTAGGAAGAAAGAAAAATAAATAAATTTTAAGAAAATTCTGTCTTAAGCATATTTTAATATATAATTGGGGAGGGGGGAAGCAAGCCACAAATATATTATAAAAAAGATCTATTGTCAAAACAAGTAAATATTGACCAAGTTAATTTTAAAGAGACCATTTTATTCATCTTGAATTTAACAACGAAAAAGATCTTGTCGATCTTTGATAAGACTGCCAGCAAAATAGAAAATCTGACCAAATGCATGGTTGCATTTCAGATTTTTATAGTAGATATTCTGTAAAAGCCATCTTCTGATTGTATATAAACAATTCGGAGTTCTCAATTTACCTTCTGTAATTGCTGCTATAACCTTTACCCCGAGGTGAAAGGCCATGTACGAATCTGCACGTGTTTCCATAGAGGCAGTTGCCAGTCTTCAACCAGTTACGGCACTGTGTCTGAGAGAGAGAGTACCATGTAAATTTCATATTCATTCATACTTATTTCTGGACAAAAGATGCTAGTGGAACAAAATTGTAACAAATGCTATCAAAATGCCAGCTAACCTGAGACATGCATTACTCCCCCAATAATAAAAACATCAGAGCAAAGAAAAGAAAAGCCCATAAACCCTCTTCTCTGTCACCCTTCCCAGTCCTCTTCATGAACGGCCACTTCCTCAATGGCCAGCCGGCGGTGCTACGCAGACCAGCTCCGGGGCAGGCCTGCAGAAGCACCCGCCCGCTCCCGCCCGCCAGCAGCCCCTCACCTCGGCCGCGCTCCCCGTGCTGGGCCCCAGCCTCTCAAACACGCTGGGTCTTCGGGACGTGCTTTCGGATATGGTCTTCGTGTTTTCCACTGTGACTTTTCTTCTAATTTTTGACATTTTGTACTACTTTAACCAAAAAAAGAAAGAGGCAAAACTGTGAAATTCTTCAATTTGAAATTACTCAGCCCATAACTTACTAGTAGATAAAACTGGAGAAAGCACTGCAAAAATTACAGGGGATTGTTTTCAGGATTAAAAAAAAAATAGGAGAGGTCATAGCTGAACAGAAGTTATCTTCTAAGACACACTTTATTAGTCAATTTATAACTCTGAATCTGTTGGCTAGAATTTTACCTCTTCTGCAGAGGAAATAAATAAGATTCTGCTCACACGGCCAAGTTTTCTTAGTACATTCAACCTCGGAAAACACACTGTAAAATAATTAGTTTCTAACTTCCTTATGCAGGTCATTTCAAGACTTAGTAACTATCGTTTAAGGAAAAGTTGCACTATCATTCTCCATCAATTGGTTAACTAGAAAATAAAGCATGTCAAAAAATGCAAAAATAAAATCAGGTGAGAGTTTTATTAATAGAAGTTATGTCTTAGACAATTTAAGTGACATTAGTTATGTTCTAAAAATCAGCTTGGGAAGAAAAATGAAGACTAAATTTTTTTTTTGTCTCACAGTAGTCAAGAAAAACAGTAATCAAGGATATTTATTTTCCAATAATTAAAAAAACCCACTCAATTATGATAAGATGACTTTCTTTCAAAACAGAACAGGCTACATAACTAGAACAAGTGAAGGTGTTCTATAATCTATACTACACTCACATAAAAGTCAAAGGCACTAAAAGTAATAAACCACGTATTTTACCACTGCTAGTAACAAGACAAATCATAAAAATATTTTACAGAAGCAAATAAAACATTAAAATGAAAACCATAATAAAAAACTATCCAAATATGTAGTTAGGTAATTCAACTGAAAATGAAAAGATCAGAAAAATAGTTGTATGATATACAATTTAGAACGCAATGCTCAATTCTGGACCAAAAATAGCCTAAAAAGACTACTACTATAGAAACTGCCTAAGAGAAAGAAAAAAGAACTGAACAATATTACACTTTATACAATGTAAATATTAGTTGAAATCTTATTAGAGGTCAAAATTAGTTACTAGAATAAACAATGGCAGCTAAAAAAGTAAGAGTGCCATGCGGTAGAGTCGGTCTCTATAAAGTTCACAAACGTTCTTTTAATGTCTTCAAAGTAAAGTCACATCACTTGAAAGAAAGTTAAATCACAGTAGTGCCAAATCAAAACTAAAAAAACAAATATTAACAATGTTTGGTTCAGTGAAATATTTCTTTTCAGGCCACATTTTAAAAGGACTGAAAGAATAAGGACAGTGTTTGACAAATGAACCAAGAGGAAAGTATGAAATTATACAATATGGTCATTTTAAATGGGAAAAACTTAATACAATATTTCACATAGAATATAATCATGATTTTAATAGCAATTAATTGTTAGTGATTCCAAATTAGAAAATAACTTTAAATTTTTAATTTTTAAAAAATTGTGTAGAATGTCATGTAAATGAAGAAGAATTTGCTGCAACAGCAAGTATCAACTGTTCTCCGAGGAAGAAACTTTCCAGTGAACCCTACATACTGGGATAGTATTATAAGATAACCTTTGATTTAACTTTTCTTGGGCTCATTCTCAGCCCAAATGTGATTTTACAAAGGAAAAGCTGGTAAAATTTCACATGTCTATCTGATTTACTGACCATAAATAACTAAAAGCCATTATTAAGTGGAGATGTGAGAAAGATGTGGAAAAGGTAGAGCTTCGATGAACTGAGAACACCACCATTTTATAATTTATACCTGAGCAGAATCCGATAAGTAAAAACAAATTTTCCAAGTTTCATCATGTTACTACAAATACTAATATGTAGATTACACTGTAATGCCCAGTCACTAATTTTAAAAGCATACATTACTAAACTTAAAGTCAAGTGAGCTTTAAAGTTCCTTATCAGCTATCACTAGTTACCTGGGACTTGGAAAACAGACCCTATCTCACCACGTTGCCTCAAAGAAGACTAACCCTAACCTTTCATTTTTTCCTCTCCACTATCACCTGAAACGGTCATTCTGTCCTCAGAACACCTGTTCCCAACCTGCCCTCACTCCCGCACAGCCTCAGGCACACCCATCAGTGGCGGTGCTCCCCACGGCCGGGGCAACAAGCTCTCCATTATTCCTCCAGGACCACTGGGTCTCCGGCACCTCCCTTCTGGTTTTTCCGAGGCTCCTGGCACCCGCTCTGGCTTCCTGCTCTGCGACCTGCTGCTCGGACCAGCGCTCCCCTCCCCTGACCTGCCGCTGCAAAGCAGTCCTCAGGCTTCTCTCCAATCTCAGACCCTATCGTGAGCCTTGAGGATGTCAGAGGGTTTGGACTCACGGGGCCATGTACCCCTGGCCTTGTATTCCTGCCACGAAAAGGGCTCCTTCACACAGAGACAAAGTTGCCTTCACAAGTGACAGACATAAGGAGCTGTTCAAGGTTCACCTACACAGTGCTGATCCCAGGAATTTTACTTCTAGCGATCGTTACCTCTACAGCAGTGAAGCAGAGGGATGTTCTCTTCTAGTCTTCAGAGTCCAACAGTGTCAGCCCTCGCCCGAGAAGGGCGATCAGTTCGAGTGCCAGATCTAGGTTCCAGAAAGACCTTTAAAAACAGGGGATTCTTCTGATCGTCTATTTCTCTAGGAACTTCCATCAGTAATCAATAATAACAAGTTATCTAATTATCATTACTGAAACATTCATGATTTTGCACAGATAAAAGGCTTTTGCTTGCAAAGAATACATAATACAATATTTTAAATCCTACTTGTCTAAGCATATACACATAACCTAAAATACACGAGGAGAGCATTTACTCACATACAGTAATAAATTAATTAATATAAAACTGTGTTACCAACCAATGTGACTTACTTCAAATTTTCAACCTAAAAATTTGGGCCACAAAGGAAGATAAATAATACCACAGAATAAAATGCAAATTTGACTGGGGGGGGCACTTTTCAATTTATATCTAAACAGGCTTCAATAAGGAGTAAATGCTTCAGAGTCCGTGAGAGAAGTTAGAAACAATAAAATAAAATAGCAACGTCAACGTTACGGCCCCCTCTAGCCCAGACACCTTGACGCTGCCCCTCCAGCTCCGAGTTCTCCTCCGCGCAGCAGTGGCCACCGCACTGACTGCCGTCACCGGGCCCCTCCCCCAGCACCGGCCTCATCAAAGCCAGGGCGACCCTCCTGCGAATCTACTGAGTTCTCTTCCTATTTCTCCGCTCCATTTTCAGGGTTAATAAAGACCAGAAGTTATGACAGTTTTTCAACTGAAAAGGAAAAGTAGGGGACAAACTTTGAATCATTAAGCAGACCAAAAGAGGGTCTTAACAAATGGAAGCTTTTTGGAAGCAGACCAAAAAACTTACAAATATCACAATGTTTGTCATTCATACTATAAATATGAGAAAAATATATACAGAGACCTCTTTTTAAATAATTATTTCTGGAGCCTAATTACTGAGATCTTGTCAATAAAACACATATCAGTTCTAGGATGCTCACTTCAACCCTTAACGACATCCTTTTGAGGTCTCACCTTCCCGTAGTAACAAAACGCAAGCGTTATAATCTGATGAGCAGCAGCATGTCAGTAAACTGTCAAATAATCAAGCAATGAAAACTACGTAAATATACTCACTAACTGATAGTAGAATAAATTCCTATCCACTAAAGTTCTAAAATAAAAGGGCTATGTTAAAAATGTGATCCCTTCCTATTTATATTTTGTATTTTTGACAGAAAAAGTTTATTTGCTGCACAGTCTAGGGGGGATTTTTTTAAAAAGAACTTTCTAAAACAATCTTGTAGATTGCTTATCTGTATTAGATAAACTAAAACAATTGCAAACTGAATTCTGAACAGAGCGGACAAAACTAACCTGACTCCACAGGTATGAACAAGGTAACACTGTAGCACTGTGCAGAAAAAATAATTTGTTGAGAAGACTATGCACAGAGAAAAATTCCATGCTGGCAACTTCTATGAAGAGAAGCAAACAGAACTGCAACTACCCTCCCTGCCACAAAAAGGAATAAAAGACACTTTATGTATCAACACCTGTTAATGTTTCAACTGCTACTAAATATCTGCTGAAACAGTTCCAACTCTACAGGACAAGGAGAGCAGGGTATCGGGGCATGGGGAGACTGCCATGCACTGAAAACCAATTCTTCAAATAAATATGTCCAGCAACTTCGCTTTCTATATGTAAATGCCAATACATATGATAATACAAAGTAACACAGATAACTTGTACAGCAGTTAAAACAACATCCACCTGTTGGATTTTAGTTTTAATTTACAGATATGGAAAGTGGATGAATTTGCATCCTTAAAAGAGCCAATCAATGTTCACTTCAAATCAATAATTAGGAAACCAGTAAAGGCATGTGTTTGGTAAAGCGGGATTCTACCAGATCCACCGTCTTCTTTTCACCTTGCAACCATTTTTACTGACACAAATTGCTCCCTTCCTGCATCAGCACTCTCAGTCTCTTGCTGAACTGTCATGTAACAATCTAAATATCTCATTAAGAAATTGTAAATTATTTGAAAATCTATAGGTTACGTGCACAAAACTCTCCAAAATACTTTCGCTTTGGTCCTAAAGCCAGTCCTTTCAAACACCACAGAAGGAGACTTCCGCTAACCACGCGTGGACTGCACTGCATAAGCGCATCTGTATTCACTGCCGCGGGATCGCGGACTTTGAAAACTTCAGGTGTGAAGATCTTTTCCAAACGTTCTGAACTGTTTCTTCAAAAAACCAACCAACCAAACAAACAAACCAACTCTGAAGAGACTGCACCCGCCCATCATTTTCAGAGTAGTCCAACTTACCTGAAAACGTCGCAAAATAACCGCAAGGCCTGACACCGCTAGTGATCCGCAGACAAGATCCTACCAGTATCACTCAACTAATACCGACCCTGAATAATTTTCTAGCCGCGGAAATCATGTTGCCGTCCATCAGATCGGGCCAAACCGCAGACCCCCCTCTTCTCAGTCCACCTTCCCGGTTTCTGATACAAAGTTGCCAGAACTCTCTACCTAGGAAACGTTCAGACTGTCCAGTAGCTCTCCTCAACTCCGGGGGCCGGTCTTTAAATTACCAAGGCCAGGAAATAGATAAGAACAAAGACAACCAAAAGTAAGATACACTACTTCCCCTAATAGGTCTGGAACGCGTCAAGAGGGGGGAGCCTCCACCTCTAAACCCACAGTCCCGCAGCCCTTCATTGCACGCAAACGCCAATCCCGCGCAAGGGTCCCCAAGCCCACCTGCAGCCGTCAGGATTCGGCCTTCCTTCGGAATCCACCCGTCCCCTTAGACAACCTCGCCAGAGCAAGAACGAGGGCAAGACACGACACCTGAGCACGGGGAGCTACTGCAGAGTTTGAAGCGTGTGATGCTCTCGGCGCTGGAAATCCCGGCGGGTCCCAAGCCGGGCAGAAGCCCAGCTCCGGGCGCCCCCCCTCCACACGCCCCGCCCCCGATACCCGCACCAAGTCACGCAATTCAAGCGTACCTCCTCCCCGAGCTCCCTCCGCAAGCACAGTCCCGAGCTGTCACCGCCGCCACCGCACCGAGGAGCCGGGGAGACGCCTCTCAGTCCCCGCGCCTGGCCCCGGGAGGACGACGCCACGGAGGAGGTGCGCGCGCGGCTCCCTAGAACCGGCCCTCGGCCGGCGAGGGGCCCCGGGGGCGGCTGAGCAGCGAAACTCGCCAGCCGCTTCGCCAGGATCAAACGAGGCTGGGATGAGGACAGAAAAACAACGAGGACAGCCTAGGGAGCGGGACGAGGCCACAAAAACACTGTCCGGCCGCGGAGAGAGTGGCCTCAAAATGCCGCCGGAAGTCGAGGCTTCGCCCGGGTCCTCTCTGCCCCTGGACAGCTTCCGGCCGCCAAATTAGTCGTCACACGCAGGCCCCGCCCCTTCGTGGACACGCCCTCCCGCGCACCGCCCCCGGGCGCGGTGGGAATCTACTCCGCTTTGTGAGAGGTCGCCGCAGACGGAGCCCGGGGCTGGAGCCTCCAAAGTTGCCAATTAAAAGTGCATTTAAGAGGAAGAGTTTCGTCCTTTTATTACACAATGCTTTAAAGGAAATGGCTGTTGTACATGCGGCGGACGCCACTGTGTTGTCGAAAGTTCATTGGTTCGCTCACCAGAGTTTAATGACGGGAGTCGTCTGTCCTGTGTTTGACACCCGTCCGCTTTCTGGGCCGTTGTCTGTGCCTGTGGAGCGAACGGACTGCGCGGTTGTGTTGTTAAAAGCACAAGCAGAAATTTATTGAAAATTTGGAGCAAAAATCTTTAATGCACTTGTGACAACCTTTCTTTTTGTTGTCTAGGGTCCAGTCATTGTGCGACGCACTAGTTATTAAAATTGTGGCGATGGCTAGTCAGACGTCTGAATCAAAGGAAAAAAAAATCAGTACCTGGCTTCTTACAAATTAAAAACAGGAAAAAAAAATGTGAATTTATTTATTACATTTATTTTGTGCTTTGACCAAACCAAGGAATAAGAAAACCTTTTATCAAAACTATTGATAAAACTTAAAGAAGAAACTGGTACAATGAGGTGGTCTTGTTGGTCTAATCAGTAAATTAACATGTGGGAGCAGAATGAAAAAATCCAGAGCATTAGGCATTCCTGATGACATGCCAAACTATTTTAGAGACAGCGGCAAGGGCTTCTGTGCAGGTGGGTTTGATAAATCGCTTCGGCAGCAAGAATCCGTATCGGCCTTTATCTCGAAGTTCGATTGTAAAGGAGTATTTAATGCCCAAGTCGTAGACCCAGTCATCTGGACCACCAGGAGCTAAGTCTGCAAGAGGAGGGAAATCAGTTACTCTTTGAAATACAGATGTTTCCTGTTAACTAACCAAAGGAGGTTTTTCCCCCAAAAATGAACATTGCTTTTCTGATTATTAAGTCAAATAAGCTTCTGGCTGAAAATAGAGGTTGGAGGAAAACAAGTTTAAGGAAGAAAGTTAAAAGTACCCATAACTTTACCAAGAAATGTTAATCCCTGTTAACATTTTAGTGCTTTTTTTCTTTATTTTTATTGTGGACACCGTTGCAGATGTTGGGATTTTTACCCGCCTGCCGCCACCCAGCCCCCGCCCCCCGCCCCCCGCCCCCCGCCCCCCCCCCCCCCGCCCATCACTACCCTGCTGTTGTCAGTGCTTCCCCCCCCACCTCAGTGCAGGCTTTACCCAAAAGAAATTTAACGATTTTAACTTAATTCTTAAAATTTTCTGTTAATTTTTTTCCTACATAAGTAAGATCATTCTATACAGTGTGTCTTGTACCATAATTTATCATGACCAGCTTTATGTATTGATGAGTTCAAATCAAATCATTTTTAACTAACTTACTACCTGGCACTGTAGAATTGGATATAAATTAAGTTAAATATTTACCTGGAGACGTTTAGAATTTTTTCTAATTTCTAAGTAATATAAACAGCTTTACAATGAACAACCATCCCTGTTTATACATCATTGCTTCTTTGTTTCTTTAGAATATTATTTCCGAGAAGTAGATTCCTAGCATAACGGTTATGCATTTTTTCCAGTTAAGCTACACGTTGCTAAATAGCCTTCAAAAGAATTGAACCAACTTATGCCTCCACTAGCAAGGTATGAATATGCCCACTTCTCCCTCCTACATTATCCATGGGAATTTTGCATTTCTGGCAGCTTTATGGGTAAAAAACAGCATCACTTTATGTTTCTTTGATTACCAGTGAATGGTTTTAATACATTTATTGCCCATGCTTATATATTTTTAATCAATTGTCTTCCTCATATTTCTACTTGATTCAACCTATAAATTGTTTACAAAAGCAACATCAGTGTTGTTAGCCCTGTGTAATATGGGGAGAATTTTTTCTTCCTATTTAGCTATTTAGCTTTCAACTTGGTTTATTACAGGGTTTTATATGAAAATATTTTATCTATTTGGAACTTACTTGGGAGAAAAAGGTGTTAGTAATCTGATTATTCTTTTCTAAGTAACTTATCAGGCTTCCCAACCCTACTAATTGAATGATCTAACATCCTTAACTGGTTAGAACTGCCTCCTTTATGAGATACTCTATCTCTTTATAGCGTTGTGTTTCTGTATTCACTATTCCCTCACCTTAATCCATCTCTCCCAGGCTCAGTTCCACACTATCTTAATTACTTCGTGTTTCTAAAGTGTTTTAATACCTGGTCAGGGCGAATTCTCTCTTATTAGTATTATTTTTCAGAATTCTACAAGCTCTTCTACCAAATTTATTCTTTCAAATGAAGTTCACAATCATTTAAGTGTTCATTGGCATTTATACACAAATTAATTTAGAACTGACCCATTTTTTTATATTGGTTTCCCACTCAAAAACATGACAGTTTTCTCCTTTTGTCTGTCTTTTTTAATGTACCCTAGTAAAATTTTCTAGGGTTTTAAATATATATTATATGGGTTTGTGTTTGTACACACATATATACTTTAACAATGAATCCATGTACGAGTATATTTAGTTCACAGTCAGCCATCTTACCCAAACTGTTCATTGTTACTAATATTTTTTGGTTAATTTCCTCCTGTTTTCCAGGTAGACAACCATACAATATGCAAAGTGATCTTTTTGCTTCTAATATTTATACGATCCAAAGGCGTTCACTGAAACACTGTAATATTGAAAAATGTCCACCAATAGTGGATTCGTTATTTATTTATTCAGCAAATATGTCTGACAACCAATATCAATATTTGCAATGTGTTCATCTAGCCATTTGCCTATGCTACACACACACACACACACACACACACACACGCATCCTGAATGAAGGACTGTGTGGAGACAGACTGATTCCACCCCAACAGGAAGTAGCTCTCTGAGTCCCCCAGCCCCGAGGCACGATGGTCCATGTTTTGGGGAACAACAGGAGAGAAGAGGACAGGAGTCAGGAAAGCACTGAATTGTGAAAGGAAGCTGTGGCGTTTTTCTGTGACACAGCAGGACCCTGAGTCGCTAAAGGCAGCAATGGATCAGGGACACCGAGAGACAGAGACACCCTGTGGACCAATGTGGCCTCCGTTTGTCCTGAGACAAGGTGGGGATGTTGTGGAGGAAGAGGAAACGTCTGGTTCTGGACTTTCTACTAGCAGGGCACCTGGTGCTCAAGCAGTTTATTGACAATAATACGAATGTGATTATTCATATGGATGTATTTTTCTAACCTTGTCGATCATACCTCTTAAAGGAAACGCTGGGACTTTGAATCTATTGTCTCTAGGCCTTTACACATGCCACTCCCTCTCCTTGATTTCCCCCTCACTTTTGTTTGGCAGCCACTTAGCGGGTAGGTCTCCCAGACAAGTCACCTCCAGAGGGAGACCTTCCCAGGCCACCTTGGCTAAGGAGCCTCTCTCTCTCCTGCAGTCATTCTCAAATCCATAAGCCTATTTTGTTTTCTTCACTTATCATTGGAATTATACTGTATTTTACCATGTAATTGTTTACATCAGAGATGGAAAGCTTTTCTGAAAAGGACCAGATAGTAAATAGAGGGTCCAGCACAAATAATGCCCCCTTTTTATTATAAACTCTTCTACTACAAAATCATAAGCATGTCATCCTGTAACATAACAATATCACACTCAAGCATGCCATAGACATTTTAGATGTAACGTTCACGTTAAAGCTATAAATTATCACACTCATATTATTACCCTACCAACCACAGTCGAGCAGGCATTACTTCTGCGGGACCCTGTATTTTAGGCTTTGTGGTTCACAGAGTCTGTGTCACAACTACTCACCTGTACAGTCATGAAACTGTCATAGACAATACACACATGAACGAGTGTGGCTGTGTTCAGAGACAGCTTTATTCAGGAACACTGAAATTTGAATATCATATCATTTTCAAAGGTCACAACATCTTCCTCTTCTTTTGATTTTTCCAGCCATTTAAAGAAACAGAACACCACCCTTAGCCCTCAGGCCGTCCATAAAGACGCAGGGGGCTGGGTATGGCCTGCGGGGTCGTCATTTGCTGATACGCGGTTGCCTGTTTATTTTCTGTTACCTTCTCTCACCTCCCCCTCCAGCTTCAGAAGAGCAAAATCATTGTCTGTTATCCCACTGTGCATACAAAGGAGCCCCTCAATAAAGAGCTTTTAGTAGAAATTAATTTAGAATATTTGTTAAGTGTTTGCCGCACACATACTCCCATCACTGTGATACAAACCAAAGACATGCAGCTGCAGTGGGCTATGTGCTATACTCCTGGACTCAGGCTGTCACTAAAAAACAACTAACATAACGGTGTTCCCTAGATGCATGTAGTGTTCAACCTGGTGCCCCTGAGCATCTTAGCCTTTTGACTTTTTTTTTTTTAAAGATTTTACTTATTTATCTATAGACAGAGGGGAAAAGAGAGAGAAAGAGAGGGAGAGAAACATCAATGTGTGGTTGCCTCTCATGCACCCCCTACAGGGAGGCCTGGCCTGCAACCCAGACCTGTGCCCGGACTGGGAATCGAACTGGTGACCCTTTTTTTTGCAGGCCGGTGCTCAATCCACTGAGCCACACCAGCCAGGGAGCCTTTTGACCTTTTATGACCTCTTCTGCTTCACTCAACTAGTGTGATGCCAATTCTATAATCTCTATAGCAATGAGCGTACTTTCTTAAATGTCATTCTGGCTTCTTTTTTAAAAAATATCCCCTTGCTATAGCTTGTTCAATGCTGTCATAGCCGTGATGCTTCCATTTGTCATTGTTATCATCTGATTGTCTTACACATGACCCTGTTTAAAGATTTCATTGAGAAGAATTAAAGTCACACAGAAACACGGAATGCACAGATTATGTTAGTACCTCACAGTTCTCCAAGATCATGAGAAGAAATAACTTACATAATGTCCTGGCTGGTGTGGCTCAGTGGACTGAGTGCCGGCCTGGGAACCAAAGGGTCGCCAATTCCATTCCCGGCAGGGCACAGGCCTGGGTTGCGGGCCAGGTCCCCAGTATTGGGGTGCACGAGAGGCAACCACACATTGATGTTTCTCTCCCTCTCTTTCTCCCTCCCGTCCTTTCTCTCTAAAAACAAATAAATAAAATCTTTGAAGAAAGTAAGAAGTACTCACATAAGCTGTCCGAGCCGCTGCCGTACGTGTACTGGGCTCCCCCCCTGGTGTTCTCAATAGCCTGGACCGCTTCGCTGGCCACTAGAGACTGAAATCAGCAGAAGAGGGAAGTACACTTAAGGGAAAGCTTTCAAACAGGGCGGGGAGAACTTTCTAAACAAAAACCAATCATAGATTAATTGACCCAAACTCTAATATATGAAGAAATATAGAGCAGGAGGGTGGTTGCCAGGAGCTGGGGGTGGGGGAAGGTTGGAGAAAAGGGGAGATGTTGGTCAAAGGATCCAAATCTCAAGTTAGAAGGCAAGTCAGTCCTGGGGACCTAACGTGCTGCCTGGTGACTAGAGTTAACAGTTTGAATTATATACTTGAAAGTTGCTTACAGGGTAGAGCTTACCTGTTCTCACCGCAACCAGAAAAAAAAGTAATTTTGTGAGGTGGCAGATGTGTTCATTCACTGTATCGTGGTACTCATTTCACTATATATATATATATATATATATATATATATATATATATATATATATGTATCAAACCACATTGTACATCTTAAACTTACACAGTTTTATGTGTCAATTATATCTCAATAAAGTTGGGGAAAACTATATATGAAAAATCTTCATTTATCCAACAGGTAAATCAAGAAGAATAAATTAACTTTAAAAATATGTTTTGCTCTGTTTTGTTTTGTTTTTGCTTTATGGAAATCCCAATTCGGTGACTCTGAATGCAGAGTCTTCCGATACCTTGAAAATTTTATTTAATTCGACAAAAACATAATTCTAGGAATTTATTTTGTAAAATGAACTTACGCTGTTTTTTAGGTATTTATTTTGTAAAACAAAGTATGAGTGTATTTCAAAGGCCAACACCTTGGGGTTATCCCATTCCTAGACAAAATTATCAGCAAACTGTAAATCCAACTTCTCTGAACAGTATCATACGTAAGCATGCTTGATTCCCTTCTCATCCTTCTCAGGAACTCTGTTTTATTCTGTGTAAAATGTCTAATAACTCCCAAAGACTCATCCAGTAGAAAAGGCACTGCCGTCGTATGAGGCGAGATCATGACTAAGTCCCACGTTCCACCGCGTTTGTTTCTAGCTTTCCCAGTCTTCTCTGAAGGTGCATGGCATTCACTGTCCCCGTCCTGAATGACCCAGAGGAGCACCAGGGGTCAGGATGCTGTGCCCTTCCTTCGCTCACAATAAAAGTTTGAAAGGAACCCCACTGTCTACAGGATAAAAGGCAAATTTACCCTGACACGTAAACAAGCCGACCCATCTTCGCCAGCTGACCTCGTCTACGCACCCTTTGCTTTGGCACCTGCCCAGTCCCCTGAACCTCCTTCCTGTGGGGACACCATTTCCCTTCCCTGTCCATCTATCTTTCAATGTTTGGCTGAAATTTTACTTCTCCCTTGGTGTCAATGGCGTGTTATCATTCTTTTTTCTTTACTTTTACTGTATTGTCCACTACATTCCAAAATGGGGGGGAGGGCGCTCTTGCCTCAGTCCTGCAATTGGGGGTGCTTTTTAATAGGACCTTGGGGGTTAGGGAGGTCAGCGTGCAAACAATTCCTAAGGCCCCTATCAAACTGATGAGTGTTGTGCTGGGACTATCGGTTGTACTGAGCAGAAAGTTAGTGGCCACAAAGCAGATGCACAAGTCTGGAGACTCACGCCCTGGTCCTTGCTTATACAGCTCCGTATGTGGATCACCTCCAGGTGGAATGGGTCCCTCCTGACCTTCAAGGAGTGTCTAATTTGTTCCCTTGGAGAGCCCATCCGCTCTGTGGGAGTTCATGCCCTCAGGGTAAGCCCCCGCTTTACATCCCTTCAAAGAACCCCGACCCAGGGCTGCTCCCAGTACAGTTAGACCAAAACTCCAGAGGAGTTTTTAGATTTTTGAACCAAGTACCCTTTCATGTCTGAAATGCTAATGATAAAAATAATTAAGCAACACTTACCAGTTCCTCATGGTCTTTGCTTCTGTTTTTGTTGTAGGAATAGGGAAACACTATCATCTGGGAGTAGGAATGCATAGCAACGTAGGCTTTAATGTGGTTCATATTTCTTCTTAAGAAACTGGCCACTGCCTTCACCTCGGGTTCCGACTCAGGGTAAGGTCCACAGTAGATTTGTGAGCAGGAGAAACTCGAGGCGCCTTTCTCTGGGGTGAAATCGATAGATTGAGTTTATGAGGGGACACATGTAATTGTGATTTCTGATTTCCTTTGCCATGTATTCTCCTACTATCTACGAGATAACGCTTTTAGATAATGGATTAGCTAGAGCTCTGTAAAGAGCATTTTCTTAATGTCCACTAAATGCTGCTCGTGTTCCTTTGGAAGTCACTTATTTATATGCCCTTGTAGCAGATGTATCAGCACCTGCCACCCGGAGGAAGCCTAAGGGACTCTCAGAAATGCCAGCCCTGTCTCCGAACCTCTGGTCCTGTGAGAACAATAGACCCTACTTTCTTTATTGTAAGTTTGTTTTTTACATAGTTTAAAGATGACTGAGCAAAATAGTCCGTAAACGAAAAGCCTCATTTGGGAACTCAGAATACGTGAGTCTGTTTCCAGTGTGACTTCTAACCTGGTAAAGTGGTTTTAGTGACAAAATGGGATGGCGACACTTGGTGCCGGAATAATGTTCACTCATCCCTTGGAGAGATTAGAGTATAGGTAGCCCGCCTCCAACACTCCTCCTCCGTGTCCCTCATTCACAGGGATGGAGCCCCCAGGAGCCACCTCTGGCCAAAGAAGTGTTCCCTCCTGGAAACAGTTGACTAGCTCTGAACCGGGTCCTTAACCAAGGTTCTGAAAATCCGAATCCCTTCCCTGATAACTTGAAATGGAGAGGAAGATTCTAGCCTCGGTCCAGCTCTCTTTTGAGCAAAGCTTACAGCAGTAATACTGCAAGCTGACAGCCACCGAGGGCATGCGGTGTGTCAGGAACTCCGCAAAGATCTACAAGAACGCTTCATTTAATCCTCACAGCCACCCTATGAAGCAAATGCTGTTATTTCAGGAGATGCAGATTGGACACCCTTGGTGGTAACCAACTTTTACGATAACAGTCCATGTGACATGTTGTTAATTGCCCAGTCACTCGATTCTAATCTTGGCTTTGGGTCAATTTTTTTTCGACCTATCTGTACCTCGATTTCCTTATCTGCTACATGGGAAAAATACATTACATGTGGATTTAATGTGAATCCAGTGAGCTAAAGCGTAGAAAGTGCTCTGTGAAGTGCCTGACATACACTAAGTAGTGACTGTTGTTTCTTATCGTCGTCACCATCGTCACCATCATCATCTGGATTGGGACCCAGTAAAGCCAGCGCACATCACAGAGAGGAAATGGGGGAGAGAGGACCCACTGGGCCCTGCCCCGGCCGCCCTTCCAGAGCCTGACCTTCTTACCTAAGCTCGCTCTGCTTTCTTCCTGTTATTTGCACTAGAAACAACCTTACTGTTTGTTAAACATTCTTTTTCCCACAAGGAAAACGTGCTAAACATCTAAGGCCTTTCCAAGTATGTTATGTTTTAATTTTTAACCAATAATGTGATTGGACAAACCGCCTTTGATAGATAGGTCAACTTCGAATACTCTTGGTCTTTCCCCCCCACTCCCCTTGATGTATACAGTGCTAAAGAATAGAGATTAAACTGCGCTGGGGGCAGATGTAGGGGAGGACATGGAAGAGTTGGAGAGGTTGTGTCCTAATAGAAATCCACAGACAGGTGAAGCTCATTTTAATAATGTAGCTTATATTTAACCTAACATGTACAAAGTATTATCATTTCCAATGTAAATAATGTATTTACATTATCATGTTTATGATGTAACCAATATAAAAATTATTCATGGGTGTTCTGTTACGTTTTTCCACTCTGAGACTTGAAAATCACTGCTCATTCCAACTCAAACAAGCCACATTTCAAGTGCTCGATGGCCATCCTGTAGCAGAATGGGCAGCTTTGTGTTCTCATTCTGTGACTCTTATTCTACAAATGCCAAGCATTTCAGTGGATAGAACCAGAGAGTCAGGGAACTTGAGTTTGAGACTCTGCTCTCCCACTAAAGCAGGCGTGTGAACCTGGGCAAGCTACTGTGTCGCCTTCCCTGCTTCCTCTGCACCGACAGGTGCCTGGTTTAACCGGTCCCTTCCAGTTCAAGCATGTTTAAAAAAGATTTTATTTATTTATTTTTAGAGAGAGGGGAAGGGAGGGGGAAAGAAAGGGAGAAACATCCATGTGTGGTTGCCTCTCGCACGCCCCCTACTGGGGACCTGGCCTGCAACCCAGGCCTGTGCCCTGCCGAGAACAGAATTGGCGACCCTTTGGTTCGCAGGCCGGCACTCAGTCCACTGAGCTACACCAGCCAGGGCCCAGTTCAAGCATTTTTTTTTTTTTTTTATCTATAGGCAAAGAACATAGAAAGAGCAGAAGAGGCAAATTCATAGAGACATAAAATAGGTTGTTAGGAATACCAGGAGCTGGAAAAAGCGGGAATGAGGAGATGCTGCTTGGTGATTACAGAGCTTCTTGTTGGAGTGGTGAAAGATCTGGAAGTGAATATTGGTGATGGTGTCACTAGACTGCGAGCGTACTTCCTGTCACTGAATGGTACACTTAAAATGGTTAGAATGGCCACTTTTATGCTACATGTATCTCTCTCTCACTACAATAAAAAATAATTGAAGGTAAAATGAACCTAAATGAATAAATAGGCTTTGCTATGTCACTTCCTATTGATAAGTGAGGCACTCTAATAATAGATCCTGTACAAAGTATCAGAAAGACACATCCTAGTTGTAGGGCAAGGAAGAGAGAAGAATGAACTCTCCTTCCTCACTGGCTGGCTCACACGGTACTGAAGAGATTCCGGGGCACTTGGCAAAAAGGAGTCTTAGGATTACTTTTTGTTTCACTTGGAACTCTCTCTTGTCTCTGCTTGCTGTCCCTGTTTCTGTTTTTAACTCTTGTGATATGTACCAATGATAATATATCACAACATAACATAATAAAATATAGCACCGTGCCTCACAGGGGCCTGAGATACTTTGTTCGGCAATACTAGAATACATTTTGACAATCTGGCTATGCAAACCAGGCCACATTGGCTTCACCGTGGAAAATACCAAGTAAAACAGAGCACCGCAAGAGCTGGCAGGTGAACTAGGACGTTCCGAAAGGGCATTCACAGCTGAAGAGTGATTGTCAGACGTACAAGAGTTTCAATGCCTCGGGAGGGGGCCAACCGGGCCTGCCGCCCCAGCTCTGCCACTTTGTAGCCCTGCGCTCTCCCACAGGGGACTTAACCTTTGCAAGCTTGTGATTCTGCAGCCGTGGCATTTTGACGATGATATCTAGGAGCTCAGCCCTTGGTGACTGCTGGTCCTGTGTGTTCAGGGCTGTTTGGGATTAGCCGCTGCCCCTCGGACCCCGGAGTGTTTGGGCCTCAGCCGGCACTTAAACCTTGAGGATGGACGGCTCTTACTACTGTTAAGGAGAACCCCCTCTGTGACTCCTCAGAGCCGGAAGAGGATGAACTGCTCTTTCCTCTCCTTACTGACCAAGTCTCCAGCTCCCTTAGAACAACTGCATTCATTTGCCTGCTCACGGAATTAGCATTTTCGGAGAACCCTCTGCTGTCAGGCACCAACTAGGCCATGGATAGAGATCTAGCTCCTCATGGGGTTTCTAACCTGGGGGGGGAAGGAAGTAAGAAAATAAGGTAAGGACTCTTTTGTAAGTACTCCTATGTGCTCTGGGATGATCATGAAATATTCAAAGGCATGAATTTTTACTTCCTTTTTAAAGAAATATATAAGGTTGATGTCACTGGATTGTGTAGGACAAAGGAGTGGGAAGAAGGGGCATTTCTGTGGTCGCAGTAGCTCCGTCCTCTTGTGGCCCCCACGGATCCACATGTACCCACTTCCCAAAATACAGATGACTCCAGCTTGCTGTTCAGTGCAGTTTTATGGCAGACCTGTTTCTTAAACGCAGTGACTGTGAACTATAATGTGAGCCTGGAGGGTGAACTAACACCTGTTGCCCCAACAGCAATTGTCTTGGATGCCTCGGTCAACGTTGACTGAGCACCTTCACTCGCTCCAGCCACAGAGGGATAAACTCCCGCAGTGCTAGGCAGAGTTTACCTCCAGGGCTCACGACAGGAAGATTGTGCTAAGAAAGCCCATAGTTAACACAAAAGAAAATGTTTTCAAACACTTTAGAAGTAAACACTTACTCCTATGCAATTAAAAATGAGAGGCGCCCACCCAACCCTGGTCTCTGCTATCCTCGGGGTAAAATTACATGTTTATTGAAGCAGGAAATGTAACATTCACTTCCTGATTATTCTAGAAAAATAGAATTTTAGAATTTTGAACCTGGATGGGACCTTAAACAAGTGGTCTAACTTCCTTCTTTTAAAGATGAAGAAGCAGCAGGAAGAATAGGTTAAGGTGATTCGCAGACTCTAGTTAATACAACATTATGTTGAACTAAAATATCCATTATTTAAGTGGATATTTTCCCAATTTCCCAATTGTGGAAATTTCCCAATTTCGATAAGCCGCCCCTCTCATTCATTTGAATTAAGGGGAACATCACCTTTTTAATGAAGAGGCACAGTAAGACAAACAACCTACCACACCAGTGTTTGGAAGCAAAGTTCCTGTTCAGGTCTGTTCCAATGCAAGCATTGTCTTCATAAGAAGAACGGTTCTTTCTCCACATTCGATCCTGAATAAACAAAAATACAAATAAGCGCGGTGGCCATGTTTGCGGTTTTGGGACAGACATGACTGTTACGTATTTAAGACTTTATGTATCCGATTTTAGAGGGGGGAAGGGAGGGAGAACGAGAGGAGAGAAACATTGACGTGCGAGAGAAACATCCATCGGCTGCCTCTTGCAGGCCCCCAACCAGGGGCCGAACCTGCAACCCAGGCCTGGGCCCTGACTGGGAATCGAACTGGCGACCCCTGGGCCTGCGGACGACACCCGGCCACAGCAGCCAAGGCAGGAGCGAGGTGGCTGTGGAAGCCTCAGAGGCCAGGTGTGCTGCCCTCCTGCGAGCCCGTCGCTCCCGGCGGTCGCTGGCCTTACAGCGTCCTTTCTGCCCCGCTCCTGTTTCTGCCCAGCCCTCGGTCCCGCTCACTCAGGCTGCTCGAGTGCAAACCAAACGACGTTGTAATGTTTGATCAGTTTGGACCTAGACAGACAGTATTTCCACTTGGCTTTGCTAGGCTGCTCATTGGCCTTCCTGTGCGGTCTTATTTCGTGTAAAGCAACTGCATGCATTGCCATTTTGAGTTGCTTCTAAGAAAAGTAACGTGCCTTTGTGTTTCCACTCAAATTAAAACCATGAAGCATGAGTGCCTTTTTTAATTAAAATACAGTTGACATCTTCCATTGCATAAATTTAAGGTATGATATACACCATGTTGATGTGATGCATTCACATGTTGTAAGAGGATTGCTATTGTAGCAATAGCACCTCCATCACATCACATAATTTTCGCTTTCTTTTTGTGGTGGGAATAGTGAACACTTAGTCTCTTAGCAAGTTTGACGGTTATGCTACGGTATTGCTGAGTCATGGGTTTCGCTGCTCTCCTCACCCTGAACGGAGCCTCCCTCCAAGCCCCGGGCAGGGGGTTCGGGGAGAGCTGCCCCCAGCCTGGGGGCCCTTTGCGCTCGTTTGACTCTGGCTGGTGAATTAGGCAGCGTGATCGTTGCACGGACTTTAGGTGCCACGGTTGGGGCGATGGGACCCTCTTTCCCCTCCTCCCACCAACCCTCCTACCCAGCCACCCTGTCGGCATCCAAACCCTGGCCGGTGCTTTGGTCGCAACAGCTTCCCTGGAGAAATGAGGTTCTCAAACTGCGGGGACTAAATGGCAAGTTAAGTTAAAGACACAAAGGATAGCTGGGAAGTAGCACCATCAAAAGGGTGGCTGAATGCCACTGGGATTCAGGCGAAGGCATACATTTATTGTAAGATCAATGTACAGACATGACCATTTACTGAACACCAAATTCCTAGGATGCGCTATGCTCAGTATTTCTCACTGCTCAGTGTAGGATTTGCTGCCCGCCCCACTGCAAACTTGTTTTCACAGCTTTCCTCTTACCGGAGATGATGTTTTCATCAATCTCCATTCCAACCTCTACTGCATAAATTCCCTCTCACATTCAACTCTTCCTGTTAAAATTCCACGTTTCCGACCACGGCAGTGATTCTGCCCCCGCTTAGTGTTGGCATGTGCTACTCAAGCAGCCTTCTCTGAACTGATATAGGCTCGATTACGTTTTTATGTGTGTCCCCCGTTAAACTAGAAAGGAGTATACCTCATATTGCCTGAGTAATTCATGTGACTCATGATCTTGATTGGCCACAAGAACTCCTGGTTTCCAGCAGCGATGAGACTGGTCAGGTACTCATGCTCATGACTGTTACAATATACCGATTCACATATCAGAATAAAAGTTCAATTACAATTCTAAGTCTTGCAATTTGTGATTTTATAAATCCAAAAGCTGTTGAAAGGATTTCCTAGGACAAATAAATGGATCCAGGGATTGCGCATCAAGGGTAACAAATGTCTCAGGAAGAGTTACAACCACAAAGTATACACGTCCTGGTAAGAACACAGCATCACAATGAAAGAGTATCGCCTCTAGAATCTAAATATCAAGTTCTAGAAAATACAGAGGACAGAGGAGTAGGTTAAATTGCAACATGGCAAAATGCAACCAGCCAATGCAGACAATGGGAAACTCTCTTGTTCCATGAATACATTGGAAAGAAGAGTGAGAAAAGAGCATCTATGGAGTCAACTAGAGTTAAAAGTATACAAATCAATCACAACATAGCCTTATTTGGATCTTGAATCAAAGAAATGTATTAAAAAGTTATGATTCCATTGGAAATTTAAATATTAATTGAACCTTTCATTTTAAGTTACTCTTGTTAAGTTGTAGATGTAACTGTACCATGGTTATTTTTTAAAGACCTCATTTAAAGGTGCCTACTGAAGTATTTAGGGACGAAATGGAACGATGTCTGAGATTTGCTACAGCGTAATACAAGTGAGGCAGGAGCAGGTTGGGCGTATAGATAAAAAAAAAGATTAACTACGAGCTGATTATTTCTGAAACTTCTGACAAGTACACAGGTGTTTCCTATACCATTTTTTTCCACTCACATGTGGTTAGGCTTCTCCATAATTTTTCATAATGAAACCGTTGTTACAAGATCCAGGGTTTTATGAATGATTCGGCCTGTGTATCCCATATACCCAAGGGGGCTGCTTTATTTTCTTTGCTTTCACCTACCTTTTTCCATGAGTAGTCATAACCATCCACATTAACTACGGGCATAACATAGAAATCCATGTGCCTCAAGAGTGTGGTATACTGGTGTTCTCTGCCGTAGGACTGAGTTACCTGCAAATTAAACCAAGTATAGTTAATAATATCTCTTTAAAGTTCTTCTCATCTTTGTTTCTTTTAGGTGTTTCATGGAAAAAAAAAAGAGTCATTTGGCATGTTTAGATTTGCACATTCAACTTTCTGGAAGAATATCCTTTCCTGGAAAGAGTGCATGTAGGGTGCTAAGTGGCCGAGCGGTGGTAAACTCCTTGGAAATGGGTCAAAGGGTCTTCCCATTTAATGGCAGCAGAACACAGAGCCATAAGGTTTCTAAAATTTCCTTTGAAACACAAAAAGAACTACTTATTAAATCCATAAGGCCTGCTACAAAGATTTCAGGAAGCAAAAACCTAAATATGGTTCCACTCCTTTTTCAAGAATTCCTATCAATCCAAGATTTAACTCTGTCTTATGCCCAGACGGGACTAGTGGTATTTTCTGCATGGTTTTCATCTTGAGGAGTTAAATTTTTGCTGCAATAGAGCGTGTTTTCCAAGCATCAGGTCAGTTGGCTTTAAATCAGTGGGAGCTCTTCTTGGTACCGGCCACGAGTCCCCTGAGAGGCATCACCTGACACTGCCTATGGGGGAAGGGCTACGATGGGAAGGACCGCAATCAAGGACAATCCCACCAATGCGAGTGAGAGTCGATAGGAACGGAAATTTCCTTCTGGCCCCATCCAGGTTCCCTTATGGGATACAAAAGAAATGTTCCCTCTCTTGCTTTGCGCCTTTCTCTCTGCACCAACTGCTGCTTCTTTCACTACCTAGAATGAATAACACCACCGAACATGCGGAAGGTTCCAGAACCTTCAAGGGCGGAGTTAAGGACCTGATCAGTTGGGAACTCTCCCCGTTGGGTCCAGGCAGTACCAATGGTGGGGGGCAACTTTTCAGTGGGTTCAGGGGGTTCTGCAGCCCCCACCCCAAAAAAGATAATAAGCCAAACAAAGGTAGACAGAGATGTGTTAGACAAGACCCAGAGGAGGCAGAAATATTTTTACTTCCAGTGTATCTTGTTGGTAAAGAGAGTTCGATTTAAGTGGCAGTCCATTAGCTTCCTAACTCATCCATTTTGTGTTACTGTGTATATGCAAATACAGAGACAATAATAACCATTATTTGAAGGGCACATATTTTAAGTTATGTTGCGGTGGCTATGGCTCTTGGTATAAATCAGTGTAGAGGACATATATGCCCATTTTATGGGATCTAAACCATAATTTTTACCATTTTCATGTATTAAATAGGTGTATAATCATTGAAATTTTTCCTTTTATGATATACTCTTTGCCATATATATATATATCTATATATATATATATATATGGATGCCAAGGCCTTCTTCAGGGACAAAAATCCCTTATTATAATACATGAAAAAATACAGTCCACTCCGTAATATTGTACTTTCTGTTAAATTTCCAAGGACAGACTATTCAAGAGCTGTCTGAATAATTCAAATCAAAAGACAAAGAAGTTAACTGAAACTCAACCTCGAGCATTGCTTCAGTTCTTTCTTCTTTGGTAAAAATATTACAATGCCTACTATTTCTTAATTATTTTCTAGTGTTTGGCCCTCACTAAAAATGTTGGAAGGACAGGCCCGAAAACCTTTAGGCTGATTTAAAGGCTGGAAGGCATGGTTCTCAAACGGAATATGCGTAAAAGTCACCTGGGGAGCTTCTGAAGATTGCAGGTTTCCAAGTCTCACCTCCAGAGATTTTGAGTCAAGAATTGTAGGATGTGACCCCAGAAAATGCACCTAATAAACAGCGCTGCTGACTCAGGGGGTCTGAGGCCATGTACTGAGAAACTCTTGTTTAAGAAAATGTGAATACTTACGTGGTGCGTGAACCACAGGCAGAAAGCAGGTGAGATCCACTCTCTGGCGTGGATTCCGCAGTCAATCCACACAGCGTTTTTGGGTGTTTGTTGCTTTCTAGAAATCTGCCCAAAGAGAACCAAACAAGAAGCCCCAGGGTGATACCTTCCATTTATTCAGGGCTCATCCTTGTTACAAAACCTTGACGTGTACATTAGTATGTGAACTCCTTTGAGAACTCTTAAGGGCAATTAAAAGCCGGGAGATTAAAGGCGAAGAGATGAAATTACTAGTGTCACAGAGCTGGTGGGAGTCAGAACTAAGGCGTGAAGCCAGGACTCCTGATTTAAAGGGATTTTTCTCCCCCACGTCTGACTAGTTCTATCTGAGCCGCGTGCGGAGATGCAGGAGAGGCCAGAGAACTAGCGCTTCAGGCCCGTTCTTCACGCGTCCTCAGAGGGAAGTGGGCCTTTGCGTGGGGGGCGGGCGGCTTCTGTGGGACGTGTGGGACCGAGCAGCGCTTGGGAAAGGAAGCCGGGGCGCCCAGTAGACTTGGGCTCCTCACCGCTCTCCCAGCGTGCGCTCTTTTTATGTGTAGGCTATTTCCCCGTTTCACACAAAAAGGAGCACACACCAAACTTCATACAGACTCATCCCCAGCAGACCTGGGAACAGAAACCTGGTTCTGGCTCACCACACTGCGGGGGGAGGGGCAGCGCAAGTTGTGAAGTCTCTGGGAAAAGAGGCTTTTTCCCAAGGATTCCTCAGTGATAGTCTTTGATGTCTTCTGAAAAAGTCTTCAGAAGACATCGCCAAACACAACGAATTTTGTTGGGTTGGCCAAAAAGTTTGTGCCTTGGCTGGAGTGGCTCCGTGGGTTGAGTGCTGGCCTGCAAACTGAATGGTCGCCAGTTCAATTCCCAGCCAGGGCACGTGCCTGGGCCTGGGGCCGGGTTCGGGGCTGGGGGCGTGCGAGAGGCAACTGATCGGTCTCTCTCTTACACATTGATGTTTCCCTCTCTCCCTTTCTCTCCCTCTCTAAAAATAAGTAAATAAAACCTTTTTAAAAAGTCAGTTTGTTTTTTTCTGTAAAGTAAAAGACACATTTTTCATTTTCACCAATAACTTTATTGATCTGGATATTTTGAGTATGTTGGCTAGCTCCCGCTATTGGCTTTTAGTGGGTAGAAGCTAGACATTCTGCTAAACATCTTCCAATGCATAAGACAGCCCCACAGAACAGAATTATTTGGCCAAAATGTAATAGTACCAGGAAACTTCACAAACCATTTTTGACCTGTTTGATCAGTCAGAGCACCTTCTCCATTCACTGCACAAATCCTTTTTTTTTTTTCATTTCAATTGCGTTTTTTACCTTTCTTGACATAATAAAGCATAATATGCTGAAAATGTGTATTTTCTTCCATCTTCAATAGTAAAACAGCTGCAGAAAAATTCACCAAATTTGGTAAGTTTTTTAAAAATGCATGCTGATGCGACAGCTGTTACAACAGAATCTAACAAAATTGTTTTGAATGAAGTTCAAGACAACTAAGCGCTGCTAGAGCCGTGATACGGAAAAGACTAAATGAACTTTTTGGCCAACCCAACACTTCATTTGCTTTTAAAAATTAGTTGCACCACACTTTTAGAGTACGGAGGGAAGGGACAAGAGCCTTGTAAGACCAAACAAATATGTGGGATTGAAATTCCAAAATGAGAAAGAGTTAGGTTTTTAGATCGGCATCAGCACCCCCCAAGGTGGACTTTTTCTTAAGTAACCTGGAGATCGTTGCTGAGAAAACAAGTGAGACAGTCCCATGCACCGGCCGTGAAGGGCTAAATCGTACAAGAAAGGGCGCTGCCTGGCTGATCTAACTCTTCAATTTAATAGAGAATCCCGAGTTGTCGGAATCAGCTGCCTTCTGAGTGGGCCAGGCAAGCTCTCTGGCGACGTCCCGGCCCTGACGCTGGAAAGACGGGGGAGCCTCAGAAACTCACGTTATGCCAGTATGTGCTCATCTTGGGTCTAGTAAGAGTGGGTAGGAAGCGTTGCAGGAAGCGCGGCTTTCCAACGCGTCCCGGGGGCCCAGAAACACAAGCCCCCAAGTTCCAAAGAGTTCACCCAACACGGCTGAAAGCAATGCCTGGGGGAGGGAGGCCATGATGGCCTGGATCCAGTGGGACCAACTCAGCCGCTGAGCAGACCCAGAGTTTCACTGCCTGCGCCGCACAGGTTAAAGCCCAGAAATCCCGCCTCAACGGCTAATCTTCGGATCACCCAAGAGGCTCGTCCAAACGGTAACATTAGGAAACTACATTACTAAGTCAGGTATTTTCCCAGTGGCATAAATTTCTCCAGAGCTTCTTTTTAATGTTTTTAAGAATATATTTTTGGGGGTCGAGGGGAGTGGTAAAAAAACAGAACTACAGAATTGGCAATTAACAGGCAGAAATGAGTGTACACAGTGTCATGGCTCCCAAGAATTCTTCTTGGGGCTGTATTTACTCCCCTTTACTAAGGCTGCTTTATTCAACTGGAAATAACCAAACATACCCTGATTGGAGGAGAAGCTGCTGTATCAGCCCTTTGGTGAGGGTCCCAGTACTTCCCTGGTTCTATTCCTTCCCCGGTTTGCCTATTCATGTCTTTCATTGGTTCTAGAAACTGTGCCACTGTTAGTGTTTGTCCAATAAAAGGTTCTCTCTCTCTCTTTCTTTTTTTAAGCCAGTCAGAGAAGGTGGTGGTAGGGTCCATAAAACAATCCAGACCACACCCCTCATTTTAAGACACTAGGCCCCGAAGCTTGGGAAAGTTAATGGTTTACCTAATGCCACATAAAAGAGGCAGAGTTGATTCTAAAATTGGGGTTTCCACTTATAGACCAGCACTGCATTCATACAGGAGAAAAAAAATGAACCCTCAGTAGCTGAGTATTAAAGTGGAGGAACACGTGGAACACAAATATTTCCAGAGCTCTAAGAAAAAAAATCCAAATTTTAACAAGCTGCACTGGAGAATGAACGCATTCTCTGAAGGCGAAAGATCGATGACTCTCCCCAGAACATACCTTTAAAACATAAAGCGGCCGCTTCTCATACGAGGATCCGATGTGGATTTGTTCAACCAGGTCAGGGTACTGCTCGGTCATAAAGTCCATCCAAGAATAGATCTATCAAAGTGGAAGTACGCAGTGAGTCATAGAGCACGTTCAAAGCACCCCCTTCTCAACGGAGGCCGACAACTTCTTCAAAGGCAGGAGAGCCCTCTAAAATCTCTGTGGGTAAAAAGAACAAGGAACTCAAATATTTAGGCAGGGTGTTTCTTTGGCTGTTTAGGAAAAATCAATAAAACTAAAGTTTTGAAAAGTATCAAGGTTTAGAGAAAGGCTACTGAGAAATTCATGAAAAGTAAGAAAAGTTCATCTTTGAAGTACCGTATTTTGCTGTGTATAAGGCACACGTTTTTGCCCAAATTTTTGAGGGAAAAATAAGGATGCGCGTTATCCATGGGTAGAAATAATTTGTTAGCGGCATATAAAATTTCTTGTACCTTGTGTCTGTTCTTGTGTTTTGTAATTATTTGTTACATAAAATTTCTTGCACCATAATATGTTAAAAATAAATGCTAAATTTCCTTTATAATACAAAAAAGTATCTACATATAAATAAGTAAAAAATTGAATTAAAAAGTTAAAACAAAGGATATTTTTCTTGAAAGTCTGAGCCAGAAACGTGGGTGCGCATTATACACAGCAAAATACGGTAGGTCTCCTAAGATGTATCTTTGAAGGCTCATCGAACCCCTGCCTCTGTGTATAAAGTCCTCTTTACCATTCATTTGCGAGTTCGTTTTTCTATGGAACTTTTTTTTTATCCACTTTTCAGGAGCCGCCTAAGGAAGCCCGGGTGCTGTCACTGCGCCCTAACAATGACGAGCCATCAGTGCCACCAGGGACCCGGGCACTCACAGCAGGACCTGGGAAATGACAGGGGGCAAAGGCGAGGGACAATCGGGAGGAAAAACGTTCTCTCCTGCCCTGAGAAGGACTTTGATTCTGGACCCACCTCCTAGGTGGACGCCTCGTGGCCTCTGTGATTTTGTCAAGGTTACCGTGGAAGGACAGATAAAGAAGTCCAGGTCTGGCTTGCATGGCCACTTCCAAGCGGGTGTGGAAGGGTGGAACTCGACCATGTCTGAACGCTGACCGACTTCTCAGGGGCCACAGTTACGCTTCTGGACCTTCTGAAATGGGAATAACCAACCGTGGGCCTTGCTTCTGGAAACCCGCTGGAGGTCGTTTCCGGCAGCAGGCCCAGGTGATGGGGAGCGAGCACTTCACCCTTGGGCCCTCCTGCGGCGGCACACGCCGGGGGCTGTCCTGTGCCGGGGGACCGACCCGCCGCCAACCCCAACGCTGTCGCTGCTGGAGGCGTCGGGGGTTCGGCCACCAGGCTTCCCTCAGGAGGCCCCTGCTCCCTGGGTTATTCTTCTACGGAAAGAATGCACCCGGGAGAACAGCCACGTCCAACTGTTGTGCGCCCCAGGGAGGGACGTTCAGCAGATTCCCGCCAACAGGGGCGGCTGGTTCCATGAAGGCAGCTTTACAGAAAACTTTTTATGTCACAGTCTAAACAGAGGTCATGAAGGCAACAGCCTTTGAACAACTCTCCCTTCTTTTGCCATTTGTGTTAAAAAGTATTATTATTATTGTTTTGGCCCTTTGTTTTTCTCTCTACGGTAGGTTCCTTAAGATTTCCTGGTGCGAGTCACCTGGAACGCCTCCTGCCCACCTGGGGGCGAGGGCTGAAGGAGCCATCAGGGCGGATGGGGGAGGGGGCCTTGGATGTATTTTTAAAAATACACTTCCGTTTGAGGCATCCTCCTTTCCCACTGATCTCAACGCAGCAGCAGCATATTCGCTGACATCTACCTTACCTCCCAACCCTGGGCACCAAGTTTGCGTCTGCAGGGCTGGCTCCAGAGGCTGGAGGGAGGTGGTCAAGGTAAAACAGAGGCCAGGGAGGAGAGATGAGGGCGGGACTGCCCTTGGAAGATCCCTGCCGATCAGCCAGGCACGTTGATGCTAGAAGCAGACTGCGCTCTGGGTTAACTAACCGAAAGGGGACAGATGCTTTTGAAGATTAAATAGAAAATTGATTTTTTGGTATTTAAGTCTTTGATGTCTTGAAAACATGGATATGATCTTTAATAGTTTCTGGGCACCTACCCAAAGATGATTAAAAAAAATACCTATAGTAAGCAATGTGGCCGCCTACCCCTATGAAAGAATAAAAGGTACTACAGAATGTTAGTCCTCGGAGTATAGTATGTAGAAAAGGATGGTGTCCAAGGGATTTGCCCTTTCCGCTAACAAATGTGAGGAACGGCGCTTAGGGTGTTATGTGAGAGCTTCCTGACGTCAACTGAACATCTCCCTCAGGTTCCTTCTAGAAAAATTGGAAGCTGTAAGTACCGAAAGAAAAAAAATCAATTTCTGTAAGACTGAAACACGGACATTCTTATTCTTACTCATTTACTACATCCCTCCTGAGGGGACTATAGGGGACTTATTTATAGAGTACTAAATATAAGTGAATAAACGTCTTTATTTAATTCACTGCATGGCAACTATTCAAGAAGAGTCGAACGAGGGTTATAGCCCACAGAGACATGATGCATCGGACTGTTAATTTTTTGTGTGGCAGTTTCAATAAAAAGGCCCTATGCATATTCCCTGCTGTTCCTGAGCGAGCGGCTTGCTCTTAGCAGCAAGGGATGCCCTTCGCTGTGGACAAACAGCCGCGTAGAAGCAGCTTCCCCACCATGATGCCGTCTTCCCGGGCAGGTATCTACGAAAGGATGAACTACCACCGTACATGCCGCTGTTTACCCTCGTCCCTCCGCAGACTGTGATACTTGAATGACTTCCCATCATTGAAATGGAAACGCTGGCTAAATGAACCTAGCAGTTTTGGAGAGAAGTCGGATGGCTTACTTCACTGAGGGAGTGGTAGTTTTCATAATACGAGTACGGGGCCCGGGGCCTGAAGGTGTCGTTGGTAGTCTGCTGGCGGATGAGATCTTCCACGTCTTCCGTCAGGACCCTAGATGAAGAGAGAGAGGGTGAGCTGGTCTCCTGAAAGGGCTCTGATGTTCCCACGTGGCCCTTTGCAGCCACAATAGGTGTGCAGGAGGGAAAAAAATCACTAAGAAACCTAAAAGTTCTTCAAGCTGAATATAACCCCACCTACCACCCACCTACCACCGTGGGAAGCTGAAATTCACCCCCCACCTTGGCAGAGGCCCTGTGGGCAGGGGAGAGAAAGTGATTCCTACACGTTACAAAAAAAAAAAAGTCACCGTTTCCCTACAATTATCAACATTTCTCGACTGTACTTCATTAGCATCTTTTATGTGCACCTACAGGTTAGTGGACAATTTTGTTCAATTTGAAGTTACACTGCTTTATTTTATTTTCAGCTAAAAACCCAGGAGAAGAAGAGACATTCTCCTCTTCTTGTTTTTCATTCCCAGATGTTCTGCACAACTAAAGAGGATCAAACCTCTCGTGAAACAGAGGCACAGAACAAGGGGAGGCATGGGAGAGTGGTCTTCGTTAATGTCTCTTGAGAAGTGCCACGCTGCCGACGAGGCAAACGCTATAACCGAATGAAGCCCTTTCATTGCCTGACATGAACAGGTTGAAAGGCAGCTATCATTTAATAAGGTTTCTTTTCTTTTATTTAGGCCACTAGATAAAAGCTGGGGCTTGGGCAGCAGAAAGGCTGGAGTTCAGCTCCTGCCCTGTTCCAGCTGACAACCTTGAGAAATGCATTTGTAAGTTTGAAAACTTTTTCCCCCTGTATCCTGAGGAGAGCATTTACCTCCCAGGGTACAGTGAGGATGAAATGATACACTGTATATAAAGGCTCAGCACCCAGTCTATATGCAGTCCACACCTGCTCCAGCATTACAGGGAGCGCAAGGGCTACAAAAGGACCTGGCCTTTGGCCCCTGGCTACAGAGGGCAGATATTGGGCAGGAAACACCAAGGGGAAGGGGGTGGGTACCCTGAGCAGGAACTGCCTTGGATACAGTTCCACCTAGAGCCAGACACTCAGAAGTGTTCGCTGACCTTGTGAGGGAAGCAAAACCCTCTTTACCAGCTGCTTTTTCGAGAGGTTCCGCAATGGTTACTAAAGTGAATGACAACTTTGCCCCGCAGGTCTGGGTAAGAGCAGAGGAACTCGGAGAAGGAAGGGATTAGGAGGAGCTATAAGAAACGGCACAGACCCCTGAGTCTAACAGTCATTCTGAGAAAAGGGAGTGAAGCCACGAGAGGTTAAACCACCTGTTCAAGGTCACAGAGGCAGCCCCTTGGGTTTTATGACCAGCCCACGTTGCCATGTGTCATGCATTTATTTCTCCAGGAAGCAATTACGCCACCTGCTGGTCAAATGCGCCATCGGTGCTGATCATAGCTCTGGAACGAATACACATGGAATGATGCCTACCTGAACTGAATTCTGCTCTCATGTAAATGGGCTTTCACATTGGTCACATCAGAGGCATTCACAAACAAATGGGCTTCTTTGTCTTTCGTGATAAACTCTGCTGTCACTGGCTTCCAGAGAACAATCTGCAGTTTCAAGGGGAAACATTGATAAAATAAAACCAGTTGTTCATATCAGTCTCAGCTGTAGCTAAGCCATAAAAGCGTGTATAAGGGAAACGGAAGGGTACTTGCTGGCCACCGGTCCTCATTCACACACATGGCATTAGAAACATTTATTTTGGGGGGAGCTGGTTTTATTCTTCTCTGTGACTTCAGTTGCTGAAGAGAGCCTGGCACATAGTAGGTGCTCAATAAATACTTGATGCAACAGCGAATGAGTGAACGGGTGAATATGTTCATGGCCCAGCGGTCTAAAACTGGAGGTCTATGTCAGATGTTTAGAAGAGAAATGAAATTTTGTCTAGAAAGTCGATTAAGTGGTGATTTTATTTCATTAAAAACTCCATATTCTTGATGTTATCATTGCGTCCTTGTTCCTATTCTTTAATCTCATTACGGACTTGGGACAATGCCTTCTGCTGTTATTTACATTTTTTCCTACTTTACTGCCCTTTTTTCCAAGCACTTCCACACTCATTTCCTTTGATCATTGCAGTAACAGTTTGATACAGAGCAGGCAAGTGTCATCATTTTTCACTGTTCAGATGAAGAAATTAGGTCTGATAGCTAAGTTGTCTAAAAGCACACACTTAGGAGCGGCGGACCCAGAACTGAATTCTCAGTCTCCGGTGCGCCCTCTGGTGGCACGTCCGCTGCCCATGATGTGTTGGCTGTGAAAGTGCACCGCTCATCTCCTCCGCTGGGAGGCGCAGAGTTCCCTGACCTTCCCAGCGGTTCCTGCCCTTGTTGCACCGGAGGCCGAGGCCCTGCTGCCCCAGAGCTGCCGCGGCCAGATCCGACACCGCCGGCGTCTTAATGCAGGTCCAGTTCCTCTAGAGGGGAGCTTCCTCTTACAGGTGGCCCGCCACGGGTCCCGCCAACTCTTCACGGGAACCGCCCTTGAGTCTAGAGGTTCTTCTTCACGCACAGCCTCCCTTTCTGCACAGGTGTCAGGCGTCAGGTGCATCCTGGCAGAGGGTGCCCCTTCCCCTTTATCCTTCACCACCACCTCCCCCGGTTAACCGAATCTTAAATCTGGTCTAAGTGACAAACACGGAGCCATCAATTTTCTACCTTGACACTTTGTAACTCTCATCCGTTGTCCACACACACCTTCTGGGGAGATGGGTCCCAGGCAATTTTAATATTTTCTCTTATGGTTTTGATGTTGACCTCTTGGTTAAAAACCACTGTTTCGTAAGCAAAGTCCTATTGGGCTTCTGTGGTCGTAGCTCTTCGGAAGTATGCACAGGCCTTCAGCCCGAGGTTGGCTGAGAAACTAGCAGCACAAAGGAAGAAGGTCTGGTTTTGGAAACTAGCAAAACCATGTGCTACAGGAAGAGGAAGACGGCTATAAGAATGGGGGGTTAAATCAGCTCTGTGTAAGCTAGACAACGTAGAGGAGACAATACGGCCCATATAATACTCGCACAAAATCGATATACCAGTAAACGAGGGGGAAATTACCTCATATGTTGTAGTAAGATTCTGCAGAATTTGCACTTGCGTAGAGGTTTTAGGAAGAGCAGATAAAACCTGGCTGCTGGGGAAAAATAAAAGAGGATTTTGATGTTATGTGAGTTCAAAATGAGATAAATTATACTGGGAGGGGTTTTGAGATAATTATTAAAAGGAAACAAGCTTAAAATGTTAAAAGGAAAGGGGGCCTTGCTACTGACTCAGTGTTGCGTTAAACGGAACATATACTCGCTCATTCTTTCTGGTCCCAAGTAGTTGCCACGTCAACAGCTCTCTTGAAGGGGGAGTCGGCTTGCAGAGCATTCACTTTTTTCTTATCATGTGTGTGTTGATTCTAAAAATTAAATATTTGGTACACAGGGAATATTTACGCTAACATTAGCTTGTTACATAGTAAAATCAATGGGTGGGAAGCCTTTACCCCACTTAAGAGATTCAACTTTATTGGTTTCAAGTTCCCCACCCCCGCTCCCTGCCCCACCTCCACTCCCCTGCCCCATCCCTAGGGGTCCTCTACCCTCCGTTTTCCCTTTGCTCATTCCCTTGCTTTTCTTTATAGAATGGGTTCTTAAACACACGTATGAGTTCTTGTATGTGTGGAGTCTTAAAATGGTATACAATATATCTTCTTCTGGATTTTGTTTTCTCACTCAACATTGTCATTTCAGGATTACCGTTTGTGCTGAAGAATCTAGTCATCGTTCACATTTGCAAGAAGTTATCGACACGTGGAATTGCTACTTCTTCCGGGTACGCACGATTTTAATTTCATGAGACAGTGTCGAAATATTTCTCAACCTTTTTGCACCCCCTTGGATTCTCAACAGTAGTGGAAAAGGTTTCCTATAGCTGACTTACTAATGGAGCATCGTTATTTCCATGCGATGATTTGTGTTGTGGCCATTGGCTAGCATGATTTCTTCCTACAGGCAGATACTAATCTTTTTTCAGTTACCTGTATTGAAAATATTGCCTACCCGTTTGTCATTTCCCTCTATGATATGCTTTTAGCCACCATTTCCTTCTGGGTTTGTGTTTTTTTGTGTGTGTGTTGAGGACTCTTTCTTAATTCCTGGGTCATATTCTATGTTTCTTTTGTCTTTCTCATTTAAGTTTTTAATCCATTTGAAAATTACTGGTTTGAGTGCAGTATAAAGAAGGCATTTAGTTCTTTTTTATTCTTAGCGTCATTTATCACTCACTAACACTTTCCCCCGGGATCAGCTACGCCAGTCCTGCCTTAGGTAAGTTTCCGTTCTTTTTTACAGGGACAGCGCGGGTTCATCACACCGTTTCCCTTCCAGGGCGCAGGAAAGCGGCGCTTCCCAGCCTCGTCGGTGCTCGCGCTGCCACCCGGCGCCCGAGTGCTCGGCAGGGGGAGCGCGCGTGCGGGGGAGCGCGGCGCCGCCGCAGCTTAGAGCAGGGGGCGGCGTCACGCGGTCTGTGCCCGCCTCCCACCCCGTCGCTAGAAGCAAAGCGCTCCAAGGTACGGCGCTGCACCGCGGAGCGGCCTGGATCTGCAAGAGCACGAGAGCGCCGGGGAGAGAGCCCCGTGACCTTCTTCGGTCGGAGGAATGAACGCGGGATAAACCGTTGCTGGGGCGGGTCAGGCTCTGGGGGTGACGGCGACAGCCAGGACTGCCCTCGCTAGCGCGCGCGGTCTCTCTCTTGGCTCTCGGTCACGTTCCCGGGGTGTGCTGGTCTGGCCTCCGGCTGTGTCTCCTGTCTTGGGACCACAGCCTCGGATTCGAGCTTAACACCCTGTGGGACAAGCTCCTGCTTCCTCTCTCTCCCCTGCCTAATTAAAAAACAAAAACAAAAACCCCCTCCCCGGCCCCGCCGCCAAAACCCTGCCCTGGCTGGTGTGGCTCAGTGGATTGAACACCTGCCTGCGAAGCAAAGGGTAGCTGGTTAGATTCCCAGTTACGGCACGTGCCTGGGTTGTGGGCCAGGTCCCCAGTAGGGGGCGCTTGAGAGGCAACCACACATTGATGTTTCTCTCCCTCTCTTTCTCCCTCTCTTTCCCCTTCCCTTCCCCTCTCTCTAAAATAAAATAAAAATAAATAAAATAAAATCCTCTTGGTTCGATCCATCCTTTGCTTTTCCATATACATTTTAAAAACCAGCTTGTCATGGTCTGTGACAAAGTTTGGATTTTGATTAGAATTTTACTGAATTATATATAAAGCAACCGCTTGGGAAGAACTGGCACCCCAAGATCCTGATAAATCAGTAAATGCAGTAGATTTGTCTCTTCGTTTAGGCCTTCTGTAACAGCCTTCAAAAAACTTTTATAATTTTATCCATAAAGATGTCACACATTTTTATTATGTTTATTCTAGCATATTTTTTTCTTCTGTAAATGGTAACTTTTAATACTCAATTCTTGCTGAGGCATAAGAATGCTGTTGATTTCCTATCCCTGGTAATTTTGACCATTTTAATGTAGATATTTTTGGGGTTTTTTTCTTTGCAAGCAGTCATTAAAAATGCACTTATTAAGTTCTAATTCTTTCATTTTAGTGCTTACCAAGTTTTCTTTTTTTTTTTTCCTTGTCTTATTGTAGTGGCTAGGACCCACAGTGCAGACTTACATAGAAGTGGAAATAAAATGCGTGATTCATAATTTTTAAGGAAAGCTTTCGAAAGTTTCACCGTTAGAATGCTCGTTGCAGGGTTTTGGGAGGTGCCTCTTAGCAGGTTAAAGAGGTTTCCTCTTACTCTCTGAGGTTTTTTTTTTTTATCAAATGAATGTGGATGTCATCATATGTTTTTAATGAGAAGAGTATAGGAGTTTTCTGGCTTAGCCTTTGAATGTAGTAAATTACATTAATAGTTTTTTAACTTAACATTTGGTTTAATTTGTTTTGTTTTGTTTTTTCCCTACCTTTGCTTTGTCATGTTCCTTTCTGCTTTGCAATGCTTACTAGAGCCATGAGGGATGCTTAGCGATCCTTGCAAACCAAGGTAAGGTATTAGTGTGGATAAACATGAGTCATATTATTTTCACATACCTCTTAACCAGAAAGAAAAGGATTTCTTTGCAAATATTCTCATACTTGCAGCTCTCTGGCCGGTGAGGCAGGTGTGGATAAAGAGAGAGTGGAAACAGTGAGGTGAAAAACTGCAGATATATGTGGAATCTGTTAACAGCAAAGTGTTCTCAGGTTTCTAGTATACCTTTAAGTAACTATTTTATTTAAGCTAAAATTAAGCTATATTAGTGCCATTTGCCAGAGAGGGGGGCCCATTATTTAACTTAAAGAGGTTTTAAAAAATGTTTTGGGATAAATATTGCTCTTGAAATATGAGGATTTTTTTTTTAATCAGAAAGAAAATGTTTTGCTCTTGTTTTATTTAAAACTAACCTCAGACTTTGAGTCCAGTCAAGATGGAGAAATAGGGACCAAGTTTATTCTCCTGCCTGAAATAACTAAAAAACTGGACTATATATACAAACAAATGCACTTAATAAATTGAATATCAGCAACTAATGCACTGTTTTATCTGGGATTGGATCCTGAAACAGAAAAAAAGGACATTCGTGGAAAAATTGGTGAGATTCCAATCAAGTCCAGAGTTAAGCTAACAGGAATGTTCAATGTTGATTTTTTTAAAAGTTTGACCAATATGCCATGGTAATATAAAACGCTAACGTTCGGGGAATCCAGGTAAAGAGTACCCAGAGGCTTTCTGTAATATCTTTGCAACTTTTCTATAAATCTAAAAATATTGCAAACATTTTATCTAAAAGAATGACACATAGCAGGAGCGCTGGAAGTACCAAGGAGGTAGGGACAACTTCTGCTGTCACTGCTGGTGGGGACACGGGCGCTGCCGGGGACGTGGCCAGCCGGTCAGCGTTGCCAAGCGTGGGATGAAGGGTAGATAAACAGAAATGGGCTTAGAAACTTCCATGGCTTCTTCAAGAGAAGGTTTGGAATGCATGCTGAGAAATTTGGTCTTTGTCTTGTAGGCAATCAGGAGTCAGGAACACGACATCGTTTGGCTCGCGGTTTATAAGGATAGCTTTGGCAGCGGGGCAGAAGATGGTTATGCTTTGGAAAGCCTGATCAACACATTTTAAATTCTGGAAAGAAGCCTTTGGAGACTTGATTATCAGGAGAGGCAAAGAGTGGCTCTCAGAATCAGGAAAGGAGGAAATTTTGTGTCGCTCTCCGGTGCAGTTTTAGCATTAACTATTCAGCTGGTGCTTAAGGGGAGATGCTGGGGTAATTATCACAGGAGTATGCGTAGTAGCAATAGCTGGAAACCATATGAGCGCCTATCAGTAACAGAATGTTGGTAGCGCTCCCACATTTTCGATTGCCTTCTAGCCGTTATACAGAATGAGACAGACTTATAACAGTTAGCTTGGGGGAGACTCACATGATGTATTAAGGGAGGGAAGCATGAAACAAGTGGAGAACTCTATAAAATTTCACCCCATTTTTGTAAAAAAAATAAATCAGAAAGACAAAGATAATTATATGTGTAAAAAGCACAAGGAAAGTTATGAATAAACACGTAAACATGGCGATTGAAGGATTGGGTAGACGAGGGGAGGGAGGAGCAAATAAGATTGTTTTTAAAAGAAAAGTCTCTGTAGTTTGATAGGAGTGATGCAAAATTATACGTGGATGTATAGGAATATATAGAGAAATGCCTAAAAGAACAATCACTGAAATGTTAATGGTGTTTTCTCAGGGTGGTGAAATGTTAGTGTTTTTCTCCCTAGTTTTACGCTTCTCTGTATTACTTCTTTTTAAACAAAACGCTCTCGTATTGTATTTAGTCAGGAAAAATGCTCTTAGAAAGCTTCTCAGGACTACGGAAAGGCTCCCCCCCTACCCCCGCGTTCTGTGCCGTTGAGCAGAGCGGCCCCGGGCTTTCCTCGCCTTCCAGCACACCCTGCTCCGGGAATTTTTTTATCCCTTTTAGCACCACCTGCCCCGAGGGTTTTGACATTTCTGGCTCACTCAGTGCAGGCCACTGCTTTCTCCAAGCTTCCCAGACCCAGTGGAACAGCCCTTAGCTGTTCAGAGAAGCAAAACAAAGAAAAAATAATTCCAAAGGAGACAGTATCAATTTTGAAAAGCCTAAACATTGGTTGGTGAACCAGTGACAATATTACACAGAGCCATGAACTATTTTCACCACATATTATATATTCTAGAGCCTGTGTTCATTTGTGTTCTAAGCAATTTATAGTAGAAAATCCCAGAAACCGCTCTGTTAAGCAATATAAGAATGAGATATGTTCATGTAGCTACTCTTACAACACAACTTTTCTTCCTTTCATTTCTGTGCTGAATACTCATACACAACCCAACCTTCTATTAAATACCTTCACCCTCTTTTTCCCCCTATGTTTCATGTATAAGAAGAAAATAAATCATCTATGGTCAATATATTTTAGATGTGTTCGGGTGTAAATAATTACTTTTTATAAAAGTTTCTTTTTCTTAAGTCTCCATAGACACTGAATCTCTGTATCATCTAGGGACCTTCCGAAGATAAAACTAAGGCCAGATAAGAAAAAAGATCCTACAACTAGTGAGGTCCTCATGCTGAAACCTGTGATCTGTCAGGGCAACCTGGGAAGGTTCCGAAAGAGCTGACCTTCAAACTGTAGCATTTGCTCCCTAGTCCAGTGCCCGCACCGGATCCTGGCAGGGAGGGGGGGATCAGGTGGTGGGGGACGGCCCCCCGCCCTCCAGGGTCCACTAGGTTACCTCTGAAATGTGAAGACATGCTGTGCACAGAAGACAACGGTGGCGACAAGGACTCCAAAGCTATGAAACTTCATCCCCACGGCGAGTTGCAGAAAAAACAAAATCCTCTGATGCAAAGGGCCCCGATAGCGGGTTACCCAAGAGTCTTCTTTACACACTGGTTAAAATATAATGGCATGTTTCCTCTCATTGCTGCAATCAATCAGGTTCGCTTGCATTTCCACTCGCAAAAGGAAAGTATTATGAGAGTCGCTGTTCGTGGTCGAGACTCTCTAGAAAATGTTTAACTTCTCCGGGAAGATGAGGACGAGAATGAATGGAGAGAAACACGGCACAGACGTGGGGCCGCGCTGGGTCTGTTGGAGAGGAGAGCTGGGGGGGGGGCTGGCTAATGGGTCAGATAAGACACGCTGAGGGGGTGCCTCCTGTAAAGGGCTTTCTTTGCCTCTGTCTTTTTCACCATTTTTGACTTAGATAAAGACATAGAAGCTAAGAGTCTCAAATCTGTGGCTAACGCAAGGAAGGCTGAGAAGGAGAGACCGGAGGGAGGATTACAGGAACTTCACCCAGAAAGATTTTTCTTGGTCTGAAATGACGGACTCACTCCTAAGCGGTCGGGGATACCACGCTGTGGGGAGTCCTTTGGAGGAGTGAATAGATCAGGTGGCTTTGTATCGTGTTTATTTAGGAGGATCGCCCTCCCTAACTGCCGCTGTCTACATCAAGGTCCATGTGGTGTAAGCCCTGAATTTTTTTCTTCTTTTTTATAATGCCAGTACCTGACTTAAGATTTGATAGACAAGATATCATTTCAACGAGACGACCTCAAATCGGCTGGTGTGCCCTGCCGGACACAGGATGAAGGGAAGAGCTAGGCCGTGGCTGAGGCTGCAGTGTTTCAGAGATCTTGGTTGATTTCAGTACCTGACCATTTGCGCTACTTGCTTTCTCTCTTCCTGGGCTTGAATCCCCACTCTTGTGTTTTAAATTTACCAATAAAGAGTCAGCCGGGAGTTCTGGTCAAGATGGCCGTGTAGGTGAACATGGAGCCTGCCTCCTGCCACGGCCACATCAACATGACCACCAAACTACAGGACAATTAACCTGGAAAACCATCCGAAGACTAGCTGAACGGAACTCCTGTAATTGCGCATAGAAAGAAGCCACACAGAGACAGGAAAGGGGCAGGCCCCACGCCCGCATGTGGCGCTGAGAAGCAGGAGGGCCATCTCCGCTGTGGCGGTCCCTCCTGAGGAGCGAGGGGTCCCAGCCCTGCACTGGGATCCCCAGCCCAGAGCACCAGTTCAGTCACCAGCAGCCTCCACGACATCTGGCTGTGAAAATCAGCAGAGATTCCACCCATCTGGGTGAGACAGAAACCTGGGCGTCATTTTAAAAAAAACTTCCAATTTATTCATTTTTTTTTTCCTAAGAGAGAAACATTAACAGGCTGCCTTGAAACCACAACCTAGGTATGTGCCCTGACTGGGAATCGAACCCATAACCTAGTTGTGTACAGGATGCCACTGCAACCAACTGAGCCACCCAGCCAGGGGCACAAGTGTTTCTTCAAGAGCCCTAACGCTATGCCCTTTATTAAGATGGTGTCCAGGAGGATAACCTGCGCTGTGAGGAGGACTCTGCTTTGCCTTTCTCTCAGGGGCGGGGCCCAAGGACAAGGGCAAACACCAGCGCCCCGTTGGCTGGCCTGGCTCGGACGTCCGGCTCGGGCTTGCGGTCAGTGCGCACTGAGAAGGGCAATTCACTTAATGGCGTTTTATTACGAGCTCAGGTGCAGCCCAACTTACAAGGCTTCTTTTCAAAATCACTCGGCCATTAGAGCTGCGTAATCCGGGGAGCTTCCGCAGACATATCACTGATCAACGTTTTCCCCCCTCCGCTTGTTGTCTCTCGTGTTTACTCACGGAGAAGCGAGCAGCTTTAGCGTTTGCACAAAAGTCTGGTGGATCTGGCTCCTCTGTTTTCCTCTCTGGGAAGGACGGAGCCACGGAGCGGGGCCGAAGCTGGAGTGCTGAGAACTGTCCCAGGTTCTGATTCCCTTGCTTTGGCTCCTAAGATGGAGCCTGCGACGTGCACATGCGTGGTGACAAAGTGGTTAAATTGCGGAGAAGGCAGGTTTCCCTTTGGAAAGTCCCTTCCTTTCCCCTTTCCAAACGGCGATTCCCCTTTGTTGCCCTTTGGAGAACACCCCAGGCTACAGGGCAGCGCTCCCAACTTGGACCGCACGTCGGAAGTCACTCGGCGGATCTTCAGTATCCAGCTGCCCTGGCTGGATCCAGCTCACCGGGTCAATGCCATCGGCACCTCGGCCGTTCTTCCGGCCCCTGAGATGGCTGCAAGGTGCAGGCAGGGGACAGAGGAGCTGGCCTGGACCGGTCCTTCCCAAAGGGTCATCTGTGGGTCACAGAATCTCCTAGGGTGTTTGTGGAAAACCCTTGGTCGCACCAGCCCTACAGGCCCTGAATCTCTAGGGAGGAGGGTCTGGAAAATCGCTGTTTTACCCAGTGCCCCCGGTGACTCTTAAGCGCCCTAAAGCCTGAGATTCGCTCCTGCCCTTTCCCTGGTTCCCCTGTTTCTCACTGCGTGACAAGCCTCACTTCCACCGGCTACACTACAGTGTCTCAGTTCCTCAGAGATAGCGAACTGCTCCCGTCCTCTGGACCTTCGAACAGTAGAGTCATTCACTTGGAAAACACTGTCCCTGCGCCCTCTCCTTCCTCTTAGGGAGCTGGCAAAGACCACAACGATGCAGCGCCCTCCCAGAAAGTCACGGCGAAGTGCATGTGTTGGGGGTGGACACGAGTGGGCCCTGGAGGGCGGCGGTCCCCTCCCCCGCGACGTTTGTTTTACTGCGTGTCCTCGCTGTCACCAGAAGCCATAGAGATTGCCCCAGAGACCCTGGCGGGGGGCAGTGGCAGGAGGGGAAGCCGGTAGGTTTGATGTAGGTAGTTAAAGAACAAGAGGGAAGACTAAAGCGATATGCCAGCGGGTCACGTGCCTTAAAGTGGCCGCCCTGGACAGCCAGCTGGAGAGGGCTGTGCTGGGAGACACCGTCACTGTTCCCGGCAGGACCTGGGAGACGCCGCCCTTCGGGCCAGTGCCTGGGAGGGGGCCACAAGGGGCAGAGAGGGACTGGGGGCAGGGGAGACTGCAGAGGGCAAGGCTGGATTCACCCAAGAGGAGGGAGAGCCACTCTACTTCACACGAAGGCTGAGGATGGGAAAACATGAGGGGAACGTTATTTTAAACCCTCAAGTCTCGTGTAACTGGGAAAGCGTCATTTCATCTACAGCCGGTTCGTGTAACTGCCTATCGACTATAGATCTTTTCAGACAACCCCTGCTCTTTTCGGACACTGTTTCTCAGACTTTAATGTACCTACAGATTCTCTGGGGATCTTATTAAGATGTAGATTCTGATTTAGTGAGTTTGGGGGAGGGGCTGAGTCTGCATCTTAATTGGTCTCTAGGTGCCCCGGGCCTCAGAACTGCGCTCAGAACAAAAAAGATTGAAGCCTCTGGGACTCGTACCAGAGCATCCGGGACAGCGAAGCCCAGAAATGCCGACTCAGCCGTCAACGTCCATGTTGAAGCACAGAAAGCTTTCGAATGGAATATTTGCATGCAATCTAACCCTCTTGATACATGATCGCTCTATATTAACCAAAATACTTGTACAAAAGGAACTTCCCAATTTTGACAAACCAGATAGCACCGATTTTACCACTATTTTGGCCATCTGTCCCTCAGTTAATGAGATAGTAGGCGACGACTAGACCATCTCTGTTTCTGTGCCTCGCATGGGGTAGGTTATGAAATAGACGTAGACTTGAGACAGGAGCAAATAGACACCTTTTTTTCTGTTGTCCCTGCACGGGCTCAGGTGTAGGCTGTCTTACAGAAGCGAAGGGCAAGGACGTGGGGTGAAGCGCTGTCTGCCAGCTGAGAGTTGAGTTACGGGAACTTTATTAGGAAACCGTCAGTGACTAGATTTCACAAGAGGATCAGTCCAGGCTGCGGCCTGCTCTGCTCGTCAGCTCCAGTGTCTGATCGTTCGGCTGGCAGGGAGGTGCTGGGCAAAACAATGTCAAGTTCACCCAGAGTGCGCAGCCAGCGTTCCATCCACGTGCCCACAAGTGAGAACAGAACTTCTGCCGCCCCTCCACTCAGAGCTCATTTCCCCCTGAGCGCCCACACTTGATTTACAACCTTGTTACAACGTTGATCACATCCTGTTTTTTTTTTTTATTATGTTGTCTGTGTGCACACATTATCTTCTTGCTGGATTAGCTTGCTTCTTTAGGCATAAAATGGAAAAGTTGAAACTAGCCCCAGGGTCTACCTCAGTTCAGGGTTCTTTGTCAAATAATTTGAGGAAATAAGAGGAGAATCTGTTTTTGCTATCCAATGTTCAATACCTTTGCTGGAATAGAAACTTGCGGAGTACCTACCAAATTAAGATTAACATTCTATGCACAGTATGTGGGTGTAATATTATCGTGGCCCTATGCACTGAGGCAAACTATTGAAATAGCTTGAAAATCTATTTATAAGCCTCTGGTTAAATACAGTTTAGCACACCCATACAGTAGAATACTATGCATCTGTTGAAAAGACCGAGGTAGGTCTGTATGCACCAATGTGGAACCACCTCTAAGATACAAGTGAAAAAAGTGAGACGTAGAATGATATGTATAGTAATAAGTAAGCTTGTAACATAGTCTGTAATAACAAAGGTGTGTGTGTGTGTGATACGTGCAGAGAATGTTTCTCGGAGGACACAGAAGAAGCTGCAACAGTATCTGCTGACCGGGGACTAGAACAGAGGGAGTAGCTTTCTGGAGACTGAGAACAGCCCTATTTAGAGAGTTAGATCGCATCTGTGGTGGGACTGCCCCCAGCGTGGGCGATTTCAAGCGAACCCTAGTTTAAGGACAGACCCACACAGCTGGCTCCCGGGAGCTGATCTGAGCCGCCTTCAAAGCACAGAGCTGGACATGGGGTGGGAGGCGGGTCTGCTTTCCCCTGTAGGCCCTTTGGAACCATTTTAATTTCTGGCTATTTAAAATGTAACAATAGCCTTTCAATTTAGAAAAACGATCTTGCCAAGGTTGCTGCGTTCCTTGCGCCTCCTCTTCTCCCAGGGAGCCTTGGTTTTCCTCCCGGGGCCCTTGTTCCGCCCGCGGCCCGGCTCGGCAGACCTGTCCAAGCACGAAAGCGCTGCATACTGGTCACCGCCCGGGAGGCAGGCGAGGCAGCCACTTGCATGGTGGGGCAGCTGCAGGGATGTCCAGGAACGAGCTGCCACCAGAGCGCTGCCGCTCGTGCAGCCAAGGCGGCGGCCGTGCGGGTGTGTGGCGCCTCACGGTCAGAACGTGCCCGCGCCGGCCGGATGCTTTCCTGTCGCAGCAGGGCCCCCGAGCGGGAGCCACTGCAGCAGGACCCCTCGGCACACCCGCCCCCCTGCCCCTGTCCCCGAGAGGCCCCGCCAGGCTAGGGTGGAGACCCCCGCACCGCCAACCCAGAAGATCCCTTCTCAAATCTCCCGAGAAGCTGCTTTGCATCCATCCCCAAGGCTGGCTTTTGTTCACGACTGGGGTCGGTGTGTTTCTGAGAATTTGTGTCTCAACTCTCATCTTAGATGCTGCTTTGTCAAACTCCCTCCAATGTAGTCTTTTGTATTCAGCCAAAATATGTCTTAGACTGTTTCCCTTGTGGTCAGCGCCGGCCTCACCCTGCTCTTGTTAGTCACTCACCACGCCTGTCGGTTTATTTGTTTAACACCGTCCCCCGCAGCTGAGTGCAGATAGGCACGGCCCCGGAACTCTCCACGGTGCGGGGCCCTGCGTTAGGCACTCTGGACGTGCCGGCTGAATGAACGAGTTAGTAAGTTACAAAACCGTCAAAGGACATCCAATATAAGGAACATTTTATTTGGGCAGATTTCGAACATTAAGGCAGTAACATTCTTTTTGGAGGCAGATGGAAGAGAATCTTCTGAGGCCACGTGAGTGTCGCATGAGACAAAGCTAATGACTTTGCATTCCGATGCTACCCAAGCCACACACTGGCTTCCGGAGCCCACTGACAAGGAGCAGGTCCAGGGTTCTGCCTTTCAATTGCTTTGAAAGGTGGCCAGGTTCCATGACGCCCTCCCCGGCTCCCCCCCCCCCCACAAGAAGACACCTCACTGATGAGCCCTTCCAGTGCTATGGAGTGTCTAGTGTTGGTTCACAATGTGCTGCTACTTTTTAGGGTTCAGTAGGTTTTCACGGAAATTGTTCAGTGTATTCGGTTTGCTGCTTCTCGGGTTTTGTTTTGGAATTCTTTAAATATCCAGTAAACTAGCTCTTCGTAAAGCAACTCAGCCAGTTCTTACCCAGCTTGACATCTGCTGAGTACGGCTAGGTAAGCGTGAGGGGGCCTGGGGGGTGGGCTGGGACTCCGGTGATTGGCATATGTTGTCCCCTGGGAGCTCGGGGGTGGCAAAAAGCTTCTACAGTATCAAAAAAGTAAACATTGGTAACATGGCCTGGCAGCAATCAGACACGCTAAGACTAAGAGCACAGGAAAGCAGTGCAGGGTTGTTCCTGCTCACAAGACCCTGAGCCCCAAGAAGGAGGTCTAACAGGCGGGGCTCAGTACCTGGAGAGGCAGCACCAAAGGACAGAGGCTTTGCTATGGCTCCACGCTGCCCCCTGGTGGTTTGCTCCCCAATTGCATCCTCCTCGGATCTAACCAAGAGTCTATCTGAAGGCACAGTATTGAAGGTGTTAGGTCTGGTCTGAGCCCTGATCCTAGCGTTAAAAACAGAGGCTTCCTGTTGGCTGAAAAAACCAAAAACGGATAACAAATGGGACCCTAGTTCTGAGGACAAGCTCTGATGATGAGTCTTCCTCCTCTGCAGGTTACCAGAGACTCCTGGGACTCCGAGAGTCTGACGGATTTGTCAGACGCTCCAAATGGCCTGGAGACAGGGTGGCCTACAGAGGCGGGTCCGAGAGAGGGCAGGGCTCGGGGCTCGGGGCGTGGAGAGCAAGGTCCCAGGGACACAGAGTGTAGAAGAAGGGGACAGAAGGAGAGGCTTGTCACAGATCCAGTGGTGGCCTCTAGAACCAAGCTTTAGGACCAGGCTGAAGCTCACCTTAAAACAAAAATGCAGCCACGGTGGGCTGGTTTGGAAGAGCCCGTTAAAATGAATAACAATGCAGCTTCTATACTTGACTAATGGCGAGAAGCAGGGTATTTTTTTTTTCCCCCTCCAGATTTTCGAAAAAGCAATAGGTTCAGTGGTAAAAAAATATTTGTAAGAGATGGGGTCTGTTGCAAAGAAGGAAGCACTTGTTAAATACAGGAGAGGCTACCTGGGCGAACAGACAATATCCACTCTGGAATCTTGGGTAATGTCACCGCGGCAAAAGCTTTGGAATGGCTTTGATCGTCTCCTTCCTCCCGGCGAGCTCGGGGCGTGAAGCGGCCAGCATCGCGCCTCCAGCCCCGCCCCGCTGGGCCTTACACCCTCCGCATTCCTTTCCCCATGAGGCAGGCAAACACCGTCATGACCATTTTGGGGTTCACTTCCACCAGGTCTTCCGGCAGGGCGTACACTCTCGCTCCGATCTTCCGGGCCATGGAGATGGCGTACCTGCGCGGGGAGGAGAGGGAGCACACGGTGAGCCAGGGCAACGGCGGGCGGAGGGGCCCCGGGAGCCGCGGTCACGGTCATTCGGTGCACGCGTCACTGCTGCGTGACGCCCACAGCACGGAGCTCGCCCCTGGCGCGGCGAGGGCCAGCCCGGACATCCTCCCGCGCCTGGGGGCCAGCCCGGGCTCGATAAAGCTCCTGACGCCATCGGCCTGGCGGCCTGGCCTCCCAAGTGTCTTGCTCGCCCTTTGAAACCTTCCCAGCTGCGTCCATGTTTGATGTCTGCACCGTGAGGGTTTGCGCGGGCTACGGAGCGGCAGAGAACTCCATCGGACGGGCGCAGGACGCGGGCTAGAAAAGGTCTGCCGACTCCATTTCAACTAGGAAAACATATTTGTGAGGGAAAAATGACTTTACACATCCATGATTTTATTCCTTGTCCCATTCTGACCCTTGGGCACTTACATGTGTCTTTCTTTAGGCTGCTATGATACGAAAAGAGCCAGTTTTATATTATACATAATGTGATCACAGCTGCCTCCGGGCATTTTTGCTTTACTTACAGTTCTAGGAAGATACTTTTTATTAGCTGCAATCTACTTTCCAGTGAGCCTGCACGACCACCTGTCAGTCCTTTCGTTCACTCTGTTTGCCGTCTAGTCACTTCCTACAATGAGGACGCCAGGGACTCTGCGCTGCGCCCAAGGCCCCGTTACCCCCTGCCCCCCTAACCGGGAGAGTCAAGTGTCACTCTCACTTTATCGAGCAAATTAAATTATCAGGCGAAAGAGCCCCTGTTCTTTCTTCTTGCCCATCCCTCAGTCTCTTCCTCTGTATTCATTATTAATGCAATAAAATGTGTTTTCCGTTATAAGAAAAAAAATTTAAAAAAATGGAGCTTCAAAGATCACGCACAATCTGGCCACCAGAAGCATTGTAAAGACTTCATGGGATTCCTTTTGCCCATTTTTAGCGTCACTGTGTATTTTGCCCTTACAGGGTAGAGCTTACGAACCCGGGCCCTGAAGTTAGACTCTGAGTCTTAGCAGAACCACTTAATAATAATTGTAAGGCCTGGGACAAGTTCCTTAAACCTAGTCCTGCCTGCTTTGGATGTCTAGACTCAAGCTCTTTTCAAGGTCACTTAAAAACACATCTGGTTCTTCCTCTGTGTTCTTCCCTCTGCTTAGAGTGCCTGACCCCCTTCACGCGTCCAGCTGCTTCCTACCTGTCCTTTTGACCCGCCTCAGCACGGACGTTGCTTGCTTTGCAGCGCCGCAGCCTCCTTCCTGTCTCCTTCTTAGTGCCCTGTCCTCCGCCTCCCATACCATCTACCCACTGCCCTGTAATTGCCATTTAATTGCTTATCTTCTCTCGGTTAGATTGTGCTAAAACATCAGCTTATCAGGAACACAGGTCCCCACTGTTGGGGTGTTTTATGAATACATGGCTGATGGGCACTGGTCACTTGTTAACTCCGAACGCGTGTTATGGGTTGGATTGTGTCCCTCAAAAAAAAAAAAAAAAAAAAAAAAAAGGCATGTAAAAGCCCTATCCCCTGGGACCTCGGATCCTGACCTTACTTGGTAATAAGACTGTTTAAGAGGTAATTTGTTAAGACGAGGTCATGCAGGAGCAAAGTGGGGCCCTGATCCGATGTCACCGGTGTCCTTGGAAGAAACGGGGAAGAGGCGCAGACGCACAGCTGGGGGAAGAGAGCCCCGTGCAGTCAGACACACAGGGAAGGAGGCTGCGCGTGGGAGGTGCGCGCACGGACATCGGGGGACGCAGCCACGAGCCAAGGGCCGCTGGCCGGCGCCAGAAGGCGGGGGGGGGGGCGGGGAGGTATGGAAGAGGTTCCCCCTCACAGCCCCCAGGAGGAGCCAACGCCGCTGATGCCTGGACCTTGGACTTGCTCCCTCCACACTGTGGGAGAATAAACTTCTGTGAAGTCACCTTGTCTGTGTTATTTTGTTATTTGCGTTTCCAAGGAAAGAATAAGCCTCTCTAGAGCTGAGGTCAGCACACTTCTCGTAAAGGACCAGAGGGCAACTATTTTGGAGTTTGTGGGCTTTGCCACAACCACGCAACACCGTTGTTGTAGCAGTAAAGCAGCTGTGGGTACGTGGCTGTGTTTCAGTAAAACTTTATTTGTGAAGGCCAGCTCTGGCCCACAAATAGTTGCCTGCTGACCCTCACGTGACATCGTAAAGCAAATGGCAGCTGCTCCCAAGCTGGCAAAGACTCCGATCTTGAACTCCGCCCCCTGTTCATTCATAGCCATGGATGGGCACTAAAAGGTTTCTATTCGTGCTTGCCACGCACAAGGAGACTTCTTTAGGAAGTCTCCTGTAGATTATGGTTAGATAGTTGGTTTTATGAAAATACAGCCTTGCTCATCACTTGGAAGAATACACTTGCTTTTTGCCTCGCCCCCTCTAACACCTGGAGACTACCCCGGCTACTGCGCAGCATCTAAAATAGTGACGATGGGACACGGTAAGACAAGAGAAGGACAAGCATCTGTAGCAAAACAAAAGCATTTGCACAAAAGCAGAAGCGATATACTTGATAGGTACCCAGTTGCTGGGTAGGGCCTTCCCCACGCCCACCCCCGACCCCAAGTTTATTTACGCACTTTGCATTGTTGAGTCTCTCGTCATCGTTCAGGTTGTCTGTCTTCAGAAGGTCATAGTTAATGGAGCCTGGCTGAATGGCATCGATGAGATCCAGAACAGGCAAGCTCGTGCTGATCTTCGGGTCCTGCACAGAGAGAAGGGTGGGTGCTATCAGTAGGGCCCCAAGTTACTTCTACTTTGCTCCCGGGACGGGGCTGGCTCTTCCTCTTGCCTATGAAATATATGCAGCCTGGCCTGGGACATGCAACGGTGTTTGCTCACCAGCTGCAGTTTCTAACCAGTTGTGGTTTCTGCAGAGGCGCTTCTCTAGCGGCTCCCTAAGCCAACAGGCAGGTAGGGACCGTTCTCAACGAGAGAGTGAATGCAGCCAGCACATGCGGAGGAAAGCAGAGAGGCCGAATCGTTTCACATAACTGCTGGTGTGAGCAGAGGAGGGCGATTTGGAGAGAAATCATCAGAGGGGAGGCCAAAGACGCTGGGAGAAACTCTGCTTCACTTGGGGGGATTACACAGGGGTGAGGGGCAGGGATAGTGCCAAGGGCTCAGTCGGACAGGGGTTTCGGTAGGTGCTCATTTCTTGGGGACCTCAAGGAAAGAAAGGAGCCCACAGGTCCAGGGACACGGCGTTGGCAGTTAAGTGCTTGAATGCAATGATAGTAACTCATATTTGTTGGGGCCTCAGAGTTGGCTCAGCATTATTATTATTATTATTATTATTTTTTTTTACAATTGTAGGTTGCACTTTCTACTCTTCTCACAACAATTCTTTTCTTTCTTTTTTATTGAATTGAAGGGGGTGACATTAACTAATAAAATGGCATAGGTTTCAAGAGTACCATTCTATAGTACATCATCGGCATGTCGCGTTGTGTGTTCCCCACCCCACGTCCAGTCTCCTTCCATCGCCATTTATCCCCTTGGCTCTCTTCTGCCTCCTCCACCCCCTTCCCCCTGGTCATCACCACCCTGTGGTCTGTGTCTATGAGTGTTTTGTCTGGGGGGGGGGAGGGTTTGCTTAATCCCTTCAGCTTTTGAAATAAGTTATCTCACTTCTCAGCATCTGAATTTAATGTACGGCGAGTGAAGCGAGTTTCTGAGGTGATGAGACTTGCTGATCAGTGGTGGAGCTGGGATTTGCACTGAGGCCTGGATTCTCACCCCAAAGCCTGGGCTCTTTCTTGGGCCTTTGTACACATGTTGACGGTCACACTTGAATGCACAAAAGTCTGCACCATCTGTCCTCTCTCCTATGGACCTTGTGAGCGCAGCCATGGACAGGCAGCTGCTGGTCTGCACCCAAGCACAGCCAAGTCCAAACACTTCCGACCTTGAGGGTCCAGGTCAGAACCAATTCTAAGCAAGACACAGGCACAGGCTGCCGGGTCCTCTGAATAGAATGATATTTTAAAAAAATACAATGGGAGACATGGAAATGGAGAGCAGGCTGACCGTGGCCAGAGGGGAGGGGAAAAAAATATAAGAAGGGGTCCATCTTTTTTTTTTTTTTTTTTTTACTCCTGGGTAATTGAAAAACTGCCAGAAATTTAAAATCAATATATGATCATAATCTGATTTCCACCATTATCCTCAGCTTTTGTCTTCACAGAAAGTTTTGGTGAAGAAGCACAAGGGATGAAAAATACAGAGATTTGAGTTTTTCCCTTCTTTCCTACTCTCTGCCCTCCATCGTGTGGCGGCGCTGGCAGGCAGAGAAGGGCCAGCCACTGGCCGCGCTCACGGATGACGAGGGACAGGGGCTATTAGCAAACTGGTTGCTCAAGAGTGGGTTGTGTTCTTTTTTTGACGGGTTTCACTTATAAGTAATGTGGGGTTAATTGGACAGCTTCCGTTCACGGTCCTTTTTACTTACTCAATCCTGAAATGACGTAATGAGGGGAAGGAGAAAGTTAGCCCAGAGAGAAACAAGGAGCAAAAGAACTGTCAGACGTTCCTGAGAGTGAACCCCCAGGGGAACACGCCAGAAGGGGGGCCTCGTGGGTTTCGGGAGCCGCTGTTTACAGAGAGATGCACCCTGGGCGACGGAACCAGTCACTTCACAGCCACGGTTAAGTGACCTCAGACACACTCCGCTCTACAACCTCACGCCCAGGAAAAAGGCGCTCTCTCCTCTCTGATGGACGGTCACCAGCCATCGCTAGCGCCCACCTCAGGGGTTACTTGAGCCCCCGTTTCCTCCCATGTAAAGTGAGGAAAACAGTAAAGCTGGCTTCGCGAGGTCTGCGAGGGTGAGGTGAGACGTCAAACACCAGGAGTCCCCGGTGCTCAGGGTGCGTTCCATGCGCCTGTGCCCCTCCCTGCCCCTTCCGCCACCTCTGTAGGGGGCTTGCCGGGAGGACTTGCTGTGTCTGCCCCCAGCCTTCGCTCCTCTGCTCGGCCACCCAGCTGGAAGCGGGTAAGCTGGAGGGGACGGAGGTGGCCTCTGCCTGCGATGGGCTCACGGGGAGGGGCCGCTCAGTGAGCGTACCCTGGTACGGCCCAACCCAGTGGTACCTTCTGCCCTTTCTGGTGGGGAAGGGCTTCAAGCTTTTTTCTTGCTTTTGAAGCAGAGGGTTGATATCATGATGAACTGCCTCGCTGACCCTGTTAGTACAACTCCGAAAGGTCCTTCCTCCCACTCTTGGCCTTTAAACCAGAACAAGGTAGCTAAGGGGGTACAGACCTTACCACATGAGTCAAGAGCACAGGCCCATTGAGGAAGGATCCAGCTAACGTATAAAACACGAGTGAAGAAATTTAATAAAAGATAACGCTGTTACGAATAAAAATGGGATTTGGATACAAGCACACAACAGCTTTTTCTCAGGAAATAGTACACGGGAGATCTTTTAGCATCTTATACTTCACCACCACAATGTTAACAATCTGAATTGTGCAGCTGTGTGCCTTTTGCCAATATTACCGCATTTTCTGTTCCTTTGGAAGAACAATGCCTGAAGTGTATGTCAAACACGATGGAGTCTTTAAATTAATTATTACAGGAGAAAGGGACAAGAAATTTGTCAGTGACATGGCCCATGAACATGAAAGCCATGATGGATCATTCAGCAAAATCAAAATTGGGGAGGAGGAGCCTGGAATACCTCACACTTAGGGTCACTGTAAGACAGACAGGAAACGCAACGACAGGTGTAGGGCTCAGGTGGCTGGGAGCAGTGGGCGGGGCTTTACCTTGAAGCTGGAGATGGACGAACACTTCCCTGCCTCCTTCAGTGTGTCATTGACCCAGCTGACGATGATGTCATCATTGACCTTCTGCCCACCTCCAATTTCTTCCAGAATATTCAGTGTGTACCTGAACAACATCAAGAGTGATTTCTGGAGGAAAGTTGCTAAATAATTCAATATCACGGAAAGTAGCCAGGGTAGAAAGTGTTCTTTTCTTTTTGGGTATGTCACAAAAGTTAGCCTGGACGCCATTGCATTAGTGGGGGGTGGGGGAGAGGAAATACATCCATTCCCTGCAGGATAACTTAAGCTATAACTTTATGGTCGGTCGTTAGAGGGAGGTGCAGAGCAAATACCTCCCCCTCAAAGCACCGTCATTGCCCTGGGGGCGGGGGAGGAGGAGGCAAATGAGAAGAGAAGACAGGGAAAGAAAATGATGCAAAAGATTGGAACCAGTAACTTAAAGAAACCATAAAACAAACAAACAGACAAAGAACTATTCCATATTAGAAAGGCCCAGGTAGCCAACATAGTAAAATACAGGGTCCAGCACAAATCATGCCCCTTTTTTATGACAACGTCTTTTGTTATAAAATCATAAGCATGTCATTCTATAACATCACAATATCACACTCAAGCACACCATAGGACGTTTTAGGTGAAATGTTCAAATGAAAACTGTAAATTATGACACCCATATTATTACCCTACCAACCACACTCCAGCAGGCGTTACTTCTGCCAGACCCTGCAAGTATGCGTGTGTGTGTACATATATATGTATATATATACATAAGTGTGTGTGTATATATATCCTTTTTATATTGTAGAGGTAGAAATATTAGGAATACCTCACCATGAAGGTCACTTTAAAGTAGAAACCAAAGTTAGTCTCCAGTCTGAGAGTAAGAATCACCTTAGATACTGTTGTGAGAACTGGGTTTGTTTGGAAGACTTAAGAAGCATCAAGCTCTCAAAATTTCCTCGCTGTTCCCGAAGGCGACTCCCTCCGCCAGGGGGAGCTACTGGGAGCAGGGGAACTGCGCAGAAGGCCGCGCCGGGAGCAGGTTCCTGGGCCTCGAGGTCCAGGCCGGCAGGAGGGGGTCCGGTTACCCGGGGCCGGCCTTCGGGGCCAGGGTTTCTGGGGGCACCGCTACCCCTGAAATGCAAGTATCTGGCCCCTGAGTGCCGTCTGGAGGGAGGGCAGACCGAAATGAGGTCACCCTCCAGGTGACCTGGGGTGCCGCGCACACAATCTATTGGGGGTCCTCTTCCGGTCACTGCTTCCGGGGGGAAAACCCAACCCTCCCCCAATTTTCAAGTTGAGTCTCCAAAAGAGGAGGGATGCCCTGCTTCCCCCAATTACAGCGCCTCCTCGCCATCTCGGTGGGTGGGGAGGAAAGGACCCCTGCCTCTGTGTGTGTGTGTGTGTGTGTGTGTGTGTGTGTGGTGTATGTGTGTGATACACACACGCAACCATGTTAACTGATCAGACATCGAAGTCCTCTCCGTTACACCCCTTCGAACCCGCTCACATCAACGGACTCCTTCATTCCGTGCCTCCTCCCCACAGGATCGCCCTTCTAAAGTCCAGCTCTGGCCGCGTCACTGACCAAACGGCCCAGGTCCAAGCCCTTCCAACGGCACGTGAGGCCCTCCATGACTCAGCCCTGGCGTCTCTTCTCGGCGCATCTCCGCTCTCTCGATCCCTCCTCTCTCGCGGGCCTCGTCCCCGGGCCCCGAGAGAACACACACACTCAGGTTTCCACGTCTCGGAAGCGCCAGCAGCGCCCCTAGCGGCGCCGCACCGTCCTGCCTCCGGGACTCAGCTCTGTGCTCTGGCAAAGGAGGACTCGTCCTTGGACCAATTCCTAGGTCAGCATCGCTTTTCTGACCCCCACACTGCATTCGTCACTATAGTAACGCCTCCTTCCAACCGCTTGCCCTCACTTTGGAGGGAGCTGACATGCACGTCCCTGTCTGCCTGCCGTGTCCTACCAAATCCATACCCCTGTTCTCCACGGGGTTCCCAGGGGTTGGCAGGGTGCCTGGTATATATCGAGCCTCTGGTAAATGGAGGCGTGACGTGGTGGAGGAAATAAATAGGATGGCTTCTCCCAGAAAAAGCCAGGAGAAAGCTGAGTCATGCTTAGTGTGGACCCAGGCACGGGACCAAAATGCTAAGCACTAATGAGGTCGAATGGGGCAGGTCCCAGGTAGATTTTCAAAATATCCCCAATTTGGAAAAAGACCCTGGTTTTGATCTGTTTGTAATGATGATGTTTTATGGCAGAAATGCCTCCTTGTTTCTTAATAATTGGCCTGTGCAGTTAAGTTCTTAGCCTCAATGACACATTTAAGTAGACGCTCTGAGGACGGTCGGTTGTGTTTCCTTCCTCAGGCCACGTCTCCGCGAGCCTGATGAAAGCGAAGTCTCCTCTCCGGCCGCCTCGCCCCTGGCAGGCCGGAGTTCTGGCCGCTCCTGCCCCAGAGCCCCGGGCCACTTCACCGAGGCGCGCATGGGGACAGAGGTGGGGCTGTGACCTGCTTCTTGAGCCAGGCAAGCAGCTGGCACAAGGGGACGCGCACTTGATCCAAAAGTGGAAATAAAATGTTTCGAAAGCCACTCAGGAACAGGGAAGTGTAAAAAGGCGCAGAGAGTCACAGGGGCAGCTCGGTGAGTGTATCCGGGGGTCCGAGAGCAGCCCCTCCGGGTGGCACGGAGCTCGGTGAGCACGACGTTGGCTTCCTGCCACCTCAGGGGAGGTGCAGAGGTTGAAAACGGAATCAGACACCTGCTTCTAAGGACACGGGAGGAACAAAGGGAAGGCAGGACAGGGTTAGGTTGGAGCGTCAGCTCTCAGCACCGAATGCAGAGGCAGAATCTAAATCAGAAACCAGTCTGGCCTGAGCCTGCCGACGATTCCCCTCATGAAATACTTGGCGCCGTCAGACATGTCTGGGGGCCACTGTGCTGGTAGGCACTCGATGTCCCCGACAATATCTGACAGCCACAGGTGCTGGCAAAACCGCGCTGCACCGAAACGCCCTCTGTCACCATGAACGGCCTCAGGAGCCCCCGCTTCAGCCAGCGCCCCGGCAACGGGACAGGGTGGACAGGTGGGCGTGGGAGTCCTCGGTGGGCGGCAGGCATTGCGCGTTCGCTTCCCTGCCTCCCGACACTGGTGTGATCTATTTAACACTCGAACCAGAAGGACAGACCGTCGTGTTTTGGTTTTCGAGGACCTATTGCAAATTCACGGTGCCAGCCTGTTTGATTTGGGGAGGACCCCCTCACAGGCCGGAGCCCAACGGGCACTGCCGTCGGCAGCAGCCTGCTGGCTTCCGGCTCTTGTTCCCAAAGGTGTATGCACGCCGTTTGCCAGCTTTCCAACCTGGGGCTTATTTCCAGGCTACTGAAGGGAAAGGCTTAGACATACATCTCATTTACTCCCAGGGAAAAAAATGACACACCTTGACTGCCCAGATAAATGGCCAAATTAGCACATCTGTGAATCCAATGAAATAAATCCCAGCTAGAACTGGCACTAAATCTAACAGTTCTGCTAATGTGTGGCACACAGAGAAAAAAATTCCTCCTGGTGGCATTTACGTAATACTCAGTCATTTCACTGCCTTCGACAGTAATGTAGTTCTCTCTCCACTTTCTTACATGCGCAATTCTCGTATAGTAAACACTCATGAGGAATAGGACTTATTAACCAGGTGACAAGAGTGGACCTTGTCAAATCTACACCGGTCACAAAGTGTGACTGTGGGCCACACTTTTCTAAAACTCCCACAACAAAGACCATTTTACGAGGTGATTTTCAGACATTATGAAATGCAAAATAGAACAGAACTGGCCTGAGATTTTTTAATAATTAAAACAAAGTATCAAAGATTATTCTATATTCAAACCTGTAGGCCAATTTCACTTTTGCAACTAAGAGAGATTTTTGTTCTGGTTTTCACAGCAACCAGTCCCAAACCCAGCCTGTTACGAAATAAAAACACAGGTGGAAGACAATAGAAAATAGTTCAAAGATGGCTTCTGAGAAGACAGTGGGGAGAAGGGCCCTCAGGGGCGCACAGTGACACGCTAGGTACATGCAGGAAAATCGAAGACGGGGGTGAAGTTGCTCTGGCTTTGGAGCTCCCTGTGCCAGGGCAGTTTCAGGTCACCTGCCTCGACCTTCAAGAGGCCCCAGGTTGGAGAACTATACGTGACAAATCAGACTGTGACGCCGCCAGGATCACTTGCGGCCATCCTGCGGCCCCCGGCTGCCCCACCCTGACTCCTCCGGGGACCGCGGGAGTGGGACGGCCTGCAGGCCGTGGCCTGGGCATAAGGCTGAGGCGCCAGGGGCCACCGCACGCCGTGACCTTGTTAGAGACACGACCGTGAGACAGAGGGTTTCTGGAGCTCCCTTCCAGGCAGGCACATGAATTGAGTCGCACTGACATAGGTTCTAACTGTGTTGGAAGGACTTCTGCCTGGTCGGAGCTACCGGTATAAGGGAAGAGGCAAAGCGTTTGACAGGACGCTGTTGTGTCCTTCGAGGTTTGCTTTCTAAACGTCTTCTAAAAATACTTTTGTACCAGAGTTGCTTATTTTTCTTACAGCTTATTTTCGATTTGTCTATCGTCCTATATCCTGCTCTGGTTCAATACCCTCGCCATCCAGCTCGAACATCAGGCAGGCTTAGAGCCGGCGCTAAGAGACAGCTGGAGGTTTCTTTTCAGCTTGCAGGGCTGTCCAACCTTTTGGGCCACACCAGAAGAAGAAGAGGTTTCTCGGGCTACACATTAAATACAGTGCAACACGTAATCACACAAAAAAAATCTCCTCGTGTTCTAAGTAAATTCACAATTTTGTGCTGGGCCGCGTTCACAGCCATCCCAGGCCGCAAGTGACCCGCGGGCCGCAGTTTGGACACCCCTGTCAGCAACAGCAGACGACTCTGCCTCTGGCCCCAGGGGAGTAACAGGGACCTGATTTACCCTTCTGCCCGCAGCGCCTAACACGGAATGGAAAAACACGCGGAACGATGTTGTTCAGGCATCGGATAACTGAAAGCGGAGCAGCGGTCCCTGAAAGATGGGAACAAACGCGATGAGCCCCAGGACTGTCCCGGCTGATTGCGTGAAGCACGTCCAGGACACCGTGCAGGGACAGAGAACCCGGGCAGAGCAGGACGGTCCTCCTGAGCTGAGGGGAGGGGTTGAGAACGAGGAAGCGCAGGTGCCTAGAATATGTGGGAAGGATACCGAGGAAGAGGGAGCTGCCCGTGTCCCAGGGTCACTTAGAAAGAGGGTCTGGAGAGCTTCAGAGGGTGTGCCTCTCCCCTGCAGCGAGAACTGCGCAGTGCCCACGGGTGAGGAAGCTGCCAGGAGCTGAGGAAGGAGCTGTCGGCAGTGAACAGGCAGAACAGTTCTCCGAGCTCCCACGGGGCTGGGGGTCATTTGGTTCCCATAAGTAGGAGCGCAAGAACCATGAGAACCAGGGAGCATCAAGTGTTGATCAAGACGATCTCAGTTTTGAGATACAAAATTAGCTCAAGACTAATTAAGACTTCAAGTAGCCCTCAGAAGGATCGCTTGCCTTTAAATAACAAAGTGCATCCTGGGACTAAATTCAAGAATATTTAAACGACAATAGAAATATCTGGCAGGCATCATGGTAAAATGCACAATGTCTCTCATACAATAAAACAAACAAACAAACTAGGAGGCATGCAAAGAAGCAGGAAAACATGATGCATAATGAGGATAAAGATCGATGAATAGAAATAGAGCTAGAAATAAGTTATTGTAGTTATATTCTATGTGTTCAAAAAAGTAGAGGAAAAAGCTATGGGAGATGCCAGAAAGACCCAAATCAAATTTTTGTACATGAAAACTACAGTGTCTGGGATAAACATTATATATATTGGATGGGATTAATGGAGGATTAGACATTAATCCTCCATTTTAAAGGAGTAATGGATTTGAATACCAAGCAGTGGAAATCACCCTTTATGCAACATACAGAGAAAAATATGAAACAGAGGAGAAAAATGAATACAACTTCAGTGAACTCTGGGGCAACTTCAAATATTCAAATGACCAAATATATATGTACCTGGTGTCTCCCCCCAGAACAGAGGTGAGTAAGTAAAGGAGACACATTTGAAGAAATAAAGGCCAAAATTATTCCAAGTTTGGTGAAAACTATGAACTCACAGATATATGATAAATTTCGAGGATGAGAAACAGAAGAACATTATAACCAAATTCCTTAAAAAACAGTGATAAAGGGAAAAATCTTAAAAAAAAAAAGCCTGAGGAAAAAGACATATTCCATACACAGGAAGAGAAAAATGACAACATACTTGTCACTGGAAACAATGCAGGCCACAAGGCATCACACACTATCTTTGAGAAAAACTATCAACCTAGAATTCTACACCCAGAAGAAATATCTTTCAAAACTAAGAATGGAATGAAGACTTTTTAGTCATGTAAAAGCTGAAGTTATTCTTCTGCGCTATGAGAAATATTCCAAGTAGAAAGCTAATGATATCAAATAGAAATCTGGATCTGTGCCATGGAAAGAAGAGCACAGAAATGGCAAATACAGAGGTCAGTGTAGCACATTTCCCTCTTAGTTTGAAAATCCCTCTTGAAGATAATAGATTGTTATTAAGGCAAGTCAATTTAAAAGTAAAAGGGTAGAAATAAGGTCTGCTGGGCTAAGGTGAAGTAGCAGGAAGCTAGAGTGGCTATATCAACATCACAAAAAGTAGATTTCAGAATAAATCTCAGCAGACACGAAGAGGGTCGCTCCATAATGAAAAGGGGGCGATCAATTAAGACGACTACACAATCTAAAATATTTATGACGCTACTAACAAGAGTTTCAAAAACCTGACACAAATTGGATGGAACTAAAAGGAAAAAAAAAAATAACAGGGACATTTTAAAGAAGACTTTTGTGGTTTTAAGTTTCGGTAAAAGCATAGTTTTCCTAGATTAAATTACACTCCTAAGCATTTTCTGGTACTTTCCGAGGTTGATAATACACTCGCTAAAAAGCTGTTACCTTCTCATTAACTGCCAAATCAAGGCCAAGGTCAGCGTGCGGTTGCCTTCGTTGAGATCCTGCCCAGCGATGCCAACCAGGGAGAACTTAGCTTGATTCTTCCCCAGCTCCACGGCGTAGTTACAGTTCTCAAGCTGTTAATGAGGTGAAAGGACAACAATCTCATGTCATCATCTCCATGATGATCAATACCCGATAAAAGAGGACAATAAAAATAAAGGCACAACCTGAAATAAACACGGTCAGACTGACCTTTCAAGCCTCCTCTGGTTCTGCAGTCCTAGGAGTCTAAATTAGTCAAAGAAATTTCCATCTTTTCTTAAATACCACCTTTCATTTCCACCAAAAAAAATACTCATAGTATATTCACAGTGCAAAACCAAAACGAATTCATCATCACGAACACCTTCAGGGCCACATCACACGACCCAAACAGGAAGCCATGCCCAGTACCTGCCCATAATATTCCTAAAATAGCTGCACTCAAAATCATCGGCCTGGAAAGTCTAGAGGCTCTATCCCACGTGGCCACGTGGTCTGACATGTGGGACAGGCAGCCCCGTGGCTACGCTTGGATTGTGAAGTCACAGAGACGAGACCTGGTAGGCAACGTTGGCACCAATGCATTGTTACTTTTCCAAAACAATGTGTTCCCCCGTGTTGACATTTAATAACCTATTTGTCTAAATCCAACTGTCAGCACAAAGCTCCAATTTTTTAGAAAAGTAGAGTGAAGATCCCGATGGGGCGGGGCGGGGGCGGGGAGGGAGAAGAAACCCTGACCTTCTCGAATGATCTTAATTAGAATTTTGACATCATAACGTTGAAAGACATCCAACGTGGAATTGTAAACCACAGAAATAGTGGAATCGCTTTAATTAAACCATTTAGGTTACTGATGGCTCGACCACAATTCAAACCCTAGCTAGACAACCCACATCCACATTCGGCCTCCCGGCGGGGCACCCACAGGGCGCTCTTGCAGGCTGGTGCTGCTGGGACATCTCTATTTACCTTCTTCATGTTGCCCCCCAGTTTGGGGTACGGTGGTTTGTTCACCCTGCTCCAGTCCACAGGGACTTTAATCTTTTCATACAGCTGGAAGATGACCAGGGCGTCCGATAAGTCACTGAATAAAAAACAAACACAGAGGAATCCTCAGACAGCTAACCTTGAGGAGGGGCCTGTGGCGAACCCAGCGCTCCCTTGCGTGTTTGCTCAAGGAGTGTTGGCACTGTGGCGAAACTGCCGTCCACCGCCATGTCCTTAGAGGTCAAGAGGCTGATTCAGGCGTTGAGGGAACTTCCTTGAGGTTCTCCCAGGACGTCCCTCGTGTCCCATCACCTGGAGCACATTGCCTCCGGGGGGGAAACTGGCTCTCACACATGGCGTAGGAAACCATCGCAAACGTAACACTTATTGTTTCGCCTGCGCGGGAGCAGATGCCGGGCCAGCAGCACACAGTACGCCTGTCCTTCCGCTGGGGTAGGGTCGTGTACCAAACACACAGCGAGGCTGGCGGACGGAAGTGAGTTCCCTTCTTCCTGAACAGCCATCACCTGCGGGTCAGTTTGGCACTTCCCCACCCTCCTCTCATCGAGGTACACACATTTTGTGGAAAGAACTGCACACTGAAGTGGTATTTGAAATCCTGGGGATCTTTCAAGGTCTTGGTGTTTTGCATTAAGAATGAGTCCCCACATATGCTTACCTGTACAAGTGATTGACGCGAGGGTTAACGCCCAGGGAGTTCATCCAGTTCCTAAATGTCCTCTCTTCTCTCGTCTCACCTGAATGAAGGAGCGAACGAAGGAATGAACAAATGAATGAATAAGGCATAGAAAATATGGCTTACTAAAGTTTAACCGAAGAGGCTATAGCAGAAACAGAAGTTACGTTTTAAAAATTAATTAAATAGACCCTAGTGGATTTGGGTGAGGGTTGCTATTCTGTGTTAATTTTTCCCATTTCAATGTAACAAGTATTTCTATGGCATTTATTAGTGGTGCGCAAGACCCTCTGTGGGCAAACTGTTCAGAATTGGCCCTCAAAGGCTTACTTGCTTTCTGGACATAACAAGACCCTCAGGCATCAAACAGAGATCAGGCAAGCGGAAGGGCTAATGTGTGAAGTAGACACCTTCGCTTTTTGAGTTGTGATGGGGAGAGAATGACAGTTTGGGCTAAATTTGGAGGGAGAAGAATTTGAGCTTCACCTTCCAGAACTAGTAAAATCTGGATAGCAAAGGGGAACGGGGAGAGATTTGGGGGTACGCTAAGGGGTGGAAGTAGGAGACAGAGTACATATGAACACAAAGAAAACGGTAGGCAAGCGCTTATTAAAACCATTAGGAACGGCTTTTTCGGGGATCTGTGTTGCTCAGCGCATGGCGATACGGCTGTCCAGTGACAGGGACCAGAAGGAGGGGTCTCTGAGGGAGCAGGGGCAGATGTGGGTTGAAATACTAGACAACATCGGTCACTATGGGTTTTTTATTTTTATGTTACTAAAATAAGCGCTTGAGCAAAGCAGAGGTATAATGAAAGCAGTATGGAGCTGCGCCGGGCAGCACAGTGCAGAGCTTCTGGCAGGCAACACACGTTTAAATCAAACACGCGGTACGTGACAAATGGAGGGAGAGGTCCCTAAGACCCGTGGAAGTAGTTGGTGTATGAGTTAATAAGAGTCCAGAAGAGCAGAAACAAAAAATAATAACTAAAAAGCCATTCTGCGGGGAGAATTATTCATATTTGCTGATTTAATGCATTTAGGGATGAAGAAGATATCAAAGTGGACCCCAGGGTTTTGGCGACTGAAGAAAAAAGTGGTAGATGAATGGGGTCTTTCTGAAGGAGAGGGGATGGCATTGGGGTAGAGGAGAAGAGCAGCCGGGGAGGGTAAATGGCCCATTCTGCTTTGTACGCGCTGAATTTCGAGTGGCGGGGAAGTACCCAAAGACGGAAGTGAGTGGTTAGAGGGCCTGATGCATATGCACGGGCCCTGGACAACCCACGATTCATTAAATAATACATATGCAGTGATGGTGGAATACGAATTAATTCTGCATTTCCAGCTAGACTAAAGCATTGCAGGAAAAGGCTCAATCAACACTTTATATCTGGGCTTCCTTTCTTTGGTGATATTCATTTAATATTAATTTTGTTTTGATTTTCCTGCCTCAATATTGAGACTACTTCACAATGAGGAGAGAAGTAAACATCTCTGGCAGTTTTACTTGTTAAAAACTGACCAAAGCTCTATGCTTTCTGCTCAATCTTAGGGCATTAACTCCCAAAATAAAATTGTCAGGGATTCTGCCTTGAAATAGGGTGGTGGGCCTTCCGCAACCCAAATCAAAGAAACAAAACCAAACCAAACAACTCAGGAGTACCTTCTAGAGTAAATATCATTTTAAGATGACGAGTGGCTGTAATTTCTTGCCCCTAAGAATTAACATTCAGTCCAATAAGTACATACATCATATTTTTGGATGTTAGAATTTAGTTTATCTGATAATGAAATGCATGCCTTTCCTCAAACAGTTCTGATCATGGATAAAGCCTATGTATTATGGATGTGATATAATAATATTTGATTATTCTGGCTTGGCTGTAATTGACTTGATTAGTCTATTTCATTCTCTTTGTTAAGTATCAGAGAGTTGGTGACCTTTTCGCAAACCTCCCTGACATGCGAGGGGTTTACTGTTGCTGAGGGGGTGATTGTTGTTGACTAGAATTGTGAATGTCTTTCTACACTCTGAGTCGACCGGCTCCCAGTTACCTTCCAGGGCTCCCCAGTCGATGTCCTGGTTCTCTGGTTTGTGCAGGGCAGGGTATCTGTTAAAGAGGTTGGCAATGAAAGCCAAGTTCAACTTGGGGTTCCCTCGGACGACGTCTGTGGCTGTGACGAACTGCCGGCAGCCCAGCCTCTCCGCCTGCTGCAGCATGCACTCTGCTCTCTGGAGGTCATCCTTCTCCTGCAGGGAAAAAGGCCAGGTCAAGGCCAGGTCAAGGTCGGGTCATGGCCGGGTCAAGTCTCTCCAGGCACAAAGCAGACATGGATAACAGAAGAAGAAATGGGTATCTTACCAAAACCCATAGTGCGGAGCCTCAAATAAGCATATTATTACTCATATTCTCCTGACCCAAAATCAGATAGTCACAAGTAAAAGGAGTTTCAGAAGTTAAGTAATCGAATCCTCCCATCTCTAGACAGAACCATGTCAGATGAATGCTTGGCTGTCCTGGTTTTCAAAACATTCAGTAGATTCCACAGTTCGTTACGTGGCTCTTAATTATTTTCAACCATTAAGCTTACTTTTTTATTATTTCTTGCACAGAATGTGAGATTTTTGTCTACCAAAAATGTTTATTTATTAAGTAAATTATATTCTTATTTTCAGTTCATCAAAGATATTTACATCTGCCAATAAGAATGTCTGATTAGCATATACCTCCACACTGAGTCGGTATACTTGCCAACTTAAACAACAACAAACAAAAACGTGGTGAGTTATCTAAGCTACATCCTGTCCTTAATAAATATATAATATCAGTAGGCTTTTGCAGACTTCAGATTGAGAACCACTCACCGAACATATTAAAAGTCTATTCAAATGGTTCTAGAGACCCTCTGTCCTTTGCAAGCAGACTCTCATGAGAAGGTTCTTGTTGAATTATGGTCTACTGTCCTTAAAGCTCTTAATGAGCCTATGAAAACACCAATCTTAAGAAAAGAGAACTTTAAATTGGAATTATTTCTTCATACGATGCTCTAATAGATAATATTGCACATTTCATGAGCTGGCTTCTCACCCAGGAATGAGCGGATCTTAATATTTGCTCGTTGGGTTTAACTCAAAAATGGGCAGAGCGGTGGTTTCTCATGGTCAATATTGAAGTGGTGGCAAAACTGAAGTGTTAACATTCAGACCCATGATGCGGCCTTTATCTTTAAGGGCCCTCAGACCAGACACTTCTGAGAACTCACACGACCCTGCCCAGCCCTCTCCCCTGGTCACCCGCAGTGACGTAGTGAGGCTGGGCTGCCACGGGGCGGACTGTGGAGCCACCCTGGGTTCATGCCTGCTGTACCAGCCCTGGGTTCGGTGGTCGCGACTTGAGTATTAGCGTCTCTGACCTTCCGTTTTTTCAACTCTAAGGCAGGTTAACACCTCCCTTACTGACGTCTGCCAAGGCCAGAGGCTGTGTACGCCGCACGCCTCCCATGGCACCTGGTGCATGGGAGGAACTCAACAAGCAGGGATTTCTCTTTTTCTTTCTTCCTAGAGGAAAGGAACCCTAGCCCTAGATCAAATAACTTCAAGGATCTGTCATATGATCTTGCACGTATTAATTAATCCTCAGTCTCACTTTTTTTCATCACTACAGTGAGAATTTATTTATTTGTATAAATATTCTGTTGCCAGAAATAGTACTCAGGTTTCTAAACATGGAAATAATATTATTTCTTGATATGGTAGAGCCTCTTAAATGATGGGAAATACACAGAAGTGCCTGGCATGCTGTAAGGCGTGTAACTGGTATTATTTCCAGATTAAATTCCTCACAATTATTAAGCAAAACTGTTAACAGCTTTTGGTAGTTTACACAGAGCTGCAAGATGAGATGCTGACCCACGGAACCCCTCATCGGGGCCCCAGGGGCCGATGGAGCGGCCGATGCGAAGGCCAAAGGCGGCAGCGGACTGTCCACACCCGGCTTGGGAGGCAGCCTTACCCTGAGTCCCGACATGTCAATCACAACCGCGGGGATCCCTTCCTCGTCCCCTTTGGGAGCCACCTGTTCCAGCAGGTGGTAGTAAGCTTTGGAGTCCTGTGAGAAATTAGAAAGTTACAATTTCAAATTACATACTTAGCACTGTGACTTCTCTAAAGCGAATATTTTCTATTTTTTATTTGACTACCATTCAAGAAGGCAATTTAATGAACAAAGCTGGAAACATTTACTTGTTTGAATTTTCTATTTACATACTATATTTGCCTTTGCTTTTACAATGAGTATAACAATTAAAAATGTACAAAGGGCACCACAAAGATGTAAATACTATTCTTTTTTTCTTAGAGGGGAGACATAATTTATTAACATGTATTAAATTGTATACAGGAAAATATATATACCTTTATATTGCCATAGAAGCAGCTAATGTTGAATTTTTAGACAGCGACAGAAAAAGGAAGCAAAAGTTTAAAGCAGAGTTGAAAAATACATTTAAATAGATAATCAGCAAAACAAAAGTATTTTAAACAAGCAGTCTTTATGCAAAAGGAAAGCTATTAAGATGACAAGTTCAACTGAAAGGAAAAGAAACCAACAGAGACAGGAGGGAAGGAGGGAGGGGGGGCGGGGGGGGGAAGGAAGGGAAGGGGAAAGTCAAGGAACATACAGCAAGGACTCATGGACAAAACCAAAGGGGAAGAGTTGAGGGAGGGAGGGGGCAAAGGAAAGTGGTGGGGGGGAGGCAGAGACAAATGTATTTGAAATAATAAATAAATTAATTAAAACAATCTATTAAAAAAAGATGACAAGTTCATTTAATGTTTACCTAGAAACTGGAAAAAGTGGTTTAGTTATAGCGGATTATATACAGATATTGAATTCTTATGTTTTCTTAGATTCTGTAACTATGCTTACTGACAAAAAGAAGTCTCAGAAATATAGCCTTAAAATTATAAATGTATTCTCAGTCAATGAAAAGACGCAGGTGTTCTGGTAATGTCTTAAACCATTGAAAGAGATTTTAGTTTCTCTTAAAGACTGAAAATGAGCTGTTGTTATGTTATGTTATTTTTTCCTGTTTTTTTCCAGTTGGGCAGGTGCGGGGCGAGCAGAGGGCTGCTCTCCACCTGTGACATCAGAAATGGGCACCGCCAGCCGTTGATGTGGCACCTGGGGAAGCTGAGTTTCATCTCTTCCCTTCCTGCCTTCCCCTCTTCATTTTCATTGTAGCTATTTTGAAGCCAGTGAAAGTTCCACGCAGGTGCGAGGCACAAACGCGACCTGCCAACCACGTGCTACTTCCGTTTGGCCCTGCTAAGCGCTACCTCATTTCATCTGAGCCTAAGAAAACTTTCTCACTCACACTAGCAGACACCGTCTCCCCGCCTTTGCTGACATGGCATGATTGAAGGGCACTGCAAAGTCGCCTGTGGCTCAGACCCACGTCACAGCGCTGACCTCAGCTGGGAGGCGGCTCCTCCCTGAGAACAGGTACAACCGCTATGCAAGTGTCCGGTCGGCCAGTCCCCTCCTCACACAGAGAGTCCCCAGGTCCAAACTTATTGTTTGAAGAGCACAGCCTCTCAGTGATAGGAAATCAGGTAAATCTGTGGCTTAGGTTAAGCAGCCTAATTCTGGCTGAAATCCAGAAAATTTTGGCTGAACCAATAGCAGAGCTTAATTGTTGAGCACAAAGATGACGCTTTCTAGTTCCTGTTCCATCCCAGTTTGGTTGGTGGGGCTAGGAGACTGTTAATAACCAATGGAAGTGGCGGAGTTTAAAAAAAATGAATTTGGCATCGTTAGCTTAGGTCCTAAGGAACGGCGGACGTCACATCCTCGAACCGCCTGTCTAACGGGCACTGTGCCTATGACCCCAAGTTCTAAAAGCCAGGAGCCCACAGCAGGAGAAAACTGTCACTCGAGTTATCAGCCTGGGGTGACTCTTGGTGACCCATGTGCCTTTCCTTTGACTCTCTTTGGAGAAAATTTCTTTACGTTTTGAGCAAGCGAGGACCGAAATGTTTTTTGTGTGCTGCACCCAGCATCTCATATCGGGGGCTCCTTGGGGTGGCCCTCCGCCGTTCCTTGCTGTTCCTTACGCTCTGTCTGTCCTGGCCCATCTGTGACCCGCATCAGCGGTTTTTCCCCTTCCCCTTGACTTGGAACTTTTCACAAAACTGAAAACCACAGCACACGCTGTGCCCCGCCTGCCTCTCCGTGTTGTAGGACTGATGGCGTCTTCTGCCCGCTCTGGGGTGATTTCTCACTGCAGATGGTTTCTGGGGTCATCATCTTTTAAACATCACTGTGGACTGCACAAATGAAAGCCTTTCAAGAAATTCCTGACTTGTTTTTTTTGTTTTTTGTTTTAAGAGAGGCAGCAGAGTATGGCAGTCAGGGCCGTGAGCGGTGGAGGCCAACGGTGGGACTTAAATCCGGAACCTACCCCCAGTTATGTGAACTTGAACAAGCTATTTAAGTTCTCTTTACCTCTGTTTCCTTATCTGTAAAATGAGAAAATAATAATCCTTATCGCAAAGGGTTGTTGTCAGGGTCAATGAGTCAACGCACGTGTAAAGCAGAACAGCGCCTGGCGTGGAGTATACGCTGTGTGTGCAGGTGTTAGTGCAATGAGAGGCATCCTCCTTGAATTTATTTTATTATTATTTTAAATCCTCATCTGAGGGTATGTTTTTTAAAAAAATTATTATTGATTTTAGGAAGAGAGGAAAGGTGAGAGAGAAACATCTATCAGTTGCCGCCAGCATATGCCCTGACCAGGGACCGAACCAGCAACTCGGTTATGTGCCCTGACCAGGAATTGAACCAAAAGCATTCTGGTGTGTGGAACGATGCTCCAATCAACTAAGCCAATGGCCAGGGGTCATTTCACTTTTTTAAAGGAACCCCCATCTGATATAGTCTCATTTATCAAGCCAGGAAGACGTTACAGTCCTACACATACTTGACAAGCAGTCGCCTCTCTCGCCCTCCCTCCGCCTCGTCCTCCTGCTCCTCCTTCCCGATACGGAAACTCCAGGGAGGACCCTGCTTCCGGCGTTGCTGTGCAGTTGCTGGGGCTGCAGGCAGAGCCGTGCGTGGCCGGCGCGCGGACTTGAGAACGGCACGGGCTCCGGAGCTGCGCCAGCCGCCTCTGACTGCCCGCAGGAGCCCGCAGAGCCGGCCCGGTCCCCGTGGCTTTTCCCCAGGAACGCCCACGTTCCCTCCCGGGCTGCTGCAGCCGGTCCTGCTCCCACGACCCGCTCCTACCTTGATGTCCGTACTGAAGTTGGTGATCTTGCCGCAGCCCGCGTTTTCCAGGTGGTAGTTGGCCCATCTCAGCAGGAGCTCCTCGGGGGAGAGCTTCATCAGGTCCTCCAGGCTCTCCCCCTCTCGCAGAAGGGCAATCAGGGCTGAGGAAGCACAAAGGCAGAAGGGAAATGAACACAGGGGGCAGCTGGGGGTTTCGCGGCAACCTCATGGGCTCCGCGGGAGAGCCAAAGGCCAGCGTCATCTCGCTGGGCCAGGGGTGCTCGCAGCTCTTCCTGGGGAGTGAGCCCTTCACTGTTACTGTTCCCTAAGAGGAGGTGTAGGGAACTGTGGGCTTACGTATTGCCCTTATTTTTCCGATGGGAAAGAAAAGCACCAGGGAATCTCGATGCCCTGCCTAAGAACAAGGCGGCTGAGCGAAGGGAATAAACTACGCTATGGGCTCAGAACGCTCCACGGGTCCGAGGGGGCAACAGTTTCGCTTCTAGGAGATCGATTTTGCGTTAATGGCAGTGTTCTGTTGTCTGTCCCCATGGGCGTTTTAGATTTCAAATGCTTACCTGTGTAATCGCAGCAGCTCAAAAAGTGTAATCAACGCTTTCCTCTCTGTTTCCCAGATGAATAAATATTTCTTGTTCAGTTAGAAGGTTTAAATATAGCGGAGGTCATTATTTGCAAATCAATAGTTTTTCTCGTAGGTTCTGAGTTCTTTTTTTTTTTCCCCATCTCTATATTATGCCTAACATATTGAATATATTGGTTTTATATGACCCCAGGATTCTTCACTGGTTATTGTGATTTGGACTTTAAAAGTGTATAATAAAATTATATATATGCTTTACATTTATATATAATATAAAGATTAGAATTTGGCTGCAGATTTCACATTGGTAGCGTCTGTACCCAAAAATAAAAAAGTAACATTGCGTTTTATACAACACTTGTCAAGATCTATTACTCCTGTCTAACTCAGGGGGCTATAATTATCTAAATGCAGAAAGGATGCTCAGAGCAAATAGAAAAAGATTCACAGCTACATATTTAGTTTGAGAACTCTGAACCCCTAAATGTAATTTTCTATCGTTTTGCTAAGAACTAGACCAAGTTGCTCCTAATCTGTCACTATTACTACCGTATATGAATGTGAACTGCTTCACAAAACATAAGTTACAAGTAGCCTTATTTGGTATAGAGTGTCTAAAGGCAAAGTTAACCCAGAAAAGCTGCGGAGGTTGGAGTCCCAGCCGGCCAGACTAAACTGCGGATCGGAAGCGCGTAGCATTATTAGCCTGCCGTCTTAGACAGCTTTTGTTTCCTTCTTTAAGAAAACCTGGTCAATGTGGAGAGCATCTGTCACATTCATACAAGGAGTGCAATGCGACTCTAGTTTTCAAAAATTGAGGATTCTAAGCTTCACTGCTCCTGACATCACCTCCTATGGCACCCAACACACGCAGTAATAAAAAGTCACATCGTTAATAACATCTGAAGCTTTGCTCATACCTTCATTTCTGCTGAGTTCGATGTCGGCAAACAACCCAATCTTGATGACTTGCCACAAAAGTCCCAGAACCAGGTAAGGCTTCCCCTCCTTTAGGTCCTCAGCCCCGATGTTGACCACGTGGCACCCGATGGCGGAGGCTGAGTTCAGAGCCAAGTTCAAGTTCTCCTGAAGGAGACAAAGTATGCAAGTTTTGTTTTTGGCTTCGCAAAGGCCGAATGATGATTGCTGATTGGCAGCAACAACAATATTTTGCTTCTGGAGTGTTCTCAAGGTCTAGAGGTACGGCCTTCACTCGATTTTAACACTGAGAAAAAGTAGTGAGTAATAACTGGAAAAGACAGTCCACAGGGTTTGTAGCTCAGACACAGGGCTTCTGCAGGGCCGAGATAGCCCGGCCAGAATCCTGGGTTGGAGGCCCATCCTGGCCAGGATGAAACAAAGGAATCACCTGTTTTTCCATCCTGCTATGTGACGGAGCCTTCAAGAGCAACGTCTCCATCAGCCAGAAACCAAGGAGGCACCTTTGAGGGGAGAATGTACCCTCATTGCCTTGTCATTGCCATTAGGGACATAGCTGTTGATTGCCAAGGTCATGTTCAGATTGGGTATTAAAGGAGAGCAAAAGATAAAAATCAAAATTTGTAGACAAGATAGAGTGGCTCTTACTAGGACAATTTGTTGAGTATCCGTAACATCTAGGGACCTTGAGCACACACAAATCTATACAAACATACATCCATGTGTCCATATATACAAGCATGCATGTGTATAGATTACATGTTTTCATCACTGACAACAATGTATATAATATAACTCATATGCAGTTGGAATAGAGTCAGTGAAATTTTCAGCCTAGAGTCTGTATACTACGCTCGGGTCCATCAAGGAAGATGTATCAGAGTCAGAGATGTAAAGAAGTTGGTTTTATGACAAATTAACAAAGCAGAACATTGGGAATGAACTGGAAGTGAATTAACTGGCAAGGTGACCATGCAGAGAAATGGTTTTTTTTGTCTTAGTGCATAGCTCAAATGATGAGTGAAAAATACTAGTTCTTTTTATGGCTAAGATTATGAGTAAATTTAACAGTAAGCGCCTTCATATACATTTCATCATCATTGTCTCTTTGGTTAACAACAATCCCATTTTAAAAGTATGCAGGGTTGCTTACATCCAAACAGGAGGTGAAAATATTGGTTCATGATTTAAGAAATGAGACATGGCTTCTGAGCAAGAGAATTATGATAAAGTTAAAAAACTGGAACATAGCAGAGAAATACAGCTTACTTACTACTCTTTATTATTCCAGCTAATCAACACATTGAAGGCATGAAAACAAGGTATATTTATCACTCTGTGGCTATAGCAAATAGCACAGCGAAGGCTACGGGAACACTTCCCGTCCCCCACCACCCCTTCTCTGAAAAGCATATCACTTCAGTTAAAATGATGTGTATTTGGCATCAGCTCAAAGATAAATTGCTAGGCAAAGTTTAAGTTAAAGTTTTACCAATGAGAACTGTATTCCTTAGTGGCCAAAGAGAGAATTCCCCAGCTGCGCACGGCCCACATTCCTTCTCCCACCCCCCATGTCTCCTATCCCGCCCCTGTTGCATTAATAAAAGGGTAAACAGAAATGTGTTCCTCCCCCCTTTCCCACCCCGGGTCATGACAAATCAGCAGCCCGAAGGCCGGGGCGGGGGAAGGATGTCTGGGCATCTGAACACGTTTGACTCAGCCATCCCGGGACACCCAAAATCAGTTTTTTGGTCAGCCAAAAAGTCAGTTTAGTTTTTTTCCATAAAGTAAAAGACACATTTTTCATTTCACCAATAACTTGATTGATTTGGAGGTTTTGAGTATGTTGGCTGTCTCCTGCTGTTGGCCTCTTGTGGGTAGAGGCCAGGGGTGTTGCTAAACATCTTCCAGTGCATAAGACACGCCAGAGCAAAGAGTTACTTGGGCATAATATCAGTAGTGCCAAGAAACTTCGCAACTCACTTTTGACACATTTGATGAATCACAGCACCTTCTCCATATGCTGCACAAATCTTTTTTGTGTATTTTTTGTATTTTATCAGTGTGCATTTTTACCTTTCTTGAAGTAATAAAGCATAATATGCCAAAAATGTTGCATATTTTCTTCAATCCTCAATATCAGAATGGCTGCACAAAAAGGGACCAATTTTGATAAGTTTTCAAAAAAAATGTACGCATGATATGACAGCTGTCACAATACAATTAACAAAATTGTTTGGAATGAAGTTCGAGACAACTAAGCACAACTAGAACCACTGCATGGAAAAAACCAAACGACATTTCTGGCCACACCAGTGACAGAGGGAAGACATACCTGGATGGTGAAGGGGGTGAGTTTCTTTTTGTTGATTGTTCTTTCGTCAATTGTGTCAGGCACTGAGAGGTTGATCATTTTACTGAAAGAGAAACAATAAACTTAAAGGAAGAAGTCTAGCTTCTAGATAACAGGGCCCAGTAACACTGAATTTAAATTTTAGCAATATCATAAACAAACAAGATTGGCAATATAATCAGCGCCACCCAGTGTTTAGATATAAAATCGTTTATGCAGTGTTGATGAGATTCAAACTGTCTTTGGGAAAGGGTAATATTCCTAAACTCACACTGATATATTAAGCCAGAAAATAAAACCCCCCATTTCATTCACTTCGCTTAGAAGCTACAAAATTATCCTGGTTTCCTTAGCATATTAGGGAATTCTGGGTGGAGGGCCAAAGCAAATCCTCCATGAGTACTTCGCTCTCTCAGCCATAAAAACTGTTCCACTATATGAAAGATTATTATACACTTTTGAGCATTTTGAGCATATGTAATGCCTAAATTTCTATTTGACACCTGGTCAAACTCTATACCTTTCATTAATCACATCATAAAATGTTTTATATATTCCTGTAGCCATTATTATATCAGCACTTTAGAAATTTCACCCACTCATGTATCCAATGCATTGATCAAACATCCAAAGTAAGCAGATATTGTTTATGAACAGCTGATTTTACCCAAGTCACCACTGGTTTAACCTTCAATGGGGCATAAAGAATAAGTTCCCTTAGGTCGCCTCCATCTTATTTAAAGAAAGGGAGTTGGAAAAACAATACGAAGAACCAACAGCAAAATCAGAGTACTAAACTTGACTGTGACTATTTCTTTTTCTTTTTTTCATGAGAAAAAACAGCAGCACAAACATTTTTTCCTAACAAATTTTAAGCAACTACCATTTTTTGTCGTGGTTGTTTGAAGATGCACTTCTATAACTTTATCGTGTGTACATAGGTATGTTTAAATAAAAGGTGTTTTACTACAATACAGGCAAAACAAACTCCTAAACCATCATGTGAAAAGCAAGAATCTGGAGTGAGCTAGAAGCTCTGGGATGATGGGGCAGAGAGATGACTTTAAAAAGGGTAATTTATCCCTCCCACCGAAAAGATGATGGTCCAACTACAGAGACACCATGTGTGGGTATCAAAAGGCATGTGACAGTCCAAAGCAGGATATCATAATGGCCTTCAAAGTATGACAAACAACATGTGCTTTAAGAGTTCCGTTAAGGGAGAAATCACTGGAGGTTGGATGGACTGGAAAATTACACCCTAAATGGGTTTGGATAGAAGGAGAACATGAAGAAGGGCATTCTTTAAAAGAAGCCAAATTCAAGGCAAAGCCACAGTTGCAAGTTACGAGAAGGGCGTGCGTGGGAATGAGTCAGCATGCGGGCTGTCCTCTGTGAAGCCATTCATGCGGTGTCCCCAGGCCGGGTTCCTGGCCGGGGGTCTTGGGAGATGAAACTACAAAGACATTGATGGAAGACCATGGGGGAGGTTGGGTGACAACCAAAGGAATCAGGACTTCCTCCTGTAGGTTAGGCGTTTGATTGTTTGTTTTTTTTTTTTTTTTTTTTTTTAGCAGTTGAATCCTCTAAAAATGAACTCTCAAAAATAAAATTCCAAAAGCAGAATTGCTCTAGTCAGAGGATAAGGTCTTCAAGTCTCACCCACCTACTCCTCACGTCAGCTCCTGGGCTGGCCTGAGACTGGGTGCCTCACTCAAGCCTCCTCGTGTTTTATGGTGACACAGGTGTTGTCAAAGGCACCGTCCCGCAGGGACCCGCTGTGTTCTGAGCCTCCCACAGACAGGACACATTCTTCCCCGTGGGCGTGCTCAGTTGTGCCGTTGTGCACCACTTACGAGTGCCTTGGCATAAGGCCCTGCATTGGATCTCCCCGGTTAGCAGGCTGCTACTATTCATCCTGTCCACTCTCGTGTGCGTCCGCCACGCTCCAATGAGGCTAAGTGTCCCATCTTCCAAAAGTAACTGCTTTTGACCTTCTATTGCTATAGCTCCACGTTTATGTTTGTCTCTCTCTTGCACATCCCTCTCCTCTACCCAGGAAAGAGTAGCTCTACACGTCTCTTCGTAAGTTTCTCTCAAAACCTGTTTTCGCTCCTGGCCCTGCCAAGTAAAAGTCCAGAAAAGCGTTTCAGGTCCAGCCGACCACCAAAGGAAGCTGGCCTGGGATCTATACAACTGATCTCTGGCATTTCAGAAACTTCTAGGGAAAGCTCTGGAAACCAAGAAGGAAGCGTCGTTTACCAAAGGACGATGCCATCGCCGACAGCGCTGAAGAGGTCGTTCGTGTTCGGGTCCATGGGGATGACGTGCCGGCAGTCGGGGTCGTTTTCCAGGGCTTTGTTTATCCAGTTAACGAAGGCGTACTTCTCTTCCTCTGCAAGGCAGTGGTTGAAACGACCGATGGGCAATGTGAGAATCTAACAGAAACAAAACTGTGCGCGTGCATTCTAGATTCTCAAGCCCGGGAGAGACCTCGTGAAGTTCCCTCATCCACTATCTGACCATCTCACATTTATTGACAATCGAAAACCTCAGGTGACTTGGGACGTGGGCGCAAAGACTCTGTTGGCTCCAAGTCAGAACACATGCAGCAAGCAGGTTTAGAACAATTTATATTTAGAAGCGAGTTAGAGCTCACAGTTTATATTTATAAATATAAATATATGAACAATTTATATTTAGAAGCAAATTAGAGCTCTATTATGTATATGTAAGTGTATATAAATAGTAATATATTTTCTTTATATTTATACCTCATTTACATATAAATGTGGCCTCATTCTTGCAGAATAAAACTCGAGGTCCTGCCTTTAGCCCTGCTGACTTAAATGTGGGATGATCACAGACAATCTTTGCAATATCTCTGAGGTCCTTTTTTTTTTTTTTTTTTAAGATTTCATTTATTTATTTTTAGAGAGAGGAGATGGGAAGGAGAAAGTGAGGGAGAGAAACACCGATGTGAGAGAGAAGCATCGATGGGTTGCCTCCATACCTGGCCTGGCTGGGAGCTGAACCCTGAAACCCAGGCATGTGCCGTGACCCGGAATTGAAAAAGCGACCTTTTGCTTTGCAGGATGACACCCCACCAATTGAACCCCAACCGTCAGGGCTCTGAGTTTCTTTAGAACGAAATCGCTATGAAATGAAATCATTTGTGGTATAATGTTTCTTTCCTGCCAGCAAAGCTGCCAGAGGCGGATTTTCAAAATTTTAACAAAACCTCAAGGGGCGCCCAGCGCTGTGTTTCTCGCTGTGTGTGTCACGGAAAGCAGTCGTGGCCTCCGACGAGCCCCGAGTCACAAACCTTCGGGGACACTCCCATGGCACATCATCAGCGCCTCCAAGTTTCTTATGTCCATGTACAGTGCAGAAGGTTGTGAAAAATGTCTGTATTTCCAGAAAAAAGACTCTACTTTGCCTCAGCAGGTACTTAACCACGAACTTACCTCAGAGAGCAGCTAATGGTTCGAAGAACTCAGTTTGGGGACTGCCGGGTTACTGTCCCACCTGGGGTGTGAGAGGCTTCCCAGGGAGGCTGTTGGACGGTGGCTTTCAGGATCTCCAGACTGACTACACAACTTTCTTACAGATCAATAAGAACAACAGTGTTCTGGATCTCTCAGCAGGCATGAAGAACAACCATGAAGCGGGAAGGCAGAAGCCTTGGTAGTTCATTTTGCCCAAAAGATTTACAAAGGGATTTTGGGAGCCTTTCAGGTGGTTTTGTAATGCTGACAGGATTATCGGGTTAGGGGCCATACCCAGCGCTGGAAGTGCTGTCCTGCTCGTGCGTAGGAAGACGAGGCATAGTCCATAAACTTTGTACCCCCTTAGCGTGAATATCGAGTTTAGAATGTGCACTCCTAGAAACATGGGTCCTTTCTGCATGGGCCCCGCTCCCTCTGCCCTCGGCTCTCCCCACCCCCAGCCCCTCTACGTCCGTCCACACCCGTCAGTACAGCTCACCCGAATAGGAGTGTTGGGTGCCCGCGGTGGACTGCTCTGAGGTACCACCGATTGCACAAATCCCTTCCTTCTTATTGATTGCTTTTCTAAAGGTCTTGGCAACCTCTGTGCTTTTGAGGCCATGGAAAACCTGCAAAAAATATAAGGTACCTTTAGAAACCCAATATGTGATCAAGAAAACCACAAAGAATACGTCACGTCGATGCAAGGGGAGTGGCCATGCGTTTCCGGATATTTTTTGAATTAACGTTCTAAGTTTCGAATGCATCTCCTCACGCTCAGCGTCACCCTCACCTTCATAAACTCATCAAAGGTGATCTTCCCGTGCTGGCCCAGGTCCCCTGTAGTCATCAGGTTTTCTGTGATTTCTCTCACTCTGTACCCAGGCAGAGGTAAGCAAGCAGCCTTGAACAAGTCGTTCAGCTCATTGCAGCCGATGTACCCGTTCCCTTCAGTATCTGTAAGGCAAACGACCAGGGGTAGGTTCAGAGCAATTCGCCCGGCAGCAGGGAGAGGGGTGCGGGAAGGCCAGGTGGGAGGTGAGCAGGCAGCAGAAGTGATCATTCAGGGGTCGTGGCCGGGCCCCGCGCCAGGGTCAGAATCTCCCAAGAGGCCGGCTGCTGTGGGGTATGGCCGTCAACGTCACTTCCAACATCCCAGAGCCAAAACTTCAAAACAGAGGTCTGGCAACAGAATCTAAAGGGACCTTCATGGAATCAGATGGGAAAATAAATCACAGGCTGAGATAAAGAGTAAGAAAAAGAAAAGTAGGAAATATGAAAAACACCCAAGAAAAATACTTAAAACAAAGAGGAAAAAAATAACAAAGAAAACCAAAGAAAGTAGATGCAATAAAAAGATGAGCTGTAGGGGCCATGTCCAAGGAGAGCTACGGGCAGAAGGAGTCCACAGGCCATATTTGGACAGAGAAAGAAGTGCTTGTCTCGAAAGGTGCCTTTCAGAGCCAAGTCCTCTAGCTCCTGCACCCAAGCCGCCGATTCCTGTCGCTTCCGCTCTTTGGCTCATTTTACCGTTTCCTCGACTCTGTCTAAAGATACTCAACAGAGAAGAGAATTGTACCACGCAAGGTACCAATCTACTCACCAATTTTGGCAAAAGCTTCCCTGAGCTCCATCATTTCTTCATCGGACACTGATCCCCGGGCCATTTTTTATTGCTTTAAGGCAACAGGTCTGCAGGGGGGAAGAACACAAGGAATGGCTGTTGTGCACATTCATTCTTCAGATGCCAAAGCCCATTTATGAAGTGAGGACACGTTCCTCTGCATCCCTCGTGATGTAGCACTATCTCTCAGCAATGTAAGAAATGGCTCCTTTTTAAACCTTCCACGTGGTGGTCTCCGAAGCTGGCCCTCACCCACCTGTCCTCTCCCTGCTAGCTACCGCTGCTGCTTCATTGGTCGGGGGAGCTTACTACCCCCCGCCCCCCAAATCTGGGCTGACCCTGGGACTGCTTTGACCGTTTAGAAGGCTGGAGAACCCTTCCTTGTAGAATGCTCGTTCTTGGCATGTCCACCCCCCCTCCACCAGACGGTGAGAGCCGTGGGAAGAGCCAGGGAAGGAGACCCGGGAACTTGGGGCACCAGCACCTGCCACGCTCCCAGCCGGGGGACAGCCCCTCCCGCCCCCACCTGAGGGGCCCCCTCCCGGGGTGGTTCAGCCCCTTGGAGCCCCAGGTGCCCACACTCCTGGTCAGCGGTGCTCCTTGAACCAAGAGCCCAGAGAGATGCTAAAATGATGGTTTTAAGTCACTAACCTTTAGAGCAGTTGGTTACACAGCAACATGCAACTACAACACTTAAATTTAACGCAGATGTCTTTTAGACATAGCGCCATGTTCATAATTAGAAGTAACATGTTTGGTCAACCCAACAGATAGATTTTATAACTTACAGGGAAGTGATCAAAGTTCTACAAGTTTCTACAAGTAGACAGGGAAGGGGGAAGGAAATTTGACCCTCTAATAATTCAGAGATGGGGACCCTAAAGGACTTTTAGGTGCTCTCTTCTAAGGAAGGCTGGTTTGGCTGAGACACGTAATGCCAATGTGGAGCCATCTCCCTTTTCCTGGGCATTATTGCTGCCTTCTGGGTGGAGAGAGAATAAACCAGAAAATGCATTATGATGGAGAGGATAATGCCCCTAGCTAGTTCACACAGCATTTTTCAAACAGGAGCTCCACCAGCGCTTACTGGACTTCCTGGTTGGTGGGGGGCGGGGGCGGGTAGGAGGGTAGAGGGTGGGGTATTTCTATAGTTCTATTTTGGGATGTTCTAGATCGAGTTCCTTTTCTGCAGTTTCACATTATTCTAGAGGACAGCGCTGCACCTGATCCCAGTGGCAACCGACGCACGCGCAGAGAAGGAAAGAGCTTTAACGCTTTGGCCGGCAAGCCAAAGACGCGTGATGCCTAACTTTGCAAATCCACACCCATTATTCACCATCTCGCTATCCTCTCATGTTCGTACACGAGGCTTTCCAACTTTGGTTTCCTCATGCGATGCTTTGTTAGCAGAAACTTTACATGTATATAAAATGACCAAATTAAAAAGACCCCAATTCAATTCCAGGAGACTTTGGTTGAAAAAACCCAAATGTCCTGCCTCCACGGTCCCTCCCCCGCCATGACCTTATATACTGGCGGGAACTCCAGGGAGCATGATTTAAAATGCTGGGATTATAGATATTGTTCTTTTAAAAATTCCTTTAAAATATATCATGATCCCACTTCTGGGAATATATCCTAAGAATCCTGAAACACTAATTTGAAAGAACATATTTACAATCGCCAAGATCTGGAAGCAGCGCAAGTGCCCATCAGGAGGTGAGTGGATTAAAAAGCTGTGGTCCATTTACACAGAGGAATACTATGCAGCCATATAAAAAGAAGGAAATCTTATCTTTTGTGACAGTGTGGATGGACCTGTAGATGATTATGCTGAGTGCAATAAACCAGTTAGAGAAGGACAGATACCATATGATCTCACTTGTATGCGGAATTTAATGAACAAAATAAACTGACAAACGAAATAGACACATGGGACACATGGACACATGGACCAGACTGACAGCTGTCAGAGGGGAGGGGGGAGGAGGGACCAGGTGAACAAAGGTGAAGGAATTATCCAGAAAAGTTACATACATAACACATAGACAAAGACAACAGCGTGGTGACAGCCAGAGGGAAAAAGGGCTGGGGGTTGGGTAGAGGGGGGCAGAGGGGGCGGAAACGGGGATGGAGAGAGGCTGCCGGGGCCGACGGGCACGGGATGCAGTGCGCAGATGGTGTTTTCTTGAGTTGTGCTCTTGAAATCTGTATGGGTTTGTGAACCAATGTCACCGTAATATGTTCAATTAAAATATATATTATTACCAATAGAAGTTTACTAATTATTATCTACCTTCTACATCTAAAAAGGTACTGGCCCCTTGGCATCTCTGAGGACAGGAGACAACATTGAGGCCCTAACCGTTCAAGCGCACGCCATCTCGTTCACACGTCGCAATGGCGGGTCCTCGCCACCCGACTTTCTTCTCTTCTCTTCCCTGCCTTCCTTTTGTCTGTCTGTCTGCCTATCTCCCTCCCTCGTTGATTTCTTTTCTTTCTTCCTTCTTTTTTGCTGTCTTGTTCCAAGAACAATTTGAGCCAGATCACAGAACTATGTCCAAACTTAAGAACGAAACCAATGAGGTTGTGAAATCAGTGAGGAGAAACAAGGGGTGGGCAGGAAGAGTATTAATATTTCAAGTGCAGGCCCAGATGGCATCTTTTGCTGGAAGTGGGCTGATAACCTAGCTCCGTGTTCTCTAGACTCATGCGAAAAGGAAAACATCATCAGATATACAATTCACTTTATCTCCATGAGACAGACAAACCAATTTTCCTGGGGCTACAGAGATGAGGTTGATAGCAATATTTACCCAGGCCTCAAGAAGAAGACGCTTGTGGGGTGCAGTGAACACAGTTTTGTATTTTTTTCATAATGTCCCTCAATGAAGGCTGATGGCATGAATCTCTCTACTCCCTTTTTTAGAGCAGGAAGCAGATGTTAGATACATGGCCTCAGACCACACAGGCAGGTGGAAGAGCAGCCAGTATTCCAATTCACAGTCTCTTCTCCTCTGCCATCATGTCTATATTCAGGTTTAATGCCCTCCCATGCCCGTAAGAGCCACATTGTATCCATACATTCATTCACTCAGGAATTTTTCATTAAGTCTCTTTAGTATGGAGAGCCCAGGGGAGATTCAAAAAAAACTACAACACAGGACGTAGGTGTTTTAGCTTAGGAAGCTTTTGCTTCACGTGTTAAGACATCAAGGCTTCTGTTTTAAGCAATTAATGGATGTCTTTGCACACCTCCATAATTCTGTGAGAAATTTGGCTTGGCTCTCCTTTCTACTCTCCACCAAGGCTCTCTCCTGCATCATATTTTAACAAGGCTCTTGGTAAGATCTGGTCTAAAGCTCTAGAGCTGGCTGGTCCTTCTTGGTTTGTAGGTGTCTCAGCACTCTTGGTTCATGAATGTTCATCGGATTAAATTCCTTCATTGAACAAATATTTAATGAATGCCGACTATCGGCCCTGTCCTTCGCTTCAGGTCGGCGTGTCTATGTGGATCTCGTTACCTGGAAAGCATGAAATGATGTGAGAGATCAAGAGAGTGGGTGGAATGTCTAAATCTTGCTGCTATCCTGGGACCTAAGAGTTTTAGATTTTCAAGGACTAGTAAGAAACTGGTGCTTGAAAATCTAAAATCTAAATTTAGATTTAATCAAGAATCTAAATTTAGGAGGCTGGTGAGAAATGCAAGTCAAGGCAGGAAATGAGAAGGCATTTGTGAAGGTCAAGAGTAAGGCCAAGGAAGGAAAAAAAGAATCATGTTTTCGGGTGAAAAAAATAAGGTGACGCTATAGTGAAAAAGCAGAAAAGACATTTTAGCATAAAAATTGCACAGGCCATTCAAATAAAATGCCCAGAAAGAGAAATACAGTAATCATTTTAAAACCATGTGATTTTTAAGCCATAGCAGGTAGGTCAAATGAAAAAATCTGAATGTCTGAATAACCACATTTTTCTAAGACATTTATAAATGGGATCAGCTCAGAGGAGCCATATAGTGAGACAGCCTTCAAATTTTAAAAATCCAAAACACATCAGTGATTTAACAACTAAAAGGAAAAGAAGGTTGATGGGATTAGTTTAAAAGGTAAATTGGAGAATGAACTGTCAACAGCCTAAGTTACTGTGATACTCTGTTGTTTCTTGGGCCTGAACACAAATATTGGGTTGGACAAAAAGTCCATTACATTTTTCCCCCCATACAATGGCTCTAGTAGTGCTTAGTTGTCTTTAATTTCACTTGAAACAATTTTTTTAGATTGTATTATGACAGTTGCCATAGCATGCATTTTAAAAAACGTTCTCAGAATTGGTGAATTTTTGTGCAGCCATTTTAATCTTGGAGATAGGCGAAAATATGCGACATTTTTGGCATATTATGCTTTGCTATTTCAATAAAAGTAAAAATGCAACTGAAATGCAAAAAAAAGATTTGTGCAGTGTATAGAGAAGGTGCTGTAACTGATTGAACATGTCCAAAGTGGTTTGCGAAGTTTCTTGGTACTACTGACATTTTGGCCAAACAATTCTGTGCTGTGGGGCTGTCTTGTGCATTGGAAGAAGCTGAGCAGCACCCCGGCCTCTATCCGCTAGAGCCCAACAGTGACAGAGAGCCGACATACTCCAAATATCCAAATCAATAAAGTTATTGGTGAAAATGAAGAACATGTCTTTTATTTTACAGAGAAAATGGACTATTTGGCCAACCCAATAGATAAGTTGCCTTTACCATCAGAATGAGCAGAAAGTCCTGGAAACACAACCCAACTTTTAAAGACAGAAGGGCTGTAAGGAATAATGTATTACAACCAATGAGGTAAAACGCTTTGTCTCTGCACCAGTTCACAAAGCACTGCCAGGCTACCGCCGGTCCCCGCGGCTGCTGGGCAGCAGAGCCGGGAGAGGGTGGAGGGACTGTGGGAAGGGCCGTTCTAGTGCGGAACGGGGAAGGTGCCCTGTAGCTAATTGAATGGGATGTGCAAACAGCAGCATTTTCACAAAGCAGAGAAACGGGAAGACGGAGTCATTAACACACAGCTCAGACCATTTC